GTTCTGCCAAGTGAGGTCCGGAGGACGGTCTTTTCCATGGGTTCGAAACAGGCTCCGGGGTCGGATGGGTTCACAGGGAAGTTCTTTAAAGCTTTCTGGGATATTGTGGGCACTTCGGTGGTTGAAGCAGTAATTTCCTTCTTTACTTCGAGTCGGATGTTGCGAAGTTTTAATCATACGTGGCTCACCTTGATTCCGAAAGTGGACTCGGTGGAAACAATTAGACAATTGCGTCCGATTAGCCTCTGCCAGTTAGTTTACAAAGTGATTACTAAAATAATGGCTGAACGGCTGGCTAGCATGCTTCCGCAGATCGTGTCGGAAGGGCAAAATGGCTTTATCAGAGACAGGCAGATTATTGATAACATCCTTATAGGACATGAAATAATGCACTATCTGAAAATAAAACGGCAAGGGAAGAAGGGGTACATGGCTCTGAAGGTTGACATGGAAAAGGCCTATGATAGAGTCGAATGGCCCTTTCTTCTTGCAGTTTTGGATAAGATGGGGTTTAATTCTGTCTGGCAAGGATGGATACATGAATGTCTTCGATCCTCCTCTTTCTCGGTTTTGATGAATGGTACACCTTCGGGTTATTTCTCTGCCTCTAGGGGCCTTCGTCAGGGGGATCCGCTCTCTCCGCTCCTGTTTGTACTCTGCACGGAAGGGTTTGCAGCCCTACTCCGAAAGGCGATTATGGAGAAAAAATTAGAGGGCGTGAAAGTAGCTCCTCGTGCTCTAAGGGTCTCGCACCTGTTCTTCGCGGATGATTCTTATCTATTTTTGAGAGGTTCTCTGCAGGAGTGTGAGAATTTAATTGAGGTGTTGAATGAATATGAGGAAATGAGCGGTCAACGCGTAATTTGGAGAAGTCGGCGGTGTGCTTTAGTAAGAATATTTCCACGCCAGATCAGGAGTTCTTGGCCACGATTCTAGGGGTTGGTGCAGTGGGGGTCCACGATAAATATCTGGGGCTTCCAACTCTGGTTCCTCGATCCAAAATGGCTACGTTCAGATATTTGGAGGATAAACTCCTAGATAGACTTCAGGGGTGGAAACAAAGGACATTGTCGTGGGCAGCTAAGGAAACATTGATTAAATCCATAGCGTTGGCTCTCCCCCTCCATGTTATGTCTTGTTTCCGTCTTCCTCTGGCTCTTTGCCGTCTTTTAGATAAGCATGTGGCCCGCTTCTGGTGGGGTGCTGAGGACGGTTCTCCCAAAATTAGATGGGTGTCCTGGCGTAACATGTGCAGGAGTAAACATGATGGGGGGATGGGATTTCGCTAGTTTGAACATTTCAATCAAGCTCTGTTAGCTAAGATAGGCTGGCGTATTCTCAATGAACCTCAATCACTTATTGCTCAGATTTATAAAGGCAAGTATTTCCCTCAGGGGTCCTTCCTGACTGCGACAGCTAGATCTTGTCCCTCTTGGGGGTGGCAAAGTATTCTGCATGGGCGTCAGTTATTGGAGAAGGGTTTGAGATGGCAAGTTGGGAATGGCCAATCGGTCGCCCTCCTTCATGATAATTGGATTCCTAGTTGCCAATTTGATCCCCCAAGCTATAAACCGCGGATCCTGCCAGAGGGGGGGTACCCCTTGGTGCCGGAGGTTATTTGTGAGGGAGGAGGGAGGTGGTCTGATGAGAAGCTCAGTCAATGGTTTGACCCACCTACCTGTAAGGCTATTAAAGCGATTCCTCTCCCTTGTTGGGACGTGATGGATAAGCTTCTCTGGCATTTTACGGGTGACGGGGTCTTCTCGGTTAAGTCGGCCTATCACTTGGCTGTTGATTTGGACAGGAGGAGGGGTGGGTGGCGATCCTCGGTTAGCTGGATGGATAAGCCGAGTTGGATTAGAGTTTGGGAGGCGAGGATTCCCCCGAAGTTGAAGGTTTTTGTTTGGCAAATTCTTAATCTGGCTCTGCCGACGATGGAGGCGCTTATTGAGAAAAAGGTCCAGGTGCTACCTCGGTGTCCAGTTTGTTGGGATGGCCCAGAGAAAATGGAACACCTGTTCCTTTATTGTCCAGTTGCCCGGGCCCTCTGGGATTATTCTGGTCTGGAGTACTTGGGGGAGGGTTTGCCTCGCCATACTTTTTCGTTGTTTCTCAAACGTCTGTTGGGTTTGATCCATCAGCCGACAGTGGTTATGGCTGTTGTTGCCATCCTTTGGAGGATCTGGCGATCTCGGAATTGGGTAGTCTTTGAAGGCAAACAATTTGGGATCTCGGCACTCATGCGCCAGTTTAATCAGCAGTATGAGGAATGGACGGACCTACCATCGGACCAGGTACCGAGGACGCCGATCCCGTTAGTACAATCTACATCACAAGTGGGAGATTCTCATTTGGTTTGTATGTGGGATGGAGCTACTAAGGGTGGGTCACATTCGGCTGGTGGGATGGTTCTTTTTGACCCAGCGCGGACACTCCTTCTGGCTATAGGGGTTCAGTTTGCTCACATGGATGATCCTGGAGTGGTGGAGTTGCTTGTTCTGAGGGATGCTATTATGTGGTGTATTGAGCAAGGTTTGTCGGAGGTCCGTTTTGAGGGCGATGCAAAGGTGATTATTGACAAACTTAATCAAGCCGACACGAGAGATAGCCGGTTGGGCGCTGTTCTGGAAGAGGTTGCTCATTTTTTGCGTACTCAGCCTGGCTTTAGTGTGCGTTTTGTAGGTCGGGAAAACAATAGGGTAGCTCATTTGGTAGCTAGGAAAGCCCTCTCTTTGTATCCGACTATGAGTCGCTTCTTTGATTTCCAGACCTGGCTGGTTTCCAGGATGTAACTGTCTATTTTTTCGATCAATATATGATATCTTTTGGCCAAAAAAAAAAGTCAAGAGACGTTGCCTTGCGCATGCTGTCCAGTAAGGTATATCTTATCCGCTCCATTAAGATAATTTAAATTCATTTAAAGTTGTTGATCAAGAAATGGAAATGGGTAAATGCCACATTTGATCACAGTGATTATTAAATCGTGTCATGTTTAGTTAATAGTAAAAATTAGTATGAATTTTGGTCACTCGAATTATTGAAACATGTCACACTTAGTCACTCTTTGTTAGTCTCCGTCTAACTCCGTCAATGGAGTTCGTAATGTGATGACATGGCTAACGGGAGCGCCTAATCAGCGACGTTTTAGGCCAAAAATAGTCAAACCCGAACCACCACGTTACTAAACCCGTCTTGTTATACACCCGACCCATAACCAAACCCAAGCCCACTTAATAAAACAAAATTGAAAAATAAATCAGGTTAGGGGAGAATCTGCAGATCAACACGAGGATTCCGCCGCCCCCAGCAGCTGCCACCGTCGGTCCGACACTTTCCCTTTGGGGGTCGTTTGGATTAGTGAATGTGACGAGGGATTTATGAGTGATTTTAAAACAATCTCTCGTTGTGCAGGATTTTAAAACAATTCTGCGTTTGGAAAGGTGAGAGATTGTGGGCATGAGGAAATTCTAAATCTCTCATATGAGAGTTTTTAAAATAATCACTCATTTTTTCTCGTTCTTTTCCAAACTCTGCCCCTCCTTTTGTTCTTCCTTTCTTATTCTTCCTTAGGGATTAGGGATGGGTATAATTGTAACTTTAATTTTTAATTAAAATCCTTCATCTATTCCCAAACATGTTATTTGGATCAAATCCCACATTTAAAATACCTGGATTTTTAATTGAGAGATTTTAATCCAAATCCCTCATTTATACATTCCCTAATCCAAACGACTCCTTGGAGTTTTCACTGTCTCATCCTCCATGAATGAACGCCGCCCCTAGATCACTAATCCACCGGCAGATACTCCATTACCCAGATCTCTGTTGCTCTCCTCATCCCATCTGTTTCCTGGAGTTGGAGATTTTTTACACAAACATGCCATTGGTTCTCGTCGGGGAGGAGGGAGCGGCGGTTGGCCGAAGTCATCGTCGATTCTACCGACCTCTTCATCTTCTGCTTCTCTAGCCAAGTCGAAGCTGCCATCGAGAAAACCTAGAAAGCGCGGGGTTCTCGATCTCGCCCCTCTTCCTCTTCTTTGCCATCATCCACTTCGGACTCCCCAATCCCCTCTTCTCCACGAAGTTCAAATCACGGGCGAGTCCCGTCCGGCAGCAGCAGAAGGCGACGGGAGGCGGCGTCAGGAGGATGCCGATTGAGAAACCCTAATCATCTACTCGCAGTTCCGCCTCCACAGACTAAGGAGATTGGAGCCGAAGGGGTGATTCTTAGAGAGAAAAACCAATTGCGAGAGGTGATGGAAGGGGAAGCGGCGAGGGATCTTGTGAGAGGTGGAGGTGGGGAGATGAGGAACGAAAGGGTTTGGGTTGTTTTGCAATTTTGTTTTGTTAAGTGGGCTCGGGTTTGTTCTGGGTTAGGTTGGGTTTGGTGTATGACAAGGCGGGTTAGTGATGTGGCAGATCTGGTTTGACCATTTTCTACCCAAAATGACGCTGATTAGGCACTTCCATTAGTCATGTCAGCACATAACGGACTCCACTAATGGAGTTGGACAGAGACTAACGGAGAGTGACTAAATGTGACATGTTCCAGTAATTCGAGTGACCAAAATTGATATTAATTTTTTCTAGTGACTAAACATGACACGATTTAATAATCCCAGTGACCAAATATGGCATTCACCCAAATAGGAACTGAATAGAGAGGGAAAAAAACATGGTAACCGACTATGACGACCTATCACTTGTCCTTCGTGGAATATATTAGGATGTTTAACGAGAAAAATGGCATCTTGCAACTTCCGCAAATGTGTTGCACAATGTTTTATAAGAGCTGTGAAATTCTTATGCAACACTTTTGGTAGGGTTGCATATAGTGGGGGTTGAAAAAGGAATAGACAACTATTTTTTTTATTTTATGTAACCCAAATAAAAAGAGTTGTGTATCCTTACCTATTATGCAACACCACTTTAGGCAACACATTTCACAATTTTTGCTACGTGTTTTAGAAAAATAGGCAACTTTTTTTTTTTAAGTTTTCGCAACATTTAAAATTTTATCTGTGGCGAGTCTAAATCGTCACAAATAACTAGCCCAATTGTGACAACATTGTTTGTAACAAATACTTGAGTAAGAATATTATCGTCAATAATTTTTTTTTGTGACAAGGTAGTGCAGACACGAAAACTATCATCGTGACATGTCTAATTGTCACAAAAAGTTATCATGTGTGACCATAATTTGTCACAAAAGACATTTTGAAATTCAAGGATATGATCTCAGGGTCGGGTTGGTTGTCACTAAAGTCAATATTTGTGACAAATTTTGGTGTCACGTATGTCACCCATGTGTGGCGAATTTGGATTATCACTACAGTTTTCACAAAAGAATCATTTTGTGACAAGTGTTTTTTGTCACAAAAACAACATCATCGAGATGACACGCCACAAATTGCAGTCATTTGTTCCTAACATTTCGTTGCAAAATTATATGTTTGGTGACAACTTTGGTAAGCACTGAAAAGTAGTGTCATAATAAATTGAGATACCACGAACATTCCTTTTATGATAAGGGTTGACGACATGAGTATATACCAAGCATGATGATAACATATGTCACACATGACATGAGTGCATTTTGTGACAAAATGTTAGGACGCAAGTTGATGCAACAATCTTTTTGGTGACTAGATTTGTTGTCACTTCTACTATGAACAACGAGAACATATTTCGTCACACTTATAACAGTTTGATGACTGACAAGCTTCTTTAGTGACATGAAATTAAAATACGAATACGATCGTTGGTGACAAGTTTCTCTACTTGCATCCGCGTTTCATCATAATCGTATTCATCTTCGTGATATCAAGAGATTGGGAAGGCGTCTCATCCGGTCTCCCGTGGTCTCTTTTCCCCTTTTCTTTGACATGTGGTATAAGTATAGGGCCCCATCGCCATGTGGTACGTGTGAAAATAGGAGAAACCAGAAATCAATTAATTGAGCACCATACCTTGTAGCTGCGACCAAGAGTCGAGCTACAAGTTAAGGACGATGAGTTAGCGGGAGTCCTCAGTTAACATTTACAGGCAGATTGTTGTAATATAGAGTATGGATCAAATAGAGGACTTATTTGAAATGTTTACTTTCTTATTGTACTGTTTTGTACGAGGGCAAACAGAACAGTGATTATTACATGTATATGCAATATCTGGTAATAGTAGACATAGCAGTTTTGAGTTTTGGTAACGAAGCATGACCAAGTCTATAATGCCACAAATCAATGTCATGCAAAGTTGTATCAAAAGTTCCAGAAACAAATGAGCAGAATCTGGAATGACAGGGGACACTGGTATAGAAAGAGAGGTCGTGGAATCTGATGACAGATAGTACAAGCCGGAAGTCTCTCTAGCTGTACCAATCATCGGCTGACGGCTGGGAGACCAGATCCTGTATAAGACTGTGATCGATCGTGAAAGAAGGTTAGAGAATAAGACGAGTTTTTAGTCAATCGACTAACAGAGACAAGATTGAAACCAAAATATTCATATGTCTAAAATATTCCTAATAATTTCACTTTAGAATTATTTTGTTTCTTTTGTATAGCCAAATATTTCTGATAATTTCACTTTAACGAGACTTAAAGAAATAAATGAGGAGGAAAAACTGATATTCCCCCCCAATTTTGCCGATGTCGGGTCGTGTGAATCTCGGTTCAACCGTGGTTGACCATTTTAACTGAAAATTTTAACATAAGGGTATGTTCGATAATTTTGCAAAAATATAGGGACATGTTAGATGTAAAAAAATAGTAGAGGGGCATGTTTGATAAAGCTACATAATAGAGTGATATATTATACCTATAATCATTCTTTTAAATTTTCTAATTTCTCTTTTAAATACTACATGTTCACACATCTATATATAACAAGCTAGTCAAGCCCGCTCACAACAACAACATGGGTTGCGTCGATGGATGCTCGTATACTCGTGCAATGATTCGTTTACTTTGCTAGCTAATGAATATATGATTGACACTTGTTTACATACGAAACGTGTTCAAAAATTATGTTCCCGTACTCAAAGCACTCCAAATTAGGATTTTACGTAAAATATATTTTTTGGGTAAAATGGAAATCGTAAAATCGTAGGATTTTCTGGTACATAGAGAAACAAACACCGAATTATATTTATAAGATAAATCATGAATAACAAAAAAACACATAACATTTAAAATGATAATTTCTCAAGATTATTGGTCCTATTCAATAAAAATGTAACCCAACTAACTTGCATCTACCCTTACGCATGTTATTGGTCCTATTCAACACAAATGTAACACAATCATAAGATTTTAATGATTTAAATCATATATAGTGTTGGATTTTAAGGTCCATAGATTTTATAATGAAATCAAAATCGGAACGGGTAAGTTTTGGTACATTATGAACCTGAGTGGCTTCCATCATGCAACCAGTTAGATATACTATTATGCTTCTTTCTTAATGAAAGTCTTTGTTTTGTGATTAACACTTTAGTCAATCAATGAGTTTCTTATATATTCGTTTTTGTATTTTAATTTTGTAGTTTGTTGAGATTGTTTTATAATGAAGACGAAGAGTCATCACCTTTTTAGCATGCAATGTGCTCCAAGAAAAGTATTTTTCCTAGTCTCAAGGTTACAGGAATGTCAAGTAGAGGCCATTTAGTGATGTGGCTTTGGTCGGATGCTTGAAGTCAAGGGCGGAACGTTATAGCGCAAGTTGTTGGAAGAACTTATAAGGAACTTTAATATGAAAGAGAGCACAGTTCAAGCTCATGGGTTGAAGGTGAATATTTCGGCTAAAGATTTTGAGCGAATTATGGGTGTACCAAAGGGTGGGACTGATATCGTCTGGGATGGTGAAGAAGTGGTAGGGAGATCTGGGGAACTGGATGCATTTAGAGTTTATTCCACTCCTGATTGTGGCTAGGGCTGATAACCGGTTGCCGGTTAGTCGGTTAACCCGATAACTGAACTGAAAACCGCAATTTTCGGCTAGCCGCAAACCGAGAATAGTGGTAGCTGTGTCGGCCTCGGCTGTTTGGTTGAGACATAATTGATAAGCGAAAACCGCAGAATGCTTAACCGATGGAAAATCGGTGCACCGAAGTAACCGCCAGGATTAAATAGTCACCAACCAAATGAAACCTTTCCCTCTCCCGAGAGTCCCGATCTCGCTGCTCTCTCCCCTTTCCCTCATATTCCTTCTTTGCCCGCCGTAGGGAAAGACAACCCAATCGTCGCTGCCAATTATCACCTTCAATCGCCGCCAATCATCACCTTCAATCAGTCCCGACCTCGCTGCTTTCTCCCCTTTCCCTCAGCTTCCTTCTTCGCCCGCCAGTGGGAAAGAGACCCCAATCGTCGTCGCTAAACTCCACCTTCAATCAACACCTTGCATGTTCCATGCGGCGGAGGATTTAGATACAGATCCTCAGGCAGGTCTTTTTTGTCTTCCTCAGCCGCTGAGTCAATAGCTTCCACTTCGTTAATCGGCCTCCACCCTCTTTGTCAGTCGTCGTCCTGTCATCTGTCGTCCTCGGCCTCTTTCCTTTGCCGCCGTTCGCCGTCCTCGGTCTTCGATATTCCTCCCTGTGCCTCCGCGACGGATTCTGATCTAGATCCTCCTCTCGATTTGCGGCGAATTCAGATTTGTCGCCGTCCTCCATCCCAAAACTCGTCGCCGCTGTCCTCCCTCCCAGAACTCGGCGTCGCTCCCAGAACTCCCGCCATTGTCAACCAATCCATCATTCTCGGCTAACCGGAGGAACAAACCGAAAGCGTCGGTTGCGGTTTGCGGTTAACAGTATCTTCCTTCGGTTGCGATAAGGGTTGCCAGTTTTGCGCCATCTTCGGTTGCGGTTAACCGTAGGTGCGGTTCGGTTAAACCGAAACCGCACCGACTAACAGGCCTAATAGTGGCCAAGAGGCTATTTCCACAAGCGTAATGTGAAAGACGTTGCGAGATTAAAAGGATAGCAGTGATTTATATGTTCAATCGTTTATATTGTAGATAATGGGGGTGCTATTAGTACCTACCAGAAGATATAATATTTCTTTATCTTTGGCATACGCTTGTCTGCGTTGTGGCAGACATTCCGAAGAAGAATTGGGCATCCTATTGATTCAATCACTTGGTGAAATCTATCTGGAGCCATACTGCTTCGAGGAAAAAATATGTACATGGTTGCTAGCTATTTTTGGAGGTAAATACTTACTTAGCCGTACTTTTACATATTCGTAATGATTAGTCATCATGACACGCCCTGTCTCTTTTCATAAACCAAAGCATAACTCAAACCAAAAACCGGTTACTCCGGAGCAACCAAACCACTTTTTAAAGTAAACAAACTGACATTATTTAAGAATTTTTTAACGAAAAGCCCCAACACTTGGGCAAAATTCTCAATCTCAAACACTTAAAACGACTTAACACAGAATCTCCAGTTTATACTAATAACCATGAAACAGAATAATTAACCAATCTAACTTGACTCCTCACGAGCTTTCCGATGTCTCGTCGACACTGGTACTGCTGCTCGCCTCGCCCTGCTTCTCCTCGTGATCCACTTCTGCTAGACTATCCTCAACCTGGTGAGTGAGAAGAGGTCAGTCTCGTAGTTACTTCCTAAGGTCTTTGCCCTAGGCAAACTCCTTACTAAACACGTTATTAGGGGAATGCCTTCCTAGCATGAAAGCCGTTCTCGCTTTCTGCTCTTAAATAATCATTCTTATCAACTCATTTCAACATTAACTCCTAAGAGTGCTCGCCTTCTATCCTTAACTCAAACACAAAACACTAGGACCACTGCGTTACGTCTCGTCGTCCGGTGTCCTATCCTAGTATGCCAACCGCGTTACGTCTCGTCGTCCGGTTGCGTACCCAAACTCGGCAATGGCACTGCGTTATGTCTCGTCGTTCAGTCCATGCCCGTCAACTACTGCGTTACGTCTCACCGTCCAGTAGTGACCCAACCGCCCGTGGGTTCCTCATACCATCAATCCACTATTACAATCATACACCCATACATAGCACTACGCGTGCGTCCACCCTTACAGGCGGTGGGATGCCTCACACACATATCGCGCATACTAGAAAAATTAACTAAATAATAACTTAAAATAAAAGGCATAAATCTAAAAGACTTTGACAGAGATTTTACCCCCTTTACACTTACCTCGAAAAGTTGACTCCTCAATTCCTTCCTCGAAGAAACCCCTTCTTAGCCGGATTATCTTGGGGAAACCTATTAATAAGAATCCATTTTCTTAGACGACCTTTCTTGATTTAAAACCCCTTTTGAATCACTAGAACATCCTCTCCTCAAACTCCAGTCCTTGAACCTCATTCCAAGGGCCCTTTAACCCCATTAAAATTTTCTAGAATTAAACCCTTAAAAAACGACCATTTTTCTTAATTATTTTAGTCTTGGACGAATTTTCTACCTAACTAGAACCTCCTTAAAAATTTGGATAATAATTTTCCCATGTCAATCATGAGCCTCTATACCCTGGAAAATTATCAAACCCTTAAAAACCCCTCGGAAAGATTTTTACTTAATTAAAACAAATATTAGAAAATTTTCTAAAAATAGAAATACATCTCCAAAAATCACCAAATTAAATCAAAATCATCTCCTAGACGTATCTCAATTTATAAAATTGTTAGATTCAGAAAACAGCCTTCAGAAAGGCTCGAAAAAATTTAAAACGTCTAACAATACGTTTCTGGAAATTCCCAGCAGTTTTAGTGACTAATCAATATCTGTCACTAAAAGCCTATAAAGCCTGTTGCTAAAAACCCAAAATTCTACCCTCACAAAAAATCACCAAATCAATCGAGCTAACTCAAAGGGATCGAGTTCTCTTACCTCTAGAACGTGCCTAGGCCTAGGTTGGATGGCCTAGGACGTTGATCTCCTTGCCGCTATGTTTTTGGACAATTTGAATTTCCGGGCGACTCGACCCTCCTGATGCGCGAGACGGAGGAGGGATAGGGGCGGCGGCCGGCGGGGCTCCTTTTTGTTTTGATTTCTCCGCGGCTGCTGCTGCTTATTAAGGGGGAGGAATAGGATGGGGGGTGGGGAATAATTGATTAAGGGGGTAAGGTGTTTTGGTGGCGTGAGGGTGCTCAGCCCTCCGCCTGGTTATATATTATTTTTTCCAATAATAATATAATAATAATAATAATAATAATGTTATAATATTATTATTCTTAATCCGCGATTGTAACTCTTAGTACGTAACCGTCAAACCAACCGTTAATTAACTATGGTCGAACCCAAATCTAAAATACCGGGATGTTACATTTCCTCCACCCTTACAAAAATTTCGTCCCCGAAATTTGGAATTGGAAAGATAATTGCTAGGTCTAAAACTTTTGGTGTTTCACTAAAACTTCTCAAGCAAGAATATAACATTTCCCTCCCCCTTCAAAAAAATTTCGACCTTGAAATTTTTGTCCGAACTTATTTAATAGGTTTGGTACCGAGTACTAAAACTGAAAGTGCGTCATTCGAATAAAACAACCAACTAGCGGTCTATGCTTAAAGCAAATACTCCTTCTCCACAGTCTCCCCCTTTCTTCACATGATCACATCAATGTGCTTGCTCGTCCCCTCCACCGTCACCATTTCCTCCCTCTATCCCTCGCATGGCAAATACCCTCGGTTGTCCTCCTGTTGGAGGCCCCTGGTCTCTGTCCCGATCGGTACGGTCGAAGCGCCCAGTGCGTCCTCCCTGGCTCTGGAAAGAGCGGTTTGGTTGGCCGCCAAACCGTGGTCCTGTGTGAGTCCTCGCTCCACTACCCCGGACAGACTGCTCGGACCGAGCCATCCCTTGTCCGCCTCTCCAGGGGCATTCTCTGGCAAAATGCTCAGGCTCGTTACAGTTATAGCAGACCCTGGGGGGCTGCCTACACTCCCCTGAGTGATGCCGCCCATATTGGTTGCAGAGAGCCCTGTTGCTGAAAGTTTGACCAGGCCGGACCGAGCCGGTTTGACTCTGAGTACCCACAAAGCTAACGGTATCGCTCGGCCTCCTTCTGTACTGACTGGGCTGGCCGGACCACTCTGGCATGCTACTTGCCTTTCTCTTGATTCCCTCTCGCTGTATCCCTTCTTCATGCACAGCTGTGTCAGCCCTCTCTATCCGAAGAGCCGCCTGATAAATCTCCTCCCGACTGTTCCATGCCAGCATGCTCAACTGCTTCTTAAGGGCAGACTTCAAACTCTCCAAATAGTGGGCACGTTGAGATGTCGCATCCTGGAACTGGGGTCCCCCATAGGGCAGTAGCTTCTCGAACCTGGAGGTGTACTCTGCAACACCCTCCTCTCCTTCATTGCCCCATCCTTGCTTGATCAGCGAAAATTCCCTCTTTTTGCTCAGTCGATAGGCCTCTGGTACATAGTGATCCCGAAACACCCGCACCAACTCTGGCCAAGTGATAGCTGGTGGGTCTTCCTGACTAGCTGGAAGGGTGCACCACCAATTGTATGCTGAATCCTGGAACAGGGATACCGTCAGTAGCACCCTATCCTCATCATCTGCCCTCATTTCAGTCAACGTGCGCGAGACCTTCGCCAGCCATTTCTCTACTTCACTAGATCCTTCGAGCGGTCCCCGTCAAAATCAACCACTCCTCGCTTTCGCAAAGCCTCATAATTCGGGGGTTGCCTAACTGTCGGGCGGTTAACATTGGTGTTACTTGCTCTGCAAGTAAGTAGTACCCTTATTAGAATCACATTAATGTCTTATCATGCTTGATTATACTGGGGACTCTATAAACCTTTTCAAATCGGTTGGCCAACCATTTTTCTTGAAAGTTCCTTTTTTTCCTTTAAAACTAAACCTTTGAAAACCCAGATCGTCACCCCAATATTCCTTGGAGACCAAGAAACAGAGGAATGCCGGCTCTGATACCAAAATGACACGTCCCGTCTCTTTTCAAAAACCAAAGCATAACTCAAACCAAAAACCGGTTACTCCGGAGCAACCAAACCACTTTTTAAAATAAACAAACTGACATTATTTAAGAATTTTTTCAACGAAAAGCCCCAGCACTTGGGCAAAATTCTCAATTTCAAACACTTAAAACGACTTAACACAGAATCTCCAGTTTATACTAATAACCATGAAACAGAATAATTAACTAATCTAACTTGACTCCTCACGAGCTTTCCGATGTCCCGTCGACGCTGGTACTGCTGCTCGCCTCGCCCTGCTTCTCCTCGTGATCCACTTCTGCTAGACTATCCTCAACCTGGTGAGTGAGAAAGGGTCTGTCTCGTCGTTACTTCCTAAGGTCTTTGCCCTAGGCAAACTCCTTACTAAACACGTTATTAGGGGAATGCCTTCTTAGCATGAAAGTCGTTCTCGCTTTCTGCTCTTAAATAATCATTCTTATCAACTCATTTCAACATTAACTCCTAAGAGTGCTCGCCTTCTATCCTTAACTCAAACACAAAACACTAGGTAGGACCACCGCGTTACGTCTCGCCGTCCGGTGTCCTACCCTAGTATGTCAACCGCGTTACATCTCGCCGTCCGGTTGCATACCCAAACTCGGCAATGGCACTGCGTTACGTCTCGTCGTCCAGTAGTGACCCAACCGCCCGGGGGTTCCTCATACCATCAATCCACTATTACAATCATACATCCATACATAGCACTACGCGTGCCTCCACCCTTACAGGCGGTAGGATGCCTCACACACATATCGCGCATACTAGAAAAATTAACTAAATAATAACTTGAAATAAAAGGCATAAATCTAAAGGACATCGACAGAGATTTTACCCCCTTTACACTCAACTCGAAAAGATGACTCCTCAATTCCTTCCTCGAAGAAACGCCTCCTTAGCCGGATTATCTTGGGGAAACCTATTAATAAGAATCTATTTTCTTAGACGACCTTTCTTGATTTAAAACCCCTTTTGAATCACTAGAACAACCTCTCCTCAAACTCCAATCCTTGAACCTCACTCCAAGGGTCCTTTAACCCCCATTAAAATTTTCTAGAATTAAACCCTTCAAAAACGACCATTTTTCTTGATTATTTTAGTCTTGGACGAATTTTCCACCTAACTAGAACCTTCTTAAAAATTCGGATAATAATTTTCCCATGTCAATCATGAGCCCCTATACTCTGGAAAATTATCAAACCCTTAAAAATCTCTCGGAAAGATTTTTATTTAATTAAAACAAATATTATAACAATTTCTAAAAATAGAAATACATCTCCAAAAATCACAAAATTAAATCATAATCATCTCCTAGACGTTACTCAATTTATAAAATTGTTATATTCAGAAAAAAGCCTTCAAATTTAAAACGTCTAACAATACGTTTCTGGAAATTCCCAGCAGATTTAGTGACCAATCAAAATCTGTCACTAAAAGCCTGTAAAGCCTGTTGCTAAAAACCCAGAATTCTACCCTCACGAAAAATCACCAAATCAATCGAGCTAACTCAAAGCAGTGGCGGATCCAGAATTTTTTTGCAGGGGTGTCCTCTTCCAAAAATTAAATTAAATTAATAATTAAAATAAATAATACATAAATAATAAAATATCCAATTAGTACAAATGTTGAAAAAGCCACGATGTGTTTTCATATTTCGAAAAAAATATAAGATAGATTTGGTGTCTACACAGATCAATAAATCGTTATAGCCTACTAGATCGCATATTCAATTTCTAACCTTGTTCATGATGTAATTCAAAATTGAAAAGACTGTTTCAACACTTGCAGTGTAACCATAAAATCAATTCAAATTCTGGGTACCCCTGGGGATAAGAAATTGTGTTTTTACAGTAGAACAACAAATGAGTTATAACATAATGGAGAAGATGTTTAATAATAGGAGTGTCCTAGATTTGAATAACACAGAGTACCCCTTATATTTTTTTAATCATACGCAAACTACTATCGAGGTTAAGATAATCGTTAATTAAAATTTTAGGGGTGTCCCAAATTACCAATTATATTTTGATTATCTATACGAAACTACTACCGGGAGTTGGATAATCGTGTTCCCAAAATTTAGGGGTGTCCTATGTATCCGCCACTGACTCAAAGGGATCGAGTTCCCTTACCTCTAGAACGTGCCTAGGCCTAGGTTGGATGGCCCGGGACGTTGATCTTGCCGTTACGTTTTTGGACAATTTGAATTTCCGGGCGACTCGACCCTGCTGCTGCGCGAGATGGAGGAGGGAGAGGGGCGGCAGCAGGCGGGGCTCCTTTTTGTTTTGATTTCTCCGCGGCTGCTGCTTATTAAGGAGGAGGAATAGGATGGGGGGTGGGGAATAATTGATTAAGGGGGGAAGGGTTTTGGTGGCGTGACCGCCTGGTTATATATTATTTTTTTCCAATAATAATTTTATAATATTATTATTCTTAATCCGCGATTGTAATTCTTAGTACGTAACCGTCAAATCAACCGTTAATTAATTATGGTCGAACCCAAATCTAAAATACCGGGATGTTACACATCATGTTGAATATATCTTTTTTGTTTTGTAGTTAATATTCTTGGAGCATGCAAATGGTATTTTCCACACCATTGATACAAGTTTGCCTTTGATGAGTTGGGGGAACAAAGACATAGACTTATTATTAATGAAAATGGTAAGCGTTATTAGCTGATAGGGGTGGCTATACGATCCGGTCCGGTTAAATTGGCCAAAATTGATCCGGTCCAGTCCGGTCTTTTTGAAAATATAAGGACCAAAGATTAGATTGGATACAGTCCGGTTTTGATCCGGTCCGGTCTTGACCCAGTCCGGTCCCAATTCGGTCTTGATTTTATATTAAACTTGTGGGGATTTTAGTGGCCTAAGGCCTAAATGGGTGAGGAGTTGGTTAAGTTTTGTACTAAGTGCAAAGGTTTGTGACCGTTTATGCAAATTACCCTTAAGTTTTGGGTGTTGAGCTCTCTTATCCGCTCTTTATCCAATTTTTGATCCGGTCCCGAACGGTTTTTTACCTCAAATCTAAGCCCAAAGATTGGATTGGATTTTTTACTATCCGGTTCCGGTCTGGTCTCGGTCCGAGTTATACGGTCCGGTTTCGGGTAAAACCAAAAAATCCGGACCAAATCGCCAGCCCTATTAGCTGAGAGTGCAAAATAGTATATTTGATTTTTTTTAACGAGTTGGACCATGCTAATAGTATATTTTATTTCCTTTTTAATTAACTTATAGGTTTCAAGCAGTTTTGAGAAGAGATCATCCGAGGATGCATGTTTTGCAATCATCTCCAAGGAAACAACACAAAAACAACGGGGATGAGCAGCTTCTTTGTGAGCGTATTGATGCTTGTTTTACTAAGATGGGGGCTGGATTTGAAGACTTCATACAAGATTTTAAAATCGCAATGGGTGATGTTTGTAGAGATTAAGAGATAATGGGTCGTTTATGAAGATGGAGAAAGAATTTCGAACATTTAGAGACGACATTGATGTTGTAGTGAAGTCGATCATAGAAGTAGTGAAAGCAACTAGAGTTGACGCGTTGTCAAGGGAGCAGCCTGCTGAAGTGAAAAAGGGACGATAAGAAGGATGAGGCTGAAAAGTTGAAAGCATCTACAGTTGACTTGTTGTCAACAGAGCAGCCTACCAGAAGGGAAGAGGACAATCAGAAGGATGAGGTTAAAAAACCAAGTGAGCCTTTTGTTCTACTGTGAGCAGCTTCCCGACAAGACATGAGACATTGCCAGCCCTATGGAATTTTGCTTCCTTTGCTTTGCAACACTTTTAACTTCTAGAGCCTCATATCCTTCACATTCATTACTTACAATCTGATTATCATCATCCTCCGCCGCCAAATTCTCATCAACAACTTTCCTCACCTTACTGCCCTCCAATCATTCCCGCCATGCATACCCCATTTTTGTACCATGTTCTTTGAGGTTACCGGCTTCACATTTGAAATTTTGCTCGCCACTGCGTCTTCGTTGGCATGGGTAGTCCACTTGTTTTTCAATTTAACACTTCGTCTATTCTGTTGGTGCTTATCAGTTTCAAACATCAAGTGTGATTGTAAATGGGTGGATCAAAAGTTACAACATGCGTAGCCAGCTGAGGTGTAAACTATATGAAAGACACGCCATATATAAACTATATGAATATGCAACCCCACAACATATGCGTTGCGTATAATAGAGTAAATGCAACATATAACTAATTTAGATTGTGCATATTACCTACTCTTTTACCGGTAGTGATCTCCCAAGCCCTCAAACCAATTTCCCTCATTCCAACATTTTTCCATATTTGCTGCACTATTTTATCCACCTAACATAGAATCACATAAAAACATAAAATAAGAGCTTAAACACTCTAGTGTAATGTCACTTGAAGAAATACATTCAACACTTAGCTAATACAACCCATGAAATTAAAGCTCATCTCAGTCACCTCTCAATCTCTCAAATAAATTTCCTCCATCTCCAACATTTCCATGAACTTACTCTATCATTGTTGTTTCATATATTGTATTAGGTAGGTGTTTAATGTAATTCTTCAAATGGCAGTATCAAAGTGTTTAAGTGCTTATTTCGTGTTTTCATGGGATTTTATAGTAGTTGGATGAATTGGTAGAGTAAGTTCATGGAAATGTTGGTGATGGATGAGATTTATTTGATGGATTAAGAGGTGGCAAAGATTAGTTTTTATTTCACGGATTGTATAGCTAAGTGTTGAATGTATTTCTTCAAATGACATATTACAACCGTGTTTCAATGCTTATTTCATGTTTTTCCGTGATACTATGTTGGTTGGATGAAATGGTGCAGCAAATATAGGAAAATGGTGAACTTGAGAAAATAGGTTTGACTCCTAGTAGGTGATAAAGATAAGTCTTGTTTCATGGGTTGTACTAGATAGGTGTTGAATATCTTTCTTCAAGTGACTTATTATACGAGAGTGTTTTAGGATTTACTTTTTAGATAACTAAGACCTATAGTTCATTCATTAATGGTTAGGATATAATATCATGTCCCAAAATCTTATTAATTCGAGCTTTAGATATTATTTTCTTACTTGGTGTATGCACTACTCCAACTTTTACTCGGTTTACGTAAGAAGAAACCATATATAGATACATTAGATTAATTAGCGGGTGAGTGGGGAAGTTTGGGCGCACAAATCTGGAATATTGGTGCCAAATTTTACTAAATAAATGAGGATAGTTATGTCATTTTATCATAATTAGTAAAATACTTGTTGATTTGGTTTAGAAATTCCACCTCAACTCCTATGAGTTGCTAAAACCAGCCTCAATTCCGCAAATTCAAAATTTAGAATTGAAAAATGAATTTATTTATATTTCAATTACAAAAAAAAATTTATTTCAAAATAAATTCCTAAAAAAATATGGAATTAATTTATACAAAATGGTATGTTAACGTGTCAATTTCTTTGATCTTATAAATAGAAAATTTAATTTAATTATATTATTACTGATATATTAATTCTTACTTTCTCATTGTTTTTGTATATATATTCTTGAAAATCATGAATACCTACAAAAGTCAATATAAATATTATATTATTTAGTCAAAATACACTTTCATAGTTAAAATATATTCCCGTTGTGACAAATAAAATTTGAAAAATACACTCATATAGTTAGGGGTGGGCAACGGAAAACGGGTATTTGGGTATACCGTACCCGTCCCATTTTTTTAGGGTTACGGGTACCCAAATACCCGTAATTTTTTTACGGAATGGGACTTGGGATCAATAATAGTTACTTCGGGTACCCGCGGGTTACCCGTTAATACCCGTTTGGATATTACGGGTACCCGTTATACCCATTAGTCCAAAAGTCTACAACCCAAACCCACTCCAACCCCCAACCAACCTCCTGTTCCCCTTCAATTTCCCAAACGGCCAAATCCCATGCCGAGCAAATTTCATTCTCTGATATAAAAAGACGAAGTCATTCTTCATACATTATAGAAGGGGAGGGGTATATATTGTATACAGATACAAAATGGGATTTCATTTGTTTTTTTTACAGAGACCTCTTACTCATGAACAATGCAGGAATGGCCATTGTTTTAGTTTTATCACAGAAATTTCAATTACCCAGTTAGTAGTAATCAACACAGTTTTCGTCTTTCATGTTGCTGGTGACAAATACAAAGATGGTAGAACTCATTTCTTTTGCTGTGTTAGCTATGTTAGGTGTACAAATGGTAAAGATCAAAGAAGAAATGGAGAAGCTCTACATATTAGTACGCAAATAGTAAAGAGACACACAGACACAGAAAAATATATAATGAAGTCACCATGTGTTTCATAAATTCTGAACAATATAGCTCTAAGGTGGAAGCTGGCCGGATTGGACGGGTATTTACGGGTAGTATGGGTACCCGTTATCCGTCCCGTATGGGTAATGGGTACCCGTTGACCCGTATGGTTTGGGATATGGGATAGAGATTGCTCTTCAAATGGGACTGGGTACCCGTTTCAAACGGGACGGGTATCCCGTCCCGTCCCGTTGTCCACCCCTACATATATAGGTGTCAAAACATAGCCCGACCCGATTAACCCGCCCGATCAACCCGACCCGCAACCCGACCGCAACCCGAATTGACTAAAAGTCAACAACCTGTAACCCGCCCGACCCGCAACCCGACTAACCCGCAACCCAACTAACCCGCAACCCGACTAACCCGCAACCCGATTAACCCCGAACCCGATTGACCCGCAACCCGACTGACCCGCAACCTGATTAACCCGAACCCGATTGACCCGAACCCGACTAACCCGAAACCCGACCGACTCAACCCGAATTTCATCTTATCCACTTGAATAATTATAAAAATATACATAGTTTTTCAAAATAAAGTTTTTCATTCTAAACTTAAGTAAAATTATTTTTTCATTTCGTATAAGAAATTTTAAAAATATGAAACTCACTTGATATTACGTATTTTAAGAAAATGACAAAAATTGAAACATGAAGGTCACTTGAGATCATGACAATATTAATATAATATATAAATTAAAATTTTGGTTAATTTAACTATTCAATAAAATTATCAATTAAATATAAATAAAGTAAAATAAAGTATTTGGTAATTTGATGTTTTTAAAAGAAGAGGGAAATTTTGGTGTATTCAAGTTTTTGGGAAGAGAAAGAAGAGGGAAATTTGGTTCTTTGAATTTTTTAGAAAAGAAACAAGTGGGAATTTTGGAGGTTTTGATATGTGGGAAGAGAAAGAAGTGGAAAAATTTGATTCTTTTGATTATGAAAGAGAAATAAGGAGGGAAACTTTTGACTTTTCAACTTTTTGTAGAAGGAAAGAAGAGGGTAATTTGGTTCTTTCAATTTTATGGAAGAGAAAGATGAGGGAAAATTGAGTTTTTCTAATGTATGGAAAGAGAAAGAAGGAGTGAAATTTTAGTATTTTTGTGAAAAAAAAGAAGGAAACAAATTTGGTGTTTTTCAATTTTTTGATTTCTCATAATTTTAGCTTTTGAAATATGAATCTTTAACTTTTATATGGAGGGCATGACTAGTTAAAATTATTCTTATATGCTTTGAAGGCTAATATGTATATATGTATGTAATTTTTTATGGTCTAATAAATAAATTAACCATTAGTTACAACAATTTATACTAAACTTGATAAGTAATCTTTGACGGTTCGTTGTTTAGGATATAAAGTATATGGTTAGGGTATAAGATATAAGGTACATATGGTTTAGGGTGTATATGGTTAGGGTATAAGATATTGATGGTTCTAAGTTTTTTATTAACATATGTTCACTTGAAGTCATTTGAAGTCTTTAACGGCAGGAGATCCCTTTTTAATTTATGTTTATGGTACGTGGTTAGGGTACAAGGTATGTGGTGTAAAGTATAGGGTATATGGTTAGGGTATAACGATTAGCAAATATCACTTTTTATCTATGTTTTGAAAATCAAAGTATGAATTTCACTTTTAAATTAACTATACTAGCAAAATCACAACTCAAGGACATATGGTTAGGGTATAGGTTATGTGGTTAGTGTATAATGTATTGATGGTTTAGGGTATACAATCAACAACATACACTAACTTAATATTGTTGATTGAGGGTAAAGCTAAGTGTATAGGATATATGCTAATGAGTAAGTTATGATTGAAGTCACAATCATTTTACTAAATTTGATAGCTAATCTTTAATGGTTCAATTTTTAGGATAATTCGAGCAATTTTACAAATAACTCGTTTGGCAACAGTTTACTAAAGTTATTTGGGCAGTGAGTTATTTTGAAATAACTCCTTTTATCACTATGCTTTTGCCAAATACCACACGCCAAATACCAGATTTGCATGGTTATACTAAACGAGATACTTTAATCCAATTACTACTGAATTAATACTAAAATATCAAATAAACAATTAACGGTGTCTTTTGGTTGCAAATATTGATATCACCATTACTATTAGCTATAATACTTTACCAATTATGATTAATTACATAACAAGTTTGCAAGTCATACAAATTGATTTAACATTTTGACTAGTTTTTTTCAAAAAAATAAAGTATATATATACGAGGTAGAAATAAATTAGTTAAAAAGTTGAGAAAATATTTTAAATTAGTGTAATAAAATGTGTAAGTTGGTAATGAGTAATGAGTTAAGTTACTTGATGCGCTGGCCCGAACAACCCGAAACCCGACCCGCCCGCAACCCGCCCGACCCAAAACCCGATGAACCCGCAACCCGATTTGCCTGCAACCCGATTGAATCCGAACCCGATTAACCCGCAACCCGACTAACCCGCAACCCGTTTGAACCCGAACCCGATAAACCCGAACCCGATGAACCCACAACCCGGCTAACCCCCAACCCGTTTGAACCCGAACCCGATTGAACCCAGCCCGAACCCGCCCGAACCCGCCCGATTGACACCTATACCTACATATAGTCATTCCGTGACAAACTTTAACCGAAACATCACGAATGCTGAATGGACTAATGGTTTATGCTGACGTGGCAACTTCTACTCTTTACTCTTCCAAATTGGAATTATTATTATTATTTTAACTGAACCTTTCAAAACAAAAAAATAAAGGAAATAAAAGAGAAGATGAGCATAATCTTGGTTGGATCCCTCCCCTTCTCTCTCTCCCTCTCGCATGCCTCTTCCTCTTCTCCTCCTCCTCCTCCTCTAATCCCCTCCCCAAGAAGCAACTCCAGCTAGCTAGCTTCTCACCTTTCCTTCCACCCCCCAAAAATGGTTGTCCTTACTCTCTACCCAGAACCCATCACCCCAAAACACAAACTCAAAACCACCGTCGATTCCAACTTCTATTCCCTAACACAAACCCAAAACCACCGCCTATTCTGACTCTCTACCCAGAACCCACCACTCTCAACAAAAAGCTCCCAAAACCACCGTCAATTCAGACTTCTATTCCCCATTTTCCGAATTTGACGTCGCCGATGAACCCTAATCCCTCACAATTGTGCCACCACCCTAAAAATACCCAACTTTGACCGACGTGATTTTCGTGGGCAATTTCAAGCTCCTCTTCAAATCTCCCCATTTTGTCGACCAAGAGAGTGGCGGTTGCTGGGTTTGTGAGCGATTGGGGCATCAAAATCCATATCCATGAAATTTGAGGTGGAAGGGTACCGAGCGGCGGCGGCGCTGGTGGTATAGGTGCAAGAGATGCGGGCTCATCGAAAGCTGGTGGGTGCGGGGAGTGAGTACCGCGTGGCGGCGTGGGTTTCACTGCTCTTTTCGCCGGCTCTTTTTGTTTGTGTATATATGGATCTGAGATCCCCGATCGAGGTCCCCGATCCCCAGTTGTCGATAGCCGCCATATTTTCACAGCAGCTACCGGAGTGGCGAGGTCGTTGGGAAAGGACGGAGAGTGACGAGGGGACGACGGAATTCAGCACCACTAATTTCGACGGACGGAGATCGGAGAGTGACAGGCGGTGATCGCAGTTTTAGATCTCGTTCTCTGCTCTCTCCATGGGGAAGGGGAAAGGATAATTGGAAAAAAAATTAAATGATTTTTCCTTTTGTTTAGAATTGTGGTGAAAAAAATAATTAAGAAAATTATTTAAAATAATGATTTATACTGAGGTGGCTGACACGTGGCATACATTTGATGGCATGTATATTCACATCATTGAAAAGTTAACGGTGTTAAATTTTGTAACGAAAATGGCTAAATTTATCAAGCAAGTTTTCAAAAGTGGCTATATGAGTGTATTTTTCAAAATTTGGCACGCGAATACTTATGGCTATGAAAGTGTATTTTGCCTATCATTTACTACAATAATAAGTAAAAGCTACTGAAGACTTATGCCTTGTTGTTCTACAAAATGACTTTTCGAATATATCATACGAAACAATGTAAAAATTTATATACTATATGTTTATAAGTACTATAAGTACATATAAAGTGTAAGCTAGAAGTTTACCAGATTTGATAACTTGATAGTTATGCAAGTCCGGGCTAGACCATCATGGATCAAGATGCGAAAAAGTTGTTGAAGATTGATATAAATAACATCAACATTTACTTTTTAAACACACAACATAAATGATAAATTATTATTTTTTAATTAAATTCACTTAAATGACGTCATTTTGCTTAGAGATCGTAAATCTATCATGTCGGTCATACCGATAGTGTACACGTCGGTTTCATGGTCGACATTTGTTGAATCAGGTCTAACTAGTAGCACACGCGGTCGGCATGACAACCATAATTTATACGTAGATTCAATATAAGTTATGGTTCAAAAAATATTTTTTTCTTAAGTAAAATTAAAAAAACAACATATTATGGAAGCGTTTGTTTATAACCTCTTGAGCTTATTTAGGCAAATATTTGTGAAAAAAATAAAACATATATTGAAGCAACGCATTTTATTAAAATTTAAACTACATCTTTGTATTTTGAAAATTCTCACCACTGCTTTTCATCAGGATGGTGGGGGTAGCTTGTGAAAAAGGAAGCTTATCCCCGCTCCCACCTGCAGATGCTAGGTCAACTTGACAGATCGGAGTTATAGGAGAGTCATTATATCTAGAGATAGATCTGTCATAGCAGGAATATGTGGCACTTTAGTGCGCAGAGACATTTGGAAACTTTTCTATTTTATTGAACGAATTGAAACCGGTCCTGGAACTGCAATTAGAGGGGTGGGATTTGATATCAGATGGTTATTCATCAAGTGGATCCTTTGCCTCTTAAGTCTTACCTTAGTAGTTGGGCCTGGAAGGCGGGGTTGTTTTACTCTCTTTCAAACAGTAGACTTTTCCACCATTTTTGTTTGTGCTAGTGCCCAAAAAAATTTGAATTTCTTGCAATATGAGATTGAATCCCATAACTCTTATTTGTATTTTGCTGACACAAAATATCTGCATAAAATGGATAAAAGTGTTAGCTAGTAAAAGGGGGTCAAACCCTCAGCACATGCTTTCAGCTGCTATTGCTTTTCACTATAATAGGTTTAATAAAGATAGAGATGTCATCCCAACAAGCCTCTAGTTCCTCTTAAAAGGATTACCATCAACCTCCTAAAGTCCAGAAAGAGCTTTCTTCCCCGCCCTCCCGTTCATGAGGGAGTGTCGAGTAAATAACGAAAAATATGTTCCAACTGCTGAACAATTGTTTTCCACCAAAACGTTGCTTCATGTAACTCCCTCCCTATTATCCAAAAACAAACAAAAAATGCATATGTCGTATTATTTCCTTCTTGTATCATTGTGTAAAATGTAAAGAAGATAAATGCTAGAAATAGAAGAAACCTAACAAAGAGATAGAAGAAACCCAAAAAATTGCATTAATTGGAAATTAATTGTGTTATAATTAGAAGTTGTCCACATTGGATGAATGAAGAGCTAGTCATGTACTTATGTGGCACTAGTTTAGTTTTGAATTTCTATAATATTAAGTAAGGATTTGCTTATTGTCTTCCTCAGATGCTACACGATCTGATCTATAAAACTCAGATCATTATGATCCCATGAACTAAAGTTTTTCATGATGTAACTTTTACAACTGAAACATTTTCCTAACACAGTAAAGAGTAGACTATTTATTCAACTTTAATTAAAAAAAAAAACACCCCAACTAAATCCCAATCAACATCCAGGTACTAACGGGATTAGGTTTCCCCCTGTTTCACAGAATCACACATAAACATATCCACGTCAGTCAGCCGTCCATGTGATTGTCGTTTCCCCAGGTTTAATTAAGAACAGGAAGAAGAAAAAAAAGTATCATGGCGGAAGAGAGAGAACTGAAGAACCCTAAAACGATCCACAATGATCATCACGTGAAGAAGTTGGATGATCTTCCGGACCACGTCTTCCTTCACATTCTCTCCTTCCTCGACACCAAATCCCTTATCCGTACCAGCGCCCTGCGGAAAGGATGGCGGACCCTGTGGAAAGACACCCTTACCCTCAATTTCCACTGCAGCGACCTGCCGGGCTACATTCAACACGCAGACAACCTTCTCCTCTCCCTCCGCCGCCGTGCCGCCGCCCTACCGACCACCGTCAGGTTCTACTTCAAGGCCACGAACTCGCTGGCGGTGCTCAGCCTCGTGATGAGACACTACGACGTCGTCTTGCCGGGGCCCCAGCTTCAGGATCTGTCCGTCTATGCTCAGGTTGACGGAGCGGATTTCTTCATCATCGCGGGCCACGCCATCGGCGACCTTCTAAAAAAGTCCTCCCTCGAGACTCTCCGGCTGTCGAGATGGATTTTCCGAGCTCCGGCGTCTCCCGAGTTCATCTCGTTGACAAGATTGGAACTGAGTGCGTGCAGATTCCACGGCGGCGGCAGCGGCGGCGACGAGCAGGACGCTACTACTACTACTGCTACCACCGGTTCAGCAACTGTACATGTTTGCTTTGCGAATTTCCCGAGCCTGAAGTGCCTGAAGCTGCTCCGGTGCCGGTGGAGCGGTCGCGTCGAGGTGTGGGCGCCGCAGGTGTTGGATCTGGAGATTTGGAATCCGTCCTCTTGTTTTGAGATCGGGAAACTGTCTGCCCCAAAGGTGGAATCGTTCACGTTTTCGGGTTACGTGCCGCGGCGGTATCTGGACGATGACGACGACGATGGTGAGATCAGTTACGGCCTGCCTTCGCTCGATCGTGCTAGCCTCCGACTGGTTTGGGAGGAGCCGGGACGCTGTGATGGTCGCAAGTAGGAAAGGCTGGCTCGTGCGTTCGTGGCCTTCCTGCGTTGCGTGCGCAACGCGACGTCTCTCGACTTGCGTTTTGACAGAGTACGTAAAAGTTGAGGAACGTGTAAGAAATACGAAACTGTGCATGCTTTGGCTAAGCAAACCAACTTATGTAACTTGATTATAACATACTGACGGTTTTGTGTGTGTGTGTGTTTTTTTTATAGCGTTGCGGAAGTCTGACGGTGCCGTGGAAACAATTCGATGTTCGGCTTGGACAAATCAAGCTGTTGGCGAATAAACAACGTTGTTTTTTCCCTGTATTGAAGACCTTGAGGATTAAATATCCACAAGAATTATCAAGTCACTATTATCAAGATATCTGCTATCCTTTTGAACACTCTAATTATGTACAAGAAAAGTTTACAGCGGAATGAGGACTTTATATTTTTTTACATTACTGAATTTTGCCGGGACTAAATTGGTACTCAAATCCAATCTATCATGGATTTAACAAAAATCCATTGTTTGCTTGCACTTTTTTTGGAGACCAAATCCGTGAGGCCCACGGATATTAAGGGTCCAAATCCATGGGGCCCACAGATTTATAAATCCCACATGTTGATGTGGAATTTGGAACATGACATAAATCCTTAATGAGATTTTATCTATATACCCTCATGCACTTTTAATATTCCAAGGTTGTCCTCAAATTTAACTATTACTCATTATAATTAATCAAGTAATTAACAATAAATGAATAATATAAACATTCAATTAATGTGCAAACATGAGTTAGATTTTTTATATAATTTCTTGTGTCTAGTTTTCTTTGACCTTTTCATGGAACGTGTAATTCTTTGTTCTCCCGATTATAATATATGTTGTTATATGTTACTTTTGAAAAGGAGGACAAACAATTGGTAATTGATTATGTTACGTTAAAAGTTAAACGAAATTTTCTCGTTTATTATTATTGTCCATGTGGCAACATTATGCTTATTAGTATGTATTGTCCTTGTTTTGTGTACATATCATAAACATGCCAAACATATAGAAAAGGATAGTAAGATAATTTTGAAGTTTTGTCCTTGTTTTGTGTACATATCATAAACATGTCAAACATATAGACAAGGATAGTAATGTAATTTTGGACTTCAAGTAGTAAATCCCACACCTTTAAATCCATGATAAAAACATCTCAACAAACAAAGGATTTTTACAAATCCATGATGCCTCAAATCCTTGATAAATCCTTGGGTTTTTAAATTACAAAACCCTCGTTTTTAAATCCACGAAGCAAACGACCCTTAATTTTGCCGGGACTCTGAGGCTCTCTTAGAATTATTACTCAATTATGTAACACATTGATATGTTGATGTTGTTAGAGATAGATTATTAGGAATAATCTTATATTTCCTTGTCTTTCTAGTATAGTTCTTAGTGTCTCCGTGTCCTTCTAGTATTGTGGTTCTCTTACTTATTGTCAAAGTCTTGTAATCTATATAAACCTTTTTGTTGTTTCATAATAATAATACAAGCTACAAGTAACTATTCCTAAAACTCGTAGAGATGTAAACCTTTGCAAACCTAGTAGTCGATAGGTGAAGCTTTAAATAGGCCAATACACTCTGTTTAGCAGTCTGTTATTTCGAAGGAGCTCGGTGACCAGATAAGACTAGGAATGACAATGGGGCAGGTCCGGGGCGGGTTTCTCGATACCCATACCCGCCCCATGGCAAGTCGGGTCCAGGTCGGGTAATTTATCACGGGGGGCGGGTAGGGGTAGGTCGACCCAATGGGTGCGTAATTTATGCAAAAATCATTAAAACTATTTGTTATTTTCACTAAAAGACAAAAAAATCATAATATGATAAAATGTAGTTAAATTATTTAAGAAATTGATGTTTTCACTTATTTACAACTTTATTATAGCCAAAATATAATGTAATAAAAGAAAAATTCTAAGTAATTTTACTAAGATTACATGTAATTTACACAAGAACGAGTCGAGAATGGGGCGGGTCAGGACAGGTCGGGGCGATAAGAGGTACTCATGCCCGCCCCGCACGGCCTACGGGGTGGGTCCAACCTGTCCCAAAACAGGCCAAACAAATCGGGTAAATCGGATCAGGTCGAAATTGTCATCCCTAGATGAGACTAGGGCTGGCAATTCGGTTTCCGGTTAGCGGCTAACCGGCGGTTTTGACCAAAAACCGCGGTTAACGGCTAACCGAAAACCGACGGAAGAAGAGCTGCGGTCGGTGGTCGGCGAATGCTTTGGGTGGTCGGATAACCGCAAAACCGAAGACGGCTAACCGCGGTTAACCGCGTCACCGACCTCCACCGAAAATCTATGGATCTGACTTCCCCTCCCCAATTCAAAACAAGAAAAAATCCCCCCAATCATTCTCAAACCCTATAAATCTAACCTCTTCCTTAGCCTCCTGTCGCGCCGCGCCTCCGGCCGCGATTCTTCCATCTTCGAAGCTCCGCCTCCGGCCCCGCCGACCACCGCCGCTCCTCCTCCTTCACGCTGCGCAGCGGTCGTCGATCTCATATATTTCTCCGTCGGCTTTGTGGTGGAATTTGGAGGGTAGCAGAGGAGGCGGAGAGAAAGAGAGAAGAAGAAGAGCAGATTCGTAAAAGGTGGGAGAAGAGAGGAGAGAAGGAGAGAAGGATAAGGAAATCATGTGGAGAGGAGAGAAGGAGAAGAAGATAAGAAGAGACGTGTGGACTGGTGCTTTTCTTTCTTTCTTTTTTTATTTTTATTTTTCTTGTTCTTTTTATATTATTTCTTTTCTTCTCTCTCTTTCTTTCCTTTTTTTAATAAAGAGCCACTAAAATTTCGGTTTGACGGTTAACCGAACCCAAAACCAAAAACCGACCCATCGGTGGTCGGCTAGTCGTGACTTCCTCACGGTCGGTGGTCGGCGACAGTCAGGAGTGATTCGGTTTAACCGATAACCGAAATTTTGGTTTTCGATTAAACCGAAACCGACCAACTGACAGCCCTAGATGAGACCTAATAAAATGGGGTTAATTGCATGGTTGGTCACTGAGATTACAAAAAACGTTCATGTTTGGTCACTGAATATATTTAAATCCAATCTTGGTCACTCAAATTAGTTAAATGGTTCAAGTTTGGTCACTCTCCGTCCAACTCCGTTAAATATGTCTGATGTGGCAGTCAACCCTCAAAGTTGACCGTTAACTCGGTGACGTGGCAATTAAAAAATAATAAATAAAATAAAATTTAATCTTTTACCATTTCCAACTCATTTTCACAGTAAAGTAAAATAAAATTAAAAATTAAAAAATTATTATAATCACAATCTCTCTTCTTCCGTCATCCTCCGTCAACCCGCCGGAGCAGTTTCCACGATCATGACCATGAGCAGCAACCCCGGTCAGCAGTTCGGCGACACCACGCTGACCAAAGTCTTCGTCGGCGGGCTGGCGTGGGAAACCCCCAAGGACACGATGCGCGACCACTTTGAGAAGTACGGCGAGATCCTCGAGGCCGTCATCATCTCCGACAAGCTCACCGGCCGATCCAAGGGCTACGGCTTCGTAAATCCCCCCACTCCCAGCCTTGGCAGGCTCCTTCTTCCCACTGTCGGCGTTACTTTCCTCTTCCAACAACGGCGGGGCGGAATTCCATAACTCAATCTTCTTAGAGGCGTTCTGCTTCTTGATTTCTCCAGAGGATTTTAGCTTGCAGTTTATTGAGATCAAGGGAGGAGTGGATGGGGTTCGACAGCGGTTGCGGAAGGTGTAGAGTTGTTGCGGCTTGAATTTGAAGGTGGAGTTGACGAAGTTAGGAGAAGGCTTGAGGAAATGGAGTCTGGAGGGAGATCGGTGTACTGTTCCCGCAGGAGCCATAAGAGCCTCCATTAATGGAGCTCTGAAGCTTTTCTTCTCTGGGCGAACTGCAACCTCGCTTGAATTTGATTATAATCATTTTTTTATTTTTTTATTTTACTTTATTCTGAAAATGAGTTGGAAATGGTAGAAGATTAAAATTTATTTTATTTATTATTTTTTAATTGTCACGTCACCGAGTTAACGGTCAGCTTTGAGGGTTGACTGCAACATCAGACATATTTAACGGAGTTGGACGGAGAGTGACCAAACTTGAACCTTTTAACTAATTTGAGTGACCAAAATTGAATTTAAATATTTTCAGTGACCAAATATGAACGATTTTTGTAATCTCAGTGACCAACCATTGCAATTAACCCTAATAAAATGACAACAAGTCAACAATTATACTCAATGTTGTCGAAATTAATGCATTTATTTTTCCGGTGGTCTCAAATTGAAAGAAACGAAAACTTACAGCATCTATGGTGTAAATACCCCGCATTGACTGGAATTTTTCCAATAATAGCACCTTTAAAAAAAATTACAAAAATAGCACCTATGTAAAAGAAATTCCACTAATAGCACCTTATTTTTTGGAACGCACCCCTAAGATGCGTTTTAAATGTAAACCGCACCTTACAGATGCGATCTATAGGTAAAACGCATCAGAGGAGTGCGATCTAAAATATAAAACGCACCAGGTCGAGGCGATTCGGGGAGGACGCGTTGCGATCCACCAGATCGTCGGATTGATAGCTGATCCAACGGCTGAGCGCACGCCAGCGGAGCGATCCGCGCCTTGGATCCCAGACCGCACGCCAGCAATGCGATCCGCGCCGGTGTCAGTCAAACCGCATTGGGAGGGTGCGATCTGCGCCTGGGGAAGCGGAAAACGCATTAAGAGAATGCGATCCGCGCGGGGCAAAATTCCCAACTCGTCCCTGGAGCCTGCGATCTGAAAACTATAAATAGCCCCCCTCCCCCTCTCATTTCTTCACACCTACAACCCATTCTTCCTTCTCTCTCTAAGTTTTATCTCTCTAAACCCTCCCCCTCCCAAAAGCCTAGGAAATAGTGGTCTATTGGTTGCGGCAAAGTCCGATCTGCCATTAGAAAACATTTCTTAGGTTTTTTCCTCAAAACCCGCCGAGCCGAGCCGAAGCTCTGTCCGAATTGCGCCGAAAAAATGGCCGATTGGTGGCAAGGAGAAGGAGTTTTTGTTGATGAATTTCAAGCGGTACGTACTCATTATTCGGGTTTAATTTTTGTCTTGCTTTTTAATTAATCTATTTACTAACCTCGTTGTTATTTTCTCGTACGCTGCGGAGGACGTCGATATTTACAACCAACGGTATTATCTCGAGCAAGGACCGTTGGATCCAATTGACTTGTACGACCAACCCAACCATCGGTCAAGGGATGTTTGGAACGCTCACCCGGTACATACAATTCTTTACCATTTGTCCTTCTTTTATTTTGTTTATGTATTTAGTGAAATATAAAATAAATTTATGTTGAATTTTTAATCGTGTTGGTTGTTTTCAATAATTTAATCTGATACATTGCGCCACTTACTTCGACTCTTTATAAAGAGATGCACGTCTAAGGAAATGGGGTTTTAAGCGATTATCATATCCTCCCATTTCCTGGGAAAATCGGGTATTAAGAGATCCTCGGATCCCCCCTTTTTCTGTCAACAAGACTGCGTTTCTAAGAAGATGTATACCTCTTCTAAGAGTCTAACGAGTGTTGCTTTGTATTCGATTAAATTATTTAAAACAACCAAAACGATTAAATAATTTACCAAACAGTCCTTACGATTTAAAATTTATGTGTACAAATGGAATTTTATTAATTTCAAACAATTGAATATGTATGTTTCTCTTTAAAATATTGATTCATTAACAATGTCATTTAATTTAGTTAATTTAGTATGTTTATTTTACGATAATTAGTATGTATCTCTTTACGATAATTTAATATGTATGTATCGTATCTCTTTAAATTATTATTCATTTATAATGCTATTATGTTAATTATATGAAATGTCTAAAGTATGATAATAAAATTCTGCTTGAAGTTAAATAATTTAATTTAAGTAATTTAGTTATAAGGATTAAACCCTTACTAATATATAATAATTAACGTGTAAATTTTCTCTAGGAGGCACAAACAATAATCCGCTACAGGGGTACGACCAATGTGCTCCCATTCCACCCAGCCATCTTGCCCTTTCTCAAAAGGGCACGATTGGACTCGATTAGGCATTTTAACGGCATCAAAGTTGATCGCCAACTCATCACCGCCCTAGTTGAGAGATGGAGAAAGGAGACCCATTGCTTCAACTTGAGAGAAGGAGAGGCCACCATCACACTAAAGGATGTCGCCATCCTAACCCATCTCCCCATCGACGGCAAACCCGTGTGCGTTAGTGATCATGCCCCCGACGATGTCGACGGTATGCCCGGTTGGGTTCATTTCATCTATAGTGTTTTGGGAGTAAAAGTACCGGTGAAGGGGCATGTTGATGCGACCGATCGCTTGCCACCAATGAGGAAACACCAAGTGTCAATTACTTGGTTGACGAGGTACTTTAGAGAGCATTACGAGAGTCATCCCCTAACCGAGGAAAGTCCGGAGGATGAGATCGAGAGATATGCTCGGGTCTATCTCATTGGCATGATCGGAGGAGTGTTCTTCTCCAAAAAAGCAAGCAATCTCCTTAGTTGTGGATGGCTTAGGATCATCCTCGGTAGTTGGGAGGAGATGGGGGAGTATAGTTGGGCATCCGCTTGCCTAGCGCATATCTACAACAACTTGTGCAATGCCTCTCTAAAAGCTGTGAGGGAGGTCGGCGGCGCAATGTTCATCGTCCAATTTTGGGCTTGGGAGCATATGCCATGGCTTGCACCGGTAGAACGTCCCGACCGGGATTGGCCAATCGATCATCCCCTAAGAGGGGAAGCTTATGGAACAAGGTAAACTTCTCATACCCATCATGTTTTTTCTTGGTTGATTTTCCCTTGTGTTTTATCTTATTGTAATTTCGATTATTGTTTTATTAATAAGGTGGATCGGACACTCCACTTGTGACAACCTTGCCCAACACAAGTTGGATGAGTATCGGCGGAGGTTTGAGTGACTTTGGGAAGGAGAGGTAACTTCTATACTCCGATCTATTTATACCTTTTTGCCATTGAGACATGTATTTTTCCAATTCTAACTATCTTAATTTACTCATTTTGCGCGTGTAGATCATCTTCGATCCATACCCGGAGAACATCGTGCAATGGCATCTCCAGCAATTCCCCGAGCATATCGGCCAATGGTGCACGAGGGTCCCACTCATTTGTTTTGGGATTGTGGAGTGGCACTTGCCGGATCGATGCCTCCGTCAGTTTGGTCGGGAGCAGTGCATTCCATTGGCCGTCCCCGAAAGTCAAAAGGCCTTCCATGGTCGAGATGGGCGGCAAGGTACTCGAGATTGGCCCTTTAAGCACAGGGAATACATCGCCATGTGGGCGGAACGACAATCGCAAGATATTGTCACTCCATCAGCAGTGGGTCGAATGGGGTATCATGACCCGTACTTGGATCGCTATCGGCAAACATCGGTCCGTTACATGACTCCGGAGGGTGCTGCCGATGGTGCATTAGTAAGTATATTCGACTCTACATAATTAAATGTATTGTTTTTGTTCCTAAATTGTTTCATAACTTATTGTTTTGTGATTTAGACTGACGGGATTGAGCGGATTAAAGACATTACCACCGGGAGGTCGCAGCTGGGAAATGAAGATGTGAGCTTCATCAGGAAGATGGAAAACAGTCTTCTCGGATGTATCAGAGCTCAAGGGAGGGATCATCGTAGATATCCGCCCATGCCCGCACCCCCGCCACCTCCGGTACAAGTGGATGTCTCCGATCCCCCACCACCATACGAGAGGAAGCCAAGCAAGAGGGTTCGGGAAAGGCCCATCGAGCCCGAAGTCACGCCATATCCCGGGTGGAAAGTACCGCCTCCATTGGTTGTTCCCCAAGGTGTCGGCCCGAGATCCCCCCAAGTCGGCGGCCCGAGTTCTCCCCAAGTTGGCGGCCCGAGTTCACCCCAAGGCGCCGGCCAGAGTTCCAGCCAAACTGGCCACCAAGGCTCGTACTACGATCCTCGGGCGACATACCATCAAGGTGCTCCGATTCCCACCCCGATCTCATACAACGATCCCCGTCAAGGATCGTACTACGAGTATCGCCCGATCTACCCCCCATCTCCCCGCCAAGGAGGTTACCACGATTACCGCCCGGTCTACCCACCATCTCCCCGTCAAGGAGGTTACTACGACTACCGCCCGGTCTACCCACCATCTCCCCGCCATACATCATCTGGTACTTGGCATGATGGTTCCTCTGCGACGGCACACCACGATTTTACGCCATGGGGTCGCCCTCCGACTACCCACCGAGCTTCCGTGGATGTCCCCCGCTCAACCCCGGAAGTGCCGATTCCCCGCCGACATAGCACCGACGACCGCCAGAGTGGAGTCGGTTGACGAACCATGCATTCGTTTTCCAAAAAGTCATCTCGACAATGGCAGAGATTGGCAGTGCACGAACGGCCTTGTAGACAGAGTTGATACTCTCACCTGAGTTCGTTGTGGCAATACCCCATCTTGTCCCTCCATCTTTATGAAATGTCCACATGGATAGGTCATGTCCAGTGCACCACTGTGCCCCTTCAGGGCATAACTCGCGCAATTTCTGCATCTTCTCCAGATATTTTTTCTCTTGATAGGCAACCGCTGAGGAAGACACAGAAAAGAATCAAAGTTAGTCAAATTTTGGCAATTTAGCACAATTTCGAACAACCCGAAAGTACTCTCGTTATACTCTTAGGAGAGGTATACATCCCCTTAGAAACACAGCCTGTTTGACAGAAAAGGGGGGATCCGAAGATCGCTTAAAACCCGATTTTCCCAGGAAATGGGAGGATCATGATAATCGCTTAAACCCCCATTTCCTTAGGCATGCATCACTTTAGAAAGAGTCTAACCAGAGCACGTATCGCCAAAAGTACTAAGATATTGTAATTGGAACTAAATTATACATCTAATTACAAACTGACCAATCCACCACAAATTATCAGCAAGCTTCTTCCGCTTGAAATGATGGTTCCAGTTGCTCTTGAAGTGTCGTATGCACCACCTTTGGGACCACTTCCACGCTGGATCTAAACCTAAGATGGCAGCTATGATGCCGGCGTGCCGATCAGAGATTATTGTAAGGTTCGTCCTCCTAGTACAATGGATCTGAATTTGCCGAAAGAACCATCCATAGCTATCAGCATTCTCTCCCTCGACGATGGCGAAGGCTAAAGGAAAGACTTGTCTGTTTGCATCCGCCCCACTGGCAATCAGGAGAGTGCCCTTGTACTTGCCGGTAAGGAATGTTCCATCCACTTGGATGACAGGGACACAGAAGCCAAAACCATCAATACATGGCTTGAATGCCCAGAAAAGTCTTCTGAAATGGCGCTTGTTACCTGGCTCTGGGGGTTGTATCTCTTCATCTTGGTATCGAGGGGAGAAAACCGTGCCAGGGTTAGACGCCTCCAATGCCAAAATTAACCTGGGAAGGAATGCATATGATTCTTCCCAATCACCAAAGACGGCGGCCAGAGCTTTCTGCTTTCCATGCCACGCCTTCTTATAGTTAATCATATAACCATAACGACTTGCAATGTCAGCGATTATGACTTTCACCTTTAGGTCTGGCTCTTGCTCAATTAGATGCTTGATAGCCGCAGCAACCACCCTGGATTTCAACTGTCGATGGCCTTGGGAAGTTATGGATGACACACATGTGTGTGTGTTCACCGCACGGGATATGACCCAGCAACCGTGTCTCTTGCTGTTGATGGCCCGAATCCTAACATTGCACCCCTCGTGATGATTACGGCATCTGACTAAGAGCCTTTTAGTGTTTGAATGAGTTGTGACCCATTCAAAATGCCGAGTCATTGCTTCTGTCTCAATGGCGTGACGCACATCCTTCTTCGAGCCAAATTGTTGGCCCTTCATAAACCCAGTGAGTGGACCCCATATTGGGACCTCTGGCGGCTCCATGTCGCTGTCGACCATCCAATTGTCGTCTGGAATGTGATTGTAGTAGGGGACTGGTACACGGTCACGAGCCCCCTCATCATCATTAGCTGAGTCTGACTCTGGTCCGGAATCATCGGCACCTTCAAGAGGGTCGGAGCTGTCTGCACTGACGTTGATCTCTCCTTCTTCGTCGGATGGGTCACTGACTGGTGCTGGCATGACATCCTCCATCTGATCCAGCTCATGAAAGGCACCTTCATCAGCTCCATAATGGTAGTTGTGAAAACTACCGCTGCCTGAGAGGAAGTTGTACTGAGGTTGGTTGGGCCGGTCCGGTTGAACTTCTTCTTCATATGATTGATGATGACCTTCACCTTGCTCTTGGTACTGAAAATATGAATGAGGATCATGGTAACTTTGGTAGGGATGATCGCCATATAATTCACCTCCACCATGGGTACCAGATGTTTGACCGTGTCCAGCATGACCTCCAACGCCTACGACCGGCTCGGTGTAAACGAACATCTCGGCTTTGGAAAGATTGTTGGACCTCATGAATTCGAGCATGACGTCTACCTCATCCTGAGTGGTTATGAGATATTCCTCATGCCACAATGACCCACTTTCTCTGTTTGGATATCGGTACACCATACGATCAACTTTTCTCGTGCCATCCATGCAAGTAACGTTAGTGCACATTTGATGGAGGTCTTCGAGCAGCGGTCTGGTAGCGACCTTTATCTTCTGAAAATTGCCACCTACGTAGGTGGCACCCTTTCCGGTCTCTTCCGTGTAACCATTCCACCGTAAGCCAAGCGTGAACTTTTGGAATGCCATCTGCGATAAAACCGTAGTTAAGTTAATATCATAAAAATCAAAAATAAAAATTAACAATACAAAGTAATACTAAATCAACTTACGAATTAACGTTAATCACAAAACTACTAAAGAAATATGTAATACTAAATCAACTTACGAGTTAACGTTAATCACAAAACTACTAAAGAAATATGTAATACTTAATCAACTTACGAGTTAACGTTAATCGCAAAACTACTAAAGAAATATAGAGCTACATCAACTTGCGAGTTAACGTTAATCGCAAAACTACTAAAGAAATATGTAATACTAAATCAACTTACGAGTTAACGTTAATCGCAAAACTACTAAAGAAATATAGAGCTACAACAGAAAATTGAACAGGGAAGTGAGAAGGAGAGGTGTGAAGAGAAATGGTTGTCCAGGAGGCCTTTTATAGGCAAAATCTTGATGAAAACCGCACCTTAGAGATGCGATTTTCGTCTGCCATGCAGGCCCATACAGACCCACGTCTGTAACTTCTGCATGCATGTCGGAAATTAATTGACCAAAACCGCACCTTTAAGGTGCGGTTTGCATGTTAAAATCGCATCCTCATGGTGCGATTTTGTCTGCCAGAAACAGATCGCACCCCAGGCATGCGATTTAACTAGGGCTGGCTCTAAATCGCACCTGGGCCATGCGATTTTAGTAGGTCAGACCTAAATCGCATTTTGGCCATGCGATTTTACTAGGTCAGACCAAAAATCGCTTGGCTAAGGTGCGATTTGATTCCAGATTTTTGGAACGCACTTGTAGGGTGCGATCTACTTATAAAACGCACTTGTAGGGTGCGATTTATATGTAAAACGCATCTACAAGGTGCGTTCTATTAAAAATGGTGCTATTAGTGGAATTTTTTTTACATTGGTGCTATTTTTGTAATTTTTTTATTAAAAGGTGCTATTTCTGGAAAAATTCCGCATTGACTGACCTTATCTTTTTACACTCTTCTCTAACTACCATGAGTTCAGTCCAATCACCCGCAGTCTCGCCGGCAGAACTACAGATATGGTGGAAAAGAGCAAGAATCTGTTCATCGGAGGCACCGGCTACATCGGAAAATACTTGGTCGAGGCCAGCGCCCAATCTGGTCACCCTACTTTCCTTCTCGTCAGAGAATCCACTCTCTCTAACCCCGAGAAATCAACCGTCATCGGCAAATTCAAGACCCTTGGCGTCCGTTTCCTCACCGTGAGTTCAAATTCCAGTCTCCGCGATGCTCATTCCACAAGTTTTGACTCTGTTTCCGCGTGGTATCTGACAAGTTTTCCCATTTGATGTGGGCTGCAGGGCGATCTCTACGATCACGAGAGCTTGGTCAAGGCGATCAGGCAAGTGGATGTGGTGATTTCTACTGTGGGTTACGCCCAGCTGCTCGATCAAGTCAGGATAATCTCCGCTATCAAAGAAGCAGGAAACATCAAGGTCGATCATCATTATCATAGTTCGATCATCACTCTGTATTTTTCTTCTGTTTTGAATCCTCATCATCGTGCATGCTATGTGTTCGACGTTTTGTCTCTGAGAAACAAATACGGATGAAGAACTTCCCAAACTTGGTGTTCTTTCTTTGACCCAGAGATTCTTGCCGTCGGAGTTCGGCAGCGATGTGGATCATGTCAACGCTGTGGAGCCAGCTAAAACTGCATTCGCCAGCAAGGCTAAAGTGCGTCGGGCTATTGAGTCCGAAGGCATTCCTTTCACCTACGTATCCTCCAACCTTTTCAATGGTATCTTTCTCACCACATTGACCCAGCTCGGAACCACAGCTCCACCGCGAGATAAAGTTGTTATCTTCGGAGATGGAAACCCTAAAGGTAAACACCCAACAAATGCATCTGCCGGCTAAGCCAGCAAGTAAACTGGAATTCTTGCACTTTGACTGATGATGCCAATTTAAGAATGTGGTGTCATTCACTGTTCTGGCCTGTTGTGTAGAGAACTAGCTTCATCTCCGTAACTTGAACTTTTCAGAATAGAGATGTAACGATCTGATGTTTCGATGAGCAGCAATTTTTAATACGGAGGAAGAAATTGGAACCTACACCATCAAAGCAGTGGATGATCCAAGAACCTTGAACAAGATTCTGTACGTAAGACCACCAGGCAACACGATCTCCCTAAACGATCTCGTGTCCTTGTGGGAGAAGAAGATTGGACACACCCTTGAAAGGGTTTACATCTCAGAGGAACAGCTCCTGAAGAACATTCAAGGTGAATATATTCTTCTTTCAAGTACTTCTGAGCATGATGTAGCTCGATTTAATGCCTTGGTGGCTGTCTCTCAAATTCTTTCTTAACTTGTCTGCAGAGTCTGCACCTCCTATGGATGTGGTATTATCAATTCGCCACTCGGTGTTCGTGAAGGGAGATCAAACCAACTTCGAAGTCGAACCTTCATTTGGAGTAGAAGCCTCTGAGCTTTACCCCGACGTCAAATACACCACCGTGGATGAGTACCTTAACAAACTTGTCTGATTGCACTGAAATCAAGCAGCAGCCGCTGCTACCCGTAAGTGGTAGAAAGCTTTCAGTTCAAGTTGCTGATTAGGTTTCCGTTTTCCATGGTATGTATGCACATGTGTATATCAATCATGTCAAACAGCCCGTCTTCTATATCGAGCCTTGATAACTATTTGGGGTTTCTGAACTTGCATATCATTTATTGTTTTCTTTTACTGATTCATATTTTGTTATTATTTTAGAACTATCAATGTGTTATTATAATTCATTGTTCTACTCGGATTGGAGTTTTGTTTTACTTTTAGTTTGGGAATTGTTATGGTTTTCTTGTGAGAATAGTAGTAATATTTTTCTAACATATCAATATGTATTCGTTTTATAGTTAATGCATGAGAAGAGCCTTGTTTCTTTCGTTCATTATCAAAAAAGTTCGTATTACTTTGCGAGCATGAAAAATTTCAGTGCGTAATATTGCCGTTTTAGGTTTAATGGTTGTTACTTGTTACGGCGGAAGAGAAGGAATCGGCCCAAAATGAGTCACCATGATCGTGATCATGCTGCTGTAGAAGAACAAGATACGATCGACAGAGTGAACATGATTGATCATCTTCCCGAGCAAGTTCTCTTCCACATTCTCTCCTTTCTCGACACCAAATCCCTTGTTCGAACCAGCTTCCTGTGCAAAAGATGGAAGACCTTGTGGAAAGACACCCCTGCTCTCAATTTCTCTTGCAGCGATCAGCCTAGTAGCAGAGTACACGTAGAAAAACTTCTTCTGTCTCTCAGCTCCGACCAAAAGAAGACTCTCAGGACTCTCAGGCAGGTGAGGTCTGTGGTTCCATGGTTCATCTGCGTTTCCCGGGTTCAGTTCGTTGACGACTTTGGAATTGAGTGAGTGCTTCTTCTACGGTTCCTATGTCAATCCAACGACAAGAATAGGTTCTGCAATTTTACTTCATTTAGCGGATGTTCCTGGTCTGAAGCGCTTGAAGCTGCTCCGTTGCAAGGCGGTGGATCCCATAATAGTGTCACTGCCCCAGGTGCTGGACCTGGAGATTTGGAATCCATACATCTGGCCGAGTTTCAGGGTCGAGATATTGTTGGCTCCAAAGATCGAATCGTTTACGTTCTCGGGTCTCCTGGAAGACCTGTACGGCCGGAGAGAAGGCTGTTATGGCCTCTCTTCATCACTTGATCATGCTAGCATCCGCCTCGACTGGATGGAGCCTGGGGACAGTAATGTTGGGAAGATGGAGAGGCTGGATCGTGCATTCGTGTCCTTATTCCGTGGCCTGTACAATGCAAAGTCTCTTAGCTTGTATTTTGACAAGGTACGTACTACGTAGGTACCCTAATTTTGGTGAATTTTGGAAATGCATACGATGCCTGTTTTTTTTTAAATTCAGCTCCTAAAGAAAACAAACTTACTAAAGTGATTCACATTCGTGTGGTTTTTATTGTGAAGGGGCTAGGAAGACAAGCTTAGCAAAATAAAGTCCTTAATGGTGAACAAAGATTCTCCATTCAGTGCATTGAAAATCTTGAGGATTCAATATCCACGAGGATTGGCGAGTATGGGCTATCAAGTGATTTGTTATCGTCTTGAAGATGGTGGTTACTTTGAAGAAAATCGATAGTCACATGTCGAAAATTTGTTGGAACAAAAAGAATTTCGTATATTAATCAAGTTTGCGACAAATTGTATCTTATGTTGCACGGGTCATTGTTACACAAAAGTCAGAATATTAGGTAGTGAAATGTAATAGTTTTGGTTGACAGGCCTCTTGCCAACAACATGAAGTCGTCTTGAAAAACACCTATTTTCCTCAAATTCAAACATTAAGTTACAAAAATGTGACATTTATCTCTCACGATGAATCACTCTATCGTTGGATGATCAAACGTCTTACGACGAACAATGAATGCTGAAATATTTTGATGACCAACATATTCATTGTTGAAATGAGGTCTTTGGCTACAACTTCAATTGTTTCATATCCTCTAAAACTTTTTGCGACAGCATTATTCGTCGCCGAAAGTATTCATCATTCTTTCGTCCTCCCCAAAACAGCTAACATTATATGTACGACAAATCAACACTCGTTGTATTATTTTTTGTAAATGGTCATTTTGCTTGTAGTTTGCTAATTCAAAGAAGAGGGGGAAATCAACAAGTCCACCAGAACTTAAACCCAAATGTCAAGGATAAAAACTCTAATCCGATATGGTATCGCTAGATTGTGGTTACATTGAAGAAAAATCTGTAATTAATGGTACGACAAAAGATTTGTTGAAACAAAATTGCATACTGTATTGAGTTTGATATGCCTTTTTACTTTGCATGCACGTCACACCATTGATTGTTACACATGAATTGAATGAGCATGCCAAATATTCTCGTACATTGTTTACATTAGCTATTAATTCAGCCTCAAACATTTTTCAACATATCTGGTAATGAAGGTGTGCATTATGATTTTGTAGCACCCATGCGTGTCATTTCCTAAATCACATTTCCATCAATGGGCCATTGTATAGATGATATTGAGCAGCTTCAGATAATTGTCTTTAGTTTTCAATTTTAGACGACGGTCACGGTCTCCAGAGATTGCGTAATTTTTTGCTTGTAATTGTTATCCTATATTTTTTTCCGCAATGTTAATTTGGTATGTTGAATCTCTACTCGTTCCTTTCAAACCCAACTTAGATTGATCGAATTATTGTGACATCTGATTATGAACACAAAATCTTATTGAAAAAAATAACAATACAGTCCGCTGGTGAAGGTGTTATCAAACCGTCTGCTAAGCAATTTGTTGTCGCTGGTAATGTGGCAAAAAAATAATCGAAGTACTTATGACCAATTACTCAATTAGATGGTTGGAGCGAGTTTACAATCTGTGGTCTGGTCATAGATTGTCCCCCATTACCATTAGGAATACACGCCCGCAATAATAACTAAACCCATGGACCAGGTTTTGGGGTTTGAGAAACAAGAGCAAGCCCACAGAGAGAGCCCAGCCCAGTCAACTCCCCAAAGGACATAACCGTAAATGCGCGGTCAAACTCCTTGACTTCCATATTTCTTAAACCCTCTTCTACGGCTATTTATATGCCCTCCTCTCTCCGGACAAAAAGCACAGCAGCAGCAGAGCATTGCAATAAGCAGCAAATTCAGCTTTAAAAAAAAAAAAAAAAACCCAACCAAGTCGTCGGAAAGCAGCAATGGCGGAGCAGAAGACGAAGATTCTAATCATCGGAGGGACGGGGTACATAGGGAAGTACATAGTGGAAGCTAGCGCCAACGCCGGCCACCCTACCTACGCTCTCGTTCGCCGCTCCACTCTCACTAGCCCCACAAAATCCAACACCATCGACTCCTTCAACAAGCTTGGCGTCAAGCTCCTCATCGTACCGTTTCTTTCTCCCGCCGGCGGCGGCAATTTCCAATTTCGCGTTTTCCCTAATTGATTGGATTTGGGATTAATTAATGTAATGAGGGGTTTTTTTTTAATTTCCTGGTGGCAGGGTGATCTGAATGATCACGAGAATCTGGTGAAGGCTCTGAAGCTGGTGGACGTCGTGATCTCGACTGTCGGCCAGGACCAGCTGGCTGATCAAAACAAGATCATCTCCGCCATTAAAGAAGCTGGAAACATTAAGGTAATCAATACTCACTCGCGCCGGTTGTTAAATCACTCTGTAGCAGAGGAATTCCTCTGTTCCTCTGTTCTTCTTTTAATTCTCTCTGTTACTCTGTTCTTCCTTTAATTCTCTTTGTTACTCTGTTCTTCTTCTAATTCTCATTTCTAATTCTACAATACCGTTACTCATTGTGGAGAGGTTCTTCCCGTCGGAATTCGGGAACGATGTGGACCGCGTGCACGCGGTGGAGCCGGCGAGAACTGCATTCGCGACCAAAGCGAGCATCCGGCGAGCGGTGGAGGCGGCGGGGATACCGTACACCTATGTGTCAGCCAACTTCTTTGCGGGTTACTTCCTCCCGACCTTGAACCAGCCTGGAGTCACCGCTCCGCCGCGGGATAAAGTCGTCATCTTCGGCGATGGAACCCCCAAAGGTACGTTTTTTTTCTTCTTTTCTTCTACCATCGTTTCTAAATGGCAGGGGAACTAAAATGGGATCAGGGTTTTGATTAATTTGGTGTGCGAGCGAGCAGCAATCTTTAACAAGGAAGAGGATATTGGGGGGTTCACCATCAAAGCTGTGATTGACCCGAGGACCTTGAACAAGATCGTGTACATTAGGCCGCCGGCCAATACGATCTGCTTCAACGATCTTGTTACCTTGTGGGAGAAGAAGATCGGCAAGAAGCTGGAGAGGATCTACATTACGGAAGAACAGCTTCTCGAGAACATCCGAGGTAATTAATCGAGTTTCTGTGTCTTGTGTATGTGTATGTGTATGTTTGTTTGAAGTTTTGGTTACTTGGTGATCAAGTTTCTGTGTATAACTATGTTTGCTTGATACAGAGTCTGCACCGCCGCTGAATGTGATACTGGCAATCGGGCACTCGGTTTTTGTGAAGGGAGACCATACCAACTTCGAGATAGAGCCTTCGTTTGGAGTTGAAGCGTCGGAGCTTTACCCTGATGTCGAGTACACGACTGTGGATGAGTATCTTACCCAGTTTGTCTAAATTTTTTTGTGGTGTCTGTGTATTATGGTAACTGGGAAAAACTACATAAAGATAGCTTTTTAGCTTGATATGATGATGAAATAGTAACACTACACTACCTAACCTACCTTGAATTGCCTTTCTATGGAAGTTCCAAAATTTCTTGTATGATGCTCCATTGTACTAGTTGTTTCGGTTGGAGAAAGTTTATGAGCCCTTGTATGTAAGCCTGTTGTATTGTGTTTGTTGGATTATGAATTTCGGTTTGGGTCTTTGGTTCTTCTGTGGCCAAACGTCGACGTTCCCTTCTTTCTTCATTGTGAACAGATCAAGGGAAACGGTAACGTTGTGAACTCACACTTGGCTGAAGACAGAACGCCACTGTTTCATTCTCATATTCACATCAATGATTTGTTGGTCGACTTCCCTTTCCCTTGCAGCATCAGCAGCTCTTTGTTCTTCAGGCCATTGCTTGTGCAGGCTGCTGCTGCTTTATCTGGATTGATCATGTTCTCCATTAGCCCTCCACAAGCTGGCGAGTATCGTCCTGATACTCCCATCTTGCTCATGAGAAAATTGAACCTGTCAATGCCTAGGCTCTTGGTAAAAACATCTGCCAACTGATGAGTAGTAGAAGTATGATGTAAATCTATCAAACCACTTTGTAAACGCTCCCTGATCACGTGACAGTCAACCTTTATATGTTTGGTTCGTTCATGGAACACTGGGTTCCTTGCAATGTGTATAGCAGACTGACTATCACTGAAAACAACAGCTGAATGTGAATGAGCAATCCCAAAATCTGAGAGAAACCTTACCGGCTTTGTATTTCACAACTCAGAAGAGTCAATGCCCTGTATTCAGCTTCTGAGGATGATCTAGAGACTGTGCTTTGTTTTTTTGCCTTCCAACTTTTCAAGCTAGTTCCCCGGAAAACAGAGAAACCTGTTAGAGATCTCCTAGTGTCAGGACAAGTGGCCCAATTTGAGTCGATGTATCCTGTCAGTTGAATGGTTGCCTTGCTAGAATAGAACACACCCTGCCCTGGTGAGTTCCTTAGGTACCTGAAAACCCTGTGTAATGCCTTGAGGTGCACAGTTGTAGGAGAATCCTGAAATTGACACAATTGTTGGACTGCAAACGTGATATATGGTCTTGTGTTGTTAAGATACTGCAATTGTCCAAGTAAATGTTTGAAATGTCTACAATTAAATGCAATATTTCCTTAGTGAAACATGGATCCCTACTACTGTTTTGTTTATTTCTAGTCCAAGGAAGTATTTCATCTCCCCTAGATTCTTCATTTTGAACAATGAACCCAGCAACTGTTTCACTGAATTGACAGCTTCAAGACTTGGACTACCAACCAGTATATCATCCACATATACAATCACAACCACAAAGTTTCCTGCAATCTCAGTAAGGAAGATTGAGTAATCTGCCTTTGATTGTTTGAAGCAATTGGCAAGTAGGGACTCTATTAACTTGGCATACCACATCCTACTTGCTTGCTTCAAACCATAAAGTGACTTCTTAAGCTTACAAACCTTCCCTTTGTATTCTGGCTTCTCCCTTAAACCTTCTGGTAGTTCCATATAAACAACATCCTCCAAATCACCATTAAAAAAAGCATTATTAACATCCATTTGGTGTAGATGCCAATTCTGGATGGAAGCAATTGCTAGTAGCATTTTGACAGAGGTAAGTTTAGCTACTAGAGAGAAAGTATCACAGTAGTCTATTCCATAGATTTGCGTGTACCCTTTTGCCACAACTCTTGCCTTGAACCTAGGGGTAGGCATTCGGTCAGTTCGGTTTCGACCGAACTGAAATTATGAATATCGGGTCTATGAATTCTCCCAAACCTCAAACCGAATTTGAATAGAATTATAATTCGGTTCGGTCGGTTTAAACCGAATTATAATTCGGTTCGGTTTAGTTTTTCACACAAAACCGATTTTTTGAAGCTACTTGTATTTTCTCACTTTTAAATTATTTTTCATCCTAATATAAACAATAAATATGCAATTATATGCATCATCAATGATAAAATCAAACTTTTCAACACATAAATCATAAAACATTTCAAATATTTAAGTCTAAAAACAACTACAAACATAAAAATACACCATTTGGAGCTTGTAATTATAGTATTTCAATTTTTCGGTCGGAAATTCGGTTCGATTGAAAGAACTCGAATTTCCGAACTATCCATATTTTCCTTCCGAATTCCGAACTGAATAGCATTAATTCGGTTTTGGTTTAATTCGATTTCGGTTCGAGTTTCCCGAACCATAGGGGTGGTAATCGGTCAGTATCCGGTATACCGGATACCGAGTTACCGGTATTCGGTATACCGGCAATTGAATTTTGTCGCCGAATACCGATACCGAAAGTTATCCAGTATACCGGATACCGGATAGTCGATTACCGGTATTCTAACCGGTATACCGGATACCGGATTCATGATCGTGGATTGGAGAATGGATGTGTAAGAGGCGTCGCCGAGAGTGTAGGTGAGGTGAGAAATTGATGGGGCATGGGTTTTGGAGGAGTGATCATCCGTGAAAAACCCATGTCACTGGAGCATTGTACATCCCCGTTAGCCCCATGCATCCAAACCCCAACTTCGACACCTAAGAATTCAGAAAACCCATGTCAAAATTTTGTTCTCCCGCAGTCAACAATCATCAATACGTACCATCAATTGATTATAAAGTTTCTACAAAAATAAAATGATATTGAAGCAGCGATTATGACTCAGAACGATCGAAAAGGAAGAAAGGAAATTGCAGAAGTGGGTTGCAACTGGGCATACCTCTAGACCTTGGGTACCTAGTTTCACTCTGGGAATCTCAACCCCATGATTTCCTTGAGACATTTATTTCTAGAATTCCTTGGTCTCGCTCCCTCTTGGCTTTGTTTGAGCTTCTACTAAGTGAGAGGATCCCTGTGAATATAATCAACCTATATACAACAACCAATATGGAATAGCTTCAAAGAAACAAAGATGGACTGGAGATGAAAAAAAATACAGAGATGGAGCCACATAAACCAGCTGACTGTACGGTGAAATTGGGATTCTAGATGAAAAGAGTTGGAACAAAACCATAACATCATAATCAATGGCTAAAATAAGTGTCGATGAAGTAAATCTCCTGCGGAAGAAAGAGACCAAACTTCTCCAAAAATTTAACATGAATGTATAATTGAATAGCCAGCAGCTCCCACACCCTCCCCCCTGCGCTGTGTTTTGCTTTTTTTTTAATACTCGGTATTACGGTTACCGGTATACCATCGGTATTTACCGGCTATTATCAGGTATTACCGAATGAAAAATTATACGTCCGAATATCGATACCGCCGGTATTCGGTTTACCGATTAGCACTCCTATTTGCCCACCCCTATTTGAACCTCCCAATGGTTCCATTTGGCAGAAATTTGACTTTGTACACCCATTTGTTACCAATTGGCTTAACACCCTCGGGTAAGTTAGTGATCTCCCAAGTGTTGTTCTCATAGAGGGCTTTAATCTCCTCTGTCATTGTTGCATTCCATCTAGGTCAAGTGCTACTTCAGCATAGGAGGTTGGCTCAACAACAGCAGCAATGGTGAGTGCAAAATGTTGCTGGTGAGGAGTAAGATGCAGCAAATCAAAAGGTATTGGCTTGGGAGAGCCACTGACTTGCATGCTACTAACATAGAAGTCATCAAATTTCCTTGGAAACACACTGTGCCAAGTGGACTTTCTAGGTAGCTCTACTGGTGGTGAAGAATGGTGAGGAGAATGAGGGGTGAAGTTTGGTGATGGAGACTTTGAAGCAAATCTAGAGGCAGACCTGGAAGGTGATGCAGCAGGAGAGGGAACTGGTGAAGGTGAAGTGTGAGGGGTTGGTGTAGCAGGTGAAGGAGAAAACCCTGCTAACTCAATGTTGAGGTTCAGAACGAATTGAATCCTCTGGGCTGGAAGAAGATATGGGAACATAGAAGAGATTGGAGTCACTCTCTGCTGTTCCAGATTCTGGGAGTGCATTAGGATGCTTGTAAGGCAGGATATCTTCATAGAAGATAACATCCCTATTTATAAAAACTCTCTTAGAGTCCTTTTATGCCAGCAAGCAAGCAAGCAATCCTTTTATGCCAGCAAGCAATCCTAGAAAAACACACTGATTAGCTCTAGGATCAAACTTATGTTTATGACCTTCAACCACAGTGGCATAGGCCAAACAACCAAAAACCTTTAAACTCATGTAACCTGGGGGCACTTAGTGTAACATTTCAAAAGGGGTTTTGTGGTTCAAGACAGGAGTAGGTGTTCTATTTATAAAGTAGGCAGCATGGAGTACAAAGTCACTCCAGACCAGATTGAAGTTTAAGGGATCTGGCTACATTCAAAAGGTGTTGGTGTTTGCATTCTACTCTACCATTTTGTTGCGCTGTGTAAACATAGTTCATCTCATGGACAATACCATGAGAACTGTAGAACTCTGACATGTGAAACTCTTTACCCTGATCTGAACAGATGGTTTTAATGGGGACATCAAACTGTGTGTGCACCATGGTGCAAAAGGACTGTAAAATTGGTCTGCCTTCTGCCTTTGATTTCAAAATAAAATCTCACACAACTCTACTGTAATCATCTACTACAGTGAGAAAATAAGAATAATCATCTCTGGAAATGCAATTAAGTGGCCCCCAAATATCTGTGTGAATGAGTTCAAACATTTGAGAAGAAACACAAGTGCTAAGAGGGAAAGGAAGCCTCTTTTGTTTAGCCAAATGACAAACTTCACAGTGATGTTTTGAAGGTAAAACAATATCATTACATGTCTGTTTAATCTATTTCATTCTAGACAAAGAAGGGTGTCCTAGTCTGGCATGCCAGATATTGAAATCTTGATTGTGAAAATTGAAAACTCCTGCTGCAAAACTCTGTTGGTCTCTATGGGAAGCAAACTCCTGACTGTTGTACTCTGTAAACAGGTAATGACCTCTATCCACTAGGGTTAAACCAATCCTCCTCCGAGTAATAAGGTCCTGAATGACACAGAAATTTGATTTAAAAACTAAGGAGACTGGATGATTGGTGGTAACCTTACTTACGGAAACCAAATTGTAAGTAAAGGAAGGAACAAAAAGAACTTGAGCGAGAAACAGTCCATAAGGCAAAGTGATTATCCCAATGTGTGTTGCTGGGACCTTTTGCCCATTTGGCAAGCTAATGAAAACCTTATCAACAGGTTTACTTTTAAGAAAGAAACTTTGATCACAAGTTATGTGATTTGTAGCACCAATATCCAAAATCCAAACTCTCCTATGAAGGAAGTGTGAATTAGTAGGTAAGGTGTTGTTACCTGAAGAACTTGCAGCAAAATGTGGAACAGGAGGTGATGATCTAGTGACCAAATTAGCAGTGGATTGGTTCACAGAAGGAGACCTCATCACCACTGCAGCATTGTGTTGTACATGTGTTAAGCTAGATGGAGAGGATGAAGGAGAAGGTGACTTCATCAGAATGGCTCTCAGCTTATCAAGTTGATCAACTGTCAGAAGATTTATAAGGTTAACTTCTCCTTCTGATCTCCCTCCTGAACCTGAATTGGATCCTCCTATGTCACTCATGTGGCTGTCCACAGAGCCATCAAAAGGGGTACCTTCTTCCCTAAACTGCTTGTTCTTCAGCCTATAACACTCTTGGATAGTGTGGTTCTCCTTTTTAAAGTACTTACACCATTTGTTTCCTTCAGTTGTGTAATCTCTTGGATTTCTTGCTCCTTGACTCCTTGGCTGCTTGGATTGGTTACCACCAACTAGCAAGGCAATTGACTCCACTCTTCCTTTGTTTGGATTCAACCCTTTCATCTGTCTCTCCAGTTGTGCCATCTGCTTGAACACAGACTCAATTCTAGGAAGATGTGTATTCATGAGAACTTGTGTTCTTGCCGCCTGGTAAGTATCATTAAGCCCTTGCATGAACTTAATGATCGGATCCTCTTCGTGGTACTTTTGAATTGCATAGTATGGGCTGTTAGGACAAGGTCAGCAAGCAATAGGTCTATGCATATTATACTCTTGCCACTTTGTAGTCAAGGTTGTGTAATACTGAGTCACACTCAGATCTCCTTGTACTAGCTTTGAGATCTGCTCTTTTCGGTCATATACCCTAATGAAATCATCCTGACTAAACCTTTCCTTAAAATTATCTCATACATCCTTAGCTACCTTATAAGGTACTACACTGTTGGCTATGTCATCTGACAGAGAATTGTAGATCCAGCACTAACTGTGCTATCACACCTATGCCAAGATGGCCAAATAGGATCCCCTACTTCAGGAACTGGTATCATCCTATTCACGAATTGAAGTTTGTTCTTGGTATTAAGAGCTCGTTCCATTACCTGACTCCATATGTTGTAATTTTGATCTGTGGCCTTCATTGTGATGATGGTGGTCAGTCCTCCATCATGTGCTGGAAGGTAGTAAGGGTTGAGGTATGGATCTTCATACCTCGACACCAAAGATTGACCCATCTGTTGTTGATTCCCCTGTTTGGTATTGTTGTTATTTTTTGAGGCCGTCTTATCTCCCTGATCTCCTGCAAATCCAGTCTGACCAGAAGCTTGAGCAGACATTGTAAAGATTGAAGAAGGCTAGGTGATAACTCTAGCAAAATGGAAGAAAAACGAGTTCTGATTATGGGTAACCAAACTCTAATACCATAAGAAGAAAATAGATCTGCTAGGGTTTTGGTGAAGAGAGTTCAAAAGTCTTGAGTTCTTCTTTTCTGGATTTTTCATTTATATATGTATAGAGCTACATTAGGCAAACAAAGCAACGGCTAATAAACAGTAAATGATAACTAACTAGTTAAACTATCCAGTCCTAGCTAGCCACGTGTTCGCGATCAACTAATTACACTGTTTGAGCACTTCCGTGGCTAAACGTCGATGTTCCCTTCTTTCTTCATTGTGAACAGATCAAGGGAAACGATGACGTTCTGAACTCAAACTTTCTGAAGACAGAACGCCACCGTTTCATTCTCATATGCACATCAATGATCTGCTGGTCGACTTCCCTTTCCCTTATAGCAGCAGCTCCTTGTTCTTCAGGCCATTGCTTGTGCGGGCTGTTGCTGCTCTATATGGATTGATCATGTTCTCCATTATCGGGCTTGCTGCAAGGTAGGGAAGGCAATTTTGACATGACCCGTTTTACCCGACCTGTTTGGGCTGTTTTTGGGCGGGGTGGGCATGGGTACTCTCATCGACACGACCTGTCCTGACCCGCCCCATTCTTGATTCGCTCTTGCCTAAATTACATGTAATCTTAGTCAAATACTTAGAATTTTTAATTTATTTCATCATAATTTAGCTAAAATAAAGTTGTGAATTAGTGAAAACGTCGATTTCTCTAATAAATTAACTACATTTATCATAATATTGTTTGTTTTCTGGGTCTTATAATAAAAATAACGTATATTTCTAATGCTTTTCATATAAATTGCATACCCATTGGGTCGACCTGCCCCGACCTGCGACCCATGATAAATTAACCGACCTGTACCCGACCTGCCACGCGGCGGGTCTGGGTGAAACCCGCCCCGGACCTGCCCCATTGTCATTCCTACTACAAGGTTCTTATTCGAAGGATGGTTGGTGAAAAATTGAGTTGATTACTGTAAATAACAAAGAAATTATCGAAGTGGTAATGATGTTACCGGAGCAAAAATAATAATATTATTACATGTAGAGTAACGACATTATCTATGTAAGCAATAAAATCTAACGGTGTATTTAGAAATTCATTCAATGTAGGTTCGATTTATGAAATGTATATTTTAAGATAATTTATATTAATTTTTTGCAATGATATATGTCTGATGCGTTGTCATATTCTAAACTTGCAAAATACTCTTATTGTTCAAACTATTTAAGATGTCAATCTCAGTGTGTTGAACCTACTAAAGAATCATTCATAATTTCACCAATTATTTTAACTTTGAATGTTATTATTCATGTATCTCATTATGAAAAAATTGTGTTTCAATACTTACAGGCGGATTATTTTAACTTTGAATGTTATTATTCATGTATCTCATTATGAAAAAATTGTGTTTCAATACTTACAGGCGGAAAATGACAACACTATTAGTCCATATAAAAACATGGTGTGTTTGATAAGTAAGCACATAAATAGATACCTAGATGCTACTTTGTGATTGAGATCATCATATTGGTTTAGTCATATAAACACATAAACCGCTAAAATGTGTTATAATGACGAAATGTATGGGAGGACAAACTCATAGTTTAAAGTCAAAACTGTACAATAAGTGAGATTTGTGTTTCAAATGTCTTCTAGTAAACGTATAATTCATCGATTTGTTTAGTCATTTAAATATTATAAAAAACATATCAATTCCATCTATTCTAGCAGACCACTTATCCATCCTCATTTCATACATAGGGGTGTCCATTCAGGTTCGGTTTTTCGGGTTTACCCAAAACCGACTCGAATATATACATTTTCAGTTTTTCGGGTTTGGATTTGTTTCGGGTTTCGGGTTTCTCGGTTTTGGGTTCGGTTTTGCTTATCGGTTATTCGGGTTCCAGCTAAAAACCTCCAATGAATAGAACTCAGCTTGTATTCTTAGACGTTCGGGTTTCGGATTTCGGTTTTGCTTTAACCGAACCCGATATGGAATTTTCAGATTTTGGGTAACCGAAACCCGCAAGTTCTTATCGGGTTCGGTTTCAGTGATTTGCGGTTTCGGGTTTTAGTTCGGGTAACCGAACCCGACCCAAACTGACACCCCTATTCATACATACCTAGCTAAAGCTATCTAGTTGAATATCAAATTTTTTTTTTTTTACTAGTTGAATATCAATTTTCAAAATATCATTATTAGATAACTCATTAAGATAAAATGTATCAAAATTTATTTGGAGGGAGAATTTGTGGAGAAAGATAAACACCACATATACACCAGATTGACACATTCATTTATTTATATAAGAAACACTTTTTTTTTTTTTCATGGCTAGTATTAATGAAAATATTATCCTTTTGTGTGTGTCAAGAGATCACTCTATTATTGAGAAAACAACTAGATACAAAGTGTCACTAATAAATAGATTACTGTAGTCGAGGTTTAAAACTCGAAATTGATTCTATCACTATTAAAAAACACACTTAGGGGTTCTTAGGAAGTTGCGATAGTTTTGTTGAGATTGTCATTATGCATGTATTGTTTACAATGCATCGTTTTTTTTATTTTTTTAGCAGAAACAATACATGAATTGTTTCTGTGATGTGACAGAAACTATCACTCATTTTGAGTGATTGTTATATCTCAACTTTTAGTTGTGATTGTTGAGATAGTTGAGTTGAGATTGTTTTGTCTCGGCTTTTAGCTGATGCGACATGCACAATCACACATACCAAACATTGTATTCTACAATGCATCAAATTCGACAATACATGTATAATATTATACATACATTCTCAACAATACATCTATTTAACAATTGCAACTTCCAAACCCTTTAATGAAAGTCAATAATCAAATTATGTATATATAAATCACCTGATTTCATTATTAAACAGAGGTACTGGTCCCCTCTAAGTCCTAATATTAACATCTATCACATAGGTGGGGGAATTGATTCTGCGGCCTACTACCAAACCTGGCCGCCGGATCCTCCATCCCAGTGGGCTCTCGAGGTCGGTCAGCATTCAGCAATGGCGACCTACCCACCATTTCCTTCCCCACCCTAGGGAAGCTTCTATTAGCCGAATCTTCTGCCCACTTTCTCCATCTTCCAGAAGTAACACAAACGTCTTTAAAAGAAAGTACCACCATGAGATTAAGAATACTCTTCTTTTTTTCCTTCATCAAACCACAGAAGAAATTTTAGCCAGTTTTTGGGCATAAGTTCATCCTCTTCAACCTCCCTCTCCTCTGCTCCTCAAGCGAAAGCAAGAAAGAAAGTCCCACAAAAAATGGCTTCCACCAGCACCAAAAGCAGGATCCTGTTCATCGGAGGGACTGGTTACATCGGCAAGTTCATCGTCGAAGCCAGCGCCAAATCCGGCCACCCAACTTACGCTCTGGTCAGGAAGTCGACGCTTACTAGCCCCAGAAGATCCAGAATCGTCCACTCCTTCAAGTCCTTGGGCGTCAATTTCCTCATTGTAAGAAAACCCTTATAATGGAACCAATTTTTTTTTAGTAGAACAAGGGTTCTTAGTTTCTAGTTTGCAGGGCGATTTGCACGACCATGGAAGCTTGGTGAACGCAATGAAGCAAGTCGACGTGGTGATTTCCACTGTTGGCCATGGCATGTTGACCCAGCAGGTCAAGATCATCGCCGCCATTAAAGAAGCTGGAAATGTCAAGGTGGGTTTGTACACATTGCTCTGTTTTTCAAGTTTTGCTTAATATAATTGGGGGGAATTATTTGGGTTTTTTTTTTCTTAGATGCTTGATTTCCCTTTTCTCCTCTTCCAGAGATTCTTTCCATCAGAGTTTGGAAACGATGTGGATCGCGTCGAAGCAGTTGAGCCTGCGAAATCAGCTTATGACGTAAAAGTCAGAATGCGGCGAGCTGTTGAGGCCGCAGGGATTCCGTTCACCTATGTCTCCTGTAACAGCTTCGCCGGCTATTTCCTCAGCAACTTGGCTCAGCCCTCTGGCGACGTGCCTCCTAGAGACAGAGTCATCATCTTGGGAGATGGCAATGCCAAAGGTTCGATCTTTATTCATCGTTAGGTTGAATTGAGCGTTTAGTTCAGAAACCCAATTTGACATTAAGCTGAGGGGTTGGTTTTTGTGCTGCAGCAATTTACAACAGGGAAGATGACATTGGAACTTATACGATTAGGGCGGTGGACGATCCGAGGACGTTGAACAAGCTTGTGTACATAAGGCCTCCTAAGAACATCTATTCGTTCAATGATCTGGTGGGTTTGTGGGAGAGGAAGATTGGGAAGACCCTGGAGAGGGTTTACATTCCTGAAGAACAGGTTCTGAAGCTCACCAGAGGTTAGTAAATGGTCTAGTGGTATTTTCAGTTTGATTGCACCAGGACTTTGAACTCCTTTGCAGCTTTCTAAATGTGTTTGTTTTGCAGGAGATGTGATGATGGCGCTTAATCACTCGATTCTGGTGAAGGGATGTCAGACCAGCTTTGAGATTGAGGAATCGTTTGGGGTTGAGGCGTCGGAGCTTTACCCAGATGTCAAGTACACAACTGTTGATGAGTACCTTGACCAGTTTGTCTAGTTTTGTTGCTATACGATTATTGCTTCCCTTCATTTCCGTACTAGCTCATTTGCAGTTGTAATCCCGTGATGTCTTCTTTTGAACTGTTTTTCACTTTTTCTTTTTCTCCTCTGCACTTCTTGTGTATGGCGAGAAGGTTAATACCACAAATCAACTCTTTTTTACTCTTTTCCTTGTGGTGATTTCCAATTCAAACATTGCTCACAAAAGCAGGTTTCAAGACAGGCGTCAGTTTGGGTGAGATTGTTGTAATTGTTGTTGCATCTTGAGCAGTTGTCTTGCTGCCTATTCGTACAAGGGAAAGAATGAAGGCGGGAGTAACTGTCAGAAGTTGGGTTATCGGATCGTGTCGAATTGGTACTCCGAAACGCAATCGTTATAGTGCTAAGGGAAGAAAATGATTATACAGACTGAAGCAATGATCAATTTATGCGATCACAGCACCGAGTCTCTGCCACACACCATGAGCACAAAGAACAGAGCTTGCAAAAATCTTACTACTCCCACTTTCTTGAGGGAGTTCAAACAAAACTGGATTAATTTAACAAAAATTATCCTTCCGATGAAGGTTTAAGTTTTTCTACCAAGCTCTTGACTGGTCACTGTTTTCATACCTTACGTCTTTCTCCCTTTGTTCCCTCCCATCTTCGCAGAACCTTTACTCTTCTGGCCACCTTTCTTCGCATCCTTTCCCTTCTTTGATCCACCTTTCCCTTTCTTCTTGCTCCCACGAACATCCTTCTTCATCCGCCGATCCACAATCACTTTCCCTTTGCCGCCCTTCACCGCAACTCCCTTCTTCGCAACTACGAATTCCTTCTTTGGCCTCTTCGGTGCAGCCTTCTTATACAGCTGCTCGATCATTTTGCTCTTTGACCGGTCAGAGATCTCATTTTGGTCTGAAATCACATTAGCCTTCTTTCTGACCTTCTCCATCCTCCTCATGGCTACCCGCTTCTTCCTAGCCTTGGCCTGTGCCACTTTCTTAGCCGGCCGAGCATTGATCTCCTTGAACTGTGCACGCATGGCAGCCATCTCCTCTTTGGTGATTGGTTTGACCGGTTGTCGATGCCTCTTTTCTTCCTCCAAAAACCAACCAGGCAAGCCCTCGTCATCAAACATGTACCTGTTGTAGCCATCATCGAGCATCAGTTCTCTCTGCTTCTTCCTCAGCATCTTTTTTGCGCAGGCCAATATCTCTGCCTTTTTGTTGATGTCATCATCATCAGATTCATCAGAGGATGAGTCGTCACTGGAATCTGTGCCAGGGGCAGGAACAATCTCGAAATCCTCCTCGGGTTTGGAGGGTTGAGGCTGAGTGTGGTGCTTCGGGGCATTATCAGCTGTCTTAGCAGCCTTCTTTGACGGGTTAAGTTTGTTGTCGTGCTTCTTATCAACGACATCCAACATTTCTTCATCTTCAGGGATAGTAACCAAATCGCCCTCCTCCACGGCTTTGGCAAATATGTCCTGAGCAAACCACTTGTTTGCAATCTCTTCTTTTGTTGGTTCTTCCCCTTCGTTGAGTGGCACCATAAGAGGATTCGCTTCACGATCTGGTAGGTCCTTATCTGAATCGTAATCTGATTGATCCATATAATTGTTCTCCTCCTCCTACTTTGCCAATAATAACAAAAAAAAAAATGAGCAGGAGCACAAACAATAACTGTCTGACATATGACGCACAATACAGGGTATAAACCACAATCAACGACTAAAAAGAATTATCTTTCGTATTTTCTACTTCAGGGAAGGCTTGGAAGAAACTAGGTGTGACACGCATTACAGGAACTACAAACCTCCAAAAGTTGATCGGAGTAGGCCTGCCTTGCACGTTTCCGCTGCTTTGTACTTCCTTCCTTTTTGGTCACAAACCGTTCATAGACCTGGTCGAGAATATCTTCCATTTTTGCATCATACCTACAGCAAACATCTGAGAATGTCACAACTTAAAAATTATCGACTATAAGAAAGAAAAACTATTGTAAACAATTTACTTTCTGCGCTCTTCATCTGAATCTGAATCAGTGGTTGACTCATCCTCGCGGGTTTCCTCATTGTCACTATCTTTCAAGTCACCATTTGCACCACCATTCTCGGCAGTATCAACAGCAACCAAATCTTTCTTTCCCTAAGAGATTCAAGGAAGAAACCAGGGATGCAGTTGGCACTACATAGTTTGAAATGTTGCCTGATATGAGAGAGGATAAGAGCTGAAATGTGCCGCTAACCTTGATAGACGAAAGAGAAAATAACTCAATATCATTATAGCCATCTTCAAGTACATCCATTGTCATTCCTATTGCTTTCCGAGCCTTGTCCTGCAAGTCAGCAGAAAATGCTTGCATCAGCTTCCACAACATAGACATAACATAATGATAACTTCATTAAGTCTTCAACAAACCTATGGTCTGAAGGATCTAAATTGACAATAGCAGACATAAGAACTAAGAAGTTCAAACGCAAGTAGCTTCTAGAATCTAGAGGAACTCAATAAAGCAGGTCCATTGAATTGACATGGGCTCAGCAGTTGGAATACTTTGTCTAATTGTCTATCAGTAAATGGAACCAGTGCCCAAACTGCCACCTAACATTTATCTGTGTGTGTTCATAACCATGATTCCAACTAATTTAAGCGACCAAGGTATGGCTATGATCCTTTATGAACATGATTGTACAAACCTTTGCCCGTCTTTTAGCAAGTATTTTCTTCTCACGTTTCTTCTTCCTCTCCATAGCATCTGTCAACTCCTCCATTTCATTAAGCAACCTATCATCTTCATCCACCTCTTTCTTTTCTTCGCTCTCAGCAACAGCAGGACTAGCTTCTGCAGAAGGGGACAGAGCCTTTCTTATCTGCATTCGCCACCTGCATGATACAAATGAACGTCCAAGAATATATCATTACTATAGGGGAAAGGAAGGAGAGAAGCTTAGCTCTCTATATGGGAACAGAATTGAACTCCCTAATTCACTAGTGACTACAAAAACAGGATCTTACTTCAGTAGATGCTTGAAGTCTTGCTTTCCCAAAACACGAAGATCATCACAAAGGGACTTGACCTGGCCATAGAAGCAGAAATCATTCAGATGGAAGATTTATAGAGTGAATGCACCCACGAGCTGGACTATGCAAATAAGGAGAAATTAAGCCACCTCTTCTGTTGTTAACTCAAGATCCTTTATGCGTAAAGAATCCGGGCCCTCAAATGTAATTGAAGTAACTGAACCAAGGACATCAAGAGGTGTGGCGGACCAGATAAAATCAGCAGCTGAAGACACTTTCCGCACCATAGCCTGTCCATCTTCATACCTGAAACAACAAAAAGAAAATTACTAGACTCCAAGAATCAACAGCACCAGCAACCATCCAAAAAATCACATTGGCTTACCCATCACGATGACGCTTTTGCTTTGTTCCTCTCAGGGGATCTAGTGCCTGTTCCCGGAGTTAATCCAGACAAGAAATCATCAAACTATTAAAATCAAAAACAGATACAGATGACTGGCAAAGCTGGATTGAACCCAAAAGCATAGCCTCTCCAAGCATAATTACCTTTCTTACAGGTTCTACTGATCCCTGAAACAGATGCTTAAAATCAAGCAGACGAGGATCAATCTTTGCAGGTGCTTTGTACTTTAGTCCAAGCACAAAGATTTCTGCAGATGCTGAACGACTGGCTAATGGTTTGTCCACCTCAACCTTTTCAAATAACTGAGAAAGTAACATTTTCATTAGAATTGGAACATTAAGATCATGTCCACAACTCTTTGATAAAAAATAGAAGACATTCACCTGGTTTAAGCAGTAGATAACGGAACTGTAATCTTGTGACCTGAAAACCTACCACACAACACCATATCAGCTATAAGGTTCACTCCACAGAGTAGACTACCGATTCATTCCCTAACAATACCCAAATTCGTAATGAACAGACTGGGGAAAACGCTCACTTTAGTGACGAAATTTCCTTTGGGAGCCAGGAACTGAGTGGCCAATTTCACAGCATCGATAACCAAAGCATTCTGAGACATCGCCTCTTGCGACCACGCACCACCGACATTCGGGGAACCATCGTGCAAAACCAAGTCGAAAGCTTTAACCCCATCATCGCCCATAATCTTCTTAACCTTGACCCTGCACTCTGGCTTCGTGATGTCCTGCTCGATGGATATGGCGCCACGCAGAGGAGCGATTCTCACCAAATCGAGACCGAGAACGAGGCTCCCGACGGGAACCCTCTCGACGGCGACCTGCATCCATCCTCCGGGAGCGGCGCAGAGATCGAGAACGGCGCGAGAGGAATGGAGGAACTTGAACTTGGAATCGAGCTGGACCAGCTTCCAGGAGGCACGAGACCGGTAGCCGTGCTCCTTGGCGAGATGGTAGTATTTATCCAAACGATGCTTTCCCTTCACTTTACCCATGGCGGCGGAGGGCTCTGGCTCGGAGCTGCGGTGGCGGACTGGGAAAGGGGTTTAGCTAGGGTTTTTGAAGAAGAGATACAGAGACTGTGACTTGCGACTTGTGAGTAGGGCTGTCAATGAACCAATCTATTCACGAACGGTTTGGTTTCGAACTAAGATAAAAATTTGTTCGATCTAATAAAAGCTCAATTCATTTATTAACGAGTCGAGTTTGAGTTTAAAATTTAACGTGTTCGGCTTGTGAGACTTGTAAACTAGCTCGATTAGGTGGCCTATTGAGTTCGACTCATGAACTATCTTAATTTCAGCTCATGAGATGTCTCAACATTATAACTAGAGAGCAAATTTGATTACAGTTTATGAAAAAATCGATCTATAACTTATGAGTTGGTTTATTAATGATGTATATATTTATTAAATTGTTATTGGACTTTCCAACTACTATTTAATGTGGTCTATCCATGGTTGTCATGCCGGTGGCATGCCACCCGGTTGAACCTGGTTCAACCTGTGCCGGTCATGAAACCGGCATGACACCACCGGTATGGCCGGTATGATCGACTTAACCATTCTAAGTAAAATGACATCATTTTAATGAATTTAATGAATACAAAATTAATTTATTATTTATTTTATGAATGTAATAGTTAAAAGTTGATGATATTTGTTGGATTGTAACTAAATTGTCCACAAATATGTTTTATATATGATTAGATACATTGGATATTAATTGTTTTCACATTTTTTTAAACCGGCATGAACCGGCACAACTGGTTATACCATCGGTCGTACCATTCCACTTGCCAAACCGGCACAACGGTATAAACCGGTTTGACAACCTTGGGTCTATCTATTGACCCTCCAATCTCGTGGAGTTAAATGTCTTAACTGATGTCTGGTCTGCTAGAGAGATGGAGAGAGTATCGAACAATTATTCTTCAGATGCCCCTTGGCCACCAAATTATGGTGCACAGTGGGATTAAGCAACTTTATTGATTCCGCCCCGACAATTATTTTCAGTCTATGGTGGCGACTTGAAATGATCTCTGAGATCTCCCCATTCCATCTTCTCCAAAGCTTTTGTTTACTTTAGAGATCTGGAGTTTAGAAATAAAGCGAATTTTGAATTCTTCCAACCTCATGTCTGTTCTCTCGTCAAACAACTCTACAACCAGGTCCTTGAAGTCTCCATTACTCTCCCTAGGGGTGGCAGTTCGGTTACTGGTTATCGGTTAATTAGTCGATTAAACAGATAACCGGTCGGTTATTCACTAACCGGTGACCAAAGTAACCGAACTTCGGTTGGTTATCGAAGGCTGGACAAAATGGTTTTTTGTCTTAAAAGTGATTCGGTTAAACGATAATCGAGATAACCGAGAAATCATAGTCTATTTCGGGCGATTTTCGGTAGGGGGGTGGTTATTTTGGTTAACCGATAACCGGCCGATCAGTTATTGGTTATAACCGAAAATAACCGAACTGCCACCCCTAATTCCCCCACTCCTCTGCCTCCGAGTTCGCTCCTTCCATATCCTCATCCCTCTTCTTAGTAGCCTCCACCGGACAACTATTTGAATATCAACTTCGATGTAGATGTTCGTAACTAAGAGTGCTCGTCTGGTCTTGTTATCTGTGGGTTAGACGGGCATGTGGTACTGGCACCAGGTATGCATCACTAGGGAGTAGTCAACCCCTATATGGCAGAGCCCATAGCAGTAAGAGATGTTAGATTCCATCAAGGCCCTTGAGTCACGTGATGGTGGAAGGTTATTCCTAGGTGGTCGTCAACCAGATCCGGCAAGGTGTCCTAGAAGATTCTTTTGGAGGTCTGGTGCTCCGGGAGTGTCTTGAGATCCTAGACTCTTTGTTAGTTTGTATAGAGTTTAGGGCGGTTCCTAGAGCTGCCAATAGTGATGCCCAAAGAGTGGCGCGTAAAGCACTGATATTGTCTCTTTTAGAGTTAGAATCTTTCGATTTATTGGGTGACTTCACTAGAGTGTTGCTTGTAGGGGCTTTCGATTTATTGGGTGACTTTACTAGGGTGTTGCTTGTAGGGGGTGCTTGGGTAGTTTTGTTTGTACAATTTTTGTCCTCTCTTGATATCACTCGAAAATAAAATAAAAATATATTTATGATTGTATATTACACCTTCTATGATGTTTAATAATTCAAGTATGTGAGCAAATATGTCTCGTGTATGACATAAAGATTAGCTAATCACATGTAATATTGTATATGACATATACTTATTAGGTTATTTAATTCATAAATTATCTTAGAGTTGAGCTCGAACCCAAATTTTTATCTTAATGATGAGTCGAGATTAATAAATAAGATGACTCGTGTTTGGCTCCACTCAACTCATTCATAAACGAGCCGAACTCGAGTTTTGCTCGTTTATAAACAAATCAAACCTGAACATGACAAAACTCGGCTCGGCTCGCCTCATTAACCGCCCTACTTGTGGGCACTTGAACAACATAAGAATAAAACAACACCGTCTCGATACAACGGTGGCGCGTAAGCGTAGCAGACATTAACGTCGAGGACTCGAGGTACAACGTATGGAAGAAATAATTGAAGGGGAAAAGGGTAGGAAGGAAATCAGTAAATGACCCCAAAAGTGCAAAGGGAGAGGAAGGGCATGGGGTCAAACTCCTCCTCCCATTCATTCATCCATCATCGTCTTCGCCGTCTTCTTCCCCAAATGTGGCTGTCTGGTCTGCGCCAATCAATCGCATTATTATTATTCAATTAAAAAAGAAAGGAGAGTGGGAAACGCGATAAAGGAAAAGAAAATGGGGGAGGCTCAGCTCAACCAGAAGGAACCTTTTTTGTTCATTCCCCATGTTATGCAATTCAATTTTCTCCCTCCTCTGGATATTTTTCTCTCTCCCATTAGCTTCGCCACTAAGAAATTATGTAGTCAGAGAAATTTTAGGGATTCGGATTTCGTGAAACCAAGAAGTTAAGCAATCAGAGGCTCCTCTCAAGACACTCCCGCCGGCTGGTTTCCCGGTTACCGATCCTCCCTGCTCCAACTCCGAGATCCTTCCACCTGCTGGCTTTCACTTGGTTAGCTACCTGCCGCCTTTTCTTTTGGTCTGGTCATTCATTTCCTTCCATAATTGAACTTAAAGTTGGGACCTTTTCTTTCGTACGTTCGAGTCGTCTGAGCTCGGTCCCCAGCTCCACATGGAGAAATAAGGCCACTCATCGATGAATTGCCAAAATTAGCATTTGGGTTTCGTTTCTCGGCTTTCTTTACCAGCTGGGTGTCTGTTATTTTTTTGTAACCTCCCCTGTCCCCTCCCAGCTTCGGTTCAGAGTTTTGGGTCTAAATATCACTCAGCGAATTGGATTCTTCAGGTGAATTTTGAAGAACCCTTGAAGTTTTGTGTTGCCATTCGAGCTGGTTGTCGGGTAGGTTCTGGTATTGGGAATGTCTAATCCGAGTGCACGATCATCCCACGGGATGGAGGAAATGTCTGAAAGTGGGATGGGACAGCAGCCGTTTCAGTCTCAATCTGCATGGATAGCTCATTGGATGCCTAGGAATTATGGGTTGGCAAATGGAGCGCCACAACCCACTCCATTATCAGTAAGTACTGAGGACAGCCCTAGCGTGAAGTTCAATCCTCTGCTTAATTGGCGTGAGAACGTGGGAAAGCGCAAAATGGTGGATTCTGTGAAAGGGAGTACGACATTGGGTTTGGAACGGTTTAGGAATGAACCTTCTGAAGGCCAGCCTTCTTTGATGCTAGGTTGTTCTCGGGAGCTTGAGGTTGATCTGCCTCCAACTAAAAAGAGGTTTGATAGTGCACATGTATCAAGCCCCGTACCTAGACTGGATCCTTCAACGAGTAGAGTGGAGATCAAGTTACCTGGATCAACTCCGTGGTTTACTACTAGCCAAATGGAAACTCGATCAAGTGGACAAAAGCCTCATAAGTGTAGTAATGGACTTTCCGAGAAGTATGGGTTCGGTCTTTCTATACATTCAGATGCCTACTTTCCTGGCACCACTTCTCAGATTGTTCCGTTTGAGTTTGACAGACAAAGGAGTAGGTCACAATCTTCTTCCCGCGAGCAGGAGAGTTTGAATCGACCAAGCGGTTCTTTTTGGGATCACATGAAGAAAATGGATCCTGTTGGTACTCTTTTAGTTCATGACACCTCTATCAGCAAGAATGAGGGAAGAGGCTTTGTTGCTGAACCATTCCTCAAGATGCCTCAGAATTCTGATTCTGGATATTTTAGCTTCCGGAATAGGCCCCCTGTACCAGGAACGCCCTCTTCTTCTGTGCATGATGTACAGGCTATGGGAGTACATACTACTATCGATTCTGTAACCGATTTTTCTGCCAGTTGCTCAAAGTTTTTACATACAGCTCACCGCTTCTTCATCACAAAGAATACTGATCTGACCTTACCAGATGAAGGTCAGATGTTCCACCAGCCATCAATATTTACAAAGTTCAAAGGAAAAGCATTAGATGAATCATTTTGTTTAGCACCAGACTATTGCTCCCATGGTAACCAAGGAGTGAAGCTGCAACCACTTGAGAGTTCTAGAGAAAGCAAGGGACAAGAAGAAAGTGAGAATGTCAAGAATTCTATACCTGGTTCAAAGAAAGGATCGTCTTCTGAGAACAAGACTATGAGCATGGATGCTTTTGGAAAAAACCATGTCCTTGGTATGTATCTACTGCAGATATTATATTATGAATGATTGTAATATGTCTTATTGGATCTCTTAATTGATTCCTATTGTCGCAGCCCTGAGAAAGTTTTTGCATGCTTCTTTTGCAGGTTTGGGATCGCCTCCATCGAGTAAGGTAAAGTATAATGTTATTTATCTTCCTTCTTGTAGTAGTAAGTAATTGTAGTAGCTGTCCTCAGTCTTATATCCCTGTGAATTCTCTTCTTGTAGTAGTAAGTAATTGTACTATTGTAGTAGCTGTTCTCAGTCTTATTTCCCTGTGAATTCTGTAGGACATGAACGGTGGGCAAAAATCACCTATATCTCAAGATGCAATGATTGCTTTAGTCAGCCAAGAAGTTAGAGGTAGAACCTTAGAAAAACAGTTGCCCGATATCAACGAAGTATTCCATGTGCTTCCGGATGTGCCAGGGACAGCAGATGGTACTAAGCAGACAAGCACCTCAATAACCCAAAGTTTAGATGGCGACTGCTGGCCGCCCCTTGCTGACAACCCCACAAATTGGAAGTCTAGTGCTTTACCAGACCCGGTGGGCCTGGATCCTTGCAGTCGATGGGTTAAACGTCTAAAGCCAAGTGCGACAGATCTTGTTGCCTGTAACTTGGCGGAAGCCTCCAATAAAAAAGCGACAAGAATCTTCAGCAAAATGCTCAAATGTGGTCAGGCAAGTTCAGAACCAAAGAAGATAAGCGAGCCTCATTGTGAAGATCTTCGTGGTAATGATTGTCCAACAGAGTTAGTAAGGAAAACTGAAGCTTCTTTCGCTAACTCCGAGGGAAGAACACTAGACGCAATCCACTCACATCCTTGGATACGACGGTGGTGTCACGATCCAGTTACTTCTCTTGCAAGGAAGCCCGATTGTGTGATGTCTAGTGAATCACGAGCTGCTAAGTGGGGAGCAGCAGATGACTTGCCTCGGAAGCAGTTTGCAAGCATAGCTGCTATGGCACTCATGGGAAAGGCTATGACCGGTTTTCGTCCATGTGAATTCAGGAAACGGGGTTCTCTCATACTTTGGAGTAACAAGGGCTATTGAGATGAGCCGCCTCCAAAAGGTAGACTAGATATTATGGAATAAAACGTGTAAGCTGACCAGTTTGCAGACCCTTGCCGGTTCTCTCTTGTGGCTTTGTGGGTCAATGATGCTGTCAATTGGAAGACATTATTGACTTCAGGATTGGCTCTTTATAGTACTCTAAAGAGAACCAGCGAAGTTCAGTTATGGGGTTAACAAAAGGGTGGGGAAAGGTACAGTCTTTCTGTAATGAATTTCCCATTCCACTCCCTGAATCTGAATTTTGTTAGGCACCCATGATGTTTTGGATCAGCGATCAGAAAATCTGTATCAGTCGATTTCTTATAAATTCAAGCCGAATGTATACTTCTGCTGGTTTACAAGAATAAATGACTTGGAAAGTTCAACTGAAGTCCATGGAATCACATGAACTCGCTTCTCATTTCTCTCCTACTTTTCCTGCTTGCTCTAGCTGTTTAAGATGCACTGTCAGTTGTTGCTTTGATAAGTCTCCTGGCAACCAGCTTGCTCAAGCGCTTCTCATTTCTCTCCTACTTTTCCTGCTTGCTCTAGATTTTTAAGATGCACTGTCAGTTGTTGCTTTGATAAGTCTACTGGAAGAAGATTGATGGTCACAAATAACAGCGCCATTCTTCTCCTGGCAACCAGCTTGCTCAAGCGCAAACTCAAAGAACCCTTCTCCTTGAAAGCTTGAATCCATGCCTGGTGGAGCAAACTGAACAATGACATCCCGAGACAGGAGAATCCCAGTGGGCCGCATCGATTGATCAACAATGAAGCTGAAACTGCTATTTGTCTCAGATAACTTCATCATCGCCTGCTTCAGGGTGTCACTTCTCTTGTTGGCAACTACTGAATCCATCTTTGGTAGAAAGTTGTTCTTCAGTTTCAGCGTTCCGGCCGAAAGCAACGCTCCTAAGTCTCTCTGAATGGTAGGATCACAATCTGCATTCTCATTTCTTTCTGTATGAATGAACTCCTCTGCTGTTATGCTCCTGTGAATTTTACAAGTTAAAAAAGCTTTGCTTGAACTCTGTTCCACTTGTGGTGAAAGAGACAAGTGGGGAAAACTAAACCTACTTCCTGTTGCTGAATAGGTCATCATTCTCTAAAAGGATATAGACGTCACTGTTCCTGATGCAGCCAATGACCTTCTCATTTGCTCGGCTCACTACAGCGATGACACCGATTTGTGTTCCCCATAGTAGGTGAAGAGCTTCCGCTAAGCTTTGGTCTCCATACACAGTGACCAGATGCTCTTCTCTGAGAAAACAACAGCTCTAATTCAATGGCATCAAGAAGGGGAAAATGTAAATCTCGAGTGTGGTGGGCGTAATACCGGCAGTAGTCTGATAACGGCTTGTCAGCAATGGCGTCGAACCATTCGAGCCCGGTTGATTGAAGCAGCAAGTGGATCACTGCATTCTGCCAGACACTTATAATCAACCAATTAATCAGGAAAAAATTGGATGAAGGAAATAAGAGATAAAACAAGAAAGGAAGGGCCTTTTCAGTGACCTGAGTGACAAAGCCTATGACTTGAAGCTCAGACTCCTCTACAACGGGAACAGCTTGGAGCTGGTGCTTGCAAAGAAGCAGCAGGACATGAAACAGAGTATCCTCCGGATGAACTGGGAAAAACGGATCCCAAAGAAATGACTTTGCTAGCTCTCCCACCTTCGTGTCTGCGATTTCAGGATTCTTGTGGAGCATTGTCGAAATGCTGTCGAAATCAGTGGTGGGTTTGGCGTGAAGCTTTTCGGATTTATGGAGACACCAAAGAAGCATCCTGGCGAAATCAATGAAACCCATGTAGCGATCGGAAGCCCTGTCGGTGATGTTTTCAGGGTTGCTGGGGTCGGCGATTGGAGCGCCGAACACGTTCTTCCGATACAAGATATCCATCGCTTGTTTCACCGTGTCTCCAGCTTTCACCTCCGTAACTGAGAAATCAAAAGGATTGAGATAATCACCATCGTTAAGTTCATTGTGGTAGTAGTAGTAGGAGGAGGAGGAAGGAAGTTAGTTACCAGGAGAGTTTTGAATTCCAGGGATGGAACTGATGGGAATGTGATCGAGAAATGACTGAAGGGCGGCCCCTGAATCGAGCTGTTGAGTCTGTTTGAGATCTGTGATGAAGTTGGAATCCACTGCGCTTGGGGCATCTGGGTTCTTGATTCCGTGGTTTTCTGGAACCTCCATCATCTTCTTTGCTTCCTGCATTTGTGTGTTCTTTTTTCCTGGTCGGTTCTGTTCTGTTTTCTGGGAACTGCCTTTGTTTTTGTTCTTCTGGAAACTGCATGTGAGGGATAGGTACGTGGATTTTGACCATCTTTCCACGTGTCCATAAAGTCTGATCATATCTAGTTAGGTCCTCCTGACACTGGAATTGGATAGAATGTTGGAATTGGTGAGCACATGGATGGTTGATTTAACGATTGAAAATACATGGGTGATTGCACTATGATCCTTCAAAAAGGAACTAGTCAGAGGTTTTGGGCAACTACAGTGGTCTGCAAAGTTTGCATATTCAAGAACCTTTTATTAACCATATCCATCTGAAATTACATAATAAGAGGGGATAGTTCAAGCTGATGCAGTCCTGTATGTTATTTATGTTTCATATATCCATACACAAAGATCCCAACTCTCATCTCCAAAGCTGCCTCTGTCTACTTCTCTAGCTCTCTTTCACTAAACTTTCAGCTTGGGTGGCCAAAATGGACCGCACTTTAATGTGGGGAGGAAAGAGTTTGGTTCTATTTTACATTACTTGTACATCAAGTTCCTGCCATGCTTTGCTTCTTCTGATCAGGGTTTTCCTTTGCTGCCATTTCCAAAACCTACTGCGACCTTTCCTCTGAAAGAAGCACCAACGACCACTTTCTGGATTGTCCTCTCACATCACACTTCAGAACCAGGATATTTATATGACGGTTCCATCCTCGATCGTCGCCTTCTCAGCGACAATTGTGATTCCGGACCGAATGTAGAATCCCATTTCTGGCCTGTCAGCTTCTTCAACACCCTGCAAAAGGTCGTCACAACAGATTCAGAGAGCAGTGTCTGCGAAAGATATCTACTTTGATTACTGAGAAGAGTCAACTTTCAAACTTACATCTGTGTTCATGATCACCACATCTTTCCCTATCTTTGCATTCTTATCAATCATGCAATTCCTGCACAAACCAACTTCGTTTCAATAATCCATTTTTTGAATCCTTGTGGTGCTGGGATTATAGATTGACAAGAAATTTAACCTTATTTTGGTGTTCCTCCCAACGCCAATAGGGACTTTCCCGTCTGCCAGAAGAGATGCTATCTCAGCTTCAGTTTGGTAGTAATCTGCTCCTAACATCACAGTGTCCTGAACATTCAGATAAAATGAGTTGTTAAACCTTTCTTCATGAAATGGTAGAAACTAATCTTTCAAGACACTCTTAAGGGCACTCACCACTAGTTCTACACCAGAATCAAGACGAGATCTCTCACCAACAACTGAATGCTTGACAGAACATTCTCTTAAGAAACAACCGTGCGAGATTATTGCATCCACAATCTACAAAAAGAAAACAACAGACAACATGAATTAGAAGCCAAGGATAACCCATATATGTGTAACAGCAAAAGGGGCTGATGATCAGCAGTGGCCATACCCGGGATTGGTCGATTTTGGTTGGTGGCAAGAACGTTGGAGATGTGTAAATGGGTTTCTGGGGGTCATAAAACTCAAACATCGGAGTCTGCACCGAGACATATTCATACTAGTTCAGCTCATGGGGCACCAAAAGTGGAAAATTAGGAACGTTCAAAGTTCAAACAATCCTACCTCTTCGGTGAGAGCCAAGTTAGCTTCATAGAATGACTTGATCGTTCCTATATCCTCCCAGTAGTCTCTGAACATGTATGCCTGTCAAAAGTAGGGAACTTAGGAATTGATTATTCCTTTCTGCTGAAAGAAAACATGCAGCAGCTGTTCTTTCTTATGTTTTAACTTACATTAACTACATGCTCCATGACAGCTGCAGGGATGATTTCAGAGCCAAAGTCGTTTGCTGTTGGAAATCTCCACCTCAGAAGTTTCAACAGAACGTCTGTCTTGAACACATAGACTCCCATTGATGCAATATACGGTGACTGCTTGGCTTCTTGCTGAGACAAACCTACATGAGTCGTATCCACTCGCTGGGGAAAACATAGCAACATCGGGAATCATTCACTATCAATAGGGACTAAAAAGCACAAGGATTAAGTATGTAAATGGCCGCCTATTAATTAGTATGACATTCTTCTAAATGGAAGGCAGAACTTACCATTGCTTTGAGGTCAGCACCCTTTGGCTTCTCAGCAAACTGAATTACTCTACCCCTGCTGTCTAATTTCACCAGCCCATAATCCGAAGCACGGCTGCCAAAGTAGCCTCCTAATGTCAGATTTGAGCCTAAACAATGGATCGAAAGTCAACTCAGGAGAAACTGTGGAAGATCCAACCTTTCACCAACTGGTGCACATGAAATGGTGATATCCGCATTCCTGTCAACATGTTGCTGTTGAGTGCATAACAAACTGTTAAGAAAACAGGCCAAAAATAAAAGAAGAAATTTCAGTTCCACGAACAAATGTAATGGCGAATTACCTGCACAAAATCCATGTAATCCATTCGATAGAGATGATCGCCACACAAGATTACTATATTCTCGACATTCCTGTTCTTTGCATCCTACAAAAAAGTGGATAAATTTTCAGGGTCAGGTGTATCCTAATACAGAAGGATTGGGTTTTTTTTTTTTTTTTTTTTTTTTTTTTTTTTTTTTTTTGCAGCAATATTCACCTCAAACACCCATATGAATTGCCTGACAGCATCAGCAGTTCCTTGGAACCAATTCAAGCCTGCTTCCCCAGCAGTTTGAGTTGCTGCTAGAACCTCCACAAATCCATCCCCAAAGTTGATACCATTTCCAAAGTAAGTGCGAGCTAAGTGTCTATTGAGTGATGTCGAATTGAACTGTGTCAGCACAAAGATCTTGTTTATCCCACTGTTGATGCAGTTGCTCATTGGAACATCTATCAACCTGTAGCATCCACCTACTGGTACCTATTTTTCACAAAACCCAACCAACTGCCAAGTCAAACAAAAGAAAGAAAAACCTCCCTTTGCTAATCCAAATTTCAGCAAGGGAAAAGGAAAAGAAGGAAGGCGCGCTTATTACAGCTGGAGTTGCAGCCCTTTTGGTGAGAGGAAACAACTGAGCCCCTGCGCCTCCTCCAAGTATTACTGAAGCCACATCTTTCGGATCCACTCTCTTTCTCTCCAGCTTTGGCTGTGGTTGTAAGGTCTAACGTAGAAGAGATCGTCCGTTTGGAAAACAAACAAATATCACCCACATCAAACCAGTAATAACACAGAGAACAGCAGAAGAACAGTATAGAAACAGTTTTTGAGTGAGCATTACCACAGTTCCTCGGCCGTTGCTTGAAGTTAAAACTGAGAAGGCTACACCCGGATTTGCCTTATTCATCTGAGACTTCTTCAGCTGCTCCCTCGGTAGACTGAAAACTTCGTTGTACAAACTTCCTCTAATCTTTTCACCCAAAAACTCTTTGTTTACCAGAAGGGTACTGGCTTCCAAGGAACCCATTTCAGCAGGAGAGCAACCTAACTCTCTCTCTCTCTTTCTCTCTAAGCAAAACCCAGAAGGAGAAATGAATCCCAATCTAGAGGAAATCTTGCAATTTCATCACAAATTAAAGAAGGGCAACGGATCCCGATAAAGGAAATCAGCCCCAAAAGAAGTAACCAAGTAAATTGCAGATCACATAAAGTAGGAAAATAGAAGTTAACAATTTTTTCCACTGTGTACTCCTCCACATGCTGAAGCTGCACTCATCAGTGACTCATGGAATGGAGTAATGCAAACCCAGGAAAGCTAGAATCATGCTGATCAATACCCAAGTTGCAGAAGTCTAGAAAGATCACAACTTTAGCTTACCCAGAAATAAGAACACTTCGACCCAACAAAGTTGAGCATGCAAATGAGCAACAGAATGGAGGTAGAATGCAAAAAGAGGAATCAGAACTAACCAAAAGGATGATTCAGAAGATTCAATCACCCCACCAGCGCAGCCAAGCTAGCTTCTAGAACCCAATCAAAGTTAACTGTTTGATTTTAGACCGTCAGTAGAAACTGGGGAAGTGATGGAAGTGCGTGAATGAGATGCTGAAGCTGGTGGTGAGTGATGGGCTTCAATTTATGGCTGGCTAGCCTCCTGTGATCCCTCACGAGAAATCCTGCAACTTTTGCTTTTCAAAGGGGATTAATTGATTGTTTTTCCTTTATTCCTGTGATTTTATATTGACAGAATGGAAGCGAGGGAATTGACTTGCTTGCTTCCCAGCAGTTTTTGGAAGAGTGTGCTGCGATCTTGTGAGGTTTCCAGGTTTCTAGGCTCCTCTATTTAAGTATTAATTAATTAATGCATGGGTTTTGCAGAGAAATCAGATGAAAACGACACCGCGGTTCTCGCCCACCGTCACAATCCGATTTTCTTTTATTGTGAAGTTGGCAAATTAAACAACAAACAGAGAAGATCTAGTGGGGCTGCACTGGAGTTTTTGCTAGAGGAGCTTAACGAGAGCCGTTGGTTAGTCTAATTTTCAGTCACGCAAAGCTCAATTAGACCATTTTTCTCTAATTATTCTTTTCAATTGCTCCTCTAGTCTAGTGATTTAATTAGGGGTGTTCAAATGATTACCATGGTTATTACCAAATCAAATAAGGCTAAATTTCATTAACCAGGAAATACAATATCATAACCAAACCGTCCAAACTAATACAACAAACAAATTAACCAAACTAAAAGTTAATCGGTTTGGTTAATTGGTTAACCAGATTAACCAATATAAAATCATATTATCATTAAGTGAGAAAATTTTCGGTTAAATTATCAATTCACAATTTATATAATGAATAAAACATTCTCATAAAAAAAATATAATGAATAAAACATAACAATCAACACATAGTTATAATTGACCCTTAACATAAATATATGCAACTAAGACAATTATCTTACGGTTAGTATAGAAGTATTCACCTAACAAAAATTTATCACAATGGTATGGGTTAATGAATTGTTGTGTTTGTTTGAATTGACTTAGTCTTTTAGCAATTTTGATAGGCTGAAAAGGACCTTGCTTTCAAGTTTTCATCCAACATAATGTATGAGATCTATCTAAATTAGGCGTTCATATGTTGTGGTCTACACTCTACCTATAAAAATATACATTATAGGAACGATATCAAGCTTTATATTTTATGAGTTTAAAAGGATGAAAGTCTAACTCTTAAGTGGTTATTCAAAGTATTAAGTATGTGTATATATTAGATATATGGCTAATTGTTTGTCTGGTTAATTTGGTTTGTCTGGTTAAAAGTGCCTGAAACCAAACCATCTAAACCAATACATCTATTTAACAATGGCAACTTCCAAAATCACTCTTAATCTGCATTTAGAGGGGAATGAGATGAATAAGAAACATTGGTAGGGCCCATGGAAGCCCAATAATGAATTGAAGAGTTTGGACGCACATAGACGCAGCTGCCTAACACAAATGGACGGTTCTCATTGCTATTGATTCGGCAGATAAAGCCCACCAGCCATGTGATATTCCATCTCTAGGCCCACGTGGTCTCCCCTCACCAAACCCTAAAATATCACTGTCTGCTCACTTGCTGCTTGGCACTTGGCAGGGAGAGGCTTTGCTGTTGTCCTACTCCTACTTCTTATTGGTTTGGTTTTATTGTTTGTTGGAACTTGGAACATCTTAATGGAGGGGGTACAAATGTGTCTAATTCATTCATTCATTCATTGAATGTATACCCAAAACATGATAATAATCTCTTGACATTCACATGATTTTTCAAAGTGAAATCAATCCAATTTATTTGGTTTGAGATCACTTATTGTCTTCACTTTGTATCTTACATACAAAGGATACGATCATATAATTCTAACCCTAAAAAAAAAAACAACGTCTCAAGTTTCGACAATTCTCATTCAACGAGCTAATGAAAAAGCTAAGTAGTTTTAAATCGTGAAATCACATTATTGTACTGAACAGATTAGTGGGGAAAAACAAGCACGAAATCCACCGAAATTTAAACTCGTACGATCTAAAAAGTGTCAATAAGATAGTTTAAGAGATTTACACTAGCTAGAAAATGAAGGAATATGAGTCATGACAATGGTAACTATGTGTCATCTCCACCTGAAAATACGAACACATATGAATAACTGGACATGATGCTATGCAAAAATGCATGCGCCAACATGTGCTTAAGTGTATAACGATATCGAATTGTCCAAAATGCTCTACAAATAAATTGGAACCACGTTGTCATGATTAACAAAAATATCTCCACGGTCAAACGTCAGCTTAATAGTGAAAGTAAGTCGTGAATATCGATCGATATCGAATAGACGGTATATATAGCCGCTAGATGATGGCGTAGGGGGGCAGAGTGGGGGTCATTGTTCATGTTAGGACAGTGAGAAGGGTACGGAGGTAGTTGAAGGTCAATCAGTGCAATGAACGAATTGAAATGATGACATGATAAGGGTAATCACAGCGACACGACTATACTTCTCCTTCTAGCTGTGATGGAAAAGAAGAAACTGCAAAATTGAGCTGATACATTCTCTTTTCTTTGGTGTCCATCCGTCCAAGCTTGGGCTTCATGGTTTGCTGCTAGAAGACACAGCTAGTGCATGCAGGAGAAGACGGTCAGGCATATATACAGGAAAGAAGGCAAATGACGATGCTTTGCTTTCCTTCATCGCATCACATGAGCCTCTGTGTTTTCATCATCGTACGTTTACATCAACACAGCTGCTTGCTTTCATTCTCCTCCGTCCGTCCATCTTCGAATCTGATTGCTTAGTACAGTTTTCTGGACGGGCCTGCTTGCATATCAGCATATGCATGGGTCCACACTCACCAGACTGTGACAGCAATAATTGGAGTGGAGTTCCAACAATGGAAACAGGTAAGATGATGATCAGTGGGTTACTTTCCGCAACATTGTGACATGATTCAAACCAACTACCACCATTGATCACCAAGGAGCAGCACTGAGGAAAAGGAAACTAACAGCATATATCATCTCAAAGAAGACGCTTAAAGACCATAACAAGCTCAACATCTGCATGAACTTTCACCAACAAGAGCAAAATTCCTTCCACAACAATCCTTAGATAAAATAAGTCATAAACTCTTTGAAACTACTTGACATATAGAACTTCTGGGATTCAAAAGAAGCGAATGAAGTTTGAAACTTCAGATACATGATGGAAACACTAAAAATCTAGGTGTTGGTAGCCCTAGTGTAGATTTGCTGGCTGGAATGGGCAGAAACCATCCTGATCAGACCTTTAGCCATGAGCTCCCTGATGGCCTTCCTGGCAAGTGATCCATTCACCTGTAAACCAATTTACAACTCAAACTCAGCCAATGGATGCGGATGCCAACAACAGATAATGAGGTAAAGGAATGTTTACAAGAGAGCAACACACAATTACCAAACAGAAAAACCATATTGTCGAAACTTGAAGTACGAGACACAAACTCAGCCGCGACAAACACAATCCTCCATTAGCACAATCCAACACAGCAATTACCAAACAGAAAGACCCCATTGTCGAAACACGAAGTTCGAGACACAAATTCAGCGGACAAACACAATACACTATCAGCACAATCAAATTCACCATCTTCCAAATACCAGGTGAAATTGTACAACGTTAACGGAAGCATCAAACACAACAAGGTGAACATCATGGATATCCAATCAACTGCATCTTCAAATTCAAGGACAGAGCAATTGTGCAAACATGAAAGCAATTGCATGCAAATTAGGCACCTTTATCTAACAAAGTCTATCGAGCAACCACCATAAACCACAACAATACAGAACAGTGATCGATTCAACCAACAACGACCATGATTGAAAATCTGATAGCATAATAACAGCACAAACAAGCTGCCAACACTGACTGGATCGGTTCACTAATCCCTTGCACACCATTCAATCAACCATTTCACTAGGCATCGCTGAATGGAAAAAGTAACCAGAAAGATAAAGCGGGGGTGAAGGAGAGAAAAAAATTACCCTCAAACGATCGGAGAGGATGGAAGGGGTAATGAGCTTGTACTTGGGAGCTTCAGAGAGAAGCTTGTCGTAGGTGCCCTGGTCGAAAAGGACCATGTTGTTCACCTTCTCCTTTTGCTTACCCTTGCTCCACTTCTTCTTCTTCTGCTTGCCTCCTCCGGACTTGGCCGGCTTCGATGACGGCGGCGGGGCCTTATCCTTCTTGGGAGCCTGCAAAATAACACCGAATCAACAATCAAATGCCAAATCCCATGGTATGCGAAAATGGAGAGAAGCAGATCTAGGAAGCTAAACGCACCATTTGCGCTCAACACAGAGAGATCGCGCGAGAGAAGGCAGAGGTGTTGGTTTCGGCGAGACGGCGGCTTTGAGAGCTCAAGGGAAGGCAGGCAGCAATCTTGGATCTTCTAGGGTTTATACTCTGGTAACGTTTTGTACTATTTGGAACGATTACTAGTAGCCAGTAGGGGCTTGGTTAGGGTTTCCGTTTCTGGGCCCGTGGCTCAATTGATGAAAAGCCCAGCCCAAAAAAATTAATAGCGTTTAAAGAAAGATGGACGGGCCCACGATGGAGCAAAAACAAAAAGTCCGACTTGCCGGATTCGAACCAGCGACCTAAGGATATGCTGTTTTCAACTACAGTCCTCCGCTCTACCAACTGAGCTAAAGTCGGTTTTATTGTGATTTCGTACTTAACAATTAACATAATTGCGTGCGTCCTACAATAACCATTAACAAACATCTGAATCTGTCTATGGAATAGTATGAAAACCAAAGAGCACAGATAAGACTCTGAGCCAAAATAATAGCTAAAATATTTAAAAATTAGAATATACCATTTTCTTTAGACAAGGTTTATGAAATTTAAGTACAAGATTAGCATATGCTGGTGTGATTGCTCTTCGATGTTGTATTGTTTGTGCAGAATACTATTGAATGCATATCTTTTGAAATCTAAGTACGGATGATGAAACAATTTTTCATATTAATGTAGGTTGTCTTGGCAAGCACTTTGTCTCTTGCCCAGCTTTGATTACACCTCCGATTTCTACATGTCGGATGAAACAATAGTTCACTTGGTATAGCGCCTTTCTGTACACCCTGATCCATCTGAATTAATTGTGACACGCACATATAATGTAAATTTTCATTCCATATCTAAATACTAGACAATGACACCACAATCGGTATTCGGTACCAGTAATAATGTATGAATAGAGGACATGCATGGTATTACTCCCAACCACATCTTTTGTTTCAATTTCCAACCTCAGACTCTCCAATCAAACATTTAGTAAACTCGAAGTGATTCAGGCATAAACCTCGTATGTAATACTTCGAAGTTCCAACTACAAAAAGCTGTCTTAGCATTAGCTTAATTCATAAAAGGACAATTGACAAAAGTGTTGTTTACAATAATAATAAGGGTGAATCTTTGTCCTTCTTGTAGCCAAATCAGCCTCCACTCCCAAGCCCAGGATGGCCCAATAATATAATTTTGTCGTGAGAGAAAAAAGGGGGTCAGAACTTGATGTTCCATCAACTTTACATAGTACAAATTGACAATGTAATTAACAAATATAATCAAATAGTTATTGATCAAGCAACTAATTAAGTGCCTATATGGTACCCACTATGGTCTAGTTTAATGAGCACAAATCTTGATAATGTATAAATAAATCTCCTAAGCCTATATCAGCCTTATCCAATGACAAGTACAATCCTCATTACATAGCCTTTACATGTACATATCTAAAGACTAAAGCCACCCCCTTTGCATTATTGACAACACGCCGTGATCCCGGGTATGTAATCGGTTCGTTTATAAATAGATTGTATTGCGAGAGATATACCGTCTTAGAGAAGAGAAAGTTCGTTTATCCAAATTAAAAAACAAATGAATAAATTAGTACTAGATTATATTATTTTTTTCGCAACAACACTACTAATTGTACTTTAAAGAGAGTCTTTACACATGTACACTGCTTAAATTAAAGGCTCACGAACTGTATTGATAAAGTTTCTCTTTTTATTAAAACCCCACGAAAAATAATTGAGCAAGGGAGGGCCATTTGTTCAACTAAAGATGCAGAATCTCGTGTACTAAAGCCCCCCCTAAATCAATTATTATTGTTCTTTATTTGTGTCTGCCAAATGGGGCTATTTTTACTCTTTATTTTTAAACTAAATGGCTCTTTTATAATTACACTTTCGTTTTGTTTGGTGAGATTTATAGTTACATACTTACACTTTAGCAACGACAGAGCCCTTTTTTTTCCACATGTAACGGCCTCGTCCATTTACTTAACCTACCATAAAACAATCGGGTGTGCCTACGGTGACATGCATGTTACGGTGACTTGCACTTTTCGGTCGACCTCAGCTAGGATTAGGTCGACCTCATTTAGAATTCGGTCGACCTCATATAGGATCCGGTCGACCTCATTTAGAATTCGGCCGACCTCATATAGGATCCGGTCGACCTCATTTAGGATTCGGTCGACCTCATATAGGATCCGGTCGACCTAATCTGTTGTTTCAGTGTAAAAACAGTTCACGGTGCTTACTTTGGATATTCATATCATACAATTGGCTAGATGGAAATTGAAGACTAATGACTTGTTTTGAAGCTGGAGTGTCCCTCTACATATTGAAGTGATTGATAGCTCAATAGGAAGTCCAGAAGACCATTTTTGAACCTCATCAAAAGGCTATGCCAAAACTGGGAAACTGCCTAGAAATGGCTAAGTCTGGAAACGTGTTTGTGAAGTCTATTTTTGAGCTCAATTCGAGAAACATGAATGCGAGTCGAGTCCAGGAGCCTCTACCACGTTAAATTAGGTATGTTTTTATACAAATTCAAGGAATTGGATGAAAGATTGGATATCTTTAAGGCTTCAAACAAAAGGGTTGAAGTTGCTAGGAAGGCTGTTTTTCTGGCAGACTTTGAGCACAAGCAAGCTGCCAGAAAAACAGCCTTCGTAGCAACTTCGAGCCTTTTGTTTGAAGCCTTAAAGATATTGAATCTTTCATCCAATGCCTTGCCTTTGTATAAAAAAAATACGTAATTTAACGTGGTAGAGGCCCCTGGACTTGACTCGCATCCATGATTCTCAAATTGAGCTCCAAAGTAGGCTTGACAAACACGTTGCCAGACTTAGCCATTTTCAGGCAGTTTCCCAATTTTGGCATAGCCTTTTGGTCAGATTCAAAAAAGGTCTTCTGGACTTTCTATTGAGCTCCCAAGTACTTTAATGTGTAGATGGACACTTCAGCTTCAAAACAAGCCTTTAATCTCCAATTTCCATCTAGCCAATTGTAAGATATGAATCTCCAAAGTAGGCACCATGAAACTGTTTTTACACTGAAACAACTGATTAGGTCGACCGAAAAGTGCATGTCACCGTAGCGAAGTCCAAAACATTAATAATGTTGTTGTCTCATATGAGTGAGATGGACGAGATGATAAAATATCACATTGAAAATTTACGATCATGCTTATTGATGGTTTGCATCCTTTCCTGTGGGAAAGTGAATTTTTTCAATAGGTTGGATAATTGCATATTCAAATCTCCAATTCGATCAATTCATAATCAACTGTCTTATCATTTACACTTGTTAAATGTTGTGATTTTATTATCCATACCCAAAATAAAAAATAAAACTATAATAATAAATTTTTTGAAATTTTGTTATCATCAATTGAATTCATATATGTGTGATCTACCATTCAATAACAAATTCAATGACTTATAAACGGTTGACGAGGTGGGGGGAAATGATGGAAGCAAATTAGCACAAATTATATCTATTTGTTGAAATATACTTTAAAAACAAATTACATAAATTGAAAAGGCATATAACCATATATATATAGTACCTTCTGATCAAGATGCCCTAACCTAACCCAACCCAGAAAAGAAAAGATTACAGACCATACACAGAACAGAGATAAAATGTCTCGGGTACCAATTAAGTTTGAGAATTGAGGTAGACATACCACTTAACTTTGAATAGTGCATCGGTTACCATTAAAGTCGTCAAAATGTACATCCAGTCTTCCATCCAACCCAAAATTTTAATTACTTTTTGGTACCCAAAACTTTTAAAAACATCCAAAACTATATTACAATAAGTATTAACTAATATAAAAATTAGAAAAACCTCTAAACAAAGTATTACTAGAATGGCTAGTTAAATTTTTTCAATAAAATAAATTAGTAAAAACAATAAATGAGTATCAAGAAGGAATAATAAAAATACTAGAGGATACTAATAAATATTTAAAATCAATATTAGAATATCTATTTAAACCCTTAATTCAATTCAAAAGCATCACTAAAAATAGTTAAAATAGAACATAGTTGACCGTTAGTACATCAAGACTAAAGAAAGATAAATGGAACACAATCACAAAGATTTGACCATATTCCAGAAATTGGAAAAAAATAGAGCAAAAATATACGAAAAGTAACCAAGAAATAAGTAAACTATAAAGCTACAATATTTAGTAACATATCTAGAAAATAAAATATGGAGCATCTATAATATAATATTATAAAATTACAAGGAGATTTAAAATGGAAAATTAGACAACATCAACATGATATAAGAGAACTAAATATAACATCCTCAGATTACTTATATCGAGTCAGAAGTCATAGGATGCATTTGTTTTAGGGAATAATTCAATTATTAGAAGACGTAATGATAATTAAAAATACTTATAATGATAATTTATTCTAATTTTTCTACTCAAAGTTGGTTTGTTATTATAGTTTTCAAAAGAGAATTCCAACGAAAAAATAAAAAAAATGATGATTTTCATAAGTTCAAAAGGTGTTTTACAATAAGAAAAGTAGAAAGACCAATTCTGAAATTTAGAAAACAGAATATTCCAAAAATATTCTGTTAACTTTTACAGAATGCACTTAATATTTAACTTAAGTGGTACTGAGTGCACATATAATTGAGTTCAGTGTGATGCCCTATTCTTACTTAAGTGGTATGAAATATTATGTTAACTTTTACAGAATGCACTTAATACTTAACTTAAGTGGCACTGGATGCACATATAATTGAGTTCAGTGTGATGCCTTATTCTTACTTAAGTGGTATGACTCCCCCAATTCTTATACTTAAGTTATATCCGAAGTATTTTACCCCACAGAACAGTAAACAAATGTGTAGAAGCCCATCCTTGTAACTTTCAACTTATGAAAAATAATAACTTTTAACCTATAACAAATAATCTGTATTCAAATAATAACAATACAAACTATAACCAAATGGAATACATACTACATGGTATAGAAATTTATTTGAAAAAAAACAAAGTGCAATGACTAAGAAGGCCATTAACTCTTCTAGAAACTATTTGGATTTCCCACAAAAAGAAAAAGGGTTTGATTTTATTTATGTTTTTAGAAGTTCATTAAACCGTGTGCTACCTAAAATTTTAATATTATTTACAAAACAACACGATGGGGGTAGTCGTTTTCATATTTTTATTATATATTGTAGTATTTATAGGTATAAATTTCTTTACTTTTTTATCGAGAATAAAGAGACGTAATCAATTAAATTATTTCAATAGAATATAATGCTTGAGAATATATTTTTATTAGCATTATTCCACCAGCTGCCTGGATGGGTTAGTTATGGGAGGGTTGGAAGAAGAAGAAGGAACTTATCAGGAACTGAAGTGAACCAATAGTGCCATTATCAAAGAATTCCACTTGGAATTATATTGTTGCAGAATCTGATTCCATGTTTAATCAAAATTTGACTTAATCATCTAGGAGGGACAAAAACAAAAAGTTTTCAGCATACAGTGCAATTCATAGAAGTTTTCGAGCATAAGACATCTAGGTTTAAGACAAATAATATTACCGTCATATCAAATCTTTATTCGCAATTCATAGGATGTTGATTGGCTTTAAATATGGTATGGTTTAAAACAAACAGAGAGATCCACACAATGGATTGGTGGCACATAAGAAAAGCTGGTTTCTTTTTTGGTGGGAACGATCGAAATGGACAGAAGTGAGGCTGATTAAGGTTTTCTGTACTGTGCTTCTTAATCATTGTTTAATTCCTCTAAGTGCAGTAGATTAAGCAGCAAGTGGCATTAGCAGGATAGATCTCAAAGCTCAAAAGATGGAGGTAAAGAGAATTAAGGAGAAAGTGTGGTGGTGGGACAGAGGGGGATTAGCATTAGGGAAGAGCTCTCTGTCTCTTCACTAATCTCATCTCTGGGTTTCTTAGTATTGAAGGAAAATCTGGCAATGGCTACGTGGTTGCTCTTCCATCTGGGCTTTTTCCTTGAGGGGCCTCCTTTAACGGCCCATTCTCAACGACTTTCTTCTTTTGTTTTCTCCACTACATCTGAGTATTTTATTTTCTTACTCTGAAAGTGGTTTTAGTTAGTGGACCGGTAGCCGGTAGGGCTGCAAATGAGTCAAGATATGCGACACAACGTTAGTTTTGGGAAAATTTATGTTGGACATTCGGCTCGTTTGTTAATGATGCGAGGTTGACCTAAATCTTATGTGACTCACAAGATGCGGGAGCCAATTAAACTTGGTGACTTGTTGAGTTCAACTCGTGAGCTAAACTCAGTTTGAGCTACGAGCTGGCTCGTCGGTATGGGTAGCGAGCCACGTCAACTAGCAACTTTTGAGGGAATCGATTAATAGCTTACCATTGCCTTGTTGATAATTCATAGGCTTGTTAGATTCTATATCTCACCACATATGATGTTTAAGAATTCGAGCACGTGATCAAATATGTCTCATTTATAATTTAAAAGATAAATTATGTATCATAAATTGGTAAAGATACTAATTACTATTAAATAACATGATATGCATAATTAAAAATTTAGAACTAAATGATATGATACTTGAACTCGATTCGATCTCGCGAGCTGATTAATGAATCGAGCTTTGAGAACTCATTAATAAGCCGAGCTCAAATTAGGCTAAAACTTGACTCGACTCATTTGTGAAACTAGCGACACTATCTAGCAAAGCCATCCAAACAAGCTAGCTCCATTATGGTTCGGGAAGACGGCTACATTACTACACGAGTATTAGTTGTTTGGCGTGAATAAGCATCATGTTGCGATTCATTCTTCTGAACATGCACAATCCTTTTGACCTACCTAATGTAACTAGCAGCAGCATGATCATATCTGCAGGCCAAAGATATCATCAAAGTGGGGAATAATTATCCATGAAATATTAGATAATAATGGAGCTGTTGGCAAGTAAGGATATTCTTGAAGAATATGGGCAGATTAGGAAAGGGAGCCAGCTATTTGCACCCCCATAGGATGAAAGGAGAACAGAACACCCTCCACTTTTGCAGAATTCAGATAGAAAATGAGTCATGCAACCTAGAAACTGTGAATTCATTCTGTTTGCCACTATGCTTCACCATTAGGTGCCCTGCTGAATCAGCTTCTGAAGTGGTTCGAATATTATGGCCAGTTTGTAAGACAACAAGATGATATTTTATCAGGAAAAAAGAAGCAGACAGAAACCATCAATAATACAATGAAAAGAAGGATCAAAAGAGGAGAAAAGAAGAAGAAATGCATCCTCTCCCTCCACAACATGCATAATTAGCCAATTTAAATTTATGGGTTTGGTTCATATTTGAGGTATATCCTAAATAATTCTAATAAAAATATTTTCAATCATTAAAAAAAAAAACCATTTGAAATCATGAAATCAAACCGAATAACACACCATGCTAACCTCATATCACACCATCGAATCATTCCAACACAATATGCACACTGTCAATAAAGCTAAAATGGAATGTGGGGAATACAATACCTTCCTATGAAAATTTTAAAATAAAAATTACTAGTGAATCAGATTTCATTTTAGTTCCCAACTTAGAGAACAAAAAAGGTGATCATATAAGATACGCCTACTCTCCCTTTCTCCTATATATATCTCACTTCTCACAACTTAAACCTTCCAAGGAACAGCTCAACAAAAACAGAGCAACACTACCACTCAACAAAAAGAAAGCAAAGGAAAAGAAGAGAAAAGTAAAGAAAACAGAGCATCCTCTGTTTTCCCCTGTTCTTCCCTTTGTAATATCTACTGCTCTGTTTTTCTTCCTGCTACTCCGTTCCATGCTTTCTGGGAATCTATATCAGGCACGAATAGAGGTTTTATCTGTTTTGTCCCTGCTCGGAGAGATGGCAGCTACCATGATTTCTTTGGGTTACCAATTCGCTCTCGAGTGAAAGAATATTCCTTTCTGCAACCTTGTAAAGACGATTAAAAAAAAGTTCGTTTCTTTTTAGTGTTTGAATTGATTAAGTGAAGATGGATTCGTTCAGCATCACCAACCTCAAGGCCGTGAAAGCAAAGGCGATCCGAAAGCACAGGAAGATCGAGAAGATCACCAACATGTTCAGGTTGCTGGAAATCCTGGTCGTTCTGGCCGTGGTTTCCAGATTCTCAATTCACCTCCCAGTTGCCGCCAAGATCTCCGGCGATTACATCAAGGATGCAGTGCTCGCTCTCGCCAGCCCGCGGTTCGTATTCGTCGTGGGGAACGTGATAGTGATAGTCCTCTTCACCAAGTCCGGCCAGTTTCCGGGCCAAGACCGGAAGGGAAAGAAAAGCACAAAAGCTGATCTTTACGAGGAATTCGTGGAAATGAGCGGAAAGGTTCCACAGCAGCCTTCACCTGTGGAACAGAGGGCTGAAACAGAGTACAGAAGAAAACAGAGCAAAAGTACAGAGATTGTTGTCAGGGAAGAGGGTTCTTCCCCTGCTTCCTTAGGGATCGTGAAGAGTTATGAGAGGAGTCAATCGGAGAAGCTGCCTGCTACTAAATGGATTGTGAGCAAGTCTGAGAAGGAACTTAAGCGATCCGTGACGGAGAAGTTCAACGACAAGAGGAGTAATGGTTGTGGTGAGGAAGTAAAGACGAAGAAGAAGGAGAAGGGTTCGTTTCCAGAGGACAAGATGAGCAGCGAGGAGTTCAAGAGCACGATTGAGGCCTTCATTGAACGGCAGAAGAGGTTCCGAAGAGACGAAGAGATCTCTGTATAGACTGTATTTGTGGGTTGAAGAAAAAACCAGAGCTTCTTTTGGCTTGGCTTGCTTCTATACAGATGAAGAACCTAATGGATGGTTTGTACATTGCTATCGAAAACCAGACACGCAATGTAAAAAAGGAATATCATCGACTATAAATGTTGTGTTTTTGTCCATTTTAGCTTCCAAGTTTTCTCTGTCAAGTTGAAAGGAAAAGTTGGTTTTAGATACTGGTGTGGTAAATGTATCAGCTTTGCACAGCGAGACACCTGATTTAGGTCTCGTTATGGTCATTATGAAGAATATCACTTACGATAGATATCGAAGATCTTGTGCTTGAGTTCATCTACTACGACGAATTAGCTTACAGTTATAGCGAACGAGATTCACCGTAACTTCTGCGAAAAAGGACCCTAGCCAAAATGGATTTAGATAAATCCAACTGTAAAAGTGGGAGAAACTTTACTGGAACTAATGGGAATTTGAAATATGCTGGCTGCTGATGTGAGGAGAATTCGGATTCCAAAGGACATGAACTTGGCATATGATGACACTGATATTCTCATCTTGATGGGATAAAAAGATATGGCATGAAGTGGTGGTAGATTTGTATTCACATTCTGCTCCACAAAGTAAAAGAAAAGAGATAAGAAGAGCAAAGAAAAGAGGGAGGGGGGAAAAAGGAAACAAACCCCATAATTCAAAGATTCCTGAGAACTGCTCATTGGCCAAATGGTTCAAAAAACTTGCAGACATGAACAGGGGACCAGAAAAGCAAGAAAGAGTGATACTTTTGGAGTGAATTGAGTGAGTGAGGGCAATCCAATCCACGCTGTGTAGGGAAAAGAGCTCTCACTCGTTCAAAGTTCAAACTGGTGCCTAATCTAAAATCTGATTCCTGACTCAGCAGTGTCGCCTGAGCCAGAGCCAGTGAGGCTGACAAGACATAAAAAGCTAAGGCAGAGAACGAACCCTCCAAAAAGAAGCCAGGGCATAGGCTAATGAGTAAAGGGTTCTAAGAGCTGTGCTTCATTCATAGTTGGGAACACTTTCCTTCTCAGCTTTCGATAAGCAATGGAGCTTGCCTCCTGCTAAATTGACATGTGAAGGATGGAGTGGTACAGATTTTATGTTCTTTATGTGCTTCTCTAGCAGTTGTCTCTCGAAGGGCATATTCTGGTAAGTTGGCCTTACTTAGGGTAACTAATGTTTATAATTATACAGACAAAAGTAGGGTTAGTTCTTTATTTCATACATAACGTTATCGAGTGTTGAGTGTTCAATTTATCATACTTGCTTCCCTTTGAAAATATTTCGCTGCTGTTCATTCTAGTTCGAGTACAAAAAGAAATACTACCCCAAATATTCCTGCACTATTGCTGTGGTAATTGGGATGATAGTTAACAATGCAACTAAAATAACTAACTTGACTATCCAATATTGAACTAATCGTATAGCAAGTGGCCAGCTTACGACCAGACCTACTAAATGGATTCTGCCAAGCCAAACTACGTCTGCCACAGTAAAATTGGGTGTGGATTTCTGGTAAGGCTCCACAAAGAAGACTGTAACTTGGAAGAGCTAAACATGTATTAACAGTAAAGTTCCCACAAGGCATAAAAGGCACAGCAATCTGATCACCTTAGAACCAGAATCACAAGGTGGTCCAAAAGTAATGTGACGACTAAAATTAGGAAAACACCGTAAAGACGCATACCAACTTCATATTTTGACACTTCCACAATATTCGCCGTCGTAATATCCTTCCCCTGGCAACAAGTGCGGCAAGGGAGTGCCTCTGGTGAGGAAAAAGTACTCCAAGAACCAAAAACAAGATCAGCACAGGCATGCCTTCAAAAGCATAAAAATTAATGCCTGTGTAAAGCTTTAAACTGCCATCTTCATTTCAATCTTCTGTTCGGGGTCATAGCCTATTAGCTTGAAGTCAGATGCTGAGAAAGAGTCTATATCTTTCTTCTCTGGATTGATCTTCAAGATCTGGATCAATCACACCACATGATGGAAATGTTAAGCTCCAATAAAGGTCAGTTAATAGTTTATCAGCAACAAAGTAACTCGTTCTGCTTCCACTATTCACTTACCGGGAAAGGCCTTGGTGATTTCTTAAGTTGCTCCTCAAGAGGCCTTACATGAGTCACATATACATGAGCATCGCCAATCACATGTACGAACTCCCCAGGGACAAGATCTGCGCCAAGATAAACATGGCGGAAGTTAGGCTCCCCATAGAGTAAACAAGTAACGTTGTTAAAAGTTTATTTCAATAGAGTTTCTATCCACGGATGGTAATCTACAACGTATAACTTACACTGCAGAAATCCACCAGAACCAATATCCCTTAGGAAAACTAATCTGATGTATTGTACAAGCTCCCAAAAAGGGAACAAATAAGACAGTCTTATACTCTGTTGAGCATATGCCAACTTAATAGTCATTGGATAATTCATAATTGTCTTCCAAAATACAAAAAAATCACTGAGAACTTAAATGTTAGAGAGACAAATTTAGTACCATACCACAAACATGAGCAATCATGCACGTCAAGAGTGCATAAGATGCAATGTTGAACGGCACACCAAGGCCCATGTCAGCAGAACGCTGATACATTTGGCATGACAGCTCCCCATTTGCCACATAAAACTGAAAAATATGATATTAGCGTTTTCATAGCATGTATATAAGGATGATGTGAAAATACAAGGTTGTACTTGTACCAACCTGAGCAAACATATGGCAAGGAGGAAGAGCCATAAGTTTGAGATCAGCAGGATTCCAAGCTGAGAGTATAATACGACGGTCATCTGGGTTGTTCTTGATCTTATCAATAACATCGGACAGCTGATCAAAACCTTGGCCAGTGTAGTCCGCATGCATGTTAGTATACCTGGATAAAAAGGTTCCAAAGAAGACAAAGCATGTGATCATCAATGTAAACAAAACCCGTGGTATAGAAAGACTGAGTGAAAGAACAAACCTCGCACCAAAGTGCCTCCATTGGAACCCATATACGGGGCCCAAATCACCTTCCTCTCTATCCTTCAATCCAATTCTGGAATTTCATATAAAAGTTAGTACGAAGTTTGTAACATAGCTGGCATTTACCATTTAGTCTTCCACGATAGGAGAGGAACTTAAAGGTAAAGAAGTAAAAGTACCAACAGGATTTACCTATCAAGGTAATCCCTTGATGCATTGCCATCCCATATATGAATTCCTTTGTCCTGAAGCGCCTGTCAACAATCAAATGACTGAGAACTGCAGGCAGATACATTATCTTAAAGCCACATAAAAGGTAACGGGAGTATTTCGGCCACAAAAGTTACAAAGTGAGAATTTCTTCCCAGTGAATTAAGGGCAATCATTATACCACTCCGACACCAGTGTCTAGAGCAGAAGAATCTATCACACTTCCGGACAGTACTAATAAGGGAAAAGACAGCCAATTGAGTGTATTCACCTTGGCACTGGTTGATCCACTAATGAACCAAAGAAGTTCTTCAAGAACACCTCTCCAGAACACTTTCTGCATAACAGAATAGGAAGAATTTATGAAACATACATCAGAAGAAAATTTTCGTCCGAGATCCAACACGTTCCTAGATTGGCCTGTTGCGATAAGTTTAAGTAGTAAAAGGGAGAAAAGCAGGACAGTGGAAAAAAACAAACATAATAAGCATAAAAAATATACAAGGAAACAGTATTACTAATGTCTTTCAGAAATACAAATGATTAACATGCCTTTGTTGTCAGAAGTGGAAAGGATTTACGAAGATTGAACCGCATCTGTGACAAAACAGAACCAATAAATATCATTAGCTCTACATCACAAGTTGAGAAAAGGGAATCACACCAGGTGCACTGCTGGGAAGATTACCTGGCAGCCAAATTTAGATAAAGTACCAGTTTGCGTCCTGTCATCCTTTGAATTGCCAGTTGATAAGATGTCCTGGACCAATCTCAAATACAAGAACTCCTCATGCTTCTCAATTACAGTTTTAGGGAGGAACGAGAACTTCTTTATCTCAAACTTACTGTTTTCCACACCGTTACTAGATACTTGAGCATCAGATCCACTCTGGGAGTCAACGACTGAACTCCTCACTCGAGCATAAGTTGTAAAACAATACCGTATGCCATTTTCCACAACAGGAGGAGATGAATACCAAGGCTGAAATACCGAGTAATCAATGGCAGGAATGAAAGTATCACATTCAAAGCTGGTGTGAATTTCTGTTAAGTGAATAGCATCACACTTTGAGGCATTAAGAGATTCCCTGCAAAAGAATACTCAATTACTAATATGGAGAAGCAACAAAAGAGACCAGCATAACAACGATACGTGAAACCTGAGGGGGTGTAACCTTAATATTTCGCCACCTCCAATGACAAAGACCTTCTCAATAGAGAGACAATAAGGTGATGCAGCCAATAATTCCAATGCAGAATTCATGCTTCCGCATATCACAACATTCTCAGCAGTTGCAATATTAAAGCTCCCAGAACGAGTGAGTACAACGTTAAGACGTCCAGGCAGAGGGCGGTGCTGAAGCGGGATGCTTTCCCATGTTTTCCTACCCATTATGACTGCATTCTTTTTCCCAGCATCAGATGTATTCAAGGTAATGTCTTTGAAGAACCTGAGATCAGAAGGCAGTTTCCAAGGCAATTTCCCGTCTTTGCCAATACCCCAATCCTTAGTTGCAGCTACGACAACCTGGTAGGTCCTCTGTGGATCTGGCTGTCCAGCAAGATTGCCATTTGAAAGGCTTGGAACTGCACCACCTCCCATCTTCGAGCAGAAGGCCCTCTGGAAACTGAGAGACGATAGTGTCTCAAAGAGCACACCGCACTGCAGAGTTTTGCAGAATTGCAGTGGGAACTGAAAGTAGAAGAAAACATGCAAGTCAAACTCTTAAACATCACCTCTATATCCACCATGACTGGGAAAAAGACATTACCGGAAGAAATGAACCAAGACCAGCTAAATTCCATAGCCATTCCAAAATCATAAACCACAAACTGAAAAAGAAAGCAGACCTAACGCTGCCTCAACGAAACCTCGTCCTACTCTGAAATTGACTGTTACCCTTGGTTCCTTACGAGGCAAATTTAGATTCTGTACACCAATGCACATGTCCTAAGTCCTAACTTGATCGAAGATCTTAAAGCAGCCGAATTGGTCATCAGTTTCAGTAAGATACAAGAGACGATATCAATCTCAACCGCCAATTTTGGAGGCCAGTAGCAAGGAATAGACAACTGAAGCACGAAACTGACAAAGAAAACTCCAAACATCGCCATCTACCAACAACTACCACCAACCACATTTAGCACCAACGAAGGAACCCACAGCGAGAACACGGAACCTCTAGAAACAAACTCAAGAAAGCAAGCAAACGCTGTGTACTAAATGTACCAACCGATCCGGTGCCGAATCGCGAGACGAAGAAATGGAATCTTCGCGCCACAACTTCCAGTTGGGAGAGATGGTGATTAGGGTTTCAGTTTCTGAAAAATCTTGGGTTTTGCAGGGGAAGCAGCACTTGGAATGCAAGCAGTAATGGAGATGAGAGAGTAGAGAAGCGAAGAGAAAAGGGCGGAAAGAAAATCCCGCCTTTGGGCCTTGGATCCGAGAGGAATATGCAGAGGAATAGTGAGCAGAAGGAGAAGAAATCCAGAGAATTGCGGGATACTGGATAGTGCCGGCGCGGCTGTTTTCACCCAAAAAGGCGGGAAATTTCCAAGGGCCAACCAATGAGAAAGTGTCACGTCATCGACTCATCGCCCTTTGATCTAGGCCGTCCACTTGTACGACACATGATGGAGCTTTGCGCTTCTTCTTACTTGGACGTCTTAATTACTCCAGGGAACGACGCAACCTAACGAAAATTTGCGGAAGAATCACCAAACTTTCCACCTCTCACGTTAAGCAGCAAAAAGTTTTTCTAACGTACTTTCCACTCCATTCATAATGCATCTGAATCAAAGTTTTTTTTTTTTTAGAAATCTGAATTTTATTCATCTCTTAAACATCCTTCTCAAGAAAGGAAAGGATAGACAAAGGGGGTCTATGGACCCAGAGTTCTGTAGTATCCCAGTTACAATTTAAATGGGCCATGGCATGGGCCGGTTCATTTCCGGTCCGTTTTGTAAATCTCCAGCAAAACGACCCAAGCCTCGCCGCTTTTGTCTTGATCTCTCGGGCCAACACTCCTCCTTCCAACCTTATCATTTCCTCCGCCTGCATCTGGTGAATGGCGTTGAGGCAATCGCTTTCCACCTCCACCATCTGAAAATTGTTCTCCTCCGCCGTCTCCACTCCAAACGCAATTGCTCGCAGCTCAGCTAATTCCGGCGGCCATTTGATCTTATCTCGACGCACTGCTGCCAGGAGGAACTGCCCATTCGCGTCTCTTGCCACCACTCCCAACCCAGTTCCTTCCTCCGCTAGTACCGCCGCGTCCACATTCAGCTTCACCCAGCCTTCCTGCGGTTTCTCCCATGTATCATTTCTTCCTTCCCTCTCTTCCTTCTCCTTCGTGTGATGTAATTGGAATTCCTCCCAATATGCTAGGGCACGCCCCACGATCTCCCATTCTTCAGCTTTTTTCTTGTTGAACATGTGATTGTTCCTCTCGTTCCACATCAACCATAGTAGTATGCCTAGCTTTTCTAGGATTTCATTCTCAGTTAGATCCATAACCGCACAGAGCCAACTCCCCGCTGATAGATTGGGTTCAACTTCGAAAAGAGATTTGAACATGGAGTCTCTCCAGATTCTAATTGCCCACTGACACTCCCTGAAAATATGATTCTGGGTTTCATCTAGGAAACAGAAAGGGCACTCTGTTGCTGCCTCTTTCTTTCTTAGCTCAATGTTTTTCCCTGTAGGGAGGATCTCATGAGCTAATCTCCATAGGAAGATCTTAACTTTTGGCGGAATCATTAGTTTCCAGAGTCTTTCACAGTCCATGGGATCATAGATTTCCACACTTTCCTCTGCACCATTACCCTGCACTGCTTCCATATCACCATCTATCTCCTGTCTCGTCAGCTTTCTCTGCATTTGTTTTTGTAAGCTGATTTGACTGTGTAACAACCCCTTCTTTCTGCACGCCAAACTAGGGTGTCCTCAGCTGGTTGCCTTGGTATAGGAATGGCAAGTATGTTAACTCTGTCTGTTTCATTGAAGTGAGTCTGCAACATGTTCCTTCTCCAGCTGCCTTGCCCATGGTCAATTAGATCAATGACCCTAGTTAAACCCCCAGCAGTAGGCTTAGGTGTTGTCACTCGAAACTCAGTGTCCTCTGCACCCGCTACCCATTTATCTGACCATATACTGATAGTCGAGCCATTACCCACTCTCCATCGAAGTCCATCCTTCACAATCTGTTGAGCAGCCATGATGCTTCTCCAAGTATAGCTAGGATTAGACCCTAATCTTGCCTGAAGAATGGTGGAATTTGGGTAGTACTTTGCTTTCAGCATTCTAGCTACTAGGGATTCTGGATTGTCAATGAGATTCCAGATTTGCTTCCCTAACAGAGCTATGTTGAAAGTCTTCAGCCCCCTAAACCCCATTCCTCCCTCCTTATTTGGTTTACACAATTTGTGCCATGCTTTCCAGGGGATTCTCCTCTCTTCCTTCTGCTGTCCCCATCAAAAATTTGCTATGGCCTTCCTCATCTCACTCAACACACCATCAGGTATAAGAAACACAGACATTGAGTAGGTGACCTGAGCTTGTGCCACTGATTTTATCAGTACTTCTTTAGCTGCTATGGAAAGGGTTTGTCCTTTCCAATGCTTTATTTTCTTTCTTATGCGGTCCACCAGTACCTGAAACGCTGCCTTTTCCCCCTGCCCATTATCGTAGGTATCCCTAAGTATTTTTGATGAAATTCCACTTGTCTCATACCAAGAATATTAGATAATTCGTCTCGTTTGATCTGATCCACACTTGGACTGAAACTGAGTTCAGATTTTTGCAAGTTAACCACCTGTCCTGACTCCTCCTCATAGATCTTAAGGATATCCTTTAAATGACTGCTTTCTTGGGGAGTAGCCCTTGTAAACAGGATGCTATCATCCGCAAACAGAAGGTGCGAGATAGCTGGTCCTCTGGCTGAGGTTTTTAAGCCATGGAGCTTCCCTGTGGCCACTGCATTATTCAGTAGGGTAGCCAAGCCTTCAACACAGAATAAGAAGAGGTAGGGTGAAAGGGGGTCACCCTGCCTCAAACCCCTCTCTGGCCTGAATTCCTCAGATCTATGGCCATTAACCAGTATAGAGTAAGTAACTGTGGTTATGCACTTCATGATCATTTTCACCCATCTTTATGCAAAACCAAGTTTTAACATCATAGTCTCTAAAAATTCCCACTCCACTCTGTCATATGCTTTTGATATGTCCAGTTTGGCTGCCATAAAACCTTTCTTAGCTCGAGTTTTCTGCTTCATAGTGTGAAAACATTCGAAAGCCACTAAGATGTTGTCTGTAATGAACCTTCCCGGTATAAATGCACTCTGTTGCTCTCCTATCACCTGATTCAGCACCCTTTTCAGCCTATTTGCAAGTACTTTTGACAGAATTTTGTATAGTACATTGCATAGGCTTATAGGTCTGAATTCCCCAGGAGAGGTTGGTTTGCTTTTCTTTGGGATCAAAGCAATCAAAGTCTTGTTCAGTTCCATAGGGAACTCCCCAACTTCTAGATAAGTCCTCAATTCACCTAGGACTGTCTGCCCTACCACGTTCCAGTGTTTCTGAAAGAACCTAGCAGACATTCCATCTGGTCCAGGAGCCTTATTGGGTCCCATACTTTTTAAAGCCATCCATATCTCCTCATCTGTGAACGGCTCAAGAAGAGCCTGATTCATTTCTGTTGTCACTCTAGGGGTCACTAGAGGTAGGATTGTACTCACATCTGGTCTTCTTCCTCTAGCAAACAGCCTCTGCATATGTTCTAGCATGCAAGTTGTCACCTTCTGTTGGCCTATAAACACTCGGCCAGTTTCATCTTGAAGCCTCCTTATAGTGTTCTTTCTTCTTCTCTCGGAGGCTTTCCTATGAAAATAGCCTGTATTTTGATCCCCCACCCTTAGCCAATCAGCCCTTGATCTCTGTTTCCACTTCATCTCTTCTTAGAGGATGATGTCATTTAATTCTTGTTCAATTATTTTCCTCTGTTGTAGCATTGACTTGGTTCGTTTCCTCTTTTCCAAGGCCAGCAAAGTCTTTTCTGCCTTCTTCCTTCTTAGCTTCAGAGAGCCAAACGCTTCCTTGCTCCAGGTATTCAATTTCTCCTCACATTGTTTAATACATTCCAACGATCCTCCCTCTTGTTGGTTCAAAGCCTCTTCAATTATTTTGTTGCAATCTTCATGCTTTTCCCAATATGGCTCATAGCGGAAAGACCATCCCCAAGTGATATCTTCTTCCTCTAGATCCAGCTTGATTTGGATTGGTATATGATCTGATTCGCATCTCTCTAAATGATAAACTCTCATATTAGGATAGAGTTCCTTCCATTCTTTATTTCCTAAGGCTCTGTCAAGTCTCTCTTCTATATAATCTTGGTCAGCTCTACTGTTCTCCCAAGTAAAAGTTCGCCCATAATAGCCACAGTCTTCAAGATTGCAAAACTCAATTGCTTCCCTGAACATTTCCATTTCCTTTTCAGCAGGTTCTCTATTCCCACTCTTTTCCGGATAGTCAGTGATTAAGTTAAAGTCCCCAACCACTAGCCCTGGTAATTGAACTTGCTGGCTCAATCTTTCTAGCAGTTCACAAGTCTGTCTTTTAAGACTTGCTTCAGGCCATCCATAAATTCATGTTAGCCTCCAAGCTTGTCTGCAATTTGACATCTTAATTTCCACATCCATAATGTGCAAGTCCCTACCTTTGACCTCCACCTCAATGTCTTCCTTCCACATCATCAGCAGTCCTCCCGCTCTATTCTCTCATGCTGCCACTCCTTTCCCATCAAAGAAGCCAAGCTCTTTTATTTTCTTTTTCCACTCATATTCATATTGTTTTGTTTCCATCAGAAAACAACATCGGGATTTGTATGGCGTAATAACGCCTTAAGCTTCTCAACTGCCGGGGTATTCCCGAGACCTCGGCAGTTGTAGCTCAACAAACTCATTGAGCTGGGCGGCTCTGCTCCTTAGCAGAGTCCGCCACATCGCCATCCTTTATTTTTGGTATGTTCACTTGTTCAGTCTCTTCTTCAGGTAGCTTAAAAGTCAATTTCTTGGCTTTCTTCACTTGTACTTCCGGATCTAGTTGAATATTTCCTTCCTCCCCAGCATTCTGAGCATTTCTTTTTTGGGGAGTTATCTGTGTGGGGTTATGTGCTCTTTCTTTAGTATGCTCCTGCCTGCGCCAGACTTTGTTTATGCTTCGTTGTTGATTTTTCATTAATTCTGGTCCCATCACAAACTGCTATAAAGCCCCTCCAATCCCCAGATGTCCTAACTCACGACTGTGCATTGCTTGGGGTCCATCCTTCTTTACTACTGTTTGCCTTTCTGTGATAACTTCTTGGCCTCACACATGTTCTACTCCCATGTTCTTTTGGTGAGTCTCCCTTGCTCCTTGTATCTCTTCTATTATCTGTTCTCTTTTATCTGCTACTTCCTGAGGGGGTGGAATTTCATGATCTGAATTCGATCCTGTACTTTCCCAATCAAACTTCTTTCTCAGTGATGCCCAAAGTGTTTCATCTTCCTTTTTTAGGGAATGCGATAGCCAACTTCTAGGCCCCGGTGCTCCAGCTCTCAGGTCCATCCCAAAGGGATCAGGGTTTAAACCTGATGGTTTCGGGCATCTCAGCTTTGGGTGCCCAATGCGACCACAGGAATAACAGAATATAGGTAGCTTTTCATACTTCACCATATATTCAGTTAACTGCCCCTTGATATTCATTTTTATTTTCCTTCTAAGGGGGTTGTTTATAGAGAGGCTCACCCTCAATCTCATGTATGTGTCCCACATTGACCTGGGGCTATCGTCAAACCAGATGAGTGAGCCAAACCTATTGGCTATTTTCTCAGCCATTGTTTGCGTTCTAAGCTCTGCTGGAAAATCTTTGATCTGAATCCATATATCCAGCATATGTAAAGCTTCAGGAGTAGGCTTCTTTATCAGTAGACTTGCCATGAAAACCATGGCGTTGTTTTCATAGTGCCAGGGTCCTCCAAAGCAAACCCTATCTCTATCATCTTCATCCAGAAATTGAAAAGCAAAAAGCATGTCTCCCAATTCTGTTATCTGGAAGTTTTTCTTCAGATTCCATGCTTTTGCCAGAGCGATCTTTAATGACTTTATGTTTGGTGTTTTTTCAGCTACCAGGCGGCCAATCAGCCCGAATCGACGCACCGCCTCCATTCTGAAGACATCCACATCGTTGTCATCAACGTCCAAAGGTGTCTCATCTTCATCCTCCAGTGTGATGTTGTCCAATTGGACTTCCAGGCTTTCTGATGTGCTTTGGAGCTCATGCTCTCGATCAAGCTCCCCTGTCTCCATGACTCGCTCTGTAGTGCTCTTTCGAAGTCAGAGATATTGTATCTCGTTCCATGATGCAGATCTGCAAATCTCAACAAAAAACAATCTTGTGTTGCACAAAAGACCTTGCCAACGAAATCCTTGAGTATAAGTTTTCGTCTTCGCCACGGCTCAGTCGGACTATTAGGGTATCTCACAGAAACTCGCTCTTAGTATTGAAGAAGGACAAGGAAAACCTTACTCTAGTATATTCCAATGTTTCGAAAACCGAATAGCTATATGTCGATCGACTGGATTATCCTGGAAAACTTAGGGTTTCCGCCGCTCTCACAAGCTCTCGCTAAACGAGAGAATCCTTTTGAATGACTTTAATTTGTCAAAGTTTACTTCTTATTTCTTGAGAACAGCTAACTCTTTTTAACTAGGGACAGTTTAATAACATGTCTCTACCTTAGGGACGACACAAATGGTCTACATTACAAAACTTGTCCTGATACAGAACTTGGAAGTGTTTAAGGTAATGCAAAGGTTACAAGCTATAATAATCGGTCCATTTCCATGATGACTTGAAGCTAGATCAAGATTACAGGCCATCGAAGAATCGCATATTGTCTTCAAACGTCTCTGCGTGTCGGATCTTGGATACTGATCCATCTTCCTCCACCTGAATAGTCAAACACAGGTTCAAGAACAAATTAATAATCTCTTTTGCCATCCATTTCCCACTACTCTCTAGTATTTGAAGTCGTAAGATGACAAGACATGGTAATCGTACCCAGTATTCAGGAGGCCGCATCTTGAGATTATATGTTGATGCCATGCTCATGCAATAAGCTCCAGCATCATGAACAACCAACCCGGCTCCCTGCAAAGATACAACATAATGCATTTTATTCTCCAAACAGATATTCAGATAAGTAAAGTTAGTGAGAAGTGTGACAACTACATTACCTTGGCTGGGGTAGGAAGTTCCCTCTCCTTCCCCAGAAAATCAGCTGATTCACACACGGGACCAACGACGTCAAAGGTTGACACCTCTGCATTAGGTGGTGGAGGAGACACTAGCTCTATGTGCTACAAAAGAGACATAATGTACTTGTTAGGGCGAAGTTCTTGTTCACATAGGCCAGGGGCATGTGAATGTATACAAATACTGTGATCGAAACCACAACAATTAACTAGTCTTGATTGTTTTATTTACCTGATAAGCATCATACAGACTAGGACGGATGAGCTCCGCCATGCTTCCATCTATCACAACGAAATTCTTGGTTCCATTAGTCTTGACGCCAGTTACCCTATTTACCAGGCAGCAGGTATTGGCAATAAGGGATCTCCCTGGTTCAATTATGAGATTGAGATTCCTTGACAGCACCAATTCACGAACCTACAGAAACAAACATGAATTCAGATTTGTGAGGAACTAGCAACAATAGGAAATGGGTAGTTGAAGTGAAGTGGAGTGAGACCAATGAGCTGGAATACCTGACCTTTGAAAGTAAAGTGTTAAGAGATACTCACAGTGTCAATGAGATTCATCGGCTTGGGCAGGACTGCACCAGAGTGATAGTAATCTATGCCCAAACCACCTCCAATGTTTAGGTAATCGACTTCAAAGCCTTGAGAACGAATTTCATCAATGTAGTTGACCATAAGAACGGCAGCATCCCTAAAAATGTCCACCTAAATAGAAAACAGAAAGAAAAAAGAAGGATTAATAGTGGAAGGTAAGATGATACCAAATACAATTCATGGACCCAGTACAGGATTCAAGAAAAATTAAGAACAAAGGACTAGCTATTTTTAGACAATCCATGGCGATCTCATTCCAAAATACTGTGAAGACCTCACAAGCCGAAGTTGACATGATAAACCCAAAATTAGAGTGAAGCAGAAATTGACAAGCTACGACCAACTTAGAACAGTTCCACGTTCAAGTACTATGAGTTTGAACGTGTTCCACATGACAAGTCATACAAATATGGAATTCAAATTAAAAAATCTATATAAACTGGCTAATACTAGCTTGATGTGTTACACACACACCTTGGTAATTGTTGACCCGAGATGGCAGTGGGCGCCAACAAGCTTAAGCTCATCTGGGTGTGCCTTAACAGCATCCAGAAACCATTGCAGCTTCTCATTTCTGATACCAAACTTCGAGTTCTTGTTCCCAGTGGCAACATACGCATGTACCTAAGAGATACAAAGCATGAAGCATTTCAGATGGACAGCAGACATTTAAAACTTAGGAGGTAGAAAATCTTACAGATCTCAAATAAATAACATAGACATGAAAGGACTATGAACAACTTGGACAGGTTTGAAGCATAAGATTCCATTTTTCAAGCATAGTCGATGACATTGAACCCCAGTATGTGACAGGATCTACCAAAAAGAACTTTACGAAACTAAAACGTTAACTATCAGCCTAAGCAACTGGCAACTGGCATTTGACCTTCGAGATCTATTTCAGAATCTAGTGGTGGTTCTTGCTATCCAATATGAACAGGCACCAGACTTCAATTGTGACTATTTCCCCACAACTTCTTTTTTTTTTTATGAATCCCCACAACTTCTTTATTATCTCCTTTAGCATAATAATCTAGTCTACAAACTCACAGATTCCCTTTAAAAAAAAATTGTGACAATATCCAATAGAACCATTTAACAGAAAACAATCAGCATAATCCCACTGATTTCATATCACATACCTGAGGATCCACATCAGGATTGATGCGTAGCAAGACATTAACCTTCTTACCGGCAATCCTAGAAGCTGCGACAATATTTTCCAAATCAAATTCACTGTCTATATTAACAAAGACACCTTCTTGAGCAGCCAATACCAAATCCTCCAACAGCTTTCCATTTCCGTTAAATATACACCTGTTCCACAACCATAAGACATCCATGATCATAAATAATTCTCCACTATTCGACACCAATCAAAAGCACAAAGCTTCAATAGAAAACTCTTCCTTACAATGCATATGAACACTAGCAAACCAGAAACTAAATTACACAAGCAACTGGCTTAACAAGAAAAACGTACTTGGTAGGATCAAACCCAGCCCTGAGAGCCAATCTCAGCTCATTCCCACTAACCAGAACAGCGCCACAACCCAACGACCTCAAATGCTCCAAAATCTTCAAGTTATTATTGGCCTTGATAGCATATCCAATAATAGAACTCATTCCCTGCAGGGCATCCTTGTACGCCTCCACATTCCTAGTAATCTGAGGCTTGCTGTACAAATAGAAAGGCCTCCTCTCCACACTTTCCATGATATCCTGGACCTTGACGTTCTCACATTGGAGGAACCCATCGGAGGATTTGCTGAAACAGTGCTCAAACTGATTGGTCTGTGACGAAGTCGTTTTGGCAGGGTTTTGGGAAATGACGGCGCGAAGAGAAAGGGAGTGGCGGGAGAGCTGTCGATTGAATCTCAGTGGTAAAGAAGTGATTTTGAGGAATGGGTCTCGAGCAAGAGGGTGAGATAGGGCTTTGGAGAAAGCCGGCGGCTGGGAGAGGCGAGTAGACGACGCCATTGGCGGAAAGTTGGAAGCTTTTAGGGTTTAGTCCAACGTGTTCAGTATTTTGCATGTTCCATTAAACCGTATCGTACTGACGGTTCAACCACGAAATATCAGTATCGGAAGCTAAATCGATACGCAGTATTTAACGGTCTAACGATTCAACTACGGTAAACGGTTTTACCATAAAATATCATACCACTGACTTTTACCCGGTACGGTTTCATGGACGATGGTATTTTGGTCTGGAAGTGGAGTAAAATCCGAGTTAAATAATTCATTCACTGATTAAAAGGAAATTCACTGATTAGGCAGGAAATGGAAACTGTTAAGAAAGCAAAGAACTTTTGCGTAGCGGTGGAATTTGGGAACTTTAGCTTGCTTTTAGCGACGGCAGGTAAGTGGCGCGGCCGGAGAAGCGGCGGCGCAGAACAACCGCCGAACGGGACAGGATAGGACAAGATGGTTTCCGCCGGATTTTGAGCTTGGATTACTCAACGGTCAACTGTAATACGATCTTAATTTGGGCTTAAGCTTCATGATTAAACCACGTACAAGTACAACTATAAGATAATTAAATCATATACAACAAGGGCAGTCTAGGTAAATTAATATAATATAAAAAGTTATTATGATTTCTCATCATATTGTTTTAGCTTGTCGACAGACAAACTCAATGATTTTCGATCAACATCTAAACTTAACAAAAGATATAGTGGTGTATCCTCTAATATTTTTTTTATCACGATCATTACTTTTTGTCTGCATGTCAACTTATACGTACATAATAGCCTCATGTGTTGGTTGATACGAATTCTCTCATATTAAAAGCTCATGCTCCGAACATTTGAACAAATATCTCTAAACCTAGAGACCCGAATTTGACCAGTATACTGAACATAATTAGAGGTAGTTAATTTTCCAACACCAGATTTTCATTTTTCTATATTAAGCGTGACTCGTGAATAATATATGTTGCTAAAGCATCTGTACTCTCTAACCATTTACCATAGGTGGGCACAAAAGTTGTCAAATGACTGGTTAGAAAGTAAACTGAATCATTACTATAAAGAGAAATCGAACTCTCCCAATCTTATATTTAAATTACGAGTACGATCAACCACCACATCATCTCTTCCAAAATTTGCAAATGCAACACAAAAGATGCATCCATCACCCATGTCTACATATCCTGCCTCAACTAACCAGTTAAATATTAGTTTGGCCAAATCCTCCTGCTGAATATATAATTAGTGGTAAAGATCCTGACATAATCCCCTAACATACCTCTTAAGTAACACACATAGTGGAGCACCACAAACCACAACTGGCCTAACTAACAAACTGAGCTACTGCAAAAATTGCAGACCTCTTACACCACTCCTTACATAGCTTCAATGTTCATAAAGTCTCCCCAAATGCCAACTTGCAGCACATTAATCTAATATAATCCCTTCCCAAAATGAATTATCACAAGCTAAACATATATTAAACAAAATTAGTTTAGTAGTTTCTGTTTTGTGTTTAAGATTAGTTGTTGAAAGGGTTGTTCAAAGAGAAAGAGATGGGAATCAATGGATGGGCTGGCTTGGATTTAGCTCTCTGGTTATAAAGCTGGGTTTTTTTAGCATCTACCATAATTAGGAGCTTAATAATACAATTTTTATTCTGTTAAAACCTTTTTTTCTTGTTATTAATGATTGATACAAAACTCTCTCCCTCTCTCCCTCTCTCCCTCCCCTCCATCTCTCCTTAACTAATCTAACATATATATATATATATATGTACATATTTTAAGCTTAGTTGTTCTCCCTTTTTTTATTCAGGAGGATCCTCCTTTGTTTGGATTTGTAAATAGTTTTTAACACATAAGAACAGGAGGTATCCATCCAACCCCCCATTTCTCCTTTTGCCAAATAGGTAATGCAAACCTCCCCTGTTTTTCTCCTCCCCTGTTTTTCACCTCCCCTGTTTTCTTCACAATTGATTGTGTCCATGGTTTTTGGTGATTAATTGCTAGACGATCCGACATTGTTGTGCTTTCAGGACTTAAGAAAGAGCGTCAGTCATGGGGGATACGATGATGTATGGAATTCCCGACAAGAATCCCAAACCGGGACTCGACGAGTTCTCGGAGGAAGAGAAGAAGAAGAAGGCAGGGGGAGGAGGGGGATCCTTCAAGAAGAAGGTATCGAACAAGTTCCGAAACTCCCTGACGATGACGAAGAAGGGTCGCCGGAACAGCAGGGTGATGTCGGTTTCGATCGCCGACGAGATCGACGCCGAGGAGCTGAGGGCCGTGGACGCGTTCAGGCAGGCGCTGATTCTTGACGAGCTTCTTCCGAACAGGCACGATGATCACCACATGATGCTGAGGTTCCTGAAGGCGAGGAAGTTTGATATTGAGAAGGCCAAGCAGATGTGGTCGGACATGATCCAGTGGAGGAAGGAGTTCGGTACCGATACTATCATGGAGGTGATTAGAACCAAAGCTTTCTTGCAACCTTTTCTTTTTTGCATCATATTGTGCGCATGTGATCGATTGATACTTTGTTCATACTATATCATTATATTATAACGTTTCGTAAATGCTGTTCGATATAGAAGTTTGAGGTTTGCACGAATCATTTTCAATATGATATTAGAGTGTTTGACTAAAATGTCTCATGCTCGAATCCTCCTCTCATTATCAATAGCTGATTTAACTACAATCGTATGATTGACTTGTTCATCTTAGCCAGCAAATTAGCTAGCTCTCATTTGAATAAACGTGTCAAAATATTGTCTTAATCCTCTTCAAAGAATTCGAGTCATCGATATTAATGATTTTGTTTGTTTAGGGTGAATTTTCTTTTGGCTGAGAGGGCATTTTGGGAATTTTTGGTCAACAGGATTTCGAGTTCAAGGAAGTAGATGAAGTGTTGCAGTACTATCCACAAGGGTACCATGGAGTCGACAAAGATGGCCGGCCGGTGTACATCGAGAAGCTCGGGGAAGTCGACGCCAACAAGCTGGTTCAGGTCACGTCGTTGGACCGATACGTGAAGTACCATGTTCAGGAGTTCGAGAAGGTGTTCACTTACAAGTTCCCAGCTTGCTCCATTGCTGCTAAGAAGCACATCGACCAGAGCACCACCATCATTGATGTTCAAGGAGTTGTATGTCTTCTCACCATCAACCAACGAACCAATCGATCTATCTTCAATAAGTTGACTTGTTAACTAACTCTCGATTATATAATTTTTCAGGGGCTTAAGCAGTTCACCAAAACAGCCAGGGAGCTCATCAGCAGGATTCAGAAGATCGATGGTGACAACTACCCTGAGGTGTGTGTATAAATCATTGATTAGTCTTACTTATGAGTAGGTATGGTTCGGTCCAGTACGTGAACTGAAACCGAATCGAAATATATTCGCAGACGCTGAACAGGATGTTCATCATTAATGGTGGAGCTGGGTTCAGGCTTCTGTGGAACACTGTTAAATCGTTTCTGGACCCCAAGACGGCTGCCAAAATCCATGTCAGTTTTAATTTAATGATTCTCTATTCACTTTTTCTTACCGACTGTTCTAACCTGGCTTTCTCTCTAACACACAACAATGCTGTAATTTTCCAGGTTCTTGGGAACAAGTACCAGAGCAAGTTGCTTGAAGTGATTGATGCTAGGTAAATAAAAGGGCAAAAAAATGTTCTCCCATTTCCCACAGCTTAAAGAAACAAACTTTTTTTTTTATCTAATGAAAGAAACCCTTTTGGCCAACTTCTGTCAGTGAGCTGCCATCATTCTTTGGAGGCACCTGCACTTGTGCTGACAAGGGTGGCTGCATGAGATCCAGCAAGGGACCGTGGAATGATCCTGACATCCTCAAGGTCAGAAAGCCTAATCCTGATCCAACTAGGATTTCTATCTCTTTTACTTTGTTTGCTGTGATTTCTCATGGAGTTCTTAATTTCGAAACCGAACTGTTGCAGATGGTTCAAAATGGCGAGGGCAAATGCCACTGGAGGACATTGTCAGGGATTGAGGAGAAGTCCATCCCTGAAGATAAGGAGACCATCATCAAGGTCTCCAGCAATGAAGCGGAGGACCTCAAACCCTATCCAGTTCCTGAGGATGTAAGACACTAATTACCAGATCTTGCCATATATTCAGTTTTGATTCCCAAGGGATTGTTTGGATCGTTGAATTTGAACAACAGCTTCCAACAATGTCTCTCTCTCCCTTTCCACTGTATTTTCAGCTTCCCATCGTCAACATGATGAGCAAGATCACCCCAGATGAGTATGAGAAGTCGATCCAAGTCTTCGAGAAGACGATAGATGCTAACTGGAAACCTTCTCCAGGAAAGGGTAAGCATGCAAACATAGAATCTGAAAATCAGAATTCTGGTTTTTTTCCCCCTTACTGGGGGGAATAAGAAGGCTAATTCTGTTTCTTCAAACAGTTGTTCTTCCCGAGGACGGTACCATTGTTCCTGCAAACGGGAAGCACATGATGGGCGGGGTCATGGCCGTGGTGATGGGAGTGGTGTCGTTGATCCGAATGACAAAGACAATGCCGAGGAAGCTGACCGAGGCAGCCATCTACGGCAGCAAGACCTACTACTCTGACTCGCTCAACGACCCCGCAGCTGTTGCAGCTGGCACTAGTGCATTCACTGAATCCTCCATCACCACCTCAGACTACAAGAACATGATGCTGCGAATGGCTGAGGTTGAAGACAAGCTGAACGTTCTCTGCTCAAAGCCCGATGGCATCCCTCCTGAGAAGGAGGCCATGTTGATCAACGCAATTAGCCGTGCTGAAGTCCTCGAGAAGGAGCTCTGTGCAACTAAGATGGTACCATTTTTGCCTCTGACCTTCAAACATTCTATGCCATAATGACAGAAGAAAGAGCTTCACTTTTAACCCCCTCCGGGTTTTCTTGTGCAGTTGCTTGTGGAGGCTATGGGGAAGCAGCAAGAACTCCTGGCTTACATTGAGAAGAAGAACAAGAAGAAGAAGAGGGTAAGTTTTTCTTTTTTGGCATAATTGTATGATATACATCTACATTGTGTATTGCAGTTACTGATCGACGTCTGTGTGTTATTTGTTATGATTGTCAGCATTTCTTCGGGTTCTGAACGAGGAATTAGTTGCTCCATGACAATGGCTGATTGAGGATGTGATGCTACAGATCATTTTTACCTTCTATTATGTACTTTTTTGGGTTCTTGGGGAATCTCCATGACTGACTAAGTCCTTTTGGCTTCAAGATTGCTGCTTTGCTCTGTATATTATTAAGTTAATCTCTTCAAAAGCTTTGCATAGGGCAGCATTGTAATGAATTGTTACAACATCTTGTAATCGGATGAAATGGAGGGTTCTTTGAATATTATTGAACAACAGCCTGCCAAGTCACAAATGGTTCTACCATGTGAATTTATCTTTTGATCTCCTGTCTTTTCTCATTCTTACTTAGAGAGACGCAGGTATGAATGAGAAAATATATGAATAAGAAGTTCCAAGTAACAATATAATCTACTTGGTTCAGTTTTCGCTATTTCGATAGACCTGTACGCCTCTCACTCCCTAATCCTCTACTTCAGCAACCTGCTAAGTTTTCACATTATTGGATAGGCAGTAACTCAGCCTCGCGAACGAATTCTGGGTTACTGCATTCAACTGTTTAGTCAAATCTAACCACATTGTAACGTCGTTCGCTACCCAACTCATGACAAAGTAAGTACCTCCAGACTAGCTCGGTTGAAAAGGGGTTCAAATGGTAAATGATTGCAGTTGACACAAAACAACACCAACATCGAGACAACAGTAGAACAAAAAACAGATATGGGAGAAATGAAACTGAACACAGCCTTTTCATGTCTGTCTAGCAGTTAAATTTTTTTCTTCACAATTCTTACAGAGAGTCAGTTCGCTCAATGCTTTCGCTCTTGAATCAACAGAGGAGAGAAAAGCATACTTGTTTGTAGATAGGAATAGTTTACATCTCATTATACCATCCAATAGCTGCCGAGATTTTACATCATTTCACTCAGTTATCTATCAAATAGTAGAGGCATAGATTTCATGGGGTAGTAACTCACATCCAAAAGACCTTGCCCAGGCTTCCACTTCTCTCCATTGTCGAACTCTCAAAAGCAGAACATCTTGCTCTTCTGCAAAAAAGATAATCGGGCAGTAGTGAGATTACAATTCATTGAAAAGCAAGAAAGATAGATCGTGAGCCAACAATTCATACCCGATATTTCTCTTCTTCTTGACTATCAATATAAGCAAGCAGTTCTTCTTGCCTCATAAGCGCTTCATGCAGAGCCTGCCGAGTCAAAATGAATAGTTAGAAACTGTCGTTTCATTCTTTCAGCAAACTATTAATATTTTCAAGTTGAAACCATTTGTCACCTTCTTAGTTGCAATAAGTTCAGCTTCCAAAGCATCCACACGACAGACAGCAGCATTGAGCAACTCCGCTTTCTCATAAGGCATCTCAGACGGCTTTGCTTGAAGTGTGTCGACCTTTTCCTCCAGTTCACCCAACCTTTTCAACACAGAAGTAAGCATGTCGGCTTCTGTGTAGGAAGCAGTTGGTGAGGGTGGGCGATTTAGCTCCTTCTCTGGTGTATTAATAGCAATCACAGCTGAAACTCGATCATGTTCAGAGAGCATCTCTGAACCTGTCTTGCTAAAGCGAGACGGCAGTGAACGGACAAGAGTTAGAACAGTCATGAGGAAAGCTAGGACCGCTAGCCAAAGCCGAACATGTATAGCCCCTGCAGTCTTTGGGGTTTCTGCAACAGTTGGCGTACCTGCACCAGAAACTGGAAAGCACAATTTTTTCTTAACACAATCAAACACTTCACTACGAAGTTTAAGTTAGCACGACATGATGACAAAAAGAGCATGATTATTATTATTATGCTGGTTTCATCGGAAATGAGGGTTTCATGTTTTATACAGTCAAAGCCCAGCAAGCCGATTTCTGAGCTAAATATGTCATGGCACATTAACAGTTAGGGGAGAATAAGCAGTAGATACAGCAACTTAGTCACTAACCTTTAGACATTGCAAGCTTCTGGATTGCTGCTTGCTTATTCCAAGTAGAGTCAACTGCTTTGTCCACCATGGGAATATACTCATCATACCCAGGAAAGCTAATAGGGTGAGTGGCCTTCCCCATTATCTTAGCCTTCACATCCAAGAAATAAAATTAACAAACCGAATGGCAGAAAGTTACAAACCCAAAGCCAAGAGAACAATCAATTTAAGTACTAAATTAAGTGGAAAGTATGGGCGTCCTCCACTGCTCTGTTCATTTCATGGACGTCAGAAAGTCACACAAAGTTGATTTACTGTATGATAAAAGGGAACAAATGACAGGCTAAAAGCTTCGTATTTAGTATTTACTTTATACAACCCCAACAGAAAATATATGTCAAGTCAACATTCATGGAAGTCATACAAAGTATATCACATTTAGCACCATGGACTATAAACAGTGGAACCAAAAGCGAAATGCTAGCCTCCACACCCTAACCTAAACAATATAAGCTTACTTCTTCACGGACGGGTGTCAGGCGCAGATGTGAGTAGGCCTTAAGTGCCTTGGGGGAAGCAATTTCTTCAGCTTCAGACCCTGATTCGGCAGCAGATGAATCACTACCTCTTACCTGTTTCAATATGATAGAGGAAATCTCAGAAAGATCCCTCTAAGTGATGAATACCTCTAAATGAACGAACATAGTTGAATACTTACCGTCGGGTAATGAGGAGGCTTCGCATAGGTAATGACCTTTCCCTCATTGTTCAGAATTCTTACAACTTGCCTGGAGCGCCTTGCTCCGCCATTAAGAACAATCTGCAGAAACATCAGAAGACTTTAATTCCCTGAAGATAATGCATCAGCATCTCAGAAGTTAGTAGGAATTTAAGCAAGAATCATAGAAACGACATGCCTTCAGTATATCAGGATTTCTCCATGGCCCTTTATCAGAGCGAAGACAACCTCCCTGATCTGCACAGGTACAAGTACCGCCCAAGAATTCCGGCAATTCACTGCACATGTATTGCATGTACTCAGAACGGAGAGAGGGAGCTTCTTGTAAATAGAATTTCTTTAAATCCATGAAAGATTTAAGCCCCAGAATGTAGCGAAGGGGAAAAACTAATCAAGATCAAGATGATTAGCGTGTGCTTACCTGGCATCAATTACCTCCAGCAATTTACTCTGGAACTTGTTTCCAAGAACCTATATTACACACGACTTTGTTCATTAGATGGCTCAGCAAGCAAATACCTACACTAAATATAACACAAATAACCAAGTATGAGCATACATGAATCTTGGAGGTGGTTCTAGGATCTAAAAATGATTTTATAGTATTCCAGAGGAGCCGAAATCCAGCACCAGCATTGATGATGTACATTTCATGCAGAGTCTGCATCAATGAACATAATTATCAGATACAGAAAACCAAAGCCAGGATTATCTTTATAAGGAAAAACAGATAAAGTCAGTATTAGGACCTATACCAGAGAAAACATCTTACCTCCGGGTAATTGTCACCATCAATCTTCTGCAGCCTCATGACAAGTTCCCGAGCAGACTTGGTAAAGTTCTTTAGTCCCTGGATATGAGTGAGCAAATGTAAAAGGTGAGTTCCTTCATATTCAGGAGCAATACTAAAAATCCGCAACATTTAACCAACTTACCACTCCCTGGACATCTAAAATTGTGGTGCTTGAATCTATGTGCTTCTTTGCAGCAATGCTGCATGCTGGAAACTTGACCAGAAAGCTTTTCTCAAACTCACGCACATGGTATTTCACATAGCGGTCAAGATCTGTCACTTGCATTAGTTTGTGAGGATCAACTTTTCCCAATCTTTCCATATAAATAGGTCTTCCATCTTTATCCACGCCATGGTAGAAATGTGGGTAATACTTCAAAACTTCATTTATCTCTTGAAACTCAAACTCCTGTACACGAAAGACAAACAGACCAAGTGAAGTTAGTATCAAGGGTGAGTTGCCAGAAACCAAAACACACCAGTATACACAGCTACCTCCGTGATAGTATCAGTGCCAAATTCCTTTCTCCATTGAAGCATATCAGACCACATGTGCTTTGCTTTTTCAACGTCAAATTTCCGTGCTTTCAAGAACCTGAAATGGAGAAAAAGTAAGCATCACAATCAGTACAAACTATCACAAATGCCGGATGGGACTCGTCCATGCCAAAACATGTAGATAATGCAATTAGTAAACCAAAAAAGAGTAACAGAAGCAGGTCACAATGGTGAAAGTGGACGTCTTCAAAGGCCAACGCAAGACTCACTACAGCTGGATTTCACGCTCCTCAACTATGAAGCTAGTGGACCACATCCATCTTCAGAAAAGAATATAAAAACGGCAATACAAGGACATAAATCCTCTGGCGACATGTTTAACCAATCATAAATCGGGAAAAATAACTAAATCAAATTCAAGACTCTACTACTGTTGATTCTCAAACTCCAAAACTGATGAAACAATCATCAGAACACTGGATAGCTGTTCCAATCATCAAGTTGTAGTGAAACAAGGAAGCAACTGAAAACAAAGAGGAGCTGGCTAGTCACCTCAACATCATGTAGTAGTCGTCATGTCTTTCGGGAAGTAACTCGTCCATGATCAGCGACTGGCGAAACGCATCAACAGCCTGCAGTTCCTCGAGGTCTCGAACATCTTCAATGGAAACAGAGCTAACCCGGCCATCACTCTTCCTCCTACTACTCTTTTTCTTGAGGGAATGCTTGAACTTGGTAGATGCATTAATGGCCTTCTTCTTCAGCGATCCAATCCTGGTTCTCCTCTCATCCTCAGAGTTCTCGAAATCAGATTTCCTCTCCCTCCTCTCCTCTCTCCTCTCCTCTCTCCTTTCATCTCCGCCTGAAGACCCCTCAAAGCCTGCGACGCACAATACATCGTCAGATTCAGCAGCCAAAGCCAAAATGTCAGCAAACGAAGTAAAAGTTTCCACTTTCATTTCATCAAGTTTCAAGTATCCCCGCCAATCACGCTCAAATCAACAGCAAAGTAGATAAGTTTCAAGCAAAAGCCTACAAAACACAGACAAAAAGCACTACAACGACACCCTCACTTGGCCAGCCTGACAAACAGTTCAAAACCCTAGCTTGACAAGAACAGAACCACCAACCGCACTAATCAAGCGACGCAAAAAAAAAAAAGCCACAGAATCAGCAAGGAGTGAAGAAGGGGAAATGACTCACAAGGCCTTGCGAACCGATCGAGCGGACCAGACATCTGAGCTTCTTTCTTTACCGAAAATCAAAAACGCGGAAACCTCACCCTCCCAACTTTAATCGTTAGAGCAACTCCACCAGCAATGCAGCAGCACGGCGCAAAACCCTAACAGGGAGCTTGCAGTTTGACGAACCTCGACAGCAGAAGAGGGCCAATTCAGCGCGGTGAAACAGCTACGGCCAAACAGTGGGAGGATTTACCTAACAAGAATCTGTGGAACTTTCTTTTCTGTGTTTCCCGGCAGAGAGAAGAAGGGATATTGGGATGAGAAGGAAGGAAGGAGGCGCTATTCACGAGGGAAATCCAACGATCATCAACAGCGCATCTGACAGACAGTTGAAAGCCTGCAGCGTTGATTTAGGTTTCTCTCTCGGAATTAAAATCTGAAATTTTCCCAAGAATGGATGTTTATGGATCAACAATCAACCATCAACAACAAAATTACAAAAAAGGATAATAATAATAATAATTAAATAAAAAGCCCGGAAATTAGCGGAATAAATTACGGAACAAGAAGGAGAAGAAGAAGAAGAAGAAATGAGAGGAGCGTTTGGAGAGAAGAGAGAGAGAGAGAGAGGGTTTATAGCAGGAGACCGGATTCGGTGCGGATGGGGTCTACCATCTGTATCTGTACATCAACTTTGTTTTTTTCCTTCCATCTTTTCTGTCAGACTGCCACGTGGCGCAACGGAAAAGCGGAATGGTAAAAAATAATTAGTTTGTACTCCGCTTCCGGCTGCTGTCCTCCTGGTGAGCGCTGACCTTATTCAACTGTTTGATCTGCAAAGCCAGTTACTTAAACGGTGTCACAGTGTGCAACAGTCCCGTGTCCGTACCAAGTATTTTTTTTTCCAAAAGATATCTGATCAAAACATAAGATATTACACCATAGAAATCAGCCAGGTCTGGAAATCAAAGAAGCCACTCATAGTTGGATATAAAGAGAGAGCTTTTCTAGCTACCAAATGAGCTACCCTATTGTTCTCCCGACCTACAAAACGCACACTAAAGCCAGGCTGAGCACGAAAATAATGAACAATCTCTTCCAGAACAGCACCCAACCGGCTATCTCTTGTGTCGGCTTCATTAATTTTGCCAATTATCACCTTTGCATCGCCCTCAAATCGGACCTCCGACAAACCTTGCTCCACACACCAAATAATAGCTTCACTAAGCACAAGCATTTCCACTACTGCAGGATCATCCATTTGAGCAAACTGGACCCCTCTAGCCAGAAGGAGTGTCCGTGATGGGTCAAACAGAACCATCCCACCAGCCAAATGAGACCCACCATTAGTAGCCCCGTCCCACATGCAAACAAAATGAATCATCCAATTGTGCTGTAGAGTGCATTATCGGTGTTTGTACCCTAGGCGACTGATCCGCTAAGAGACCCACCCATTCCTCATATTGTTGGTGAAACTGGCGCATGAGAGCTGGGATCCCAAATTGTTTGCCTTCAAAGACCACCCAATTACGAGATCGCCAGATCCTCCAAAGGATGGCAACAACCGTCATAACCACAGACGGTTGCTGGATCAAGCCCAACAGGCGTTTGAGAAACAAAGGAAAAGTATGTCGAGGCAAACCCTCTCCCAAGTATTCCAACCCAGAATAATCCCAGAGAGCTCGCGCCACTGGACAATAAAGGAACAAGTGTTCCATTGTCTCCGGGCCATCCCAACAAACTGGACATCGAGGTAGCACCTGGACCTTTTTCTCAATAAGCGCCTCCATAGTCGACAGAGCCCGATTAAGAATTTGCCAAACAAACACCTTCAACTTTGGAGGGATCTTAGCCTCCCAAACTCTAATCCAACTCGGCTTATCCATCCAGCTAACTGAGGACCGCCACCCCCCTCATCCTGTCCAAATAGACAGCCAAATGATAAGCCGTCTTAACCGAAAAAACCCCGTCAGCCGTAAAATGCAAGATAAGTTTATCAGGCACATCCCAACGCGGGAGGGGAATAGCTTTAATAACCTTACAAGTGGGTGGGTCAAACCATCGGTTGAGCATTTCATCAGACCACCTCCCTCCCCCCTCACTAATTACCTCCGCCACCAAGGGATCACCCCCCTTAGGCAAGATCCGGGGATTATAGGATGGGGGATCTAACTGATACCTAGATCCAGTTAGAATGAAGAAGGGAGACCGATTGACCATTGCCAACTTGCCATCTCAAACCTCTTTCCAATAAATGACGCCCATGAAGAATACTTTGCCACCCCCAAGAGGGTCGAGATCTAGCAGTAGTAGTTAGGAAAGACCCTTGAGGGAAATACTTGCCTTTATACACCTGAGCAATAAGAGATTGTGGTTCATTAAGGATAAGCCAGCCTATCTTAGCCAAAAGAGCTTGATTGAAATGGTCGAACTGGCGAAATCTCATCCCCCCATCATGCTTACTCCTGCACATGTTACGCCAGGACACCCATCTAATCTTGGGATTCCCGTCCTCCGCACCCCACCAAAAACGGGCCACATGCTTATCTAAAAGGCGACAAAGAGCCAAGGGAAGCCGGAAACATGACATAACATGAAGTGGGAGAGCCAACGCTATAGATTTGATCAATGTTTCCCTAGCAGCCCACGATAATGTCATTTGCTTCCACCCCTGAAGCCGCTCTAGGAGTTTTTCTTCCAAATATCTGAATGTAGCTGTTTTGGATAGGGCAACCAGCGTTGGAAGCCCCAGATATTTATCATGGACCCCCACCACACCAACCCCTAGAATCGTGGCCAAGAACTCCTGATCTGGCGTGGAAATATTTTTGCTAAAGCACACCGCCGATTTCTCCAAATTAACGCGTTGACCACTTAGTTCCTCATATTCATTCAACACCTCAATTAAGTTCTCGCACTCCTGCAGAGAACCGCGCAAGAATAAATAAGAGTCATCCGCGAAGAACAGATGCGAGATTCTTGGAGCACGAGGAGCAACTTTCACCCCCTCTAACTTTTTCTCCGTGATCGCCTGTCGGAGGAGGGCTGCAAACCCCTCAGTGCAGAGCACAAACAAGAGAGGAGAGAGCGGATCCCCCTGGCGAAGGTCCCTAGAGGCAGTGAAATATCCCGAGGGTGTACCATTCATTAGAACCGAGAAAGAGGAGGACCGAAGACATTCATGTATCCATCCTTGCCAGACAGAACTAAAACCCATCTTATCCAAAACTGCAAGCAAGAAAGGCCATTCGATTCTATCATAGGCCTTTTCCATGTCAACCTTCAAATCCATGTACCCCTTATTCCCTTGCGTTTTGATTTTCAGGTAGTGCATTAGTTCATGTCCTATAAGGATATTATCAATGATCTGTCGATCCCTGATAAAGTCATTTTGGCCCTCCGAAACGATCTGCGAGAGCATGCTAGCCAACCGTTAAGCCATGATTTTGGTAATCACTTTGTAAACAAACTGGCAGAGACTAATCAGACGCAATTGTCTAATTATTTCCACCGAGTCCACTTTAGGGATCAAAGTGAGCCAAGTATGATTAAAACTCCGCAACATCCGACTCGACGTAAAGAAGGAGATTACTGCTTCAACCACCGAAGTGCCCACAAATATCCCAAAAATCTTTAAAGAACTTCCCTGTGAAACCATCCGACCCCGGAGCCTGCTTCGATCCCATGGCAAAGACCGTTTGCCTAACCTCAGTCGGCAAAATCTCCGCCGTCAACTGCGCATTCATTTGCGGAGTAACACTATGGGCAATCGGCAGGCTCGCCACCCTCTCGACCTTATTAGGGACCTGAGATTCCGAAGTAAACAGGGTCTGGTAAAAATTTGTGGCAATAGTAGCCTTCCCGGTCTCCTCAGTGACCCATTCCTCTTCCTCATTTCTAAGTCCGGGAACAAAGTTCCTCTTTCGCCGAGCCCTTGTGACTGTATGGAAGTAGGCAAAGTTCTTATCTCCTTTCTTTAACCATTTTACCCTTGATTTCTGTTGCCAGAACATCTCCTCTGCTTCCCACTGGCGGGATAGCTCCATCTCCAGATTCTTGACCTCATCCCAATCCACCGGGTGGATCAATTTTATCCTATCAATCTCGGCCTGGAGCGTCTTAATATTATGCAGGGACTTAGTTGTGCCCGCCCTACTCCAGTCGTAAAGCAGATGACGGAGTTTCTTTAGGCGTTCCCACATTCGAAACATAGGGGTGCCTTGGACCTCCTCCTGCCAGACATAGTCGACCATGGCCCTGACCTCCGGATTATCCGCCCATCGGGCATCAAAACGAAACAGCGGCCGACTAGTACGAACATATGGTTTATCAGCAAGGAGAAGAGCACGATGGTCGGACCCCTGATTCGTGAAGTGTTTGACTAGAGTCTCCGGGTATGTATCCATCCAAGACTGAGAGCATATCGCTCTATCCATACGTGCACGAATGCAAGCATCGCCCATGCGTTTATTAGTCCAAGTAAACCGATCTCCTTGGTAACCAGGGTCGTGGAGCCCCTGATCATGAATAAATTCGCGGTGACTAAAGTCTTGGGCAGCATTCCACTCCCGTCCCCCATCTTTTTCACTCTCATGCAGAGTAGCATTGAAATCGCCTATGATCACATAAGGGTGATTGATACTCGCACAAACATTTTGCAATTGATCCAATTGGGAAGCTCGAACAACAACATTACAACTAATATAAACAAAGATCGCAACATAAGAAAAATCTCCTTCATTAATTTGCGAACAAATATAGAAATTTGAATGACAAAACACCGAAGTGTCAACCCCGAGGGCCCAAGCAACTACTAAACCTCCCGATGCATCGACTGCATCTACAAAAAAACAATGCAAAAGAGGAAAACCTAAACCCCGCATACGACGGGACACTACACGCCGGCTCGATCGCGTTTCCGAAAAAATACGAGATCCGGTTTATTAGAATGAACCAGCCTACAGTAGTTTGGAAAGTGAGGGATGGCCCAATTCCTCTCACATTCCAAGACAGAAGCCTCATTTATCGACTGGGGGCCACTCGAGGATGGCTTCCTCCACCTTCTCTAGAATATCAGTTGATTCCACAAATTGCTTCTTCGGGGTAGGGGGATCACCCATCTCCCCATCCAACTCATCGAGCACACGCTTCCTGGTCTCCACAGACATGTCCATGAGACTAGACCCATACTCAATTGAGAGTCGAGCGAGGCCCATTGATAGGTACATCCTCCTCTTGATCAAAGACCAACCCAGCCTCAAAACCTCAACCACTTAGTGGACTCGCCCAGTCAAGACTTTACGAGTCTCCATGGAGACCCCACCTTGTGATCTTCTCTTAATCTCAAACGAGAACTTATTGTTGTTCGACTGATCATCATCTGAATCCATGGTCTGCTGCTGACCCTCATAAACTCGAGGGGCTACAGCCTCCTCATCCTCCAACTCTCGCAGATCACCAGACGGAGTCGTTCCCCCATCCTGCTTCGACTTAGCCCGCATGCAGTCTGCGCCGCCCTTTTTCAGTCGCGGGCGAGCCCGATGCACCGTACTTCCATTGTGAGAAGTACCCTTTGGGGGAATTCGAGGATTCTCCAGGGGCTGTCTAGATTGGGCGGCTTTCGCACCAGCCAACTCCTCTTCTTCCGATTCCTCTTGCAAGATCAGCCTTCGCCTTCGGGATTGTTCCAGAACAACCTCAACCTGGTCCTCTGGCTGCTGACGATTGGAAGACACCTTTCTGGCATGTTTTCCACCCTGCTGATGACCCTTGGAGCCCTTCCGGGGGAGAGGTGCAGCCTCTCTGGGAGACAGTTTCTTTTGGTGCGGACGAATCCCACCACCAATCTTCACTCGAGGTGAGGCCTTGAAAACAACCCGTTTAGGTCTAGCACGGTTCCCTAACAGCTTAGGTCTGGATTCCTGCACCCGAGGTTGCGGCTCCATACAGCCATGAATCTCCTGCTGATGAACCACCTGCTCAACAGAGCGATCACTAGACACAGGTCGCATCTCACGAGTTTTAGCATTCTTAGCACTCCCGTCATTCTTCACTTGAACATTCTTGTTCACCCACACTGATTTACTGGTATTGTGAAACTTTGGGAACTCATCCTCATCCATATAGATCTTCCTTCCTAGTTTCCTTGTAGACATATGCGGGCCAAAGCGTTCTTTACCAGGTGGAGGATCAAAAACACATTCTGGCTTCGAGTGCCCCACACGGCCACAGAGGTAGCAGAAGGTCGGCAGAAATTCATATTTGAGGTTTACCCAGAAGCTACCAAGCTCTTCACTAACCACCAAGAACTGAGACCGCAACGGCTTAGTGAAATCGATGAGGGCGTGCACTTTAATAAAGCACTCCTCTGTTTCTCTGGATGCGAAAACATCAGCCTCCAAGACTTGGCCTATTTTTCCGGCTGCCACTTTTCTACCGAACTGCTTGGAGCAGCAATCTTCTTTCACATTCCACAATTGAACACGGAAAGGAGCAGTAGCCAGATCATCGAAAACTGGCCTCGTGATAGCTAAAGTCCAAGACCGGAGGTGTAAAATTCTGTCTTTGACAATCCACGGAGTCCGTTTGAGGATCCAAACCCTCGTCTCATCACTTGGCAGAACAATTTCAAATAAGCCATATTTAGTGACCGAAACCCTAAAATTTCCTTGCACCCGCCAGGCCTCGATCAAGCCCTCTCGCAACTCACTAGGAGTAAATTTGGTTTCCGAGAATAATCGCCCCAACAGAGTCCTCGAAGTTCGAAACTTCACCGATTGGACCTCTGCGAGAGAGAACTCAACCACTTGATCTTCCGCAATACGAGCCATCGTGGGCACCTGACACAAATGAGAGCACGACGAATTAGAAACAACTAATTCAACCGAAGTAAAATCAGTAAAATTAAATGGCTATAGGCGAGTTATTGGTCTTGCCACCCTAGGCCCGGCTTCCCAAAAATTAATCGCCCCCAGCTTCCTGCTAACAGCAATAGGCGTCGGGGTCGGCAGAGTTAAAAACTCAGCCTTTGCTAGCTGCGGTAATCGAGACAGGCGGCCTGGACTGTTGGTCGAGTGACTAAAACCCATACAATTAGACGGCAGCGAGCTGCCCGGCCGTGAGGGGCTCTCCGTCCCCAAAGGCATACCGCCCATCGCCACCGGAGGCTGCAACTTGTCCTGCCAAGAGAGTCTACCCACCGCATCGACAGAGATAGAGTCACTCGTAAAAGAGCAGGGGGAAGACAGGGGATAAATCCCCGTACCTGACTGATTCTCGGCGAAGAAGCACTGCTGCAAGGAGCCTCCGATTTTACTAGCATCGCTTGAAATTTCCTTGCACCGAACAGAGCACGTCGGATATTGAACGAGTGCAGCTGTAGCTTTATAGGGGACAGAGTCCCTCTTCTCCACGAAAAGGGAATAACCCATCGATCTGCTGGCAGTTAGAGGCGTAGTTGGAAAAGGAGATCTCCGTTGGGGATACGAAATCCTTCCCCCAGATCGGAATCGGCTCCCAGGAATCTCGCCCAACAGCCCTGGAAATCCGCCGAAGAATCCCTCCGAAATCCTCTCGAAAAAACGAGACACCACCAGCTGCCGGCGAGACTCGCCCTCGACTGGCCGGACTCGTCTTTCCACACCGACGACATTAGAATTAGGCTTCCGGGACGGTGAAACCTCCCTATCACCGTCTGGCTTCACGCCATACCTCTCCTCCCCGAGGGGGACCTTCAAGTTAACACAATCCACCCAAATCTCCAAATTTCTTGGGTGGATGGAATCAAAAGATAAACAGGGCACTCTTCTCCCTTCTTGCGCACTTAACGGCGGCAGGGGAAACGACCCAACCCCTAAGGGTGACGATTTGCCAATCCGATTACTTCGTAAAGGGATCTCATTTGATGCTCGAGAGGGCTGAACCCTACACCCCGCGAACGAGGGAAGAACAACCTCATCGTCGTCCAACTCCGATGAGAGAGGGAGACTAAATCTCCAAAACTTCCGAGGCCTGCACCAGCCTCTCTTTGACTGGACGCTCTTCTCCAGATTTAATTTCGGCAAAAGCCACATGGATCGATCTCTTCTTGAGGCGGAGCCGTTTCGCTCGTCACCAACCAATTTCATCCAGTTCTCCCTTCGAGAAGGGGACCGACGAGACAGGGGGTTTTCTCCATTTTCTTTGATTGATTTGGTCTTCGACACACCTGGTATTCCGGCAGCAGATCCCTCCCGAGCCAAACAAAACCGGCGACCCTTCCGGCGCACTACACCCCTGGTTTTGCAGACTGGCCTTGAGAATGGCCACAGCGAGCCGCGAAATCCACCGTCCAAGAGCAGAGGCGAAAAGGAGGAAAGAGGACAGAGCTCCTCTCATGATTTTTTCCCCCGAAAATTAGGGTCGACATAAGGTGTGTCCGTACCAAGTAATTGTTGTTCAATATTGAGAAAAAAAATATGACTAAAAAAATCGGATTATAATTATACTCGGTGTTAATTTGGTACTGTCCAAATATTAATTCGTACCACTTTCTTCATATTTGTAAAAGACGTGCGGCCAAGGACCGAATTGTATTATGTTCGGTCTGGTCCAAACATCAATTTGGTCATACGCGGTCCGGTAATTCGATTAGCATGTTGATAGGTCTAGACCTTATTGGATACCACGTCTCGCGATATTTAGTGCTTTAGTTTTTTGTATTGATAGTTTTGTAAAATAAAGATTCGCGTGTGTGTGCTAACAATTGTGAGTCACAGTATGCAAGTATTGTGCTTGCCTTTCGAGAGTTACAAGCTAGAGACTGAGAAATGAGTGTTGTTTATATCTTTCGCGATCTAGAGGATTGTCTTGCTCGCATGGGCCAAGTTTTAAATCCATGAACTTTTTCTTTGTTGCCTTTGAAACTCGCGATTTCACATCAGTTTTGTACTTCTATATGACTCTATCAAGTTTCATCGATCGATCTATTATAACCTCGCCTAATGGCTATAACGTAGTAATTACACACTATTCATTAAAAAAAAAACCTCGCCTAATGGCAAGAAGGAGTATGTTTAGCTAGTTACCTACTTCCCTACATTTACTGGACAAAGGTAGATGTGTATGACACGTCATCCTTAGAAATTAGTATTGTTTGGTAGTGTGGATGAACTAATTAATGGGGACAAAAAGAGGGGAAAATAAACATTATTGAGAATATTTTTTTTAAAAATGAATCCTCACTCGTAAAACTAGAATTTTCCTAGTCTTTATGAATTAATGGACAGAATCACCAATCATTAGAAAAAGAATGAACTAAACAAAAATTCGGGATTTCATAAATGACGGATATAAACAGTGGAAATAAGGCGCGGGGGCAGCCATGGTCAACTATCAACAGCGCCATGATTAAGCCCTAAACCCTATTAATGTAATTATATATTAGTCAACATTAATAAATTTATTTTTCCAGTTTAAAGCACCGACATAGTGACATTCCAGTTGTCAAACATTTCATATTCCAATATACAAGCTTTATTATAATTTATTTATATGCTATCGACGTATTTACATGTCTTCGATATTTTGAACAGGAAGATGCCAAATGCCAACTTAATTGGCCGATTGTTTAGTATCAATATTATATGCACATTCGATGAATCGGAGAAATTGATATCATAAATGGCCGATTGTTTGTGGGCTCACTCACTCATATTCTGCCACTTGGGGGAAGATCATATCCGAATCCAAACAACCCTTATAGCTAAATCAATTTTACCTTCATATAACTTTAATTTGTGCTATAATATCATATGATCGATAATGTAAAATCTAAATGAAGTTTAATATATGAATATACATTATGGTTTGTGAAATCGTGTCAGACAAGTTTTGGATAAAACCTGTAAAATTGATTCAATTTCGGATAAAACCGAAAACCCGAAATAAAACTGTAACCCTCCTTATAAGAGAATAAAAGGGGTGCTTTCGGGGACCAAACACAATCGATTAACGCAAAAGTGATTAAGCACGGTTACCTTTGGGTACAAAAACGTGACATGAAAGACGATAGTCAATTTTCGAGTTCATCAATAATATGATACGGATTAGCAAAGCATGAAAATTCAATTCAACACATGCAATGTTCGTGTATATAATCCTGACATCGTCAAATAGTTGGTGTATAAAACTCTTAAATAGCATAGCAACAAAAGCAAACCATGCAAATAAACACTTTGGAAGGGAGAGAGGTTGTAGTCTTCTAGAACAAGAATGTGGGGAAGGCATTGCGGGGTGTAAACTTGAACCTAAAAACCCATTGACTCGCCTCGATATACCCCGGTGTTGAGGACTGAGCTGGTTCAGTTTGTTTACAGGGTTAGTTTAGGGTCGGGTCATCTTTTGACCTTTTAAGGGGTCGGGTAGAGTCGAGTCAGCTTGGGGTCGGGTTACTTTTTGACCTTGTGACCCTTAGATAAGAAATTTTACATACCAACACATTGGGGCTATTTGTAAAATTTAGGTACTAAATTGTAAGAAAAAATAAATTTGGATACCAAAATGTAATTTTACCATAAAAATTTAAGGACTTATTTGTAAAAAAAATTCGGTACTAAATTGTAAGAAACAATAATTTTGGGTACCAAAATGTAATTTATAAAAAGTCAATTTGTTGATAGGGATCGACCCACTGACCCAATCCTCCCTAAGCCGCCCCGATCCTAGAGGGCCGCCCCGATCCTAGAGGGTCATACAAGGTCAAGAAGAAAATAGAAGTGGGTCGGATCAGTTTTACATCTTAACTTTTCAGGAACGGATTGGACAGGGTCAGGACAGTTCAGGATAATTTTCAGCCCTAAGGCATTTTGAGGCACATGGGAAGGGAGTATAAAGGGGGGTTGTTTTGGGGACCCAAGACAATCGATTTACACAAAAGCGATTAAGCATGGTGCCCCTAATGTGGCGGGCAAAACGTGATTTCCATTGGCTTACATGCAAGTAAAGTATAGAGGTTCATCATAAAATACTGTGTAATTAAAAGGTTGGAGAATCATGCCCACTACACACTTTTTCTATAAAAAGAAAAATAAGGATTTAGCCTAGTCCAACATCTTGTAAACTAAGCAACAAGTGTTATACCATTTTTTTATGAACAAATAAATTTCATCAAAGTTAATCTAATAGAATGGATCAAGACTCAATCAAAAGAAGCCCCAACGGTAAAAGGTTCAGATTATAAGAAGCTCGACGTCTTATTTTCTAAGAAGGAAGATTATATATAAAGCAAACCAATGAAAGGAACAAATGAGGAGACTCGTTACCTAAGTTCGTTTGGAGGCAAGATTTATAATAAGGGGAATTTATTTCAAATAGAGATTTGAGCATTGTCCATGAAACCGTACCGTACCGGAGGTTCAACCACGAAATACTAGTATCGGAGGCTAAACCGGTAGGCGGTATTTACCGGTATAACGGTTGAACTACGATTAAACCACGGTTTTATCATAAAGTACCTTACCGTTGACTTTCCCGATACGGTCTCCGGTACGGTTTCATGGACCATGGATTTGAGAACAACTGGTCGTTTGGACTTTGGAACAATTGGAAGTTGTGATTTTTTAAATTGATGAATTTTATGAATGTGTGCATTCTAAATTGATGTTTTGTTTGAATTGTTGTATTTGAAAAATCACTTGTTTGGAGGTCTAGATTGTGCTTTTCACATATCTAAAAATATAATATACTTTTTTGGTTCAAGGACATATTTGCCCTTTATCAACACATTTCTCCAAGGAGAGAGGACCAATGGATAGGGCTAATGTTGGAAAAACAAAAAAAAATTAAGGGACAAAAGTGGAATAAAAGATTGACATAGAATCATTCATTTACAATCTCAACTTTAATTAGAAATTATCAATCCTTTATTTTGAGAGATTAGAGGTGGACCCTTAAAAAGTAAATACATGTATTATAACTCAATTTAAACCAAAAAACAACTAAATCTCCACATTTTATGTATTGGCTAAATACACCACTTCAAATCACAACCTCCAAACGAACCATAAGATTTAAGAATTTGAAAGAATCAGACACTCAAATCATACCTCCAAACCATCTCTTAAAAGAAGCAATGGAGTTACACTCCCAAGAGAAGACTGGTCACAATTAGTTAAGTAATTGCAAAGGAACCAAAACAATATAAAATCAAGGTTCCTTTCCCAAATGAACTTTTGATTCATGGTGAAGAACATGATGGATACAAGAAGTCAGAAATATGATGCTACCCTCCCCCTTCTTTTCCTTTTACTGTTGGCTTTTATTAATTATTATTGTCCAGCACAAACACTACCAGAAGAAGACTCTGTGGATCCCACTTTCATCATTAACACAAACACAGAAGCAAGCAAGCAAGCATTCGAGTTTAAGTTCAAACAAAAGGGTTTATTGGTTGACAAAGAGACTAAGCATAAGCATTTGCTTCACTCACTTACCGACCAAGCTAAAGATAAAAGAAGATGCAAACATGAACCAACCCTGAAAAACTCATTTCTGGACAATGTGATGTGTATTCCTGTGGATTTAAGCTGCAGGGTAAGATGAGGGGAAGAGAAGCCAGGTACCTGTTTCAATCACTGCCGCCATGAAAAGCAACTTTTAACCACCCCATCCTTCTAAGACACCGGTACGTCGGGCTCAGAACGGTAGCTATATGGTTAGAAAGGATTGAGTATTCAGCTTGCATCTTTCCTTGGCCTAGAACAAAAGAAAGATTGGAACTTCTGTGATAATATTGCTTGAATCAAGGACAATAGGAGCTATGTTACTCCACACCAACAGCAAGGCTGTATGTAGGAAGCAGAGCCAGCCAACAGGTTATGTCAGGCCAGGAAAGTAAATTAAAGCGAATTGCCCGGACAATACTCTGCTCCAACTTCTCAGAGATAGGGCCTTCATCAATGGGATCTCTCGACCTTCTTGCTCTGGTCGAGTTCCCCTGTTTTCTTTCTGGTACAGGTTGTCTTCCTTCTTGATGTTGCTGGGGGAGATGATGAGATGCTTATTTGCATATGATCACCAGTTTTGACATAAGTAGTGAAACTATGTTAGAGCTAGGATCCTGTCATCTAGTGAGAATCCTACTGCAGAATGCAGATACTGTTTAACTCATGACCACAAAAACCCAATAAAAACACCTTGAACAGTTTATTGATAGATAAGAGCGATCACAAGTCACAACTCACAACCATACACCAGATAGTCTCAATCCTACTGCCGATACTGTTTAACTCCACCATTGACTCCCAACCCAGGTACTAAACAACATCACTTTGGTCTTGCTTATCAGATTCCGCGGCCAACAGAAGGTTACCTGCATCGGATGGCTGGGACGGCACGCAATACATAATTAATAACACATACCAAGTTGTTTGATTCCAAGTTCAGGTTGTCTTCGTAGATTCATTTATTTGTGAAGCATAAATAACTCCATAAATAAGATTCTAAGAGATAAGAACATGATGGGAACAGGACTGGCAAACGTTGAATCGAAGTTCAGTTCGTGGCCGTTTTGAACTTGATTGCTCAAGACTTGCTTGCATAATGTGCAGGAGCATTTAGATGTGTCTGCCTCTGCATCTGCTTCTGCTCCATCTCTGGAGATAATGTTGTCTGCGAGTACTATCCTCCGGGGACATACGAGAGGTAGAAACAAAGGAGGCAGAGAAGTAAATTTTATACTTACTAGTATTAAGGTTACTGTACGTTAAGAGCTAGGCTGTGCTGGAAGCAGAAACAAAAGGAGGCAGAGAAGTAAATACAAGTTACTTTCTGTCGGTCTGCTACTATTCAAAATTCACTTTGATATGAGCTCCATAGATCATCTTCATCTTCAATAATCTCTTCCTCCTCAAACTTCCCCGGACTAGGGGCATCAGCAATTATTTCTTCAGGATCATGACCTGCTGTTGCTGGCTCATCTCGCTCTGAGTTCCCTGCTTCCGCCTGCAACGACATTACAGGGATATGGGTTGGTTTAGAAATTATTTTCTGATTCTAAGAGTCAAAATCAAGGAATTCAAGCAGATACATGGGAAGACAATAACAAAAGTACAAAAAATCAATGGCTTCCAAAAGGTAAGCGTAAGTAGAGAAACCGATGACAGAGCTCTCTATGGATTACGTCAGTTTCCAGATTCACCTCTTCCCCCTCTTCCGCCTCATCCGTTGGCTCATCTCTCTTTGACTCTCTACCTGCCTCAGCAGCAGCTTTCTGAAGCTGATCAATTACTCTCTCAAAATATGAACTGTCTGCAAACGAGAACAAATGCTACATTCAGAAACACCAGAGGGCACCAGACACTGAATAGTTCCCGATTAGAGTATCAATTACTGCATCTAATTTGAAATTTATCTCTCAGATACAATTGGTACGAATTCAAATTTTGCACCTACAGGCTACAGTGAGAAGCCACCTACGGATGCATCCTCACTTTGTGGCGAAACATTCTAACAAGTCATCGCAATTACCGTGAGAAGGCTTAATTAGATCAACATGAGAAGACAAGTACCTCTGTCACGATTTCCCAGAGCTTCAAAAAGTAAAAACGGCTGACGGCGCTCTTCAGCCTTAAATTTATTCTTGATCTGACGGCGATCCCTCCCAGGAAACAATTGTTGTACCAGTGAGAGATCAGTTCCAAACTGTCTGATTCCCTAATAGTGTCCGGAGATCATGTCTGGGTGAGAATGAGTCGGGGAGAGAGCTCCAGGCTTGTTTAAACAACAGCTCTTTAATTTAGAAGCGCAGTAGAGCCATCATGATCCAGTAATATGATCACAAGAAACAAATACTACTAAGAAAGAAAGTGTCTAAATGGTGGCAGTTATTGAATTGATGCAGCCACCCATTCTAGCTCACTTATGCTGCTTAAAGAGCATGAAATTTAATGTAAAAGTATCGGCCAGATTTTGAAGCTGCAATAGCATAATACAACACTTCTAACAATAACTTTTCTCCCAGTAACTGGATGTCTTAGGGTGTCAATCCTTATCTATGATACTCCTCTATCATTCCCACTCCCAGATCTTCATCCAATCATAATACACACAAGGATTTATAAGGGCGTTCTTTAACATAATTGCATTTGTTACACAAATTAATTATATTATCCCTAAGAGTAATTTATTGAATTAGCAAACATATTTAAATTGGTGTGTTGTGTTCATACCTCGTAAAATAGTTCTGTCTCTTGTTTTGACCACCTCACCTTACGTGTCCTATTCATGAAAGAGTGGCTATTGAATAAAGGGGTATTATCTGATATGTTTACAGCTTCATCGAGCTCAGCTTCATCCACTGCATTATGGGCAGTGCTGGTGCTACAAAGGGGTATTACATTTTATGAGATGAAATTGATTGGTCATGTAGTTAAGATAAAATGGAAAAAGATGAATTAGACAGGATGAGAGCAAGATTAGTTAAATCATTAATCCTTGAGCTATGGAACACTTCTTACCCTTCATCTGTTGAACGACTTTTCAAAGCTTTTGCCTCTTTAGCCTGCGCATAAAGACACATATGTGAGCTCCTAGCACCAACAAGAGATATTGGGTTAAGAAATAGTAGTAACCTATACGCAAAAATATCATTCAAGATCTTCAGGGCAACAGGTTACCCACAGCTAATCGTTCTCTATGTTCACCGAGAAAAATTATATCCCGGATGGGCAAGCTCCGAAAATCAATTTCATCTTCAGGAACCTTGAGCAACTCATCATTCCCTGTATGAAAAGAGTCAAAGCTTTTAAGGAAAGCAAAAGTAACTCATGTTTATTAATGAAATCATACTTACTGTATCTTTTCTTTCGGCGAGTTGTGTGAGCAAACTTCTTAGGAGGTTTCTGGCTCGGCTGTTCAGATGTCTCACTAGCTTTCTTACGCTTCCGACCTCCAGTTTCTTTATCTGGAACTGATTTCTTTGACCTTTTAGAAGCTTTCTTCTTTTTGTCGGTGCTTTCTCCACCATCAAAATCATCATCCCCACCATTATCATTATTGTCATCCCCATCCAACTGATATTCACTATCATTCTCTTCATCTGTAACCAGGAAACCAGGTGCTCCAACAGGGGAGCTGCTTCCAACATAACCTTCATTTTCGGGTTGGTCAACAGCTTGACGTGTGCCTGATCGCTTTCTCAACAACTTCCCACCATTTCTGCCGTTAGCTTTGGACTTCCGTGAGAGATCAGGCTCCAAACCATTCTTTTCTCTACTCTCTTGACCCTGAGACAGAACAGAAAACAAGTTAAAAGCAAGCCAATAAAACTTAAAGCATCATACTGCGCCAAAACAAAATTACCTCATTTTCCACCAAATCTGGTGCAACCCTCAAAGAATCATTTTTATCTGCCTCATTCAAGGTAAATATTTGCCTTGAATCTGTATGTTCTGAACTCATAGGAAACTCAGAAGCAGGAGGTGGTGACGGTAGATAATCATCGAAGCTCCTGGATGAGTAATACGAAACAGCATCACCTTGTGCTGCGGGCAATGAGCTCTCACTTTCATATCTGGTCTCAGATGCAATTAAATATGTATCCTCTGGAGGGACAAGAGAGTCAACTCCATCTGGGAGGACGACATCATTGTTAATTAGTTCAGATGTTATTTTGAAGCATAAGGAAAAGAAATCTGAGGCATTGATATAGGCTTACCTGATGCAACAGCAGACTCGGAGAAGACATTTGTTGCTTCTAGGTTGGGAAAGCCACCTGATGCCTGCAATTAATCAGTTCGCATCAAATTAGTCCAAGCCAAATTCTGTTTCTCTCCATTTTAACAAAGGTACGGATATTCACCTCCGATAGTAACCTCTCGCCATCATTATCAACAGCTACTGGATCTTTGGTTGCCATGTCACTCCTGAACTCTGAAGAATCAACAGACTCTTGAACCAACGAACTCGACTGCGGCCCAGCTAGCCCTTCATTTGTACAAGGAACTGAAACCCCTGAGGAAAGGACACAAACCTTCCACGTTATCATTGCTCCAACATCATGACCATAATGGAGATATGATCATCTATTGTCAAGTTTCCATGGCTCTCACCTGGATCACTTGGGGGCTGAGTAACTAAATCATGGATGGCGTCCAACCCCAAAAAAATGTCAACAGTCTGAAAACCCGTATAACTTCGTCAGCAGTAGAGCAAAAGTCTAGACATAATAACCCCTACAAACCACAAGACAAACTGCAATTCTCAGACCTCTGCGGCGTCGGCTTTTCTCGACGAAAAATCCAAATCCCCCAATGTAGCATCACCACCGCCGCCATCGCCCGTCTCAGTAGATTTATTTGCAGCAGCAGTGGCATGAACAGAAGGAGGAGCGACTGCGGCAGCCTTTCCCTTCCTAGGTCGGTTCTTCGGCTGGAACTTCCCCGCAGGCCGAGCTATTAAAGAAAGCGCAAAAATCAATCAACAGATAGAAAAACCCCAGTTTTGTATATAATAAACATCAGAGAATGCAACGAACAAGTAGGATTTTACCTCGAGGCGCCGCCGGCTCATCAAATACATCTTCGAAGGGATCCAAATCAACGTCCATTCTTTAAGCTTTCCGACTCCAAACGATTACCGGTTAGCATGCAGATTAAGCCACCGTCGACTCCTCCTCCCGCCCTAAAATCAAGCGAAATCATGTTGGGGAGATTGCTTTAATCAACGAAGGAGAACTGGCGAAGCCGCTGAACGCTAATAGAAGGAAACCGTATGGAGCCATTTCTTTTACCTGCAAACTTTGGTTCTCCGTTGAGTCTCCGACGAAGCACGAAGCGCGGGAGAGTGGGAGACGGCGGACTACCTCAACTACTGCGTGCTTTCCTTCTTTTTTTTTTTTTTTTTTTTTGACAATAGCTTTCCTTCTAATTTAGAAGTGCGAAAAATGGAAGCATTGGCGCAATGGCGTGTGGAGGCCGCCGGAGGGTAATTTGAACGGGATTCGGTTCCTTTTAATTCCAGTGGGCCACCTCTTTTGGGTCATTCTGGGCTTGTTTTTTTTCTTTATTGGGTGCACTAGTATTGGGCTGGCTTGGCTGGTTTGGGCCTTTTCATTTACCCTTCCTTAATTTCCTCTATAGGGATAATGTAACGGTAGGGGTGGAAATCGGTACAGTATTGGTATCCCAATATCAAATTTCGAAATTTCTAATACTGAATTACACCCGATAGTTAATTCCAATCTCAATCTCAATTCAAATCCCTAAATAATTTTGGTATCCCAATCTCAATCCCTAAATATTCTAGTATCCCCAATCGGTAATTCGGTATCTCAATTGGTATTATCGAATACTAAATTAATTACATTTGAAATAAATAATTAAATATATAAATTATATTTGATTGTTTAGTTTAGGGCAAAGAGACTAACCAAAGAGTCTTAAGTTTGCCTAGAGCTATGATATGGATAAGGAGAATGAAGGAGATGTGACATCTCAAGTTCTTGTCATTGGTAATCTTTAGTTTGACGAATTGAAAGCTGAGAGACGGCTAATACTAGTGTTTGCTTTTTTGTGTTATGAAAATAACAAGTTATTAGGTGAGAGTGACTTAAATTGGAAAGTCAAATTGAGTTGGATGGGGACTTTTGAGTTGTGAAACAAAGATGAAATTATTTGTGTATAATTAAATGACACTCTTGGTAGTTGAGAGTTGTGTAGTAGTGAATGAGAGAATCTAGTTGAGAGGATAAAATACACACTAGCTTATATTTTGGTATTGATCGGTATTTCGGTATATACTGATCCCAATCCCGTAACCCTAATACCGAATTACAATTGAAATTCAATCTCAATCTCAATCCCAATATATAATACGTGTATTCGGTAATACCAAATATAGACAAATTCGATACGGTATTCGGTATATCCCAAATATCGGTACCAAACTTCCATCCCTAAATGTAAGTATAGCCTTATAGGTGACTTACAAAATAATAACTTTTTCACTTAGGGTTGTTTGGTTTTGGTTATGTTTGGTTGTAATAGTTATTATGCATTTTTTTTTAGTTTTCTGCACAAACAATGCATGCATTATTTGCTTGATGTGATGAAAACTATCAATCAAAATGAGTGATAGTAATATCTCCACTAAAATTTGAGATTGTTGAGATAGTTTTGAGGAGATTGTTGAGTTGCTTTTTGTTCCAATTATACCCCTAGCTATATATATGTTCTAATAAAAGTAAGGGCAAAAGTGATATTTCCCGCAAAAAGTAGTATGACTTGTTGAATACTAAAAGAACTATCACCAAAGCAAACAATGCAAAGTACATTACATCATTTTTCTTAATTTCATGTATATTAGTATATTACAATGCATCCATTGATCATAATGCATTGATTTAAGTATCACCAAAACCAAACGACCCTTAGTGATTGATATTTGCACCGACAAATCGAAATGAAAATTTGGTCAACTCGATAAAAAAAGGCCATAATATACTTTGAGATTATCAAAATTTGTTGAGGTGGCGGTATGAGATGTTTATGTTTTTTAGTCGACTCCTCTTATGTTCAGGGACGGAGCCAGGATTTGAACTTAGCGGAGCCAAAAAAAAATATTTTTCGATGACATAATAAGAAAAAATATGTTCGTAAATTCTTGACAAACACTACAAAAATAACCAAATTGAAGGTATTTTATTTAAGTATTTAATTAAATGCATATTTAAACTATAAAAATGTGCAATTTTTTAAACTCTTAAAGGTAAAATCACTAAAAATATTTATGTGATAAAGAAATGAAATCAATTTTTTACTAAGTAATCATATTTTGGATATCGTTAAAAATTAAGCTTACATATGTCAAACAAAAAGTTGATCAAACTAAGAAGCATAGACTAGATACTAACAAACCATTCATGAAAAAGTGGCAACTGTGTGGGCCGAACTACTTTCCTCTAGGCTACAAGCTTAGCTATAAAAAGCTATTGTACAGAGCAAAATTCTACTAACCACTTCGTCTATCTTGTAGAGTTAATTACCATACAATTTGAATACATTTTAAAAGCTTAGGGCCCGTTTAGTATTGTTGTCTGTTTTTGTTTCCTGTTGTGTTTTTAAAAATTGGAGAAACCAAGAAAAAAAAATCTGTTTAGTTGGGTTTTCATTTTCTGTTGTGAATCAAAGTTGCACAACAAGGACCAAAAAAAGAGAAACAATAATTTATTGCTTTGGATTTGATTCGTAAACCTGTTGCACACGGGATTCCTACGGGTTGGGCACTTGATTTCATTAAAATAGCCCACTTTTCGAATCCTCACTCAAGCAAAAGAATTTCTTTTTTTTTACACTTAAAACCCACACAAACCCTTCCTTCCTGTTCCAAACAGCGCCGCCAGCCCTTCATCCTCTCTCAAATGCTTCGGCGACCAGAGCCTTCTGCCGCCCGTGACCAGTAGCCGTCGCCGCGCCAGCGACCAGCAGCCGTCGCCGATTCCCGTCGCCGCGCCAGCCGACCAGCAACCACCTCCTCTCAATCGCCGCCCCTTCATCCTCCCCGCCCCCGCGACCAGCAAACCGGCTCGAGTTCTCCTACCCTCAGGACCAGCAGCCGCCGCCTCTTGTTGTCCCTCCTCATCGTCGCCCGTCCTCCCCTCACGACCAGCAGCCGCCGCCGCTTGTTGTCCCTCCTCATCGTCGTCGGTCCTCCCCTCACGACCAGCAGCCGCGCCGCCTGTTGTCCCTCCTCATCGTCGCCAGTCCTCCCCTCACGACCAGCAGCCGCCGCCTCCTGTTGTACCCCCTCATCGTCGCCGGTCACCCCTAATTCCAGGCCGGTCACTTCCCTCGGCAGAAGGTAAAGTCCACTTCCTCAAAGTATTTATGTGAATCGAGATTTTTCTGAATATGTTTATTAATTTGGCATGTATGTAGTGAATGATGCTAGATTAGTTCTGGTTTTTAGTTCTTATAGTAATAACTAAACGCGTTTTTGTTTCTTGTTTTCAGTTTTCATGATTTATCAGATTTATCAACTAAACAGGTTTGTGTTTTCTGTTTTTTTTCAGTTGTGGTTGTACATCTGTTTACACAACACCACTGCAACCACAACAGCAACAAACAGCAACAAAATGATACTAAACGGGGCCTTAGGGGCAATGGCCCCCTTGCCAACAAGCTAGCTTCGTCTCTGCTTATGTTACCATAATTCAAGCATCTATTACGCAAATTCTCTTTGAACCTGTTGATTTTTTATTCGTTTGTTCTACCCTCTTCGATTCCCTTTTCCAGTTACAAGAGCAAGCAACATTACCTACAGTTAATACACTTATGGAGTGTACAAGTTTTTACTGTATTGTACACCTTTTGTAGGGGTGAGCAGTGGATAGTTTTATGTGGATTTGGGTGGATTTGGAACCACCTAGTATGTGATGGGTGAAGGAGAAAATGACTCACACCCTCCCAAACATTACATGTGGGTGGGTTGGGTAATTGCAGATGATGAGTGGTTGGTTGAATTCGGTAGGTTTACAGCATATATTCGTTATGATCACAAAATTTCAATAGTTTGAAAATTAAATGAAAGAAATTTTCAAACTAAATAACACTTATCCATAACTTAGGTGAATCATTTATTTTACAATATTGGTATTGGTAACGGTCCACAAATTATAAAATATTCAACTAATAAACATGATCTAAGCCTGATAATAACTAAGGTTTAAGAGGGGCACTAGACATAAGGCAAACATTTTGGTCTTGCCTAGCGCCTCATTCGCATAGGCGTTGTGAGCGTAATTAGATTTTTACCTATAGTTGCAAATTACAATTCCAAATTGATGGATGAAATGAAGGACGAATCTATGCTAGTTTGACATGGTGTCATTTTGGGGAAGACAACTTTCATTTTTCTACCATTTATCTACTAGATATGCATAAGTGTACCATCAAATGCCTAAGCACACCTCACAACATAATCCTTTGATCGAAATTGAAAGGAATTTTTGTGATTTTAAGGGTTTCATTTTTAGTAAAGCTATATGTTAGAGTTTTGATGGTTTGAGGTTAAAAAGTTGGATGGGTCGTGGATCGTGGGTCAACCACAGTCCACCGCCCGCACCCACCCAATCTTATGCGGGTCACCTATTTTACAACTCAAACCCACCCATAAGAATCACCCACATAATAATGGATGGGTCGATTGCGAGTGGATTTTGGTGGATTTGTGGGTTCAACTACCCAATGCTCACCCTACCTTTTTGTTGGATGTGCATAGCGAAGGGACGTGACATCTAACAATTCATTTTCTTTTCAAATTGGCAATGCTATCTTGTCGTGTCATCGAAAGTGATACATAAAATATTGTCTTGTCTTGTTCTAAATTTTTTTTACGAGTTTGGTTATTTGGAAAAAAAACATACAAAAAACAGAAGGGTAGATAACATTTCGTTCAATAATTATGCACGAAAGTGTTTAATTATGTAGATGAAATAGAAATATTTATCTCGTGCATATGAGTATGACCTTTTACTCGTGCATACTCCACTATTTTCGGCCATCAACATAATCACGTTACACATCTACCACATTATGAGTTCGGACTTTGTGAAAATAAACGTACAAAAAAATATTGAAAAAAATAAAATAAGAGATTATGTACATTAAACTGTAAAGTCTTACTCGTTTATATGAATTCGTGATAGCTCGTATAGCTTGTATAGCATATCTATCCTATTACGAACAGCCGTATACGTACTCTCACCATTGCTTATGGCGGTGAAAGAAGATATGATAACTCGATTCCTTTTTCTTTCACAATTGTGCACACCATCATTAGATACCTAGCCTATGTACTCTATGCAACCAACTTGCCCAATGTTTCCATTTTTTCCCCCTAATCGATTTACCATCCACCATTTTGTGATATGTGGTTATGGCCTTTCCTTCACTTCCCTTTCCCAAGCCCCATCCCCAAACGTTTGGTGATTGTAAAAGTTCTTTTGTACAATACACCCCATATAAAAAGAAAAGGTACGTTTTACACATTGGCACAAAATGCATAGGCAAAAAAGTTGGAAATGGAAGAACGAAAAAAAGGAAGGGAGGAAATTTGAATCAAATCTTTTGTGACCCTACGGAGTGAAAAAAGAGATGAAAAGATTAGTCGTGAGCACAAAATAATATAATATTATTATTTTGAAGCCCAAGTAGCTATTTGTTGTGCGCCCACCATGTTGCTGCCACTTTTCTTCGCCACGAAGGCAAATTCTTCTGAATAGTAGGGATTAAGGATTAATTTACTTTCTAAAAAAAGGATTAATTTACTTGTTAATTAGCTCATTGTTAATGATCCATTGAACCAATAGCATTTTATGTTAGCCACCATCATAAAGGATAAATTAAAGAGAAAGAAGAAAAGGGGAGAAATGTCTTGGCTTATGTGCCTTAATTTTATTTTGCAACTCATATTTTTTCTTCAACTTTGATCGATAAGTGAATTTTGTTTGTTGTTGTCGAGTTGAATTTGTTTTCATGATTACTTGATTTATTGAGGAGCATAGCGAGACCAGTAGGACAAAGCAGGTGGATGTGCTTGAATTTCTCGTCGACAATATGACAATGTATTCGAGCACAAACGAACTTAGTCGAGAGCAGAACAAGACAGCGAAAGGTGCAGAGAGAATTTTTGGCCGAGAGTTCTCTTCTTAGTGGCTCGAAATTACTTACCTCCTAGCTGGGATCAGGGATGGGGAGTCTTTCATAATTTGTTTCTCATCATATTAGGCTAACCGAAGAGGAAAAGGGTTTGATCAATTTGGGCACCATCTAGAGTAAGTATACATTCACATAGAGTAAGTATACATTCACATGTATGAGTCAATATGTTTGGAATGGAACAAACAATGTTGCCTACATGCATAGAGATTAGAGTATCCCCTCAGTCACAAATCTCCCCTTCCAACTTTCAAAGTTCTCTCCAATTGTGACAATATAAATCACAATCTCATTGACATAAACTATTACTAACCGAACTAATTACAAAACATTAGTGGAACTATCAATCATAAACATCTAGAAATTTAATTAATAGTAAATGAACTCCTTAATCAATTACTTGCTCACCTACCTTTGTATTTGTACTTTATATAGATGGTCATTTTCCTTGGGGAGATTAATTTTTGTTTAAAAAATTGGAAAATGGGATTGGTGAGCTCTCACATCCAACTAGTTCATTACATGTATGTGCAAATCAACTGTTGAGGCTGCTAAGATGTTTCATGAAAAATGCAAGAAAGCCACAAAAAAAAAAAAAAAAAAAACTATTGAAAATCCTTACCAATTTTTTCATGTCGCACTCCTCCATTGATGACCAGAAAAATATTAAGATATTGATAGAGATCATTTGAAAGCAAAGTTAAGGTCAATTCATGGTAATCCTTACAAATAGTGGGGAATTTGCACTGAAGTGAAAAGTTCTAATCAATATTTTTTAATATAAAAAACTTGTATATATGAAATATGATTGCTCTTTTCAGTTCAGTGGAAGTTGAAGAAGAATAGGAAACACTTAATTGCCATAAGTCGAGAAGGAGTCTTTATATAGTGAATATGCTATCACACCTAATGACCTAAAGTAGTTGAAGAAGAATAGGAAGTCCATGCCTGAAAGTGTCATAAGCTCATATCATCTGCTTCTTTTGTCTAGTTTTAGAATGACTCCGCAAATCGCAATTTCGAATGTTCGCAAATCACAATTTCGGATGTCCGCAAAGCGGCGCGAAAAAACCCTAATTATGCTTCATTTAGAGTTGGGTTTCATTGATTTTGTAGGCGGCCTCCACTAGTGTGTTGTTTTGGGAAAAGAGAGGTTCATGGATTGAGGTATAGTTTTATTTTTAATGTTTCTTTTCTTCTTTTGCTAGAATTTTTTTTGTCTCTTGCTATTTTTTTAATACAACAAAATTGATATACTTATATAATTACTTTTGATGATAAGTATATTTATATAAGTTCGAATTACGAAATCGTAACGATGATCAATCGAGAAAAATTAAAATATAATTGAGTTACGACAATAAAATCATTACAATTTCCGAATACCATAGTAAGTAGTAACTCGATCGCTATTACACACCTTGGACTGTCCATTTGGTTTTGTTTTTTCGGTTTTAACCGAAAACAAACCAATTGAAAAGTTAATGGTTTCAGTTTTTTTATTTTAAACCAATAAGCAACTTAATAGTTTTGGTTTGGTTAAAACCGGAAAATCACGAAACCATTAAGAAACCAATAAGAATAAAAGTATTTATCAACAATTTTTTTTGTTTCTTTTGACACGCATGCCAACCAATAATTTGTAATGGCTATTTACCATTATCATGACATTTATTCAATAAAAAAGAGGGAAATGAAAATAAATATGAGTGTATGAGTACATGTTGGTTTTTTGGTTATCCAAACCAAAATCAAAACCATTATTGGTTTTTGGCAACTGAAAACAAATAAGAGCCTTAATGGTTTTGGTTTTTGAGGATTTGGGTTTTGGTTTTGGTTTTTCATACTTAATGGCTTGGTTAACCAAACCAAACCAAATTGACAGCCTTACCGAGAGATAGACCGGTTGGAATGGATCCAACCGATCTATCCCCCAATTCTACAGACCTACCACATAGAAGACTGAAGTGGATGGAGCCATAGAATCCACTCCCTTCGCGTTTCAAACCATTTTCCTTTTTTTTTCTTCTTCTTCTTGATTTCGAAAATTGGGAACCCAAAATCAATTCTGATAACACAGTCGTCGACGGGAGAGAGAGGCGACGAGAATGAGTTATATAGTTGTGGGTCAATGATAGAGGTGGAAGAAGAAAATGAGTGATGGATATATTTTGAAATCATGCATAGCAAGAGTTTTTTTCACAACATTGGCAGCCTTGAAATCTCTCATTTTGAGAATCCTTCTCAAATAAATGATTTCGACCAACTCCGTCACAACGCGAAATGTAGGGAAAATTCCTCGTCCAAATTACTTCGATTTTGTAACGTTATACATAGATAGCGACCTGTTACGATATGAGTCATTCGTGATAATCTAGGAATTTCTAGGCTCATCTATTTAAGTAGTTTTATTAATTAGTTCTTATTTCGTATTATTTGGGATATTATTATTATTGTTTAATTGCCTTAGTAGGATTTGGATTGTTTTCTATTATGTTTAGGATTTGGTTATCGCTTCCTTGTGGGAGTAGTATTCATATTTTGTGAATTAGAAAAGAGATGTACTATGCTTATAAATATGTACTCACTCTTTCGTTTAATGATATGAGAAGATTGGAATCCAAGTAAATTTATAGTTTAACTTTCCCGTCCTCTATTTCTCTTCATTCTAAAGCGATTCTCGAATTCTTTTGTTCGATTCATTAGAGTCACTTACATGAAAATTCTAATCTGGAAAATCCACGCACTTTTACCCAGTGGCGGATCCAGGAATTCTACGTAGGGGTGTCCTCTATAAAATATTAAATTAAATATTAGAATTAAATTAAATAATTATTAAATTTGAAAATATCTAACTAATAAAAGTTTCATTAAAAGTTCATACGTGTTTCGTCAAATGATAAAATGCATTCGGTGTTTATATTGCTCAACAAATATGTCTTGACATATCCTACTAGACAAGGATATCCCATAATTGAGTTTAATCGTTAGGTTTTGAAAATAATTTGAGATAAAAATAACATTTTACTATTATATGTGGATCTAAAACACACTAACAGATGAGTTGTAGCGTAATTGAAAATATATTAACTAATAGTGGCAGTGTCACAAATTTAAATCACATAAACTACTACTTAAATATTATTTGTACCAATACGCAAACTACTACGAGAGATTGGATAATCATTTTCCCAAATTTTAAAGGTATCCCACTACCACTTAAACATTTTTTTCTCATACACAAACTACTATCGTAGGTTGAATAATCGTGTTTCCAAATTTTAGGGGTGTCCCGAGACACCCCTAACCATGCATGTATCCGCCACTGCTTTTACCACCTGTTATTGTATTGTAACCGTATATCTAGTGACCACTCTTCCACTATTGAACGTGGACGAGAGCCGCGCCAATATGCATTTCGTGAAAATGGCAAACCTACAATCCGATGGAATATTGGGTCTTTTTGGCTGTCGTCGGGAAAAAGGGTGGACGGCCTAATAAATTCCCCGTTTAATAAGGGGAATTCTCGCCGGAAAAGAAAAAAGACAGAAAAATTTGTTGGTTGTGTATGAATTATGATTTATGAATTATGATGAGCTTAGATACTGAGCAATAAAATAAAAATAATTGCCTGGGATGTGAGAGAGACGAGACCTACATCCCTAGATTTTGCAAAATTCTAAGCGACTCGTGTCAGGGAGAAAATCGTCGGTGGTCCCTTTACTTGCAATAAAAACCCAGACCACCAGCAAAACCTCAAATCTGGTCTCCTTTTCTTTCTTTCTTTCTTTCATCATCTCTCAAGATTCCCATTGGTAAATTTTAGGCAACATGTTGCTAGGCATTACATGTGCGCTCTCGTTGTACCTTTCATTTTTGTTTACCAGCGCGAATAAATTGGTGATAGAATATTTTGTATTTAAATTGTGGTTCAATTATTTCGTATCGATAAAATTATACATATGTCTGGATTTTAGCAGAGCAATCCATTAGATAGCATGTAAATTTGTTGATTTTATGCAAATGATCCGACATCTCGTCTACACGTGCCCGATCTAACTACGCAGTAGTGACAATAACAGTTCAATCGGCTCCTATTAAGTTGTGATTACTTGATGGTGCTTGAGAAAGTACAAGAATGACACAACACCCTTTTTTTCCCCCTAAAGTAGTCGTGTGATCGATGTGCAGGTTTACTATCGGACATCGACTCAGTGTCAACAGATGAGGTGATTGTAGCGAACTAGTGATGTTGATGGAAAAAACTTGCAGGGTATGAGTCCCAAGAGGGAACAACACACTACTATTGCGAGATGGCCACCACTTATATTTTTATGTGTTTTTCTTTTTTGCGATATGTTGTTGAGATTCGATAACTCAAATTATTGCAAGATGTTCAATCGTGAATTTTATATTTTTATGTTACAAATTTTTTTTTTTACATTTTTATGTGGTTTTTTTTTTGCACATTAGTAACAGAAAAATAGAAGGAGAGAGAAACTAGGTACTTTTATCATACGTAGAAAATGATTGTTTATGGTCCCTAAAAAAAGACTCTTACTGTTTACTACTTTAACAACTTTCAAATATGAAAAAAAGTACAGTCAGTATCAGATTTCAGTGCAAAGTGATTCTGATTTCTGACCCCTGACCAGCGCCACCACCGGACGGCCACCACTTCCACTTCCACCACCACCCCAGTCGCCATGATACAAACAAATAAACAATTACCCCGGCGGGAAAAAGAAAATGATGTAAGGCGAAGCAGACTCATACATTTATTTATTTTATTTTATGTTCGTATCTGTAATTTTCACGGTGGCGTTGCGCCATTGTTGGTTCCCAGCTGGATCTGGACACTTCCTTTCCTTCCTCCACCCCACATGTCCCATTCTTCCTTTTCCTCTCTCCCCCCAACTACCTTTCTCTCTCCGTCTCTAACCGAGATTCCCAAGCAAGCAAGCTCCTCCTTCCTCTCTAATCTTTTCTTCCTTCACTCCCCGCCTCACTTTTGCTCTCTCTTCTTCCTTTTTTTCCTCTCCCCTTTTTCAATAGTGAGTGAATTGAATTTCTAAATATCTTCTGTTCCCTTCCCATGCTTGTCTGAATTTTTTAATCAATTTCTCCATCACTGTGTTTCCCATCTTCCCCTCTATAAATTCATCCCCCCTGCTTGCTTCAATCTCCCCCCTTTTCCTCCCCTTCCTTCCTCCTTCCCCCCCTTTGCCCTTGCTCTGTTTCTCTGCCCAGCTCTGCCTTCCCATTCTTGGTTTCGGTCTCTCAGAGCTTTTCTCGATCTGGGTTTTGAGGAAATCGCTTAGCTTAAGTTGGGCTTGATGCATAGTCTCGTAATATTGATGTTTGAGATTCATGTCTCCAATTCTCAGTGAACTCCTCCTTGCTTGTTGTATGATCAATTCCACTTTCCGGCGCAGGACCCATTTAGTTCAATCTTTCTCCGTCGTCTTCCTTTACTTTCTCTACTATGTCTCATAATATCTGATTCAACCCCGCCCACCTACTTAGCCTAGCTTCAAATAATCGCAATAAGAACAATAATTTACCCAAAATTAGTTTTCGTTTCAGTCTCTGTTTTTTTTTTCTTTCAAATTTCCAGTCCATCTAGCTATTTGGGTCCTGCTGCCAAAATTTTTTTCTCTCGAAATCTCTGTTTTACCCCTGGACCAATGGCGTGCTCGAGCGGGACGTCCTCCACGACGTCGTCCCAGCTGGCGGCGACGGCCGCCGGGAGCAACTCCGGGTCGGATTCGTCGGAGCTCCAGGCGCTGATGCACGAGAGGAAGCGGAAGAGGATGGTGTCGAACCGGGAGTCGGCGCGGAGGTCGAGGGAGAGGAAGCAGAAGCACCTCGACGATCTGACGGCCCAGGTCGCCCAGCTGACGGAAGAGAACGGCCAGATCTTGACCAGCATCAACATCACCACCCAGCATTTCCTGTCCCTGGAAGCGGACAATTCCATCCTCCGGGCCCAGGTCGGCGAGCTCAGCAACCGGCTGGACTCCCTCAACGACATCCTCCAGTTCCTCACCACCACCGCGACTCCTTCGCCGACGACCACCGCTGACGGAGGGTATTTTGGGTTCGAGTACGAGGCGCCCGCGGCGGCAGCTGTAATGGCAGAGCAGCAACATTGCTGCTTCATGAACAACATGGGGTTTCTGAACCATCAGCCTCTTATGGCTTCTGCAGCTGCTAATGATGTTTTCCTCGTGAATTAATTGATTATAACAAAGGGATGGATTGAATTGTTTTTCTTCTTCTTTCCTTTGATTAATCTTTAATTTGGAGGGGTTATTATGGAATAAAGAGGCTGTAGAAAGTTGAAAATGAGGTTATTATTTTGGTTTTTACAGTTTGACCAATGGTGGCAGTAACTATGGGATGGATGGAAAGCTGGGGCTGCTGGTGTTTAATTAATTACTGTCATTAGTATTATTATTATTATTACGTGTGTAAGTTTGTTTTGGTTTTCAGTTGCTTTGGTGCTTTTATTGTTGTTTCTTCTTTTCAATGTGATTGGTCATTGGTGGGGACTAATATTAAAAAATCACAGTACTTGTGTGAATGCTTTTTGTTTTGATGATTTTGATGTTTTTTCGAGATTGAAAATCCCATCATGTGTTTGCATCGACATCATCGTACGAGTAAATGACATTTGTGCCCCTCCATCTCAAGGTCGTTGACAAACATGTCCATTTTATTACGATTGAATGGATCTACTCGTATTCACAAAATTATCGAACATGTCATGTTGTCCCTGGAAATTGTGTCAAATAATCGTCAAATGCGAGCTTCAAAACATCATAGGGAAGGATTCTAAAAGGCTCTTCATATAGGTGAGGGGTCCCTTACTTGCGTTCGAAGAAACAATTGAGTTGTGGACTTTTGTGTTAAAAAGAAGAAAGTTATGTGAGTAAATACATGCTATATAACGATGGCATACTAATAGATTGATTCTAAAAACACATACTTCCTGACTATCCCAAATTGAAAAGAGATCAAGAGTTGATAATCATCTTGAAATCGCACCACCTCGAATCCTCTCAAAATAACAAGTTTTCGCAACACTTTAATGAACGCATAAATCGTATTGATGCATGGTACTGTTTCGAATATCTCGTTGCTGTTATAAACTCGTGGTGTCATCTTCGATCTGATCCGACTTCATTATCTTTTCATTGGACTTCGCCAACCATTTTCACACTTGTGAGTCTCGAATGCGCCATCTTGCTGTTGCTGTTAATATTTTAGAAGAGAAGTACTAATTAATCGTGGACCTGTTTGTTCATAAATTGGAAGAAATAGGGTGGGAAGATGTGCAAAATAAAATCTGTTGTGTTCGTCATACTTGCTACTATCAATCTCGTACGTATAGCCGCACAGTTGGCACACTTGGAGCCGCTATTTCAATTCTTTTGTCTTGTTTCTAGTAGAATTGAAACTGAAGGGTAAAGAAAGAAACCATTATTAAGCATGGTTAATTAGGAAGAAGACAAAATGGCCATCCTTTTAGTGGGCCACTAATCACTATTTGATTAAATTGTAATCACATGTATATTAAGTTCCGTGATTAGATCAAATTGCTTAATTTTTTTTTCCTTCGAAAGGGATCATGGTAGTGAGAGGTTGCCAATATTGACGGAATAAGTTGTCAATGGGATTGCAGATAGTGGTTTATTTATTAATTAGTTTCAACTCCTTTTTATATGTTTCCTTTACAACATATAAAGTTTGGAGAATTTGAAGATAAGAATTCGTAGAACGCACTATTTAACTTTCACAAATTTGCTATTACTATGATTATATAGGAGAAAAAAATCATTTTATCACAAGAAACAAGAAAACATTTAGAAAGTTTTTAGCTGATTTGAAGTTAGGTGCAAAAAGACTTTGATTCGTTGGATTCTACAACTTATTAGCAATGGTGGGTGAGATGTAAACTATTACCTGCACATGATTATGATGAATGAATGAACGTTGATAGCACCATATATAATTATAATTACATAAAAAAGATTACCCTAAAATTGTACTAGTTCTCTTATTTTCTATTCACTACCATCAGGCATCAACAGAGAAGAAATAGCGATAAAATTCTGAAATTTGTTTAATCTTAAGAGTTTTCACGTGAATGCTAAGTGTTATAAACATCGTTATATATTTAATCGTAGCAATGAACATATGTAAAAACACATAATTTTTTTTGTTAACACACAAGTCAAGTCAAGTACCACGTCTGATGGCCTCGCCACAATTTACAAGCTTGATAGGCTTTGGCAGGACTTGATGATGATCTAATGCTATTCCTATCACGTTGGAAATAAAATCACACGGTAATATTCGATTGATAATATTAATTACCAAATCGATCAAAATCGTTATCGACTATGCTAAGTTAAACTAGTCACATTCGATATCATTAGTCATCAGTGGTATGCGCTAAGCTACAAGATGTTTCCAGAAGAAAGTATTGGCAAAAGCTCTCCAACTTATCTGCTAAGCTAGTCTTACAATTTGTACAAAGAATATGACTCATTTGCAAAAAAGTTGGAGGATGGCTGGCCTTACTGCCTAAGCACATGGATATAGGGCAGTAAAGCTAAACCTACTAAAGACTTCCTTTCTCTTAAACTCGACAATGGAAGTAGAAAACAACGTGCTAATTTGATGTCAGTTAATTAAACAAAGCATCATTCAAATTAATACAACAACGTTAATACCACTATGACAACACGAATCATCTAGAAGCACATATATGATAAACCCAAAAACTAAAACGGTTACATCTCTAAACAAGACTGGATTTACCACTACCCCAATATACGATATCAGAATAATGTTGTAATTCATTATATGATAACTTTAAAGTCTCGTAAGCTTTGTTGGGACGAATATTTTAACATTTGGAAAAACAAGTAAAAGTTAACTAACAAAGAGACACTTAATTTGAGAATCAGACTTATTGCTTTCCCTCCATCCTTTTATTGGGATCAAAATCGTTTCCTAGAACGACACCTAGGGCTAGAAACAAGCTTTTTCTGCAAAAAACGAAAACCCAGGCTGGTGGGATTTGTCACATGGCAAATACAATACAAGCCACTAGTTTGCATGCTCTAGGCTGGGCTGGGGGGAAATAAAGGGTAACAGAATTAAAGTAAAGTGCGAAGGACAAGTAAAGTGGTAGTTCCCCTAAATCAGAAAAGTAAATTCGAGCAGAGGAAATATATATATTGTTCAATTTAATTTTTATTTAGACTTCAATGGTCATCAATCAATTATACTTAAATAAATTGGACGGTAGACTAGTCAGGCCTGAGGGAACAAATTTGTACTTGTAAAATTAAGCTAACTTTGTATCCCGTTCACTATTTTTATGTCCCATAAGATGCTCAATTAACGAGTTTGCCAATTAAGGAGGGAATAAGTAAATTCAAGATGTCTGCCATTTTTTGGGGTCAGAAATCACAACCGTACATAGGTGACAGATCTCTAGGTTTAATAAAAATGAGATAGTTTAATTTTCTAAAAAAAAAAAATTCCTCGTACAAAATACTGAGGATATTGATAATTCCAGCCATTCAAGAAAACACAGTAAAGCTAACTTAAATTACTGATTCACAAACACATTTGACCTAAGTTTAGGTAAAGGTTCATGGGGGTTTGATTTAAGAAAACAAAAGTTAAAAGGAACGACGTGTAATTGGAAAATGACGTCTTCCCTAAGGAATCTTTCGGAATATTACTAGAAGACCATAGTAGATTCCAGTTTGGAAAAAGGAAGAGTGATGTGAAAATAGCTTTTCAGAACATATGTATATATGTTTGCCCTTTTCCTCCTCATCGCTTTTCTTTTTATAAACTCTAATGGGCCGAAGCAAGCACGGGCTTGTGGAATAGAGAAATACTCTTTGTAGAGTTGTTGGGCCGTGGCCCAGTATCCATGCATATGGAGCTACAATATTCAACTCATATATGGGCCTGCATTGACCCGAATGAATATGCTCGTCTAGTTTAAGAGACGGCGGTGAAACCCACCGAGACCCAAGAAGATAATCAAGGCACGAAAAGACTGGGCAGCTAACGGGAGCTTAGGTTTCTCCATGGGAATAGTAGCACAAGCGGGGAGAAGTTTAGGTTCAAAAAACACACCCGCAAACCCATCCACTCGTCCAACCAGATCCAACTCATACGTATTTATTGTTAAAATGAAGGTTTTGGGGTTTCTTTTGTACAACTCACATCTTTTGGGTTTGGTTTGGATTTCGGATTACACAACCCGTAGAGCCCGACCCAACCCGTGTTCCAACTATTGGTATGAGTTTGTATCCAAAAATATTTATGTCGTATATAGTCATACTTATGAGAAAATTAAGATATTTTGCCATATTTTTCTCTCATGGTCTCCCTAATCTAATGCATTCTTTGACTTAAAGTTTAGACATAAGTTTAATATAGTTATGATTCACATAATTCTTTTTCTTTTGTACAATTTTAATAGAATAACATTTTATGGATGCGTTCATTTATAACTTTTTTAGCCTATTTCAACAAATGTCGTGAAAAAAGCTAGACATATGTTGAAGTAAATCATATTTTATTAAAATTCAAACAACATTTGTGAATTTTGATACCTTTCACCTCGTTTTATTCATTTGAAATTTTAATTAGTTATAAAATATTTTTATGGTTTAGAATAATTACATATTTTGTGTTCGGTTGGGGTTTACTTATAAATATCGCCAACCCGACCCAACCCAATTAGAAACAAACAGTAGGGTTTAAACTTTTTTGGGTGGGTTTGAGTTTAATATTTCCCAAACCGTAGTGCATGGGTCGGGTGATTAAAATGGCTAAACATGAACCACCCGACACATGTACACTCTTAGAGAAGTTAGAGTGCTAACTTCATAGGAGTTAGTACCATACTAACTATTCTAATCACCATTAATTCGGGTAATTAGCATAAATGGTAACAAATCTTTGCACTTAGTACAAAACGGTCACAAACCTTTAATTGGTAACAATACGGTAACAAAACTTTGAAATTGTATAAAATGGTCACCGCTATTTAATTTGTGACCGTTTTGTTCTAAATGCAAAGGTTTGTTACTGAATCGTTACAAATTAAATGTTTGTCATGTTTTGAGGTCGGGTAGTTTGTTCGTTAAGTATATGACACTAACCACTTGAACGACATATAAGGTCATGTGTTCATCGACATATTTGCTTTGCTGAATAAGAATGCCCTCAGTTGACCTTTGAATTTCGATACCAAGAAAGTAAGAAAGTAGACAGAGTTTTTTCAACTAAAAAGCAGTCTGGAACCCGTTTGTGAGCCATTGAATTCTTTCATTGTCATCCTTTATGACGATCATATCATTCACATACATTAACAAAACCACCATACAACTAGAGCGAATTGTAACGGTGATTGATCGTTCAAACTTTTGAACTTAATTTGTACAAAACGGTCACCAAAAGTCTAATTTGCAACGACATGGTAACAAAAGTTTGAACTGGTATGAAATGGTCACACTGTTTAATTTATGACCGTTTTGTTCTAAGTAAAAAGTTTTGTTATCAAATGGTTACAAATTAAAGGTTTGTGACTGTTTTGTACTAAGTGCAAAGGTTTGTGACCAATTATACTAATTACCCTACATTTTCTTAAGTCAAATATGACGGTGGTTATTAATGAAGGGTGTGTTTTGTATTTCAAAAAATTAATTAAAATCTAAAATATATTTTCTCTCTCCTTCTTTTGTTAGTAATTTTTGGCCTAGAAAAATTACACGAAATTCATTACTTCTTAAATTAGTAGCGGTTTTGGCTGATAGTGGTGATTTTATTGTTAGTAGTAGTGATTTAAGGAGTTGTAATTTAAACCAATGGATGATTTTTGGGTTGATAGTAGTGTTTTTATACTATTCGGTTGCGATTTTCATATAACTATTGACACTAATAACGAAAAATATAACCATACCAACAACTACTAATATTAAAAAAAAAACACACTACACATTATAATAAAAATCACTATTAGTACATAATTACTCCATACAAATCACGACCAATATATAACTACTACATATAATCAAAGTCTCTTTCTATTCGGCTTGCATGATGCCAGCAAGTCACCCCACCCGAACACGTAGTCGTCCACCGCCGAAGATCACTTCAGTATGCCCCAATAAGTCGTTCCCGCCTCAGCAATGCTGCAAAGACATGCACCCAGACGAATCTTGTTGTTCCCTTCAACTGCTCCAGACATTGCCGTTTGGATTTGATCGACGGTGGCCCTAGATCTGTTGCACTGGGGCATGGACAAGCATTGGGGGAAGTCAGATCCGAAATTTACCTCTCTCTACACCGACGGTGATACGGATAATGGAGAAAAAGATGTCGGCGCACGCCATCAACGCACTTTCTTCTCTCATTGCCGCAAGCCTCCTCCGCCGCCATTGTCACAGCCTGCCTCCTCCATCGCTATTTCTGGCTTTCTTCTCCTATCGCCAGTTGCCATCATTGCATGTCTCTTGGGGCATCTCGTTCATGTTCTCCGTCGTCGCACCGAGACTGTTCATGTACATAGAGGGGAGAGGGAAGAGATGGTTTGTGTATAAAGAGCGGAAAGAGGGGAGGCGGCCCGTGAGTGCGTAGTGGTGGCAAGTGAGGTTTTATATTAGAGTTAGAAGTAATATTACTAAACTATCCTTTATTTAATTTGACCTTAGGATTATCATTTTAATCTAATGGCTCTTAAACAAGTTAGCATGGTGTTAATCCCTTAATATGTTAGAACCTAATCCCATACTAGCACAAGTAGGCTTCAGGTTCTAGTATCAATTGGGTTTTCAGTTTCGTAATTTCCGCCATAGCAAAGTCGAGGAGACCAAGTTGATTAGATATATCGGGGCCGACTAATAAGAGTATTATCATAATTACTAGTTTGGTATCCGATCCATTGGTTGGATTGTTATATTCGAATATAACGTATTTACGATGTTTTGAAATACTGAATTTCATATGATAATTAATGTGATATTGAAATTATTTTTTAGTTTTTTTTAAAAATTATGATAACCTTTCATCAATAACCGAATATTATATTTTTAATGATGCACTCACTTAGTTGTCTATGGTTGAAAAGAAAATTTACATAACAAAAAAAGGTTTGTCTAAGAAAACATATAATTAGTGGCGGATCCAGAAATTTTACATAGGGGTATCCTCTTTCAAAAAATAAATTAATAAAATTAAATAATTCTTAAATAAGAAAATACCCAACTCGTACAAGTTAAAAAAAGTCCATGTTGTACTTTTATATTCTGGAAAAATTATAAAATACACTTGGTGTCTACACTGCTCAACAAAGTTGTCTCAATATATCCTACTAGACAATCATTCACGAACTGACACATGTTCGACTTCTAAATCTGTTCTTGATGTAATTCAAAGTTGAAAAAACACTTTCAACACTTGTCGTACAACCATAAATTCAATACAAATTAAGGGTAGCTTGTAATTGGATTAAGTGAAAATTGGGTATGACAAAAAAAATATTCATTATATTTTTTTAATAAATTATATTTTAGAAACTTAAAAAAATATATTAACTACAATTTTCTCTCTCTTTCTCTCACTTCGAGAATCTCCAAGCATACCTCTCTTTCTTTCTTTTTTTTCTCAATCTTTTCTTTGTTTTCGTTCAGCGAAACTAATAATGCTGCAACAATAAAACAATAAATCAATACCAATTCATTAAAAAAACACTACCATTGCACAAAAACATCAATATCATTCGAGAGATAAGAACACTACCATTTCACGAAACACTAGTGTCATTGCAGATTTGACCAATACCAATACATACAAATCAATACTATTACATGATAATCAATACCAATGCAAAAAAAAAAAAAAACAAACACTACCACTGCCATTTCACAAAACAACAATACCCTTACATATAATCAATACCAATGCGAAAAAACACTACCACAATGAAGAAATCACTACTAGTGCGAAAAAAATACATACCAATAAAAAAACCAGACCTTCTATTCTCTAGTCAATTCCCCCAATTTCTTTATGTTTCCGAGTCGTCATTTATAGGAGAGGGGAGGGGGGGATGTCTGTGTGGGGGGTGGGGGTGGGGAGGGGTTGGTTTATAGTAGAGGCGGAATGAGGTGGGTGAGGAGGAGGGAGGAGGGATGGGGGAGGGGAGAGAGGGCGGGCGAGGAAGAAGTTGGAGATAGGGGAGGTGTTTGTAGGCGGTGGGGTTTGGATGGGGCAGAGAGAGAGGAGGGAGAGCTTGCAGAGGGTATAGATGGAGGGAGAGAGAGTATAATCACTACAACAAATTCGGTCTATTAGGACAAAATTTGTATTTTGTCATTTTTTGTTTGTCACAATAGGTACGATGATATGACAAAAATAATATATGTCCTATTTGGTATACCTAACGTGACAAAAATATTGTTGACAGAATAAGACGTCATTTAAAGTGAGTAATGTGACAAATATTTCGTGTCACAATTAATTTTGTCAAAATAGGCGTCCCATAACGGGATGTAAGATCTCAATAATGACAAATTTCTTGTAGTCGGAATAGTTCGTCATTTAAAGTGAGTAATGTGACAAATATTTTGTCACAATATATAGCAATAATCCTACGACGAGCTAACAAACGTGCATGTTCGTCATAATATAGTGGTTTCGACTTTGACAAAGGCATGTTCGTCATAGTATAGTGGTATCGTTTTTGACAAAAGGCATTTTCGTCAGATTTGCTGGTGTTAGACAAAAGGTATTTTGAAGTCGGTTTATTGGTAACCAACTCAAAACCAAAATTTTTTGAGTTTGCCTCCCAAACTTTCACTTCTGTTTTGGCAGAGAAAATTGAAGTTTTCAAATTTTGAGATTCCTCAAAATTTAAGTTTTTTCGCGGTAATCAAATTTACCTTCTCTCTATTTGTTTGCAATTAATTCACCTCCCTCCCTATCCCTTAATATTACTCTCTCTTCTTGCCCAATCTACGTGCTTCTCCTCCTCCCTCAGAATCGGTGCCCCACAAACCCCAAACGATATGCTCCCCTCCCTGATTCCCTCAAACAGATCCAGCCAACACCATCTCTGGCACCGACCTCCGATATCCCACATAACAAGTCGATTGCGTACTGGGCTTCAACTCCTAGGGGTGTTCAAATGGTTACCATGGTTATAATCAAACCAAATAAGGCTAAATTCCATTAACCATGAAATACAATATCATAACCAAACCGTCCAAACTAATACAACAACCAAATTAACCAAACTAAAGTTTAATCGGTTTGGTTCATTGGTTAACCAGATTAATCAATATAAAATCACATTATCATTGACGATAAAAATTTTCCGGTTAATGCAACAATTCGCAATTTATATAATGAATAAAACATAAGTACATAACAATCAACACGTAGTTATAGTTGACCCTTATAAGAAATACACGCTACTAAGACATTTATCTTACGATTAGTATAGAAGTATTCACCTAACAAAAAATTATGACAATGGTATGGGTTAATGAATTGTTGTGTTTGTGTAAATTGACTTAGTCTCTTAGCAATATCATAGGCTGGAAATGACCTTCCTTTCAAGTTTCCATTCATCATAATGTATGAAATTTATCTAAATTAGGCGTCCATATGTTGTGGTCTAGACTTTACATATACAAATATACACTATATGAGCAATATTGAACTTTATATTTTATGAGTCTAAAAGGGATGAACGTTAACTCTTGAGTGGTTATACAAAGTATTATGTGTATATAATATATGTTAGATATATGACTAATTACTTAACTGGTTAATTTGGTTTGACTGGTTAGGAGTGTCTGAAACCAAACCAAACCACCTAAACCAAACAAGCTAAAAACTTTAACCAAACCATACCAATTATCCAAATTAACCAAACCAAATTATCCAAATAATACCGGTTAAAACGGTTACCATGGTAACCAATCCGTTTGAACACCCCTATCAACTCTTGTGTTGCGATACGGTGGCGTGGAAGGCACTGGCAATTCTGGCCGATGAACTTATGACCCGGTTGCAAGCTTCGATCCAATGCTAAGGGGCGATTCTGGACGAAGAACTTGCGCGTCTCAAGGGGATGACTCAGTCTCGACTCGGTGACACGGGTTGTTGACTCTGTCGCAACTCGGAGACTCGTCAGGTTTCCTACACTAAATAGATCAGAGAAGGTATAGAGAATCCCTCTTCTGATTTCGTCCGTCTTTACCCAATCTCTCTACATCTCGGTTCATCTGGTATGATTTTGATTTTCTAGGGTCAACAACCTGCCTTCTTCAACATCATCCCAGATCTGCAATTTCTCTACATCTCAGTTCATTTGATATGATTTTGATTTTCTATGATCAACAACCTGCCTTCTTCAACATCATCCCAGATCCACCATGGAGGCGACGGTTTGCGGTGCATCGACATGAAGCAACTGCTAGAGGAGCGGTGTGCTGGTGACAGTTGGGAAAGGAACCTACGAAGATGGGGTTTGGGGGGATCTTTTGGGGTTCGATTGAGGTGGACGAGTGTCGAATGCTGGGTTTCGATTGGTTTGGGAGTTTCAATGTATGGGTTTGGGGATATTGTGTTGGGGGTTCCAATTCTGGAGGTCGGAGGGCGAAGATGGGAGATTGCTATGTTTTGGGGTTCGATTGAGGTGAAAGAAGGGTCGTCGAAACCGATCTGGTCGCCGAGATAATATGTAGTTATGTCAAAATGTATTCATTGTATGATCGTGTAATATGAATATCAATTTTGACAAAATCATCAAATTATGACAAAACTAATGACATAACATTTCGTCATAAAAGCTCATTTTGTCACAATAGACTAACTAGAACATGAGCTGAACTGACAAGCCAAAGTCCAAATGTGACAAACCCTTCCTTATTGTGACAAAACTATTCGTCTGTTTTTTACCAATTATATGACACGAGAATATGTCACAATATCATACAACAAATATGACAATGTTATTTTAAAATTTTGTCACATTTGACCTATCCTGACGGCGATAAAATGACAAAGCTTTGTGCCAACACCTTTTGTCGTATTATACCTAATATGACAAAATGAGTATCTAATATGACAAAATTGCCTCGTCATAATAGGCCAAATTTGTTGTAGTGAATTAGGGTTAGGGTAGAATATATAACGTAATCAGGTGTGGTTTTATGTTGTCTTCCAAAGTTACCTTAAAACAATCTTAACCATGAGATTAAAAAAAGAGAAAAAAATTTAAAAATAGATAGTGGATATTAGTGTAGTCACGGTGGCTACTAGAATTCTAGTAACCACATTAACGCGTTCCATTTTTTAAACAATAAATATGACAAGTTGTATGCTCCAAAAGCATAGTATGCTCCAGATGATTTGGTCGTTACATGTACTTCGATGAGTTTCGACAAATCTCAACGGTCATTTGTTGTTTTTTCTTAAATTAAAATTCGGGTTTGGGTTTAGAGATTCGATGCCTAGGTTTATTCATTAGAGTTTAGGGCATAGCATCATGACCCAAACTCCTGTCCATGACACTATACCCTAACCTCTAATGGGTGAATCTCATTCCTCAATCCTCCAACATAAACCATTAGATTCATTTAATCTTAAAAATGGAAATCAACGGTTCAGATTCATCAAAATTATGCAAGTACAAATAATAATTTATTTTAATAACTAATATAAAATAGTGTAATGTATTCTTCCTTAACGTGTGGTCTCATAATAAAATTAAATTACAAATATCATATTTGATTAAATTATTATATAAGATGGACTTATTTTACAAAATTGTGTAATACAAATTGATGAGATTGTGAATTAATAGGCACAAATAAAAAAAATTTAGTTAATAATAATTGAATTAAGTTAGAAAAAGTATCACATTTAAATAAACTGGTATGTAAAAAAGAATCAATCTTACAAAAATTTCATGTAATGTAAATTGATGAGATCAACAAAAATTTAGTTAATAATGTCGGAATATTTATTTAAACTTATATCATGAGAGACTTATGTAATGAGTTAGTTTAATGGATACATAAAAAATATTATCTCTCTTTGGAGTTTGTCTAACGGCTTAGTCATTAACACTTATGTTCTAATTTTTTAAGTTATAATTAAAAAATCATTATTTCTCTAAAATATTTTTTTAATATATTAATTTATGTTGGTGTTACATAAATATTCTATGGTGTGTGTCCAAATGATAAAATCAAGATATGAAAAGTTCACATTAGTCGAGCTACAATTGAAAAGTTAATTTACATTGCAATACTTTTGTGTAATGCAAATCGACGAGGTGATGAACATTGTATCTAATTATAAGTTTTACGTAATGTACGCAAATCTTCCATAAATTGAAATGGGAAATTGTTGAGATAGCTGTGTAAAGATTAAAAAAAAACTTATGGTGAAATGGAGCGTAGAAGATGGGAAAAAATTACATAAACAACTCACTGTGCTGATAAAGAGCTTATGGTAAAATTGTTCGTAACATGTGCGTTAATATATCTAATAATATTTACCTATGAAGTAGTTATGCCATATATGCACGCACTTATTCCAACTAATTATCCGTTCTCCAAGTCCCTATCGAGTTGGACATAAAGGGTTGGCTTTCAAACTGATTTGGTTATCATTGAGTGTTTGATAGGTTGTCTGTCTATTGTTCTTTTTTGCTGCGTGTATTGGTAGAATTTTATCCCCCTTATAATTTGAGAGTTGTTGGCTAATTGTATAAGGTAGTTATATGTTGGTCATATGCATAAAACCTTTATTGTTATTCTTATCTTACGAAGCAATAGAGTCCTCTGTTCTATGGATGCTTCTAACCATAACAGGTAAGTTCATCTCCAATCAGATTCAATGCTTGTGATAATAAGTTAATCTCCTATTCAAACTCATGAAATCATTTTGTTCACTTTCAGGTTGATTTTCTGGGGTTGATGTTACCATGGAGGAGAGAGTTAACTTGAAAGTAAGTTTTGGACATACTACAAGTTATGTGAAGGAGAACATTTTGGAGAGTGTTATAATTGTAGTCAAACATGAATGCATATTTAGAGACTTTGACTCACTATATTATTTATTACTGAGAAACCATTTCTTAGTTAATTACTTACTCAATAGTATACAAATCGTCATCTTCTAATCCATAGCCTCATTGACTAGCGAGTATAAATTTCCAAAAACTGTTTTGTTGGTTTGTCTAGACACTTGTGTATATCAAGCTTTGTGTCATTGCCTGAATGCAAGGATGTGGATCTCCACAAACTACTATTCTACTCCATTTGCTGGTAGATTCTCAGCAAAGAAACGGTTGGAAATGGAGATGCGAGAAGAGAATTGGACAAAGAAGGTGGTAAAATCACACAAATGTACAACAAATTTTGTCGAGAATAGGGATCCACTTCTGATAAGACCCAAGAACTCCAAGGCCCAATTTGAGGTGAAACCGCATGAGAAGATTAAGATGGAAGAAAACAAGAACAATATTAGTTATTTGAAATAATTATTAAGGAAGGCTGGACCATTCGTAGGTTCGTTCCGTTGGTTAAGGTTATCTAAAAAAAAAATCTACAATGGTGTTGAATAAACAAAATGTAACTCATAATAAATTATTGTAAAAACAAAAAGAAAAACCACAAATGTTGTGAGAGAGTTTTATAACAATTCACACTCGCTGGCTAACGCGGCTATGGATCATCAGAATACGATATACATACTATTGAGTTAAAAAATATGTTTGATTTGGAAATCGACAAATACTAATTATACGATTTTAGAAATTTTGCATTTGAAATGGAAAATATATAAAAAATCTTTTAATGCCAGCAAAGAAAAAAACTTAATTTTCTATAAACTCTCAATTGAAAAGTAAAAAAGATGAGAAATAGAAAATATGAAAAAATCAATAAAAGCATAGGTGAAAGGCGAAAGAAAGTAGCTATTGGTTTTGTCTATTCCGATACTGTCCACTTTTATCCTCTTTGATGGGGAATGAGGGATTTTCTCGTTATCTTCATATTTGAGCTCGAACAAGAAAGATATGAGTAAGAATACAAAATTAATACGAACAAAAATGGAGCTTTAGCAAATAATAACAATAAAATAAAAATGAAAGTGAAAAGAAATTACAAAATGTTAACATGGCCATATGGGTACATACATGATAAAATCTTGGCTAGCACAAAAAATTATAGATATAAAAGAAATAAAAAAAAAACAAAATGTTAACATATGAGTCTAAAAGAGATATAAGAGGTAAAAGAAATAAAAGAGAAAATGATGTAAAATATGTTAAAAGAAATAATAAGAAGAAGAAGGAACCAATAAAAAATTAACATATGGGTAAAAGAAATAAAGGCAAAAAGATGAAAAGTATGTTGCCCTTAGAAGAACACATCTAAATTTGAAAATAGAAAGAAACTTATGAAGTATTTATATGATATATCTACCTTTGAAGTATTTATATGAAATATCTACCTAGTGAAAAATGGAAAACTTCTCCAATCCGACTTTGATTTCGATCGATACAGAAAATAGAAAACAAAAAGGAAATTTATCAGGCATGAGAATAGAGGTTGAAATGAAGAAAAAAAGAGATTACTCTGTGGTGACCAATGTGAACATTCATTCTCTCCCTCTCTCAACCCACTCACTCTCACTCTATTCGCGTCACCTCTTTTTCCTCCCTCTGCCCCATTTATTTCCCCTTCCCCTCACGAATATAATCAGGTGAAACTTTCTCTCTTTTCAGAATACATAAGTTTGCCCTTTTCATCCACTTCGCATTTTCTTTTAATAAACTCCAATGGGCCAAATTTGAAAGGAAGAAGTCGACATCCAAAGAAGAGGCAAGATGGAAATGGATGAAGGTGATTCACACTTCTCGGATACTAGATGGAATGAATTTTTTTTTATTATAAAAAACGAATAATATTTTGCTATGATACCATGTTAAGAAGTTTGATCGATGAGCTTGGCAGGGGCTTGATCGAAGAAATTGAATTGGAAGAGGGGGAACCAATCAATAGATTTTTGTTGAATGAACCGAGAAATTTACAATGTCAATTACATAGCAAGTATATATACAAAGCCTAAATTCCTATTAAGTACACAAAATATACAACCATTAAATAACAGTCCCATTTCTAACCAAAAGTTACAGCTAGGTCCTCGAATTATCATTCTCTGACATCATAGAAAGAAGGAGATCGGGGAAAAATGAAAGTAGGTTAGATTTTCCACAACATAAATTAAATCCTTCTCCTTCCCTATCATTGCATGGAGCCCACTCCATGATAAGATGTATGAGTGAATGACGAGTCTTCGACTTTCGGTTATGAAAATCTAATATCCTGATATTGTTGACATGGGTATGGGGACCTGCTGAATTTCAAAAGAAGTGTGGGCTGATAATGGAGGACAGTTTACGGTGATTACTATTTTATAGTGATCTCCGTGGTTACTAAGGGCAAACTGGGTATGACAAAAAAAAAATTAATTAGTTTTTTTAACAAATTACATTTTAGAAAGTTATAAAAATATATTAATTACAACTTTCTCTTTCTTTCTCTCACTTCCACAATCTCTAGCCAGATCTCTCTTCCTTCTTTTTCTCAATTTTTTCCTTGTTTTTCCTTCAGTTGAACTAATACCGCTGCAATAATAAAACAATACCAATCCATTAAAAAAACACTACTAATGCACAAAACACCAATACCATTCGAGAAATAAAAACACTACCATTTCACAAAACACCAATACCATTGCAGATTTAATAAATATCAATACACACAAATCATACCATTATATGATAATCAATACCAATGAAAAAAAGAGAAAAAAATACTAATGCGAAAAACACTACCAATAGTCCACTATAGAGAAAAGAACACTTCTATTTCACAAAAAAAGCAATCACTTACATGATAATCAACACTAATGCGGAAAAAACAATACCAATGTGAAAAAATACTACCATTACGAAAAAATTACTATCAATGCGAGAAAATCAGATTTAGGATTTTTATTCATCCCACATTTTCCAGCCTCTAGTGAGAGATAGAGAGATTGCGAGGTGAGGGGAGGAGGAGGGCAATGGTGGTGATGTATTGTATGGTGGTGGGTGGGAGGGCGGTGTGGTGGGGTGGGGTTGGGAGGAGAGGAGAGAAGGGACGGGGAGAGGGATGACAAAGGGTGAGCGAGAGGAAGGAATGGTGGAGGTTGGTCGGAAGGAGGGATGGCGGCAGGTTGGCTATTCGCCGGGAAGGGAGAGGAAGAAGGGAGGCAGATGGTGATTTGTTAGGGTTGGGGATATATAATTATTTAGGATTTGATAGAAATCATCCCAACTCATCCCTTGATAATGGACTTGTTTGTCTATAAAATATCTTAAAAAGGCTTTTTAGATTTCCACCCCTCCATGTAAGCTTCGTTGAAAACTTATGGTCCACGTCATCACCCTACGCAATAGTTCTCCTCATTTTCCCCTTCCTTCGGGAAAATAATCCATCCCTTCTGCTTATAAAAAAATACCATCCTTCTGCCACCACCACTCTCTTGGAACCGCTTATATCATGAATTCTTTCATTCGTCGCAATCGTTCCTCCGTTCCAACATATCCACAAGTCTCCAAATACATTTAGAAAGAACAGGTTCTTAACCCTCAACCTCCGCCAGACATCATCGACAACTTCTGCCATTGCTCCTCCCTTGGTGTACCCATCGTCCCTCTACAATATACACCGTCGTTGATCAATAAGAGAGCGCGCCCATATGTTTTCTGCCAACTTTCCTTTCAACCTTTTGCTCCCAGCACGCCAGCCGTCATGAAGTTTTTGACGGTATGGAAATCTTTTATGAATATAAAAGCTTATTGGTTATGAGCACTTCTATTATACTTTAAAGTTTTGGTGTTTTAAGTTACAACTTGAAGTTGTATTATAACGTTACATATACAAGTTCAGGTTGTACCATAAGAGGATTTGGACATTTATGCTATAGTACAACTTCAAGTTATACCATCACATAAATGTACAAGTTCAAGTTGTACCATAAAAGAAATTTATACAAAAGGGTATAGGTACAACCTAAAGTTATACCATAAGTCCATAGCGTTAAATGTACCACTTAAAGTTGTACCATAAAAACAAAAAACTGAAGCACTAATACTTTAAAGCCTCCTTAAATTCCTCATTGGTTAGTGATAATGCCCAACCCAATATTGTAGACGAATGCATCAAAAATCATATTGAATTGTGATATGCTGACGTCTAAACAACTTAGATAATGATTCTTTCATAATCCTTCCCTTGAATGCCTTGTTAAGAATTCGGACACGCCACTAAACATGCAACCAAGTGTTGGCAACAAGGGACGGGTTAGCATGCTAACCCCTTAAGGGTTGGTTTTTTGACACCCCCTTTAATTGGTCAATTTTTCATTAATTATTGACAAGTATTAATGAAAGTAAACATAATAAATGTTCTGTTATTAAATACAAGTAAGCATTAAATACACCACATTAATTACCACTTTACTGCTATTTGTACCACTGCACTGATACTCAGATATGACATTGCTACCAGTGCACTGATATCGCTACCAGTGCAGTGGTATATCTACCAGTACAGTGGTACAACGTATTAGTGCAGTGGTATATCTACCAGTACAGTGGTACACCGTATCAGTGCAGTGGTATATTTTTTGGAGGTGGTCGGAGGGAGTCTGCCGATGGGATTTTCACCGGAGAAGTGTGGCGGTCGGAGGAAGTCTGGTGGTCGGAGACTGCTGAAAAAGGAAAAATTAAATATAGTGAGAGAATTCCTAATGTGTATTTAATGTGTGTATTTAATTCCTAATGTGTATTTAATAGTGAGAGAATTCCTAATTAATATGATACATTTAATTCCTAATGTGTATTTAATGTGTGTATTAAATTCTATAGTTGTATTTAATATACTATGGGGGTGTCATTTTTCCAACCCCTAAGGGGGGTTAGCATGCTAACCCACCCCTTGGCAACAATACTCAACACAACACATCATATCCTAGTATTCCTCGTTTCAGTATATTTAGGAAGCTTTGGCATTCGGGGCTTAGGATAGGGTCAGTAACCAATGGTTACTAACCTATGAGTAACTAAATCTGGACCTTTAGATTTAAGTGGGTTCAGAAAATTCAGATCTAAGAGTTGTCAATTAAAGACATTTTATTTTCCCTAGTTTTCTTAATTGGCTCTTATCTTCTTCGTTATAACTCAGATGTCAAATTTTTTGCACAGATGGAACGAGTTCGTTGTGCTCTACAAAATGAGATCAATTTTCAATATGTTTCGAGAAACTTATTTTTTACCAACTACATAACATATGGTAACTTCTTCGCTTTTAAGTCGTTTTTGAAAACGTTTGCTCAGAAGGAACGAGTTCATCATGATCTATTGGATCTATAAATTTATGGGTGAAAAAAATACAGGATAAAAAATTACCATACTTTACCACTATGGTATGTGATTGGTAACTTGTGGTAACTTGTAGTAAACAATGATGAAAGTCGTAAATGACAGTTAATATACTCCTACTATCATGTATTCAACCTTCTTACCATATTGGTATGTTCATACCATCATGGTACGCTTTCTTACCATATGGTATTAAATTGGAGCATACCATATGGCAATGACTGGTAAAAAATTATTCAGTTTTTTTTACTAAAAATATATCAAAGTGGATATCATTTTGAAGAGCATATTTAATCTGATTTATCTGTGCAAAAAAATTAAATTTTGACTTAAAACGAGAGAGAAATCGTCCGTTAAAGATTAAAGGGGAAAAGATAAAAGACTTTTCAGGAGAGAGAGGCTACTAATGTCATGCTGATGTGGACATGTTACTCATGGTTACTAGGGGTGGTAATCGGTGTACCGTTTAGTTCCACATAGTTTTTGATTACTTGTACCGGAAGAAACTGAATACCTGGTTACCCGTTTAATCCCTTCTAGCTTCTTTCATCTTCTCCAATCTCCACAAAGAAAGTGAGAAACCATTCCCCTTCTCCCTCCATGTGATTCCTCTGTCTCCCTTTCTCCCTCCTCACATTACTTTCTTTAACTTCCCCAATGGTTACTGACCATAGAGTTATTGATCTGATCCGCTCCCGGCATCCGGACGTATTGTATTACGATAGCTAGACATGGTGAGATTTGATATCAGATGGTGCGGCCGGTATGTAGGCTTTGGTTTCCCCTCCCCGGGAAGTAGTGATGGCAATGGGGCGGGGCCGGTACCTTAATTCCCATGCTCCGCCCCACGCTATTACAGGTCGGGGCGGGGCGGGTCGACCCATTCTTACATGTTGTTCAAAAAAAATACAAGTAAAATTTACTTTTTACAATAAAATGTAGGGAAAACACTTTAAGAATGAAAAATATTGATAATAGAATGGATAATTGAGCTTAACAAGTTGAAAGATCAACTCTAACTAGTTGAAGAAAAGTCAAAATATGAGAAATATGTATAGATATTGTAAGAAATTGAAATAAAATGAGTCTAAAACCGGGCGGGCGGAACAGAAGTAGATACCCATGCCCCGCCCCACACTACTGCGGGTCGGGTAATACTCGCCCCATCGCGGATCAGATCGAGTAATACCCGCGGGGCGGGTTGAAATCGCCATCACTACCGTGGAAGGTAAAGTGCTAATCCCAATCCGCTGTGGAGTGGGCTTTTTATTTATTGATGGAGAAGCCTATATGCAGTGGCGGACCCAGGATTATTGAAGAGGGGTGTCGCCAATAAAAAATTATAATAAATAAAATAATTAAATAAAAATTTAATAGAAATTACTGGAAATTCATTTATAAGTTGACAACGTCATGTTTACTACGAATTATGACGATTTTTCATATCCTGAATTTTTTAAAAATACATTCTTCGCTTATGTTGCAAATCAAACATTTTTCGATATACACAACGAATTGATCATTCATAACTTAGTCACTCAACCAAAGAGAATCAACCCACGTCTAAAATCAAAGTTAAAATAAATTAGTTTACAATCAAATATAGTAAACCACGATCTACCAATTGGCAATTTTAGACAAAACAAAGTATGCCTAAAGCAATATCATTAGCATTTTTTCTCTAGTTCTACCAAATTAACCAAAATCAAACCATTATCTCCCATTAATCTACGCAATTCACCTATTAACTACAAATTGACAAGTTAAATGGGTTTGTGGGTTACTTAAAACAAGCATGCTTATTTGAATTTACTTATTATTGTTAATTACTAATTATGATGAATAACTTATAACATTAAAACTATTGTCGTATAATAAAGGTGTGTTGCTTATAATTATTAGAGTGGTGTCGGAATTCTCAAATTAAAATATTTTGTACTGAAAAAATGGAGGTCCTTCACAAAATTTTCTGGCGGAGGGGTGTCGGACCAAGTCCTAGGTCCGCCCCTGCCTATATGTATGATGTATCTATGAGATTGAGAACTGAGAAGACGAGAAGAGAAAGAAACATCCATTGGCGCGGAGAGGAAGGAAGAGAGAGAAAAAAAACCTGATCGAGGAAAGAACGGCACACAATGGGAGACAACTTGGATTTGGATGCACCGGATCGGGAACCCTACCAACTCGAATACTGGTTCGTAGTCTGACAAGAACGTTGGATTGTTCTTTTTTCCCTTTGGATTAGGGCAAGAATCGAAATTAGCTAGCTAGGGTTTTCATGATTATTGATTATGCATTGCATGAAGAATCAAGCTCTTGAATTGGGATTGTTAGTGGTAATTAAGTAGCTGCCCCTCTCACTAAAGCTTTGCTTTGTTTTCTCGTACTATTGTTGATCCCTACTGAATAGTTTTTTTTTATTTGGCTTTATGATCACTTGATTCGATAATGATGATGGTGATTTCCTAGCTTCATTCTGAATGAAATTAGTGTAAATTGTATGCAGGAGTGACGAAGAACGAGTAAGTGCTGAAGATCCAGAATGTCAAGAAATCTTGAAGAATCAAACTCGTTCCGCCGCTGCAGTAGCTTTGGAATCCTACTACAAGAGGGAGGTTGGTTTTCTGCGGCACATATTCCTTTTTAGTTTCCTTCCATCTCTGCCCTGCCCTGCCCTGCTATTGAACTGAATTGCTTTCATTGATTAACTTTTATTTGCTAAATTGATTGATGATTTCCTTGATTCGGCCTCTAATATTCAATGATTCCAGGGTGTGCAATATGTGCTCGATGAGCCGTTGCGCAGCTTTTGTTTTCTTCTTGACGGCGTAGTTGTCTGCCACGCCATCTTTACAGCTAAGAAGGTGGAGCTCGTAGTCAGTGACGATAAGGATGATAGTGGCTCCTCCTCCTCCTCCTCCGGTAGCAGCCTTTCCAGTCCCACTACTCCGGCCAGTGAGCTTTTCTTCGCTGAGACAGCGCAAGTCATCGGGAGGGACTTGGTGGTTACTTGTTGTGAAATCATGAATCCGTCCTCTGAACCTGGTAAATACTGCCTCTGTATCATGTATCACCATCGACATTCTAGTCAATAATAATTTGGTTTTGTTAGCTGCTGTTGGCCTTGAGGCTTAGCAGCTTGCTTTCTTGCTTGAGGTTGATTGCATACTCGATTCTGATAAAGTTATCAAGGCTTATGCAGATAGATAGATAGATAAATGAATAGATTTTCAAGAATTATGATGATGATTTTTGCTGCACGCGTGCAGATAGTGTCCGCGACGGTTGTCTATATTGTGGGAAAAGAAGGGATCCAGTTTTATACCATCCTCTTGGTGGGAAGTGGAAGTATGGTTGCCAGGCTGCTTTCAAGTTTTGAAGATGATAAACCTTTGATTGGGATCTGGGCGAATTGATCAAGGACACTCCCCCAGCTGCTCTGCTTCTCTATGTTACAAAGATGTTTTGGGGATATTTCATGATTTGGAACATTTCGTCCGATTGTTTATGGTTTGTGACATTGCATTTTGGATGTTTTTCAGGATTATTTGGGTATTTTGGATATGAGATATAAGTATGGGTAGGTAGTAGGAATTAGTCATATTTATATTATGTAATTATCGAGACTTTTTTATTAAGTAAATACATAACATAAATATCAAAATCCTCTCTAGGTTCAGCCTAACCCTTTTACGGTTGATCTATATTCTGGGTCATATCGGTCTAAATTAGGGCTGTAAATGAGTCGAGTCGAGTTTTACATCAGGTTGAACTCGGCTCGTTAATAAACGAGTCGAGTTCGAGCTAACTTGTTTATTAAAATCTTAACTTTTATTTGATACTTCATTTTGTATATCATAATACATATGATTTATTTTGTTAGCTAATCTCATATTATACTTTGTTGGTATCATATATCATTTAGTTAATAAATTTTAACTACTCCAAATCATGTTATTTCATAGTATCGAAGCAATTTATGATGCATAATTTCTTTTTAAAGTAGAAAATAAGATATATTGCTCACAAACTCAACGTGTTAAACTTTATATATTGTGAATATATAATTTAACAACCATATGAATTAAAATCATAAGATATAGATTGATTCGTCCATAAGTTGGTAATCGAGTTGGCTCTCTAGCCACATGTCAAGACATATCATGAGCTCTAAACGAGCCAGCTCACGAGTTTAGCTCACCAAGCCACCGAGTCGAGCTAGCTCGCGAGCTTCACGAGCTGAACAAAGGTGAGCTCGTGTTCGGCTCGTTTATGAACAAGTCAAGTTTCGAACGAGCTTTTCTCGGGTCGAACGCCGAGCCGCTCGCGAGCAGCTCGACTCATTTGCAGCCTTAGTCTAAATGGTGTATAGTTGAAGGTAGGATGATAATTTTAGAAATCACAATATAAAGTAGTTTATTAATATGAAATTCACACCAACTTCAAATATTAAAAAAAAAAATACTATTATACTAAGATACTCGCCTATACCAATTCAAATTTCCATTCCTTATTCCAATCGCCATAGCCAATTCCTTCTCCTTTAAGTTTTGCGTAATGGGCCGTTTACTTGCCATTCCATTTCTGTTAGCTGCCACAACAGAAAACAAAATGAAAATGAAACTGTCATTTCCTGGAAAACAAAACCTGAAAAAATCTTGTTTAGCTGAGAATTTTTGTGAGTTCTGAAACTGGGTTCTGAAATGAAAACCTGTTTAGTTGCTTCATTTGGTTTTCTGATTCTTGATTATGATACAACCCTAGCCATGATTATAATAACAATTACGCAACTCTAATAATGACTATAATAACAATTACATTGTTTTTAAACTACTAATAAACATACGGATATTTTATATAAAAAATAATATTACAACATCAAACATTGGAGATTCTGTCTCTTTAAAAACCAATAACACTGTCATGAATATCATTCTAGCATCATAGTTTAGTGCTCTGTGATACTAGACACGTCTAAATTATAGTACCATTTCATCAACCAAACTTCACAAATCCATTAAACCCACACTATAACCATTTTTTTAATAACACTAGAACCATTCTAGATAGAAACCCCACATTAAAAGCTAGAAAGCCAATTGGAAGACACCAACCACGACTACCAGGCCACCCAAATCTGCATCAACTACGACTACCTTGCCAACTTCACCTCCAACTCGTCCGCGACATCCACAATGAATTTGCTGGATTGGTGTACGGCCAGATTACATCCGCGTGGGGTTGGAACGGGAACAGGACGGCCTAATCCCGCGAGGCGCAGTGCTACATAACCACCAAAATCTTCTTGCCCTTCAATCCCGCCTTGTCAGAACCCTGAATTCCAATCTTCCGCCATCGCAGCGAAAGCTGTAGCTCCCGCCTCCACCGCCTCAACGAAGGGAAAGAACGATGGGAAGAACGACGGGCTGGGGGAAGGTCATTGCTGGAGAAAGAAATAAAAGGGAAGTTGATATAGAAGGGAAAAGAACGACGGGCTGGGGAAAAGTCATAGGGAAGTTGAAATTAAAAAAAAGGGGTCGTGGGATTCGAATCCCCAACCTCATTAAACCAAATTATCATTTTTTCCGCTGGAACCGGGGAGAAACCCGTGTGTCAGTTTCCTGGAAAACGACATTTTCTTGTTTTCGGCCAGATACTTCATTCGTTGCTCATCGTTTTTTCAATTAAAAATAGAAAACAAGTGAACACGTTTTTTCGTCTACGTTTTCAAATATTTGTTTTGGCAACAATAAACAGAAAACGAAATGGGAGCTGAACAAAGGTGAGCTCGTGTTCGGCTCGTTTATGAACAAGTCAAGTTTCGAACGAGCTTTTCTCGAGTCGAACGCCGAGCCGCTCGCGAACAGCTCGACTCATTTGCAGCCTTAGTCTAAATGGTGTATAGTTGAAGGTAGGATGATAATTTTAGAAATCACAATATAAAGTAGTTTATTAATATGAAATTCACACCAACTTCAAATATTAAAAAAAAAATACTATTACACTAAGATACTCGCCTATACCAATTCAAATTTCCATTCCTTATTCCAATCGCCATAGCCAATTCCTTCTCCTTTAAGTTTTGCGTAAGGTGATCGAAGGTGGGTTTGCTCTGAAATAAAACAAAAAGGGAAGCCGCGTCCGTGAGTGTTCGCATTACATTACGCGCCATTTTATTTTACCGGAGAATCTTTATATGACGGTTAAATAACAGACACGCGCACGCCCGCTAGCTACACAACGACCAACGAAGCTTCTTCTTCCATTTCCTTATCGCCGTCTCCCGCCCGATTATCTACCCCAAACCGACACCGTTTTCGTCATTCACCTTCACCACATGGCATAACATAAATAGCTCCTCCATCTCTTCCCCCTTTCCACTTGCAATCTGATTTTGGGTTCACTTGCGAGTTTCCATTAAAAGTATCCAACTCCCGCTTTGATACGAGGATGTAAGTTCTGGTTTCTTTGATTTCTTTTCCCTCCACTCGTAAAGTTCCTTCCTTTTATGGGGGGTTTTTCATGTGATTTCTTCTTTCGAGCTTTCCCTATTTCGTATGCTGTTTCTTCTTGCTAAGATCTAAATTCGCTTTGAACCATAGGATGATCCATATTCTGTGTTGGGTAATTGTTCTTACTACATGTATCGGTAATGGGTACCAATTTTTTTGTTGTGTTCCTGCGATTCCTGCGGCTGTGAATTTGATTGGGTTTCGTTTGTCTTTAATGTCAGAACTGGTGATCTTAGAACTGAGAGACAACGATGGTGAAGGAGACAGCTTATTATGACATTTTGGGTGTCAATGTGGACGCCTCAGCAGCTGATATCAAGAAGGCTTACTACGTCAAGGTTGGTTTTTCAGTTTTTTGGTGCTCATTCGATTGTTTGTGTTATAGGTAGCTTTTTCTCTGGTTAGGAAATGGGTTACCAGAATTTTCGAGTTGAATTGCTTAGCTTGGAGTTCCAATTCTGCTTTAATTGTAGTAGAGAGCAACTTTGAGTTGTCAAATGTGTGTGGTTTAATGCTGGAATTCTATAGAAAGGGTTTGCTTTGCTGTTCCTTGTTCTGGGCCCTCCTCATTTACTCCGAATGATTGGCGCTGTGTGAGTGAAGGTAGGAGTAGTGAATTGAATGAATGAGTTATATCGAGTCTTTTACAGAATGTTGAATCTTCTTTGAACTTCATTCAGTGAGAGACAGGGAGGAAAAGTATAAAGCTGGTGTATGATATAACTTTTTGTTTACTGACATGATTTGGATTTTCCTTTGCAGGCAAGAACCGTTCATCCGGATAAAAATCCCGGTGATCCAAAGGCTGCTGAAAACTTTCAGGTTTCTGCTTGCAGTTTCAGTTCTTCATTACAATACAATTTACAAATAGTATATTATGGGCTATTTTTAAACTTGTCTTTCAGTATGCAATTTCTAACTTAGCTTTCTTTCTTGTGCCTATTCCTAGAAACTTGGAGAAGCGTATCAGGTGTTAAGTGATCCGGAGAAGCGTGAAGCTTATGACAAACATGGAAAGGATGGCGTCCAACAGTAAGTTCATGTGACCTTAGTGAGAGCTCCCTTTTATTGCTAGCTTGGTTCTCAATTGAGCATGAGAAGTTCATTTTGACTTTTTCCCCCAGGGACGCCATGTTGGACCCTGCAGCTGTATTTGGAATGCTCTTTGGCAGCGAGTACTTTGAAGAATACATTGGGCAGCTTGCTCTGGCATCAATATCGAGTATTGAAATTGAAGACAGCAATTTGGATCCTGAAACTCAAAAGCAAAAATTTCAGGAAAAGATAAAGGTTCACAATTCCCCCCCTTGCAGCTTGTATTTCCCCCCTTTTTGCAGCAGTTTAGATGTTGTGTGAATCCCCATCATAATTAAGGCTACATGCTTTTTCATTGAAATGTGCAGGCAATGCAAAAGGAAAGGGAAGAAAAGTTAATAACTAATCTCAAGAATAACCTGGAACCATTTGTTGAAGGACGGGTGGATGAATTTGTAAAGTGGGCCAATTCTGAGGCAGTACGGCTCTCTGGTGCTGGTAAGCGCCTTGTGCTTTTGCAGACGCATGATCGATATTCTCATTGCTTATAAATGCCAGCTTTCATGCCTCACCATGTTTTGGCATTAGCAATCTTCCCCGTCCATGCCATCAAGACTGAACAATGCTTTTAATAGCTCTGGCTAAATTAGCTCCTGCCCCGTATAAAGAAAAACTCTTGACAAATGAGAATGAAATGGAACTGTGCTTCAGCTACTTTCGTCTTCATCTAATTTGAGGATATTTTTAGGCAACTAAACTCATATGAACCTAGTGTAGAAGTCTTCCAGCCCTTTTTGGTTTGTTGGAGGCCATTGTGGATTTGTGGTTGACTGAATTCGGAAGACACGTTGGTGGATTATCTTACATGTAATTTAGATAGATAGGCAGTTTCACTTCTGCATACACTGAGGCATTCTTGATCTCTTCCTTCTAAAGATTCTTTGGGCAGTATTCGTAAATCTCTTCACTGACAACTGCCTTTTTATGTATCAGCATTTGGTGAAGCTATGCTGCATACTATCGGCTATATATACACGCGTAAAGCAGCCAGGGAGATTGGGAAAGACAATCGGTACATGAGAGTACCTTTTTTAGCTGAGTGGGTACGAGATAAAGGACACCAGATAAAGTCGCAAGTAATGGCAGCTTCAGGTATAAAGTGACACCCTCATTGAACTGTTATAGGACTCAAGCGAGACAGAGGACATTATTTACCTGCGAACTAAAAACTGAACATAATAAGCATTTTTTGTTTTCTAGGTGCTGTCTCTTTAATCCAGATACAGGAGGAACTGAAGAAACTGAACCAAGCAGAGAACAAAGAAGAGAACTTGATGAAAGCCGTTGAAGACAGGAAGGATGCTATGCTGCAATCTCTTTGGCAGATCAATGTGGTTGATATCGAGACTACTTTATCTCGCGTTTGCCAAGCTGTAAGCTCTTAGAGTCTCCTGTCTTTATGCTCCACACACTTGTTATATCAAAATTGAATCAATTGTTGACGAATTCTGTTTTTTCGGCTTGCTGCTTCTTGTTGCAGGTGCTTAAAGACCCTACTGTTTCCAAGGATGTTCTTCGACTGCGAGCCAAAGCATTGAAGAAACTAGGAACAGTCTTCCAAGTGAGTGACGGTTTGGTTTCTTGACAACTGCAGGTTGAAATCATCAAGTAATATTCTTCAATAATTGCTCCACAGGGTGCCAAGGGTCCTTACTGCAGGGAAAACAGCTTGCGCCACGAGAGCCTGGCCAATCCAGCTGCTGCGGCCACATCTCAGTCTGTTTGATCTCAAACCGGATACCTTATAAGATTTCACAATATCAAGAGTGCGCATAGATGATCCGTTTTTATAACCTGTGTAGCATACAGATATGCATGAGTTCACATATATGTATGGTATGCTCCAGTTGGTTGATTATCCATACTCTTGGCTGAGTTTTTCCCTTATTATGATGCAATGTAAGAGACCCGAAGAAAGTTGTATGCTTTGGTTGTGAATGCCCATTTAGGAAAGAGCCCTGTTGTGAATACATATCGGATTTTCTTGCTTGATTATTGAAGATCGAAAGGGCTATTCTTTGAGATAATGCTAAAGTAATTTGGTTTCAAGTTGGTGGAAGCAATAAGCATGCATCTGGGACAATATGCTCCTACCTTCTTTTCTCTAATTTGCTTTGCTTTTCCCCTACTGTGAGTGACATTAAAACTATACGATGGGGCCAAGCATGCTTTGCCACTAAGCTCAGATCATATCTTCAATTTTTAACTATTCAGCTAGTGCTATTGGTAATCACTTTAAGTGCTTGCTTCGATAAGAATTTATGCATGTATCACCAAGAAGTGGGTTCTGATTAGCTATGATTTTCTTTCTAGCAGCATTTGTTCATTTGCATGAATGCAGTGTTCTGTTTGCAACTTAGCAGGATCAAGGATCAGAATTAAATTCGACTCATAAGAACCGTGATTTTATCATATATAGGGAAGATGTTGGTTCCGACAACGATATGTGCTTTCATTTGACTTGCTTGGCACGGTAATATGCCACCATCGATAATCTCAAGCTAGCTAGGAGGCATTCAGATCCTTAATACGCGTTTCGTGAACCGTGTCGACTGTTGAATATCAATCGAATACTCAAGCTTTGCAGCTTCACCCAAAGCCTTGGACCTTTGTATAGGTCTCCTTTTCCAGTCTTGGCATAGCAGAAGTTGAAAGAATGTGCACTATTTGTCTACATATGTGAAAACATAAGATAGGAATTTCAGGAACTAGCCAAGGCCATAATCCTGAAAACCAGGCAAGGGTAGGTTTCCTAGTTACAGCTTTACTGAACCATCATTGCCCACTTTGAACAAACTAGTGCTACTAATTGATCATTATGCAAACCAAGAGCCAAGAGACATCATAATTATTTCTCTTTCTTGCTTGCATATAGAAAGAAAGAACATGACCCAAGCTATAAAGTGATGGAGCTTGCCAATACATTTCCAACCTTTGGGCAAATCATTCCATAATTTAATTCAGCATTAGAGAACAAGTGTTGCTCTGAGAAAGGAAATTTGAGAAGATAATTGGTCTATAATTGGACAGCAGAAAAAAGAAGGGAAGGGTCCTAGCTTAGCTTAAAATTAGGAGACCCTGTCCTAATAAAGGACTCAGGAAAGGGCTGCCAAAGCAAAGATAAGATTGCTAATACTGTGCTATATTATTAATTTTCTTTCTTCTCTTGCTTTATCAATTAAGAATTGATTATTGAATATTTTCAATCCCCACAATTGGTTTCTTCTCTTTATTCTCCACCAGTGTCCTATCAGTTGTATTTGGTAGGTTGTCTTTGTCTTATTGGATTAAAGGAAACCACTAACAGAAGTTTATCCCACAAACAATTTAAGTATTTTTAATTAGGAGCCTAATCCAACCTAATGTTTCCTTTCAACAAGGACAAACCAAAACCCTAGTTGATCACTCAGTATCCTTCCTCTTTATCCCATTTTACTCTCCATAACAAGCTTGGCATTTTCTTCAATAGTGTCACTCTTTCCATAGATGATAGAACTTAATACTTTTCCAACACTCTAGAAACGTATTTACAAATTTGATCAACTCATTATCTAGCTCCCAGGGTTAGATGGTATGTGTGTATACTTAGAACATGTGAAGTGAGATACCCACATCGGCACTCCATCACATCGAGAGCCTATGACATGAATGCAGAGAGATGCCAAACTAGCCCCGATCAAAGTATGACCTGATTAAGAAATAGGGTCGACATACGAGTTTTCAGAAAACCCAGAAGTTAGTTTTGACAATTGAATTCAATTTCCTTAAACTGCAACAATCGGTTCAATTCAGATTTAAGGAATATTTTTTTTAAGAATTAGGGTAAAGACTAATTATTAGCCAAACCTTTCTCGCATTCTTTTTTATTAGCTAAACCTATTGAATTACTAATAGTTAGCCAATTTTTTTGAAATGCATCAAAATATTAGCCATTTTTACGTTATTGTTAATAAATTTGTAATTACTCTTTTCTTAGTTAAAATACTAAAGGTTTGTAATGTTGATTTCCATGTGTCTTTTTCAAATCAGTATCATGTTGGCAAGTGAATATTACTAACAAAATTGCTAAGTGGAAGTTAACATTTGGCCAATTATTAGTATTTCAATAAGTTTGGCTAATAGAAAAGAATACGGAAAAAGTTTGGCTAATAATTAGTGTAGACTCAAAGAATTATTCAAAAGGTTGGATTAAATTTACATTCTGATAACCCTATTTATGCCAACAGGGTTATCAGCAACACACATTTGTCGAATTATATATATAGATAGATCGCGATCCTAGCGTTATATTGTTGGTTCTCTCTTCTTCTCTTTGATCCATCTCGAATACAACTCCATTACATGCAGTACTTTAAGATCATTGTACTTAGGTATCCCAAGAAATCTATATGTGTACGTGATCATGAATAGAATCTCTATTTTGAGATAGAAAGGAATCCAAGGTGGTAATAAGCAATCTAGTTATGCTCCTAACAGGGTATTTTGTTAGGAGATACTGACATGGCTGGATGAGCCTCCACGTCGCCAAGCCGCCATCCGTCGGTGGAGGAGAAAACGCGCTGGCCCGTGTGAAAGATGAGAGCCGATTCCATCGGCTGGGCCAAGCCCACTGCAGCTGGCGGGGCCCACTAATTCAAAAACCCAAAAAAAAAAAAATCCTAAACCCTAACCCAAATCACTTTCCCCAAATCAGTTTCCCCCCTCTCTCTCCCCCCGTTTCTCTCTCCCTTTCCTCTGCCTTTCTTCCTCTCCCCGAACGCAGACGACGCGCGGTGATTGGAACTCGGCGGCAGCAAATCTAGGCGGCGGAGGCGACGATCTAGGCGGCGGCGGCGACCTTGCAGCGAAGGAGGATATCTCGGCGGCGCGACCTTGCTGCGAATCGGAGATATCGGCGGCGACGTCTTGCAGCGAAGGCGGAGATCTCGGCGGCGGCGGCGAAGCAGCGAAGTCGGAGTCTCGACGGCGGCGACCTTGCACGAAGGAGGAGATCTCGGCGGCGACTACTCTGCAGCAAACTCGGCGGCGACGACTCTGCAGCAAACTCGGCGGCGGCATCTCGGCGGCATCGATCTTGTCGGCGGCGACGAAGCAGCGATCTCGGCGGCGACGGTTTGCAGGTGACTCGGGTTTTGTGGAATGTTTCGTGGATATTAGGTTTGGTTTGGACAGATATGAGTTAGGGTTGCATGATTCGTTCTTTTGTTGATTTTATTTCTGGGTTTTGTGGAATGGCTTTCTGTTTGTGTCGATGTTAGTTAGGGTTGTGTCGATATTAGATCTGTTTGTGTCGATATTAGTCATGTTTGTGTCGATGTTAGTTCTGTTCGAGCATGATATGAGTTGTTACATTCCTGGATAGTTGTTTTATAGGATCTGGGTATTTGTCTTTGCAGGTGATTTATCAATGGCAAAGACTAAAACATCAGGGAAGAGAGCTCCAATGACTTCACCCCATCCACCACCACCGCCGCGACAGCGAGAGGAAGATGAGGAAAAAGATGATGCTGAAGACGAAGCAGAAACAACTGCACAAGAAGATACTGAGGTCGAAGCAGAAACAACTGCATCACAGCAAGATGCTGAACTCGAAGCAGAAACAACTGCACAAGGAGCAGCTCGAGGTCGGAAAAAGCTGAGGTACAGATTACAGACATTATATTGTTTATTTTGCTTGTATTGTTTCTTTGATATATCTGGATATTGGTTTTGGCAAGCTTGATATCAGTTGTAACTTGCCTGGATGTTTGTTTGATTTATCTGAATATTTGTTTGACATATCTGGATATTCCTTTTATATATCTGGATATTGGTTTTGGCAAGCATGATATCAGTTGTAACTTGCCTGGATAGTTGTTTGATTTATTTGAATATTTGTTTGAGATATCTGGATATTTGTTTTGGCAAGCATGATATCAGTTGTAACTTGCCTGGATAGTTGTTTGATTTATTTGAATATTTGTTTGAGATATCTGGATATTTGTTTGATTTATCTGGATATTTGTTTGACCAATCTAGATATTTGTTTGATATATCTGTATATTTGTTTGTGCATGGATTTATCAATGGCAAGAAATAAAAGGATCGCGAAGAGAGCGCGAAGGAATCCACCGCCATTGCGAGAGGAGGATGAGGAAGAAGATGCTGGACAAGGAGCTGCACCAAAATTGGATATTCTAGGACAAGGCAAGCCTTGGTACAGATTTCGGTGCCATACCAAATCTCTCCTAGATGTTATTAATTACTGGAAGGAAGAGCCAAGGTACTATGAAGCATGTAAGAAAGAGTTGGAGAAGGCTGGATTTGGAGGGTTATTGGAGCTTCGATTGGCAAATTTTCCAAAGAAGTTGTTCGATACCTTGATGGCACAGTACGACTTGGTCACCAGTTCATTCGTTTTCGGTGAAGGGGAGAACAAGAAGGTGCTGACAATCGAAGCTGAGGATGTTGCCCGTGTTTACGGCCTTCCTATTGGTGGAGCTGAGATTGATGCCGTTAGGTCGAACGACAAGATGCTTGATATGTTCTTGGAGGAGCTCAATATCGAGTGTAATCGAAGTCGAAATGTCGAAGTCTTGGATCTTAAAGAGGCAGCCTGTGGTGGTCCCGATGACGCACCGAAAAGGAGACCACCTGTTGCAGCCGCAGTGAAGCAGTTTTTGTTGCTGGCTCTAGGTTCGATGCTTATCCCAAAGATGTCACGACTTTGTGATCTCGATTATGCCGAGTATCTTGTTGGAAGGGTGGAAGACATTGCCACTTTTAATTGGAGTGGTTTTGTTGCCCGCAATCTGAAGTTTGAGTTGTCTCGTGCTAAGGAGAACGAAGCTGAACTAAGGCATCTTGGTAAACAGCAATGGCCTCTCGGAGATATCCACTTCTTAATGGTAACTTCTCCTTTAACATTGTTGATATTGTTTATTTGATTTGCTTAGGATATTAGTTTTTGTGCCTTTGATGTTAGTTTCGCTGCTTAGGATATTAGTTTTTTCTATTTCTGATATTTGATTTCTTTGCCTTTGATATTAGTATTGCTGCTTAGGGTATTAGTTCTTTTCATTCGTGATATCTGTTTTGTTTGCTAGTGATATTAATAACTGTGCATGGGATAATAGTTGTTTCATTTCTGATATTTGTTTTGAACTTTTTTTTATAGATCCATTTGCTGGACTTCCTTAATGTGAGAGGGTTTGCCACAAAAACCATCCCTACCTGCAGCTATTGGTTCGAGCCTAGGGTGGACAAGGTGTGCGGTAATATCCCCAAGGAAGCTGAGAAGTATCTTCTTGGTCCGATGTTGTTCTCAAGAGAAGAAGTCAAATCCCGCTTCCGTCCTGCACGTGTCAGGAGGGATTTGGAATTTGGATCAAGCAGCTCGGCTTCTACTACTGAATGGTGGAAGGATGTTGATTTGGAAACCCTTGATGATGATGAGGTATGTATATATTCTCTCTGCAACTCAAAATAATGGGTTAGTGGCCATGGGTGTTTGTAGTGAACTAAATTTGTTTTCAATATATGTGTAGCTTAAGGCATTGGAGTCCATGACTGAAAAAATGATGGATGTATGGGAGTCAAGGCGGGATAGTGTTTGGAGAGTTGTCATTTTGCGCCATCAAGGAACCAAATGATCTTGGCAAATTTTCTCTCTTTAATTGGACGTAATGTGCTTGTTGGGATTTGATCTTTGCCATGTTGGAATGGCTTGAACATTAAGATTTCTGTTTCTTGTTGGGATGTTATCTTTGCCATGTTGGAATGGCTTGAACAAATTGTTTGTTCTGGATATTATTTATTTTCATGATTGCATCGAACATGTGCTGTATGTTTGGATATTACTCTGTGTTGTCAGGGTAATTGATTCAAATTATGTTTGGATATTGTTCTGTGCGGTCTGGATAACAGCTCCCTCGTGATTGGATATTACTCTGGCAGTTTGGATAATAATTTAGTGTGCTTGTACGTGTTTTTCCAGCGACCAAAACAAAGAAGGAAAAGGGGCAAAGTGGCGAAATCTTGTTCGACTTTGGTCTCTGTGACCAAAGCGAGGATGAAAAAGGATGGAGACGGGAAAGGCAAGAACATGTGCAGCCGCTTCGACTCTCGGAGAATACCTGAGAAGACAGTCTTGTCTATTGTCGAGCCTGAGGTCGACATGCCTGTTGATAAGTCCAATATTGAGATGGAGGTGGAGCCAGAGTCAGTTGCCGTTACTGAGATGGAGGTGGAGGTAGAGTCAGTTGTCGCTACTGAGCTGGTTCGGGAGCCAGATGGAGTTGTCGAGCCTGAGGTCGACATGCCTGTTGTTAAGTCCACTACTGAGATGGAGGTGGAGTCAGAGTCAGTTGTCGCTACTGAGATGGAGGTGGAGTCAGAGTCAGTTGTTAGGACTGAGATGGTTGGGGAGCCAAATTCTGTTTGTTTCGAGTCTGAGGTGGAGGTCTCTGTTGTTCAGTCGGGAGAGCCAGGCGTGCAGTCGACTGTTAATCCACTTAAGGAGATGGGGGAGCCAATCGAGCAGAGTATGGGTACATCTCCGACTACGGTAATATTTCTCTTACCATTAGCCTCTAGTATGGGTTTTTTGGATATTTGTTACTTTATGAGTAGATACTGGCAATCTTTTGCAGATACCTGTCGAGTCAACTACTACTGCCCAGGAGAGTATCACAATCGTCCCGACTGAGGTTCTAACTCAAGGATTAGCAGGACCATCAGAGGATGAGCTTATAGCAGCAGCATGTGAGCTGATGGAGGATAGAGACCCGGATACGACATTCGCGAATGTGATGCAGATTGGTTTCCAAGCCACTGCTACCGCTGAAGAGAGTATCAAGACATCTCCAACTACGGTAATATTTCTCTTACCAATATTGTTTTCGTATTGAGTGGATACTATCCTGGGCGTTTATGAGTGGATACTATCATTGGCTGCCAGGATATTGTTTTCGTATTGAGTGGATACTATCCTTGGCGTTTATGATATTGATTTCTTTTGTTATGGATACTAGCTTGGGCTTGCTGGATATTTGTTTCTATATGAGTAGATACTGGCCATGTTTTGCAGTTTCCTTTCAAGTCAACTACTGCTGCCCAGGAGGATAGCGACGATGATATTATCATCTCTGAGTGCATTAAGAGTGCGGAGGAGGCAGAGTATTTGTACTCTATCACACCGGAAGCTTGGAAAGCAACCCTAAAAACTCCAGAGTTTGATAGGTCAAAACACCACCCCTTCGGCGAATCAATGTACGTTCTGCCAAAGACTATGTCGACGAAACTCGACGTTACAGCTATGCAAGTGGTTGACTTCATATTCAGTACTCCTGCTCCAGCCAAGTAAGTTGATAATTGAGGAGTTATTTAATCACCAATTTCAATTTGCCCAACCCAAATTTCTAAACTGGTTTTCATTTTTGTTTTATAGTGAGAAATTTGTAGTGGATACTCCAACCGGTACCCTTTCCCGTGAGCAGATACATTCATTGAAGGGTAGAAGTTGGTTGCATACCCAAATACTTGTAGTATACGGGAATTTGATAAATTACAAAGAAGCAGGCAATGAGGTGGTGCAAAGAATTGTCTTCCCATGGAGTTATGTAGTAAGTATTATCTTCACTGCTTAGATACTATTCATATTTAAAATATCTAATTTCATATTGTTGTCTCTTCTAAATAGCAATATGCCGTCAATACTGCTTATTCGAACCAACCCATGGACAAGGCGAGACTAGATGCATGGATTCATCTGCACAAATACAATCCAATGCTGAAACGGGAAAACTTGGAAAGATGTGATTACGTAAGCGACTCTGCTAGTTTGAATTTTTTTATTTTTCATAGATATTTGTATGGGTTTATAGGATATTATATTGAAAGTTGAGATATTAATTTGGGTTAATAGGATATTAGTCAATGATAAACTCACAAACTGCTTTGTGTTACAGATATTTTTTCCAATGTATCGAAATGATCACTACCGGGTGTACGTGGCTGACATGAAGAATAGGAGGACTTTCGTACTTGACAGCCAAAAGCCCAATGCCCGAGTGGCTAAGGAGGATCATGGACCAGTTGGAAGCATTATTTTTGGGTATGCAGCGGCGTTCCTCAAACATCAGGGGGTCGATTGTGCAATGGATGAGTGGCCATTCAACATTGCCGACGTTCCTCAGCAAGAAGGAAACCATGATTGCGGTGTCTTTGCATGCCTTTACATGGAGTTGTGGGCGGGTCACCTTCCAGTGGAATATAAAGCAAGTTGGCACAAGCAGCCACATGTGCAGGAACAGCGAACACGGATTGCAGCCAACCTGCTTTTATGGGAGCATAACCGCCGCAAAGATGAAATAGTTGAAGGTGCAATAAAATGGCATGCGAAGAAGGAGAAGGAGAAAGGGAAAAGGAAGAGAAGGTGATTTTAGATTTTAGTTTGTAAAACTGAACTTAGGCTTGGATGGAGGATATTTTGCAAGATGTTGGATACAATTAGCATGTTTATTTAAACAAATATCATGCTTATTTAAACATCGATGGAGCAAAGTGACAGACAAATATCCTTACAACCCAGAAAAATATCATGTTTATTTAAACAAATATCGGCAAGCTAATAGACAAATACCCTTACTGACCAGACAAATACCATGTTTAGTTAAACAAATATCTCCAAAGTGACAGACAAATATCAGAAAGACCCAGACCGATATCCGAATCATCCAGACACATATCCTTCTTTTGTAGACTAATATCTTTGGAGCCCAGACTTATAGTAAATCTACATCTGTGCATGTGAATAGTGAATAATATCATTGATACAACACATATATGTACACATCTCTGAATAGTGACTAATATCATTGTACTCGCTTCGAAAATACTGATATCCAGGAAGCCCAGAATAATATCTGTACATTCTACAACACATATCAAGGTTGCCCAGACAAGTATCCTAAGAAAGTGTATTAATATCCACTGCAAAACAAAAACGTATCCTGGAATCACATGTCAATTTTATATCACAGTAGACCACTCTCAAACCACCCTACATTCTATTCATAACCATTGAGCAATATTATCATCCAAATCACTAAGATGACCATCCGAGTGAGCAGTGTCGTCCGCCGTGACCACTTCAATGGATTTCATTCTCTTCCTATATTCACGTTTCTTTCGACGACGTTCCTTTTCATTCGTAGACTTGTAACGTTCCTTACCGTGCCTCCTTGGATTACTCTTCTCCTTCAAAGTCAGCCCAGTTATCGGTACAGATCGTCCTACAATGTTAGAGAATTTAGTAAATGCAATGATATTAAACTCTAACAATTTACAAATGTTATTAGTGAATATACTTACTGTCCTCGCTAGTTATAGTCTTTGACAATGCCTTGTTTGCCTCATTGCACACTTTCTTGAGTACTCCCATCCACTTATTGTAGTCCTTCTCATCGGCCATCGACATATTCATTGCTAGCTGATTCAACATTGCAGTGGTTTCCCGGTACCGCATTGCTATACCTTTTCCCGCATCATTCTCACTGGGAGCTGAAGGACCAACAGAACCATCGACATCAACAACTTCTCTCTCTCTCGCCTCCAACGTCCATCGCTTGAGTATGTAATGATCAGGAATACTTCTCATACTTGCTTCCCCAAAATCTCCAAGAAGCCGCATCACCTTAATCATGTGGCGGCATAACACTCCTAAAGTTCTGAACATTCTGCATTCGCATACCAAGGTCGTCGTAGAAATATCTACGAGGACGACACGCTCATCACTACGCTCACCATCCTCCATCATATATATGAGGTAGCCAATCATGCCATCATCCCTATTATCTGAGAGCTTCTTTATTATATAGGATTCAGCCACCAAATACTGCTTCTGTATCTTTTCGAAAATTTTAGGAGTAAAGATTTTTGCCGCATGTTGGAGGATCGGGCTATTCTCCAACATTATATAAGGAATCGATTGTTTTGCATTGTAGTCTGACTCTGTCTCCTTGCGTCTTTTGTCAGCCAACAAACTACAATTAGGAAGCAAGAGAAAAGACTTAAGTGCCCAGACTAATATCATCACGGACCCGTAATAATACCCGGAAAAGATAAACAAATATTTAACCATACCAGAGAAATATCCAAACTGACCAAAAAAAATATCCAACTCTAACAGACTAATATCAAAGAAGGGAAAAGTCATATTGCGCGTGTGTACCTGCTAAAGTGAATGAAAAACAAGTCCAAATCATGCCTCGGCTTCAAGAAAAGTCGCACTTGTGCATTGCACGACTCACTAGCTTGCGTAGTCAACATCCCGGCTGTGAATTGATCTCTCAACCATTAAGAACACCATCGATGACGAAATTTCTTCAAACGTTCCAACCATTGATGGCCATCCGCAATGTCGCTATTTGGGAAACAATCAGAAATCATGGTGCTCCATGCCATGTTGAACTCTTCCTCGCTGTCGACGTCATAGAAAATAAATGAAATATGATGTTGGAACTTCTTCCAAAATGCCTTGTCCTTGCGAAGATGCTTCTTGGCATTCATGAGGATGTGCCAAGTACAGAGGGCATGAAACGCAGTAGGCCACTCATTTCTAAGGGCAGCTGCCATGGCTGCATCCTGATCAGTAAATATAGTGATTGGAAGCTTATTCTTCATGCATCGACTAAATGCAACAAACAACCATTCAAACGACGGAGTAGTCTCGTCATACATCAAACAAGCACCAAACACACAAGTTTGGCGGTGGTGATTGAAACCTACAAACATCCCTGCACGAGACAACTATTAATGACAATGCATAACCGAACAAGTGTCGAAAAAACTCAAACGAATCAATATCAGTAAAGCCCAGACTAATATCCTATGAAAGGTTACCAATACCCGTCGTGTTACAAACAAATATCCTGGGCATCACATGTCAATATCATACCACCAAGGACCAATTCTATTCATAACCATTTCTGCAATATAATTAAAAACATCCATGCGAAAGAACTCAAGGGAATTAGGGGATTAACGTACCCAGTGGACGGAAGTATTTATTGGTTCGGAAGGTGGTATCAAAGGAGACCGAATCTCCAAAAAGCGCATAATCTTCACGCATCCTACTATCCGCCCAAAATATATTAGCAACTTTCTCTTCGGAATCCACCTCTACAGCATAAAAGAATCCAGGATGCTTGTCCTTTTGGTCCTCAAAGTAGTCCAGCAAATAAGTCGCTTCACCACGAGCCATTGTCCTTTGCCTTTTAGTGTTCAAGTGATTCTTCTGATCGGATTTGGTAAATCTCAGATTTTGATACCCACCAGCACAATCAGCCAATAACTGATACGATGCACTAAGACTCATCCCGGCATCGCGATTAGCTTGAGCCATCTTTTGCTGAGCATCACTCATGAGCTTGTTCGACTTGTGCAAGTGCATATGCTCGGTAGAGTGCAAAACATGACTGTGGGCTTCTACGAATTCATACACCACAAATCCCTCCCTAGCAGCATCCCATCCAAAACGAACACGGGCTGGACATCCATCCCTAACTCGAGGCCTCTTTCTTTTGCAAACCATTCTCTCCTCAACCTTGTCTTCCGACTGTATCTGATTATCCATATTGACTTTGCTTGTGGAAGTCCATCCTTCCTTATTACAAAAGTAATAAAGGTATGCATAATTTTTCTCCACCACTCCTTTAGAATTCTTGATCTTTCTTATGTGTTCCCCATCTATTCGAACACCAAACCCTTTTTTGTGAGCGTAGCGCTTATAGAAATCAAAACACTCATCCTTAGTGCGATAAAAGATGTTCTTCCTCGCTTCCTCGTCTTCTAGATCCAACGTCGTATGAGCTGCGAGTTAATGGTATGAGGCATGTTATTATCCATTCTTGACCACAAACTGTTAGAATACATAGGCTTCAACAAATATCCAGAATTCAAATAAATAATATCTATAACTACCAGACAAGTATCAAACAATGCATTAAATAGTGGTTCACACACCAAATATCATGTTTCGTTACAGCCCAGACAAATATCATGTTTCGTTAAACAAATATCGGAAAGCCGATATACAAATATCCATACAGCCTAGACAAATATCATGTTTCATTAAACAAATATCGGCAAGCAAATATACAAATATCCTTGAAGCCCAGACAAATACCATGCTTAGTTAAACACATATCTTCAAAGAAACAGACAAATATCCGAAAGATCCAGACAGATATGTCATTCTCACAACAATTTCAACATCAAACACCCATAACCCCATCAACATCATTCAATGCTATTCTCACAACAATCTCAACATCAAATATTCAATGCAACCAACCTGCATCACAACAACACAAACATATAAAGAACTCAATCAACCTTTATCTTCTTCTTCTTCTTCGTTGAGGGCAGGAGCACCACTTGAATCTTCATCAACAAACTCATATGATGTAGGATAGAGTTCTTCTTCTTCACTATTTTGTGCGATCGATTTACCCTTCTTCATTGGAGAAGATCCTTGATCATCCAACTCCCCATTGTCGTCGATCAGCATCGTAGAAGGTCGCCGGAAAGATGGTCGCCGGAAAATAAGATGGTCGCCGGAAAAAACAGTTGGGCGGCGGCTCTCTTCCTTTGGAAGAGAAGAAAAACAGAGAAAAATGGAAGAGAGAGAGGCAATTTTCGGGTTTGGGTGGGTAGGGTAGTTGGGAGCATTAAATTCCTCCACTTTGTATGAATTTCCTATTTTTGATTTTTGTTTCCCCAAATAAATGACCCACTTGGGCCCCTTCTTTCCATTTCTCCCCCCATGCCACCTAAACCCTACCAAACCGCCACCATCAGCTCCATCTTTCATCTCAGCTGGGCTAAAAAACCCGCAAAACTCCACTGGGCCGTGTCAGTATCTCCACAAATATCCAAACAACACAGACAAATATCCAAACGACACAGACAAATATCAAAAAAAGACAGACTAATATCTAGTCTCAATAAAAAACTATCCAAACCAGCCAGCCCAAATATCCGAACGTCGCGAACTAATATCCGTTCAGCCCACTCGGGCTTGCGGTGTCCGCCGGGCCCACTAATTAAAAAACCAAAAAACAAAACCCTAAACCCTACCCCTTTTAACGTTCTTCCCCAATTGCCAAATCTCTCCCTTTATCGCGAATGAAACAACTAGTTTTATCGCGATTTATCTATCAAACGACTCTTTTCATTGGGTATAAAAAAACGACTCTTTTTATCTAATATCCGACTGTCGCACTAATATCCGTTCTCCATTACAATTAATAATTAAACCTTTAACCCTAAAAAACATTCCTAAACCCTAACACTAACACCCTAATCACTTTTCCAAAAAAGCCCTATTAGAATATCGAAAAGTCCAAGAAAATTTCGAAAACATGAACTAATATCAATTCAAACCTAAGCTAGACCCTAAACCCTTAACCCTAAACCATAACACAAACCATAAACTATTATTATTTAATGGGCCTTCGGCCCATGGGCCCTCGGCGGGCAGCCCTAACTAAGGTTGCAAGCCTTACGTGTTAGGACTTCCTAGTGTGTTTAATTTCCTAGTGTGTTTAATTTGATGTAAGAAACAATATTCCAATCCTTCACAAATTGAAAACCAAACCATAAACCCTAAAACTTAAACTCTAAATTGGTGTAATCAGTTTCGGGTGGTTGGGTTATTTTGGGGTTTGGTAAATATTAATTTAATGATGGCTACTGAAAACAAATAAATATCCAACACAATGATTCAAAGTAATATCAACACAACACATAATAACATCCACTGAAAACAAATAAATATCCAAACAAACATACATATATATAACATGGGGCCCAAAAATTTCATTCTCTTTCCACTCCAACCCAAAATCCCGCCCAAACTGAAGCCGGGCCCACCACGCCACTTGCTCGGCTCACCTTCTGCGCTGCACGCTGGGCCGGCTTCTACACGGAAGCCCATCTCCAGCTCATTTAAGTGAGCCACCACCCAGCCGCCACTCTCCTCCGTTGGATGAAGCCCAAGCAAACGTGGCCCAAAATCTGACCCTATCAGTATCTCCTAACAAAATGGCCTGTTAGGAGATTAACTTTTTCGGGTAATAAGAGATCAAGATGAAGGAGATTATGATAATTTCCACTGATGGTGGTCACACTCAGATTAAAGCAAGTCCTACCGGTATTATTTTGTGTCTTGGTTTGAAAGACAAGGCTAAAGCTCGATTATATAACTCTATTTATACAACTATAGATAATCCCACTAACTTCCATTGGTAGACTTATAATGCCCCAACAAAAGCAAAGTGGCCTTCTTTCACCTTTTTGCCCCATTTTCAAAACATAAAAGCCCTAGCATTGCCCCAGCTACTTTTATGTTATAATTTGTCCACTAATCACAGTACTTTAACATTTTAATATGATTATTAATATCTTCTTTCTTGCTGTTGGAGAGATGAGTGAGTGGAAAACGCCTGTATTAATATAGGGAGAGGCCATTGAAACCATCATTACTCATCTTGCTGCAGAGACTCAGTATTATTACTGCAATATTAAGCTAGATTAGAGTGTGCAATAAGCTGAGAAAGTTGGTCAATCAAGAATGGAGGTTGATGCTGTGAAGAGATTTGGGAGAGTGGTGTTGCTTCTTCTTCTCCTCATCAACTTAGCTTTACTTTCCTTCTTCCCTTCACCTTCTCTTGCAGGTAATGAGAAATCTGTTTTCATTCCGAGCTTTAGAGTTCTTTTCACGTTTTATCTGCTCTAATTCATCAGTAGTTTTTCTGGTGCAGCTGGTGGAAGATTGGAGCTGAAAAACCATGAGAAGTATAACAGGCTGCTGGCCAGTGAAGAAGAAGCTGTTGCTGCAGTCATCTCTTCTGAGGTAAATTTGTCTGTCTGTTTCCCCGGCGGTTAAATCTTCTCTAGCTGTGGTTTCTCTAAACTAAACTAAACGTTTTCTTGTTAAACTATATATGACAATTTATGTATATCAGGAAGAAGTAGTCCACGAGAGGCTGCTGAGAGCCAACACAAGAGATTATGGAAGGTACGATCCAACGCCGACTCTTTCGAAGCCACCTTTCAAACTCATTCCCAACTGATCATCGATTGTTCTGTCAATGATCATCAACAACGACAATCCATCCATCGAAGCTCGAGGATCCAATTACCGGCCTATGTTATTATATGTGTGATCAATCTAAGGGATGTATATCTATATATATATCTATATCTGTGGAGGAGATGTGAATAGGTTATATATAAATATGTATGGATAATGGATCCACTCTAGCTAGCTATATACGTATGCATGCATGGCAGCGCAGTTAATTGGGATGGTAATAGAAACATGTAATAATAAGGGACTGCTGGGATCACGTTTGGATCGAAGGTTATATGTGTATTAGTAATACTACTGTCAACACTACTGTTGTTTAATTAACATGGTTATCTGCATGTAAGTTTTGGTTATCTGCATCTATTTTTGGTAAGTTTTGGATTGGTAAATGCCACATAATAACATACATAAAGCTCATGGCAATCGAAGTTGTATTGCTTTGTCAATGGACAATGAATGAAGCTCCTCCTATACTACAACAAGTTATTATGGAGGAGGAAAAGAGAGATTGGGACGGATTTCTTCATTTTTGTCTTTAGTTCCCTTGGGATATATTTCTATTCCTCTTTTGATATCCCAAGTTGTGCTTCAACATTATATTCCCTATAGATAGATATCTATGTGATGAAGAATATAATCTCTAGCTCGAGATCGAAACTAAGGAATCCATGGTGAGTAAAATAAGAGAAACCATTAAGATGAAGGAGATTGTTGTAACTTCCTCTGGGGGTTGTCTTGTCACACTCAAATTGAAGCAGCAGTAACGTTATTACTTATGTTTTTGTTTGAAAGGCAGAACTAAAGCTCGATTATAATAGTACGTAGTACATCTAGAAAGACAAATTCCTACCAACCTCCATTTCCATCCTAGACTTATAATGCCCCAACAAAAGCCAAGTGGTCCTCTTTCAACCTTTTTTTACCCATTTTCAAAACCCTTACTTAACACAAAGAAAGGAACGAAGAAGAGCGATCAAGAGGTGGAGACATCAGAAACTAAGCTTGGTTTTTTCTTTTATCCAAGATAATCTTCCATGGAATGACCGGACAACTAATTTATAAGACACACAATATTAAAGAATAGTAGTCTGTATGTAACCGGATTCCCAATAAAAGAGCCTTTTTTTCGCCACTAAATGGACAACTCTATGAAAGCTCCAAGGAACAAAGAAGCCTTTATCGCATTCACATTTCGAAGCAATCAACTTGGGTCATTACTCTAATTCAGAGTATTCATGAGAAGTGTCCTGCTCTTTCTCCTTATCTGAGTCGGTTTCAGAAACTAAGCTTGATTGGAAGTACAAATACTGCTTGAAAAAAGAAAAAAAAAACTTATTGCTTCATGATAAGACAGGTTTATAGAGTAGATTATTTCAGCTCATTTTACAAAAATTGTAACTAGCAGCCCATAAGAACGCTACTCATCAGGCGACCTTTCTCCTCGTTACACAATTTCTAAAGGAACAAACGCCGGAATAAGCATTGGTTCATACATGAATGAACTAAGATGAATGACGATAATTAGTTACAGGCACTTTGGCATGGAAACTTATTCAAAATTAAGCAGAAATTTGAGCGGTTTTAATTCTCTGCTCCAGTTCCGGATCATCAGAGGCCAGGTCGTGTGCAAGCTGCTGTGATCATCAAGTTCTGGGCTGCTAAAAGTATCGTCGGCATTGCATCATAACAAAATAAACGTTCCCGGAAAAATGAAGCTTTGGAAAGTTTGTGAGCTCTTCTCTATTGTACTTGTACCAACAAGAAATGTGGCGGAAGCCTAATCTTCTCCATGCTCTCAAATGTTTGCCGGATCATTGATTTCCTGGGGAAAACACAATGAACAAAAGTACGAAGTCATTACACAGAGAGGCTTAATATCCGTTCCTCCATTGATGTGTGCATATGTTGGTCCTAGTGGTTACCTTGTTCTCGATGACCGTGTCATCTGGGATTTTCAATGTTGTCCCTGGTTCCGCATGGATGCTTACTCTCCCCTAAACAAATCATTAGACAAGTATTCAGCATAACTGATTCCAGTTGCAGATGCATGCATATTTGGGCATGACCTCCTGGTCTTTCTGATGGAAAGAGAGTGACCGTAACTCGGTAAAGAATGCAATAAAAAAAAGTCCATAGGAGTCTCTAGTTACCTTCAGAGTAACACCCGTACCGAACCACACATCCCCAGTGACTTTCAAGGAGGCCAACTCAACTATGCTAGGAATGGATTGGAAGCGACTTTGGAAGTCATCAATCTGAATGAAGAAAAACAAATATTAGATATTCAAATAACAGTAGAGGGTCAGTGTTGTTTTACACCAGAACAAGTGATAAATCACCTTTTCAAATTCAGGCCCCAATTTAATGGATGGATCCATGGGGCTGGTTCTGGCGGGATTGCGAACCAAGGAGCCATCGATAGCAGAGTAAAGGTCAGACTGTAAAAGTGCATACAAATTGCAAAATACACGTAAGCATTCATTCAAGATCAGCACACAACAACAGATGATACAGATAGTACCTTCAAAAGAAGCAAGTCAGATGTTGCATTTAGTTGAAGAAACCGCGATTGAGGAACATTAATGCCAATGGCTTGGTTAAATAACTGCCCAATAAATAATAACAAGATGGTGGCATCAGAAGTCATTCAACAAGCATGTAGAACAGAGGATAAGAAATTGTGTCATTACCCGTATAGGTAAATCAACTATGTTCTCTTGCCGAGGAAGTTGATTGTCTTCTATTTCCTGAAAATGTATGATAATCATTTCAGTTCTCCACTGTTTATTGCATATTAAAAATTAAATTGACAGATTACTGGTTCGAATAATCCTACCTTGGAGGTAGAAAGATTCTCCATCGTCAGAGAATTTCTATCAACAAGCCTTTTGATGGCTTTCAAGCTCACCCACCTGTTGAAATACTCCATTGTTAAAAATAGTATAACCAAGTCAATGTACAATTCACTAGAGACGAAGGAACTCACAATGTTTTTGTACCAATCAATTTAAAATTCTCCATCGGCTGCATTTTGAGATCACCACAAAACACAAGATGAAAATGAGTAGACTATATGAAAAATAAAAGCAACCTACAACAACACATTACTGAAAAATGAAGCTGTTAACTCACATGTGTGGATGTATCCTCTGCAATTTCTGTAAACTGAAACGGAAATTTCTCAGAAATTATATGGTGGCTTAGGTACAAAAAAGAGACATCTCAATCCATTAAATTGCTAACACTTGGTGTCAAATGATTCGTAGCCAGTAGACTATTGATGCATATTACTGATCAGATTCATAATAAAGTTCCTATGATTGTAACCTCAGCCCCTGATTTGGACCAAGGGATAGAGTAAGTGCCGATCTTTCCATAGGATAATAAATCAAAAGCCATTACTGCAACAAGATAGTCTTTGCATCTCTATCAGACATCCAGATAACTACAATACAAGGCAACACGAGACTTTCCCCCCCATTGAATACAACAGAAGACTTGCTTATAAAGGACAGAACAAATGAATGTAAAACTTGCCTGAAACTTTCCTTCAGACTCATTTGCCATAGGGTTCATTGAATAATATGATGGCGTTGGCGTCACCTAAACAACATCAACAGTTAAACATGTTCCTCTTTACAACTGGAAAGCACAACTAAGAGCAATAACAGCTGAGTTTGGGTACCTCCATGCAGTACTCAATGTTGTTTGAGATCAAATGATTCAAGATCTCTGTAACCACAAATAAATAAATAAATATTTGTCAAAATGTTATATCATATGAAACACAATGGCAGAATGTAACATCATAATAAAAAGAGCAAAATATAAAACAAAGCATTAAATAGTGGAAAGTGAGGAGTCTGTACTGGCATCAACGACCGCAGCTGAGTTGTCAGAGCTTACAACAAGAACATACTCCTTTCCCTGTAAATAGGTACAAAGGCAGTAATTAGACCCACCTACCTCTACCAATCCTTCTGGAAATTAATGCCCATAAAAGAAAACAAAAGGGAAAGAACTGTGCACCTTCGCTAGTAAGATATCCAGTGCCCCACTATTAATCAGGGAACGGAATGCTGCTGCTTGATCAGAAGGGTGCCTTCAGGTAGAACACAACAAAATCGAAGTTCAAAATTGTCACAATCGGATAACAGTACACACGCAAGCTCTTTTACAGGGCTAAGAAGGCTAAGGAGGAGAAGGACAAACAATGATGATGGGAAAGAAAAAGCAGAGGCGCACAAAAGGAAGATACTGGAGGCCAGAAATCATACGGTTCATTCTCCGTTTCCTGGAGGCCAGGTGATTCCCCAGACTGATGGCCCTAGAGATATCAGATCAGGCAATTCTAAGTTAATAAAGTACCTAAAACAGATATGACTCAGTTCACACATGAACGCAGCATACAGAACAAGCAACCTGTTGAACTGGAAGAATATCTATGTTTGACCTGGAAATTTTCTCCAAAACCTACAGCAAGAAGGCTGGGAATTAGATTGAGCGAATTTATGAATGTGAACTCGAGAAGGGTACATAATCGCCACTTACCTTAGACGTATCATCATGAGTGACGCTGGAGTTTATAAGCACCAGTGGGATATCAGACCCATGATTCTGATTAAGATTCTGGAAAAGTAGCAGAATAAGTGAAAATGAGTCTAAAGTACCGATGTGGTATGAAAAGACTGTCAATAACCAGTTGATCCCAATAACTCGAGTTGTTGGGAGAAGGTTCTGCTGGATCTTATACCACATTCTAACACGCCCCCTCAAACGAAAGCCAACCCATGGGCTTGAAGTTTGCACAGGCCCACCATACCATGTGCTTGAAAGACAACGATTAATATTGGGGGTCGTGGAGATTCGAACACATGACCTTTTGGTTCGAGGCTCCATACCATGTCATGAACCAGTTGGTCCCAATAACTCGAGTTGTTGGGAGAAGGTTCTGCTGGATCTTATACCACATTCTAACAAAGACTACATACAAGGAAACCAATGTGATTACCTGAATTTGATTCACAACCAAGTCAAGAGAAGTCAAACTGTCACATACTTCAACTAGGGACCTACACAAGAAGTAAATGAGTGGGACTGTAAAGATAATTTATTAAGCAAACCTCATTATAGTTATGTATACATAAAAACAGGAGAAGAAGCACTTATAACAGAAAGGCAGTTAATAGAACATATGGCATGGAAAGTACCACAGTTCCAAATTTCTGCGCACACACTTAAGGGAGGAATAGAAGTAATTATAACATAAAGGCTGCTAATGAAACATATTAATTGGAAACTATCACAATTTCACATTCTTGAGGACACACTTAATAACTCAATCATAATAGGTTCGGAAAAGCTCCAAGGTACCATCTATAATGTGCATGGATGACATATAAATTGTGCTCAGGTAGTAGTGGGTTTATTGTGATAGGTTTATCTTGGTGGCTAAGGAACGTCATCCATCACCCCCAACCTTCTCTGGATTGGTTGTGAAGGAAATAAAGAACACCATTATGTACTAAGTTCGAGATCTCGTTACACATGCTGCACAATATGCTTCTACCTTAAACCTATGCCAATAACAATCTACTATGTATCAGTGTCAGCATGAAGCTCTATGAGCCCTCTGAAAGCAATAATTAAAATGCTAAAAAGGCAGGAATTGACTTCTAGCTTAGGAAGCATTTGCTTACTTAGGATCTGTAAAAAATTCGAGAGGGTACAGGAGGTTTTGAAAGCTTTCAAATACACAGGTACCCAAATGGTTTCAGGAAAAAGTGTGGAAGTACAACAACCAAAAAGCAAAGTATGAAAAAATCAATGCTACCAGTTAATACATTTCATCAGTGCAGGCAGGATAATGCTTACTTAGGGCCGTTAAATCCGACAGCAGTTCCCAAAGTACCATTGAACTTCACTACCACAAGCTTATCCAAGATCCGCTTAGTTTCCATAGAACCTACATTTGGAAAAAGCACATTGCTTCTGTCTTCAGTAAAGTCCTAATTTTGCCAGTTCATAGACGTTGCAATTTGTAAATGAAACCAACCCCAGATAAAATACGAGGGGATTACCTTCAACAACAGGTGCTAAGCTCTCATAAGGAACAACAAGGACTTTATCAGCTACAGAGCTTATTCTGTTCATACAAAATTTTGATTAAACTTTTATTGAACAGCTCAAACAAACTGTGCAACTGACCTACCCATAAAATAAACCATTAAGCCTTACTTAAGAAAATAGAAACACAGAATTAAGCCAATTACTTCCATCCATTTCACAGGCTAAATGTAATCTGTCAATGGAAACAATAACACAGACTAATTCTCTCAAAGCTTCCTTCTCTACCCTCTTATACTTTACTTGCTTCATGTAGTGCTAGACAAATAATCAATTCTAGAGACTTAAAAGTTCATGGAACTAGGTGATATCAGAATAAATGGCAGCACCAAGATATAGGCTGATCCTGACTTCTTTCACACTTTCAAGAACTAGGCAGCAATACTTATTCTCCCCAAGCAATAATCATGATTATACTTATTCTATCAGAGTATATTACCCAAGTTCTTCTGTTGAAGTTGCTGGCTCATCTTCAATAGTATCTCCCTTGGCTTCTCCCATCTTCTTACGCTCAAGCAAGAAAGTCTTGGTAATGATGTTACAGAACAAGTACACAAACTCCATTGAATCATTAGCAGGCACAGGATAAGCAATCTTCTCGTAATAATCCCGTGGCAGACTTGCATCTACCAGTGCTACAATGGGAACTTGAAGCCTAGCGGCCTCCAAAATCACTGAACTCTTCCTGTCCGTGTCCAACACCACAACACAATCTGGTGGTTGTACTGGCGCAAAACAAACCTTTTAGAAGAAACAAAAATTGATATCATTTACTTCAAAAACCAAGCAAGGAAAAAAAAAAGAATTAATAAAACTACAATTACTCGATAAATATGTTGCCAGAATGTATTAGATTCCAAATGCATGGATTTTACATTTCACCCATTAGGTCTTTTAGACCAGCTGATTCTATTTCCTAGAGTTTGATATAGACAAGTTATATTATGTTTGTATCGACGAGAACCTCCTTTCAAATGATAATCAAGCAAAAACAATCCAACAACCACCCGCTAGTGACACAACCTTCTACACACGACAATAACTCTACATATTTCAATCAGAAGGAACATGTGTTGATTATCTGTGAACTCCAATGACGCATTATCTGAATTCAAATTCCATGGTCCTAACAAATGCATCAAAATAAACACACACAAATGGACTATTCACAAGTACTCATACACAGAGAGAAAATATAGTCAAGTGCAAGGAAAGAAGGAAACTTCAACTCAGACCAAACACATGGGAAACATTGAAAGATGCCAACCTTCTTATTCCTGGAGCGGAACTTCTTGGGGCTGAAACTGTTGGTCAAAAACCCACCCATTTTCCAAATAACCTTATCCCTTGGACTATACAGCCCGATCTTCTTCGTCATCTGCTCCACTATCTCATCAAAAAGTGGATTGGTGTTGACAAACAAGAACCGGGCTTTCTTCTCTCTAGCCAACTGTGCAATAAAGTTGGTAGCATTCCGGAGACATATCAGGGTTTTGTCGGAATCAATTACGGACACCCCGGCCCGTGATCCTTCGGTGAAGATCTTGAAGTGTTGAGCCACCGCTCGCTTGCCCAAATGTGCATTGGTGCTGAGTAGCTTCTGGATGACAAATGAATGTATCGTCATCCCCTGATCGGTAATCAGCAGTGGCAATTGTGAGAGAGCGAGCAAGCTTAGAGACAATCAAACAGAGTGCACTCCCCGGTATACCATCTGTAGTTATTTGCAAAATTGAAGAGACAGAAGAGAGAAAGAACGAACACACAATGTCAGCATCTTCTGATTCAATAGAAATCGCAACTCAACCTAGCCATTTCTCCACAGAATTGAGCAGCTTAAGAGTGCAAATGTAAAAACAACCAGACTAACACTCTCCAATCTATTTCCAAGCTTGCATATCTGTAATTAACACTTGAGAATCTGATTGGGACCCTGAAAGTAAGACTAGCTCAGTTGTAAACCCTCAGTAATCTGAATTGTAGGGATTCCCAAAGTATTTACTCTACCCAGGCTACTCCAGGGGATGAAAGTGTGACCCAAGTAGACCACGGTTAGGGAAACGAAGGAAGGTAGACTCGTCCAATTAAGAGATTTTTTATTATTAGGCAAAACTGAAAGGTAATGAAAACTAGACAGAGAGAGAGAGAGAGAGAGAGAGGAGTCGAACCCGTCAAGGATAAGCTGGATGCTACAGAGGGAGAACGAAGATCGGCGGAAGGGGCGTCGGCGACGGAGGTGAAGGAGAGTGAGGGTGCTCGGCGGGAGGCTGGAAGGAGGAGAGTGAGAAGGGCGGCACTCAGCAGGTGGAAGGGCTTTTCCGGAGTTTTTAACTTATGGGCCGAAATTAATTGGAACTTCATGCGTTTCAGCCCATTAGTGAGGCCCAACTGGTTAACATTATGCTTCGAAGGCCCAATAGCCCATGAAATAAACTTTGTTTATGGCTAAATATAAGCTGTGTTATTATTATTATTAATTCCGTTCCCTTAATAATTATCATTCTTACTTTATTTGTTTTTAATTATTCTTTCCATCATTACCCGTCAAAAAAAATTATTCTTTCCATCATTTTTCATATTTTTCGTACGTATCTATTGCCTTCTTTTTATTATTATATACTTGCAAATTGGTAGGTCCCCGAAATTTAGGTTGTTTCCTTTTATTAAAAAAAAAAAGAAAGAAAGAAGGTTTAGGTTTGTAACGGGTGGTGCCGGTTATCTAGGGTTTCCCGACGACCTGGTTCTCTATTTCAAAGGCGAATTGCTGCCTTGTGTCTATGTTGACTTGTTGGCTCTTTGGCCTGGATTGTCCTAGTAGGGGCCTTTGTTTGCTCATTTTGCAGGTGAAGATTCAATTGCACAGTAGTCGATCGGTGACGACTGTCTTGTTCACTAGGTGGCCTTTTGATGAGATTTGATGGAGCACTTGGAAATGGCGCCCTAAAGGAACCCCTTACACTATTAATGTTTAGTTTGATGGTGTGGTCAAGCATAGTTACGAATGTAGTATTGGCTTTGTGGGTTTTCAATCGTCAGGTAATATTCTCTTTGCTTTCGGAAAGTGTTATGAAGGATTACACGATTCATTTGTTATACTGGAGGTCATACAGTGGTGCCTGACACATTCCTTTGTCTCTGTCAAATTTCATGGGGATTCACAACAATTGATACGACGGGATGGTGGGAGGCGATTTGGCGCATTATAGGGGTGGAGCTCTACTGGAGGATGCTCGGAGCTTAGCTTCTCACTTCAGCTGATTTCTTACTGCTTTGTTTTTCGTCGACTTTATAGGGCTGCCCATCATGTGGCACTAAAGGCCCTCTCATCGGGAGTTCGATTATTGGTCGACTCCCGCGCTTTTCTTTCTTTCTCCTTGTGACTATCTTTTCAACACTGACTTTGAAAAAAAAATATAAGCTGTGTTAATTATCAATATGAAGTTACATGTGATTTTAAGTAGTATATTTTTTTTATTTAAAAAATTGGTACTTACATATCTCGTAAATTTGTTATTATGTAGAAGATTAAATGAACGAGTCTAAATTAGAAAGATCATTTTTCTATTGTTTAGCTCGACATCTATTGTTGATAATTCTAGTGAAATCTAACTTGGTTTTTTGTTTAGTCTCCAAACGATGCACCTCTAAATCGTGATCCATTTATTTGTCCACGTTAATTTTTATGCTGAGAATAGAAAATAAATAAACAATGCATCCACAATGTAATATGTCATTTCAATTTCACAAACTTTCTGTCATCATGTCTCTTTTAACCAAATTTAACCATTAAATTAACATTAAACCCCCCCAAAGGTCGATTTTATAATTTGTATTGAAATAGTTGATAACCCATTCAACTTATATTTCAGGGAAAAAAAGAAGAAGAAACAAAAGTTTCAACCTTTTGGAATTGCTTGCTTGTAAGTTTTCGATTTAATATATTGTGGCTCAACAACTCCTCTCAATTGCTGTCCAAGGTAGACCACTGTCCACCATAGTTTAGACCATTTAACTGTACAGCACCCAGCCACAAGGGTAGACTATTTTACACTTCTTATTCTACCTATTATTTAATTACGTTCCCACTAAATAAATAAATAAAAGACGGAAATGATAACAGCAGGTTAAAACAAAAATGAAGTCAAAATCTAACGCGCTGCTCCACTAATCACTATCTCAAAATCCAATTATTATTCTTCAATACACATATTAGGGAATTTGTACGAAAAAAAAAGAAAAAAAAAAAGAGAGGATGCGAGAAGCTCTCGCCTCTCTCCTCGTTTTCTTCGCAGCAGCCCTATGCAAGCTGGCTAGGGTTCCGATAGCGGTAGTAAAATCGGTGGTGAGGAGCTGGCAATCCGAAGGCGCAGTCTTCTCTAATTCCAGGGAAGAGGAGATCGAAGAGATTTCTGTAATCAGGTCTCCCATTTGGGGAGGATCGGGTAAAAATCGAAGGAGAGGGGAAATCGACTATTTCTCGAGGTATATCCAGATTCGAAAATCATGGATGATAAACACGAATCGAGAGTCCGTCCAGAGTACGGTGCTCCGATTAGCTCCAAATTGGAGCTATATAGTCTCGCAGGCGAGACTAGGAAACCCACCAACAAAGGCTCGGTGTTTCCGGTGGTGGCGTTTATATCGGCGACGTGAGTTCCCAAACCGACGGTGGTCTTATATGAGAGGTATGCCTCCATCTAATATCAACATGGGGATTGGGTTTGTGGGTATTTTATACCTACCGTTTTTTGTTCTTATTGGCCTAATCTGGGGTCTATACTGGTGTATCCAGAGACGATTGTCCCAGGCAATGTCATCCGGTGATGTCCCAGCTGAAAAGGCGACAGCGGTACAGCCTGAGGTTCGGGTGACTGGTGAAACAGGAGCTGAGAAACAAGGTGAGGCGATGAAGGTTGATGAAGTGGTGCCAAAGGTCCAGGTGACTGGTGCAACTCAAGCTGAGAAACAGGAGGATATGATGAAGATTGATGAAGTGGCGGCGGGGATCCAGGCCATGGCGATGGACCAAGTTGTGGAGTTCTCGATGGATGATGTCGCTACAGGGGTGCAATGGGCGAAGATGAGCTTGCTTGGCAGGCTATTTATGGAGAATCCACCTAGTTTGGCGGTGATCAGCAAGATCGTGAATGGGGAGTGGAATTGTGCGGTGGAAGTTCGGGTCTTAGAAGCTGAAATGGGATTGCTGTAGTTCTTCTTTGCGGACGAGGCTGATCGGGACTGGGTTCTTCACCGGTCGCCTTGGACGGTGAAGGAGAGGGTCCTTCAGCTGAAGCCATGGTGACAGATTACCAAGTCTCTTGTGGAATCCTTCACAATGGTACCATTCTGGGTCCAGATGTGGGGGATTCCCACTCATTGCCGCATGGTGGCGTTTGGAAAACGAGTTGCAGGGGCGAAGATTGGTACAGTGTTGGAGGCGGGTGCTTACGCGATGCAGGGCATGCCGGGGCATTTTATCAAGGCGAAGGTACTGATTGACATCTTGCAGCCTCTTCGTTCCCAGCTGTACGCTAGCAATCCATTAGCAGGGGAATTCTGGGTTACATTGGTGTATGAGTTTCTGCCGATGTTGTGTTACCATTGCGGCCGACTAGGGCACATAGCCCCGAATTGTTCGTTCCCTGATCCAATTGGGATCGAACACTATAGCCCCGAGCTTACGACGGAAGTGATTGGGTACCGAGTGGAGGAGGAGGCCTTCATTCCACAGCTACTGAGGCCGCCAATTCAGCCCTTTGTTTGGGTGAACCCACATATTGGTGGAGTGGGGCAGGAGAGTAAGAAGCAGAAGCGGGATGAAGGGAAGGATCATGGGGTGATAGAGGATGATGGTAGACCAGTGGTGTTGGCTTTACCAGCTAAGAAACAAGCTGACCAGGAGCAGAATGTGATGCACGTCCAGATGCAAACGGTGAAGCAGGCTGAAGGGAGAGCCCATGGGAGCGGATATAATGGTGGTGGTAATTTTTCTGGTGGGGGTCGGGGGATACAGCTACAAAAATAAGGGCAAGGGAGGCCAAGGAGGGTACTCTGGGTACCATAAAGGGCAAGGGGCGGATGAGAAGAGCAAAGGGAATTATTACAGAGGAGGTTTTGCTCCTCAATCTGGGGGGGGCATAATGCTGAAGGCAGTAGAGGTGGTGGGCTGAAGCAGATTCCTCGCGGTGGTACAGGGCAGCTGCAGAGCAGACAAACCAATGAACCTCGACAGCAATCATTTCCAGGGACGGGAAAACAAAAGGGTACGGAAGCTTTCCGGATGACTGCTCCTGATCCATAGGAGATCGAGGAACGCAAGAGGGTTGCTGGGGAGGTGGAAGGTCTACAGTTTGATCCCACTCCGGTGAAGAAAAAGTGTATTGACAGTGCGGTGGAGGAAACCAGCCAGGAGTGGTCCCAAACCATTAAATGAAGATTATTGCTTGGAACGTAAGGGGTATAGGGCCGTCCCTTACGTTTCAGTCTTTATTGGATCTTTGTAGGATGAATAAGCCAGATGTTGTCTTCCTTTCGGAAACAAAATCGTGTAGGCGCGTAGTATCTCGTAGGATGAGAGGTCTCGGTTTTCAGAATTTTTTTTATTGTTGATGCTTTGAATGCGTCGGGTGGGCTAGCATTAGCTTGGGAAAGTGGGGTTAGCCTTACTGTTTGGGATCATTCAAGCTTTTTTATTTCCTTTGGTATTAATGAGAATGGCCCCTTTGAGTACGTTTGTGTGTGTGTTTACTTTTCTAGTGATTTGTTGATTAGGCAGCAGCAAATTCTTGAGTTGCAGGCCTTTTGCTCTAACTTGGATGTGCCATACTTGGTGATGGGAGATATGAACTGTGTGATGGCAGCATCGGAGAAGTCGGGCGGTGTGCCATGGGATCCTAGCCGGTCGGCAGGAGTGAGGGATTTGATGAATGGGCTTGCGTTACAAGATGTGGGTTTTTTGGGTCCGCAGTTTACGTGGTTTAATAGACGCATGGGGGCGGCTTGTATTATGGAACGCCTTGACAGGGTTCTCGCTTCTCCATTATGGATGGAGAAATTTCCACAAACGGTGGTTAAACATTGTACGGACCTTGGGTCTGATCACAGAGCGTTACTGGTGGCTGATAAACCTTTTGTTAGGAAGACTAAACCTTTGTTTTGTTTTGATGCGAGATGGACTGAAAATCCGAAAACAAGGTTACTAGTGAGTTATGTCTGGAGCCAACCATACACTGGTTCACCCATGTTTCGATTGTGGCAACGACTAAAGTCCCTTCGACACTTATTGTATGATTGGAGTCGTGCGGGCACGACGAACTCGGCTCGGAATATTCGTATACTCCAGACGGAGATTGAGGCGATTAAAGGTGAAGGAAATGTGGACTGGGGCCGAGTGATGGAGCTTGAGAGTGAATTAGCGCGGCAATGGGTGAATGAAGAGATTTTCTGGCGCCAAAAATCGAGAGTACAATGGCTTAGTGCAGGGGACCAAAATTCAGGGTATTTTCATACGGTTACAAGAACCCGGCAGCGGAGAAATTTCATAGAGGGATTAAGGAATGATGATGGGATTTGGGTGACTGATGAAGGACAAAAGGGTGAGGTGGCTTGTGGTTTCTATGATCGCTGTTTCGATCAGAGAACCAAGTACATGATATGGTGGCTCGGGTGTCTAAACATCCAATTCCTGCTTCTGTCACTGATGAGATGAATAGAGGTTTGACAGCGGAGGTCACGACATTGGAAATCAGGAGAGCGGTATTTGATATAGGAGCAACCCAGGCGCCAGGCTCTGATGGATTCACTGGGAAATTTTATCGTAGTTATTGGGACATTGTGGGCCCAGATGTAGTAGAAGCGGTCCAGTCGTTTTTTCGATCTGGTAGACTTTTGAAAAGTTTCAACCATACGTGGTTGACCTTGGTCCCTAAGGTGGAAACAGTTGAGACGATGAAGCAGATTCGACCGATCAGTCTTTGTCAAATGTTTTATAAGATTATCTCAAAAATCATGGCTGAGCGAATGACCAGCATTTTGCCTTCTATTATCTCACCGGAGCAGAATGGGTTTATTCGTGAACGTCAGATAGTAGACAATGTACTGATCGGGCATGAGATTATGCACTATCTTAAGATCAAAAAGCAGGGGAAGAAAGGTTACTTAGCTCTAAAGGTTGATATGGAAAAGGCCTATGACAGAGTTGAGTGGCCCTTCTTGTTTGCTTTAATGACTAAGATGGGGTTTAGTGCTCAATGGATTGGGTGGATACAGGAATGTGTCTCTACAGCGACATTCTCTGTAATGATGAATGGTACTCCCTCGGGGTATTTCAGATCGACGAGGGGGCTGCGTCAAGGAGATCCATTATCTCCATTGCTATTCGCCATTTGTTCGGAAGGATTTGCGGCCCTGATTAGAAAGGCGATTCAGACTAGAAGTTTAGTCGGAGTCAAGGTTAATCCCCAGTGCCCAGTGTATCTCATCTGTTCTTTGCAGATGACTCATACTTATTTCTCCGGGCTTCCAAGAATGAGCGTGACACGTTGCTTGGTCTGTTGAGGGAATACCAGGAGTTGAGTGGTCAGAAAGTGAATTTGAGCAAGTCCGCGGTATGTTTTAGTAAGAATGTGGATCCCCTGGAGGCAGAGGAGATGGCGGCCATCTTAGGTGTCGGAGCGATTGGTGTTCAGGACAGGTACTTGGGTCTTCCGTCTTTGGTTCAGAGATCGAAATTGGAAACATTTCGATATCTTGAAGAGAAATTATTGGCTAAGCTCCAAGGATGGAAGCAGAAGAAACTGTCGTGGGCAGCAAAGGAAGTACTGCTGAAGGCGATGGCTGTGGCCCTCCCGATTTATGTCATGTCGTGTTTTCTTCTTCCGGTGACCCTTTGTCGTAAGCTGGATAAGTACATGGCGCGGTTCTGGTGGGGATTTTCTGGAGAGAGGGACAAAGCTCATTGGATATCCTGGCGTAACCTATGCAGGAGCAAATTTGACGGTGGTCTGGGGTTTCAATGATTCGAGAACTTTAATCAGGCGTTGCTGGTGAAGGTCGCATGGCAAATTTGGAAGGAGCCGGATACGTTGCTGGCAAGGGTGTTGAAAGGGAAATACTTCCCACAGACATCTATTCTTACAGCGACTCGTAGGTCGAGACCCTCATGGGAGTGGATCAGTATTTTGCATGGAAGGGACTTGCTTGTCAAGGGTCTTAGGTGGCAGATTGGGGAAGGTTCGCAGGTTATAATTAGGGAGGATAACTGGATCCCGGGTATTAGTCCGGAGGAGCTGGAATTGAAGGCCTCGGCACCAGATCTGACAGGAGTAACGGTGAACTCGCTGCTGGTACCTGGTAAGGGTGAATGGTGCTTGGAATGTTTGGACCAATGTTTCTCTCGGCCGATAGTGCGGACTATCCAATCTATACCACTTCCGCGGGGTGGGGTGGAAGATAGTCAAGTCTGGACAGGTGAGGGGGATGGGGAATATACGGTGAAGTCGGGGTACCATTTGGCCTTTCAATATGCTAGGCATATTCAGGATTGGAAGGCTGAGGTGTCCTTTTTTTATATGAAGTGTTGGAAAAAGCTTCGGGGACTTCCCATACCGCCAAAGTTGAAGTGTTTCCTTTGGCAAAGCATGAAGCGGATCCTCCCGACTATGAAAACGATAATTGAGCGGACTGGTAGACTACCGGGGGAAGTGGAGCTTGATCCGGGTGATGAGGTGGTTGATCCCAGGTGTCCGGTTTGTTGGGCGCCGTTGGAGACTTTGGAGCATATGTTTCTATCTTGCAGGATGGCAAGGGTGCTTTGGGAGAGGTCGGGTTTGGGAGAAGAGCTTGTGAGGCAGCCTCCGTTGAATTTTGCTTTATTCCTGTGCCGATTTTTTGAGCAGGAAGACAGTGTCGAGAGGATAGTTCGGTTTGTGGCAACTCTTTGGAGAATTTGGAAGAGTAGAAATTGGGTGACGTTTGATCGTGTGCAGTATGGGGTGGATACTCTGGTGAGGCAATTTGAGGAGCAGGTCCGGGAGTGGTTGAGTCTGGCTGGGGCTGGGCAGGTTAGAGAGAATCGGGGTCAACAGGGAGGGGGTACGGGTAGGGTGGCTCGTAGAGCACAGATTGCTATGCCTTATCGTTGCTATGTGGATGGTGCTGTTAGTGCTGGTTCGCATGGGGCTGGCGGTTTGGTGGTTTATGATGGGTTTGGGAGGGTATGTTTTGTGCAAGGGTTTTGGTATGCAGGTCTGGTGGATCCTTTTCTGGTGGAATTGGTGGCGTTTCGTGATGCAATTCAGTGGTGCACTTCGAAGGGACTAGCCGAAGTGCAATTCTGCAGGGATGCGAAGGTTGTCATTGAGAAAATCCAGAATTTGGATGCTAGGGATGTGAAAGGCGGGCGGATCCTTGAAGAAATTCAGAAGCTGCGCCCACGGTACCTGCGTTTGGAGATGGCTTTTATTGGCAGGAGTAACAATCGGGTGGCCCATGAGGTGGCTAGGAAGACCCTTTCTTTGTTACCTGGAGTTGTAGATACATTTGATTTTTTTTCGCTGGTTTGTTCTTGAGTTGTAAAGTGTACTAGCTGTTTGACTTGGTAATACAAGTGATCTATTGGTAAAAAAAAAAAAAATTTATACTGAGAAAATATATGTGGAAAAATTATATTATAATTTTGTACAGTACAGCGAGGCAAGAAAAAAGGGAAGAAAAGGTTGGGTTACGTGGCGGAAATTCTTGAACCAGCAGACGTCGGCAAACACAAACTCCGTCAGGAAGCGGTAAAGCCGCGAACCATTTGCCAGATGGAGGTAAAAAAGCAAAAAAAAAAAAAAAAAAAAAAGGGAAATTCTCGACGGCGTTACGGAAAACCGTTTAAAACGACCCCTCCATTTACATTTCCTTTCCCCCCGGCTCTTCTCCTGCTTTCCTTCTCTCTCTCTCTCTCTCTTTCTGTAACTAAAAAGAATAGAATAGGAAGGAAGCAACAATCATAAGCAAAGCAGCTAGCAGCAGCCGCTCAGTCACTCTCTCTATCTCTAGGATTGTCTTCTCAGTTTCTTCCCGCAGAAGCTCTCGCTGCACCGGCCATGGCGGTTATCGGAGGCTGCTGAATTCTCCGTCTCCCTCCTCCCCTCGTTTCGAGTCAGGTGCGGGATTCTGTTGCCGCAGTTTATCGAATTCGAGTGCTTCATCTTAATTCAAGCTTCTTTATGGTTTTATTTTCTGTTTAGCTTCTTCTTCGTTGTTTTACTCGGAAGTGGAATCGGATCGATTGACTCGTGTCTCCATTTTCCCCCCTCCCCGTCGTCTAGATTTTAGGGGTTTCCGTCTCTAGTGGATATTTTTCGGCTGTGTTTTTTTCCCCTTCCATTTCTCCGGTTTCTATATTAAGGGGTTGATTATTGACTTTGGACTTACTCTTCGCTCCGCCTAGAGAGTAGGCGAATATTGATTCGATTTTCCGGCTGCTTTGTTTATTTTATTTTATTTAGTTTCTAGATTGGGATTTGGGTTTTTTTGTTACCGGTGATGCGAGCTGCCAGTGGGGGAGTTTGTCCTTGTTCGGTGAGAGTTGGTGTGAACGGTGAGTTTGCTAGCAAAGAGAAGGAAACCAGGGAAAATAATAGGAGTTTGATTTGTTAAATTTCGTGGGTTCATTGTCTTTTCGGGCTTTTTGATGTTATCTGTATGAACTGTATTTGGTGGGTTCTCCGGTTAGATGAGGCCATTGAATTAGAACTTGTCCGCCGCTCTCTGTTTTTGTACCTTCCGAAATATGGCCTGCAGGATCTGAAGAACAAATCCATCTTTCCCACACTCTAAATATAATTTTATATCTGTGGACTGTGGCTAAGTTCTCTCTAGTCTCGACTTTTCGTTGGATGGTTTGAGCCTTGTTGAGCTGAATCCATCATTTGGAAGCGGGGGCTTTCTTTGGTGTTCTTGAGGTCGGTATCTGTTGTGTAAGATCATGTTTGGGTTAGAGTTGGGATGAGTTATTGAGTTTTTGTTTTTTAGGATTGCCCCTTCTTTTCTGTGAAGTAATTCTTCGAGGGTTGTTTGCCAATTCTGGAAACATGCACGTGGTTTTCTGGGCATCAAATTAATGACGCGCATAAATTCTAACCATTGCTTTTGTTCGTGGTGCAGATACACAAAACTTTACCTGGGTTCTTTCCTTTTATGGTGATATTGTTATTTCCAGTGCTGGGTTTGGAAATTTGAGCATGTGATTGGGGTTTCTTCTTTTTTCGTACCAGAATAGTCTTCTTTAGTGGACATTGAGAATGGGAGGCGCTTGTTGCATTGCTGCTAGAGACAAAAACATAGTGAGTGGACCTGGAAGTGACATCCTGCACAGGAATATTCGACATTCACCAACATGGAGCTTTAGGTGGGATAACCGGGGCCGAGTAGCTGGGGAAGATACTTCCGTAAGTTGGTTTTCTAATGAAACCAGTAGAAACGATGTATCTGATGCTAAAAATGAATCAACCTATGCCTCGGAAGATGGGAGTCCATTTACTAGTGCCAGGAGACATACATTTCAGAAGTCTCCTGTATCTGACAGGACTCTGGGTCACCTAACGACTCCTGCTTCAGGTTAGCAGTCGTGATGCAACACTCAATTTGGATCAGTTTCGTGTGATGCTGTAGTTTTAATTGTCAATTATCTGCCCATCTGATGTCCATGTTTAGCTTATCTAAAAAATCTATGTTCTCTACTATTATTCTCTTATTGAGAGATACGTCTTAGTATTCTGGACCCAAATCTTTATTGCATTGTCAGCATTGAAGAATATAGCTTCCCCTACATTCAGCGTGAGATTGCTGAAGGCATTTTGGCCCTTGGTGTCTTGCTTTAACTCTTGAGCCCGAGTTTATGACATCATCTCTGTCAAGAGTTGTGTTGTTAGGCTACTGCAACGACAGCAAGTGCTGGGTGATTAGTGTCTTCCCTGCTGAAATACTAGAATGTGAGTAGGAATCTTAAGCTGTACCGATCTTCGTTTTCCATTGCCCTATCATTAGTTGGGACGAGTTAGCTATATCCATTCACGATGTAACTTGTCCCAAGCTCGCAAGTTGGGAATACTATTAAAAATGATCTGCACTGAAGAAGATTTGCTGTTTCCTGGTAATTTTATCCCTTTGTAAAATGGCTTTCCATCACTGTCATATGTTTCGTTGGGCCTCGAATGTATTGGTGAACTTTGGGTTCTTATGGTACAATTTAATTGCAGAAAGTAGTCTGCTTCCCTCTCAAAGTTTCTCTGGTTGAGATACCTTCGTATGTGGCAACTATCTGGTGCATGACCCCATATTCCTTGGAGAACAGTTCGAACCTCAAGTCCCTTTGACCTGTTCTCGTCAAAATTTTCTCTGGTTGCGATCTACTAATGTAGAAGCGTCCGTTTCAGCTCTGTGTAGGTTAATTATATCAGTTAAAAACTTAGAGAACAGGATGGGCGCATACCCATATTAGCATGGAACTAATGGTGGCAATACAGGTATTGAGATGAGATACAGGCATGCAGCTCTGTTCTGAAATCTGGGTTAAGCAAAGATACTGAATTAGTACATATCATCAGGAGCAGATGATGGTATATACTATGGTTTGCGGTTTTCCTTTTAGTAATTTCCATTTCACGACTTGCGCGCTTGTGCTTCACCGAGGAGCGAGGAACTGCACCTGTTGGTATTTGATTTTTTCGGTTTTCAAAGTTCCTGAATTTTTTCCCTTCTCGTGGCAGATCAATCCATATCAAGGAATGCATCGATGGATACAAATCTGGAACAGGTAAATAATGTGTTTTCTCTGGTCAAGCCGTTCTGTCCTGGCTCCCACTGTTGCTAACTCTTTCCTCTGCATTTAGGTGAAGGAGACTGAAGAGCCGCCAGGAACTTCAAATCACTCTCCCTCCAACATATCCCTTTCATTGCCTTCAACTTCATCTCTGTCAACCTCTCCCATATCAATAGCTCAAAGCCACTTGCTTCCCGCCAGCTTAACCAAGCCAACATGGTCGGCAGGGCAAGAAGCATCGGGCAGCAAAAATCCAGGATTGAAGACCGGTAGTGAAGACCACAGGTCTGTGAATCCCTCATGGAGCAATGAGTCTACTCGAGGGTCCCACGGAGGGTCTTCCGATAGTTGGTCTATGCTTGCATTCTCTGAACTCATGTCCACATCTAATAGAGAGAGATGGTCCTTCGACACCACCGAGTTATTGGGGGGTTCCAATCGAGGGAAAACAAGAGGGCATGGTCACCATACATCTGCTTCTTCCTTCTCTATGGATCTACAAGCATGTGGAGTATGCTTGAAGCTACTAACCGAGAGATCTGCGTGGAGCACCCAGAAGCTTATTGCGAACAACGAGCTATCTGTTGTTGCAGTGCTAACTTGTGGCCATGCTTACCATGCGGAATGTCTGGAGACTTTAACACCAGAAATGTCCAAGTATGATCCGTCTTGCCCTATATGTACGCTCGGGGAGAAGCAGACTCTGAAGCTATGTCAGAGAGCCATGAAAGCTGAAATGGACTTGAAGGCGGCCAAGAACAAGAGATCCAGGAGCCGGGTTGTGGACAGTGATGCTGATGGAGATTCCTTAAATGGTGATCATTTCAAACTACCGGGACATGAGGGAAGGAAAGGTCCCAAGTTGGGTTCCAGTTCCAGCATGAAAACCAGCACATCGAAACTCTTGAAACGGCATTTTTCATTCGGATCAAAGGGGGCTAGATACGCGTCAGAGAATCACCACCACTCGACTAAAAAGAAAGGCTTCTTCTGGACGAGATCTCTCAGGGGATAATGATCCTCTGCTTTCCAATCTACTGCCTTACCAGGTCGGTATATTGCAGGTTGGGATTCCTTTTTCTAGGAACTGGAAAATGTTCGAACTGATTTAGTATTTACTGGTGAACATTTATGTCTAGAAACTCACTACAGTTCTATAACTATAATGTGGCACAGATTATAGAACGGATCTCCTATGCATTGGGAGAAGATGGCACGTCAGTGGCAGAAAAGAAAGGAAGAGCATCTATTCTTTGCCTAGGAGGAGTGCACATCTTCGAGATAGTGTCAACCAAGCTTAGGATTGTGCAACTACACTTGTAAAGATAAGAATGGAATTTGTAGTAGTGAAAAGGGTGAAAAGAGAGAAGAGTCAGCGTATTGATTGGATGTAGTAGGGAATGAAGAACTCAGTTCAAAGGAAGAAGGGGGATGCCACAGTACTCAATGGCATCCTCCTAAATCCTAATATTCGTATCTATGTACAGATTGATTCGTTTTCCTGTTGTTGCTTAGAGAACCTATTCAATGAATCTTATGGGAATCCAAATCTTCTGTTGTGTATGAACTTTTGTGTACCATGTATAATTTTACTGTATTGCTGTGTGTGGTCAGGTCAGTGTACGTGTTAATGTGCATGGTGACTTTCAAAGGATATATGAAAAGGCAGGTTTGGATCAAGATGAAGAGAACAGAAGATATGAGCACTGCATGAAGTGGTCATTGGTGGTAGAGCTACAGTGTGACACGTGGATCAAATTGTTGGCTAACGTGGCGGATGCATCGGTGCAACATGAGGAGACACGTGTAAGAAACCCAGTACCGTTGAATTCCATAGCGGGCATGCATATGTTTATCTATATATTTCTTTTGTTCTGCTCTGCCGGTATCCACCTTTGTTCTGCTCTGCATATATTTCGTCATCTAAAGGATTTCATAGCTTAGCTCGACGGTGAATAGGAACAGGAAAGAAGGAAAATGGCACAACTGAGGGACGAGTATGGGAACCCCGTGGAGCTGACCGACGAGCTCGGGAACCCGGTTCAGCTCAGAGATGAACACGGCAACCTTGTTCACATCAAAGGCGTGGCAACCACCGGCGCCGGCACCACCACCACCGAATCACATCTCGGTGCTCCGCCTGTGGGAGTCACGGAGAGAGGAAGGAGGGAAGAGGAAGGGCCGCCGTATACGTCAGCAACTACTGCTCGGCAAGGGCCGTTGGAGACCACTCATCATACGCTGGGTGACGCCCTGAAGGACACAGGTCACGCCACTGAGCGGACCGCTGCTGGCGCCCTGAGGACTACTGGTCACGCCACGGAGCGAGCCGCTGCTGGTACTGCTGCTGTCGGAGGTGGGATTCTCGGCGGCGCTGCGGGCGTTGGAGGCAGCCTTGTGAGCAGCGTCACAGGGAACAAAGGAACTGACGAGAACAGGCAACATCATCCGGCCTCCGAAATCCGACGCTCCCCAAGTACCAGCTCTTCCAGCTCGGTATGTTCTTTTCTTGAGCTTATATTTGAGTAACTAAAAGGTTTGGACTATTTGGTTGTTGATGGTAATTGGGATTTGATTTTGGGTTTGTGGATGTATGGCAGTCGGAGGACGACGGGCAGGGAGGGAGAAGGAAGAAGAAAGGGCTGACTCAGAAGATCAAAGACAAGCTGACGGGGAACAAGCACAAGGACAACAAGGACCCTGTGACGGGCCAAGAATACGCGTCATCCACCACGACTACAACTACGACTACAGCGAATCCTGAACATCATGAGAAGAAGAGTGTCATGGAGAAGATCAAGGAGAAACTGCCTGGCCATCACGGACATGGTCAGCACAATCATTAGACGAATGTGAACTGCACATTAGATGGTTTCTACTTGCAAGTGTTTGTTGTGTGTCTGTTGAATGCCTCTTTTACTTTCTTTGTGTGTTTGTTTTTACCTTCGGTTTTTCGGTCTTGTTCTTAAGACAATGTCGTGGGGAGGGTTCAATTGTTTTGTGACTTCGCGTTGTATTTTCGGTCGTTATGAATAAATACATGAACAATCATTATTTCTCGTTCACTATGGATCGAATCAGAGCTGACCGGTAGTTCGAGTGAATCGAATCGAAGGCGAGTTGAATGTGATGCAATTTGGTTTTCAAGCCCATTGAACTGAACTGAACTGGATAGAGTGTAATGCACAATTTGGTTCAATGGGAGTGCGGGCATTCTACAGCTTTCCATAAACCCTGATGGAAGTGTGGGACGGACCTCAGGCTCGAGCTCCCCGCGAGTCTTCTTTAGCTCCATCGTGCGTGATCTGGCATTTGAAGACAAAAAGACATGCACATGCCCTGTATGCTCAGATTGAAATAGATGTTTGCAGTTTCGTGCTGCGAAAGGCATTAATCGACGACGTAAAAATGGTGATGATGCAGCAAACCCAACAGTGGTTGCTAGCAACAAAAGGGCACCGGACAAGAGTCTGTTGGGGGAGCTTGGATAACCATTGCATTCATGAAGCTATCATTTTGGGGTAAATGAATGAAGGTCGAGTGGTTATTTCCTTAGCTAATTAGTTAAGGGTTCACGTGCGTTCATAACGCTTAGGGAAAAGTTAGGCAAAGCGTTCTAAGTTTTTTATTTTTTTTATTTTTTACAAAAGATAATCATATATATTGATTCACCAAAAAGATATTTACATCCTGAAAATTTGCGAGAGCTGAAAATCAAACACACATTGATTCACCAAAAAGATAATTACATCCTGAAAATTTGCCAGATTTGAAAATCAAACACACGACTCGTAATCGGGGACAATGAAAAGGTCTTTCTAGCTATCAGATGGGCTACCCTACCGACCTACAAACCGAACACTAAACCCCGGATGCAAGGCAAAACAAGACACAACTTCCTCTAGAACCGCCCCCATCCGAATATCTCCAATCTTCGCCCGAATGATCTTATCGATGACAACCTTGGCGTTTCCCTCAAAGCAAACTTCTGAGAACCCATTCTCGAGACACCATAGCGCCTCACGCAGCGCACCTCCACCACTATAGGGTCAATGCATTGGAATTGGACCCCGCGAACCACCAAAATCTTTTGGTGGGGTCACCAACACCACTCCTCCTACCGAGTGAGACCTTCGCCGCGTCGCCCCATCCCACATGGAGACAACCAAACTATTAATCCATGGGCCAGAGGGAGGTGGCACTGGAGCAGAAAATGGGGCATCCCGCTCAACCGACACTCTTAACCACTAATCCAGCTATTGATTAAACTGCCGCATCAAGGCCGGGATCCCGAACTGTTTGCCTTAAAAAACAACCCAATTACGAGAGCGCCAGATCCTCCAAAGTACAGCAATCACAGCCATAACCAGATCCAGCTGTCGAATGAGAGCTAACAGTCGTTTAAGAAAAAGCGGGAAAGTATAGCGAGGCAACCCCTGACCCAGATATTCCAGCCTAGAATAATCCCAGAGAGCACGAGCCACCGGGCAGTCAAGAAACAAATGTTCCATGGTTTCCGCTGCATCCCAACAAACAGGACACCTAGAGTGGACCAAAACATCCTTTTCCCTAAGAGCCTCTGTTGTGGGGGGAATCCAATTAAAAATTTGCCAAACAAACACCTTTAGCTTAGGCGAGATGTTGGCTTCCCATAACCGGATCCAGCTGAGTCTATCCATTCAACTAACCATAGCTTTCCATCGACTGTTCTGCTGATCCAGCCGGACCGCAAGGTGATATGCCGATTTAACAGAGAAAATCCCATTAGCTGTGTCATACCAGACAAGACGATCCTCTATACACTGTCGTGGGAGCGGAATAGCTTTTATGGCACGACAGGTAGGAGGATCAAACCACTGTCTGAGCTTTGAATCACACAAACTACTAACGCTTAGGGAAAAGTTAGGCAACATTTAAGTCAAACTAGTACCCTGATAATATTCATAAATGACTTGTTTTTGGTAATATGTATACATTACTATATGTAAATTCAGGTGCATGGTATACATTAGTACTACAATGCATTTTCCCCTCTGAGTCTGAATAAATATATTTTCGAACAAGGTATGATTAATCAAGGTGAGACGCTTAAATACTCCTGCTGATGAAGAACAAGAAAAAAGTGTAGTTAGTTATTAGCACGCCATCTCCTGTTGTTGGATACATGACGTGTCCTTCACTCTTCTCTCGATTACTCAATTGGGAATTGCAATTCTAGGAAAACAAAGACAGAGATTCATAATTTATGAATGGTTACAGTTTCTCCTTTTCGCTCTTTCCGTTTGTCCTTTTCTCCTTTTGCTTCGTTGTCGAATGTAGAGTAATCATAATCCACCAATTTTGCAGTTCTTCTGTAATTCTAGTCGATCTGATCTTCTATACTGGTTTACGACGTTGTCGACCGTATGGTAGTCATAACCCATGATTTCTTCGATTTTTCTCCAACTCCGGTCTATATGGCCCTCTCTCTTCGCTATCATAAACTAGAGAGCAGTCACAATCCACATATTCTATAAACTTGTAATTGTAAGAAATCACCAATAATAGCTAAACTATTTAATAATTTGAAAATGAACTACAATAAAATAGTTCCTTAAAGTATTTACCCCACTAGTTTGTTTAACATGCCTTCTAGGATGCCTACGCCTTGCTAATGGAGGGAGTATCAGGTGACTAAGGCTTGACTAAGCCCCTCTCACAATGGCGCAGCCAGAATTTTGCTTTAAGGGGTGCCGATTTAAAAAAAAAAACTTTGTTAATTTCACTTTTCTTAGATCTGAAGCTAAGCTTAAAATGGTTTACCGGGAGAGATTGTTGTGACAGTACTGGTGTAGTCGAGTTAGAGTTAAATGTAGGTGCATTTGAGAAATTAACTTCATGCCCTTGAACATTTGAAGTTGTTTTGACCATTTTTATCAAGATTTGTCCATGGTAAAAGCTACATATTTAAAAAAATGGAGTAATCAAATAATGTATTGAAAAAACTCAATTAGATTGGGGACAATAACAATAAGAAACCACAATGACAATCTCTACCTACGGGTTGGGGCGGTGATAATAGGAAATTAGTCAATTGGGATGGGGTGATGCTACCTCTAGGTTACCTTTGTAGTGGAAGCCTGGAACGAAATTTGATTACTAGATTGGTTTGTTATCATTTCGATACTTTTTGGATAAAAGTATTTGTTAGAATTTGTTTTGTCCCAACTCCTAAACGTCCAAGTCCACATGTACATGTGTAATTTTAACGGGCTCTCTCCAACATATATCTATTTTCCCTTTGTTGAGCCCAAAACAAGGGTGTGCATTGACATCCCCCCTCCTGTGCTAGCTACGCCCCTGCCCTCTCAGCCCTTAGATCTGGACACAACAATCCAACGATTAATAAATTGGAAGAGTTTTTTAATTACTGACAGGTGTAGTTTGGGTATTATGAAAAGTTACGAAGTATACAAAATAGACTTACAAACAGTACAAAATAGAACAACAAAACATACAAACAGACTTAATAACAATACAAAACATACGAATTATACAAACAATACAAAGTAGATCGACAAACAATCCAAATCATAAAAAATGGAAAAACAACCATGTTGACTTTTGAGGCTACATCCATATATAGAGGGGCACTGTCCCAAAGTCAACCCGGTTGTTTTTTAGACATACAAATATTACCAACATGGTGGACAAAAACTACAAAGTAGACCGACAAATCATACAAAATGGAAAACACCCAGGTTGACTCTGGAGACTTCATCTCTATATAGAAGAGTTTCGTCCAAAAGTCAACCATGTTGTTTTTAGACATAAAAAAATATTACAAACATGGTTGACAAAAATGACAAACATGTTGGACAAAAATAACAAAACTTACAAACATTACAAAAGAAACCAACAAACATTACAAAGTTTACAAATATTACAGATAACCTGACAAACATTACAAAACATAATAACAGTTCAAAATAAACTACTTACAATACAAATCGGTAAAATTGTATTACAAATCAATAAATATAAAGTATACAAATCATAACATAAAAGTGTACAAACTAGACAAACAAACATTACAAATTACAATATATACAAAATAGTAATATAAACATTACAAAAATAATAGATAAACATGACAAACAAGAATCATAAACAATACAAACAGAATTTACATAAACATTACAGACGAGACTTATAAACATTACAAAATAGATCGACAAACATCACAATTAGCATTGTCACTTGAAAATCCTCCTTCGCAGTCTCCGGTCGCTGGAAAGCCACCTCCGATCTCTGGAAAAGCCACCTCCGATCGCCGGGAAAATCTCTCTCTCTCTTTGAGTCGCACATGAAGAAAAGTTCCCATAATAGTCACACATGGAGAGATAAGTCCCCACAAAAGGTGACTGTCGGCGGGCTTGGATGGGAAAATTTCCCATCGCCAGAAAAGTAAACCTATGCGGAAAAAGGTCATCGACGGGCGTATCTTTCTCTGGAGTCATTGGATTTTAATGAGGTGTAAGGGTTGAGATTCACTTAGTCATGTAACTAAGAACTCTCCCTTACTCACCTGATCTTAGACCTTAGCCCTTGCTAATAGTGGCGGATCCTGGGGGTGGCAACCCCGGGCCACGGCCCAGCCCTCCTTTGAATCCGGAGCTAGTATAGCCTCTATGAATTTTTTGATTTTATTCATTCGGCCCAGTATTATTTATAATAAGATTGTGTATAACTAGAAAAATAGTTCAGATGAATATATTCAAATCACTACTCTAAATTGAGCCTCAAAATTCTAGCTCAAAAGATTTTCTTCTAAAAAAACAATGAAACCTAAAGTTCTAAAAGTCTAAGTGTAAAAGACTAAAATAAATATGGGGTTTGTTCCCTTGAAAAATCACTTGAGCCGATGGTGGATGTGGGGATGGACACACAATGTAAATTGATTTGTCTAGTGTTGACGCTGTCCGTTTTAACGACTACTATGGAGAAAATCTTTTCAACAATAACACATGTGAAAATTGATTTCCGCAACAAAATGGGCGATGAATTTCTTGTCGATTGCTTAACTATTTTATTTGAAACAGAGTATGCTATTGGTGTGGATGTAGACTCCATTATTGATGCATTTGCTACATCAAAAGAGTGTCGTGTACAATTGACATTGTAAAAAAAATTATATCATTATATCTTTTATGATATTTAATTTTCTAACTAAATGCGGCCCAAAGCTCTACGGTGTTCTGGATCCGCCGCTGCTTGCTAATGCCTATCATCTTCTTGAACCTTGACTATTACACATTATAAACTATCATTTTACTAAAAATAAAATTTAATTCACCATTTTACCAACTAGCTTTCTTCCCAGCCAGTTGGCCGGGTGAATCTCATAGATTATCAAGTATTTCATAATTATGATTAAACTAATATTTTAAATTTCAAGTTATATATGTTTCTCCAACTCATTTTGAAAGAACATATTTGTCTCTTAAACAATAGACATTCAATTAAGGATTTTTATTCTTTGATTTAAACGATATGTAGTTTAAACTCATACATTCAAGTTTTAATTGATGAATTTTGAGTAGAGGCTAAGCCTATAATATGCATATGTTTATAAATGCCTCTAAAATTTATCATATTTATCTTTCAATCAATTAATATTAGTGATAGATATAGATACTGCTAACTAATTATATAAAGAACAATTACTTATTTGTATTTCACAATTTCTCTCCCACCTCTAAGAAACTCCCAAAATATTTGATGGAAAAAAAAAACTGCCAAGTAACCGCAAAATGTATGATGGGAGGGTTTTTAGGTGGCAATTTTAAGAGATAAATTTGAGAAGTAAAGGAACAAAGAGTCGGGCTTTTCTTCCTACAATTAAAGTCCACCAAAAATTGGGCCGCTAGAGATATTGGCGGCCAGTTATTTCCGTGAGTGAGTTTTATGATCGGTTTAGGGTGCTGATGTTGAAAATTTGAAATGGAGATGCATTTATTGGGAAACTCTATTATATATTTTTTAGAAGATTAGATATAGGATACATTGGAGTTTTCCTCGAAATGGGTGGGTTAAGCTTAACGTGGATGGGGCATCGGTGGGCAATCCTGGGCTTGCCGGAGCTGGGGGAATTATCCGTGATGAGCATGGTAAGTGGGTCCGGGGTTTTGTTGCTAAAGTGGATGAAGCCTCGACAACTCTTGCTGAGCTCTGGGATGTCTACTATGGCCTCCAACTCGCCAGGAAAGCCGGGTGTGCTTGTGTTCTTATTGAGTCGGATTCTCAGATGGCTATCGCTTTGATTAAGAGTCGACATGATCCCGTTCATCCTACGCCGCCTTGTTGGCTTCGATTCGGAGGAGCTTGCCGCAAGATTGGTTGGTCAGCATTGGACATGTGTATCGGGAGGGGAATAGAGCCGCGGACTGGCTCTCGAAGCACAGTCTCGTCTATCCCCTGGGTATGCATGAACTTGTTGATCCACCGCCGGCTTTAGCTCCCATTCTTATTGATGATTGTATGGGCATTTCCTTTGAGCGTCGTGTTGTGACGCAACCTTCTTCTTCTCTGTAACCTTGTCTGTGCGGCTTCGGCCTCCCTTCAATGCAAAAAAAAAAAAAAAAGATGTAGGATACTATGCCTATCCTTAAACGGTTGGCTGGGGGCCGGGGGATGGCCGGGGCCGGAGGCGTGTTGAGGGACAGTTCTGGGCAGTGGATAGTTGGCTTTGTGGCAAAAATCGGGGAAGTCTCGGCAGCTTTAGCTGAGCTGTGGGCTTTCTATCATGGTTTGGATATAGCTTGGAAATCCGGACACCGCCAGGTTGTAGTTGAATCTGATTCTCAGCTTGCCATCCAGTTAATCGACGACAGGCATGATCCAGTTCATCCCTATGCTACTTTGTTAGCTGCCATTCGCAGAAGAATTAGTCGTGACTGGCTGGTGCGTATAGTTCATGTATATCGAGAAGGGAATAGAGTCGCGGACTGGCTCTCGAAGCACAGTCTCGTCTATCCCTACGGTATACATGAGCTTGCGCATTCGCCGCCAGGCGTAGTGGCCATCCTTCGGGACGATATTCAGGGGGTTTATTTTGAGCGACGGATTGTTCCCCGTCAGGATAGTTCTCCTTCTTCTCATTCCCCTATGTAACCTTCTTGTTCTTGGCTTCGGCCTCCTGCTATGCAAAAAAAAAAAATCCTTAAAGGGTTGGCTTTTTTTTTGGCTTACAGGAGGCACAAGGCCAAAGAACAAGAAAACAGGGGGGCAGAGATCAGATGGGAGAGGTAGAAGAAGGGATCACAATGTTTCTAGGAATAGTGAATCCTTGCTGATCATCCTGTAAGATGTGAAGGGCCTCTTGCGGCGAATCCTCCAATTCATACATGCCGTAGGGATAGACGACACTGTGCTTCGAGAGCCAGTCCACGACTCTATTCCCCTCGTGGTAGGTATGAACTAGGTTCACCACCCAGTCAAGAGAAATCTTCCTCCTTATGGCCGAAAGAAGAGCAGCAAAAGGGTGTAGCGGATCTGTCCTGTTCTTCACCAGTCGAATAGCCAACTGAGAATCTGACTCAATAATGATGGTCCTATAGCCTTTGTTCCAAACGAGCCTCAAGCCATGATAGATAGCCCAGAGTTAAGCCAGAGTAGCCGAACACGCTCCCAAGCTAGTGACAAAACCACCTAGCCAGCAGCTGTTAGAGTCTCGAATTACTCCTCCAGCCCCGGCCAGGCCGTGGGACCCTCTTGCTGCCCCATCAACATTGACTTTAGTCCAACTCGCCGGTGGCGGTTGCCAGCCGATGTCAGTCATTACCCGATTCGGCGCCGGGTTTCCCTTCCTACCAAGCGGCGTCGGGGCATTCCAAGCCCGAGTCCAAATATCTGCTTTAATCTGGATAGACTGCGTAAGAGAGGGTGCAGAAAGGGTCTTATTCATACCTTTGAAGACACCTTCATTCCTGTTCTTCCACAAGCACCAAAGGGCAATCCCAAAAAAGGCATCCCAGGGGAGTCCTGTAGCAGATGACTCCTTGCTGGTCAGGTTGTTGTGTAACCACTCTTCCCAAGGAAGGCTGAAGAAATCGTGATGGGCCGCCGAGGGAACAACTCGATGCCAGAAGAAAGCTGCAGGCGGACAGCTGCGAAAAATATGAGGTAGGCTCTCTGTCTGGGTAGGGCATCTGTAGCAAGAGTCCTCCTGAGTTAGCCTTCTGTGGGCTCTAAACTCGTTCGAGCTCACCTTTCCCTGCGCAAGCAACCAGATAAAACACCTAACCCGCTCGGGAACAGGGAGCTGCCAAATGGTTTTCCACCAGCTCTGCTGAGGACTGGCGGGAGCTGCTTGGAGGATCTGATAAGCACTCTTCGTAGTAAAACGACCATCTGCTGTAGGGGTCCAGAACAAGTGGTCTTCCTCCGTGGCCAAGGGATCGACAGCGTGGGCTGTTATCCTGTGTTGAATCTCCTGTGGGAGCAAGGAGCTAAACTTCTCCACTTTCCAATTTCCATCCTCATCAACAAACTCGGACACCGGCAGCTGAAGGTCTTCCTCCGAGATCATCTCCGTTGCCATCTCGTGGAGAGGTCCCTGCAAAAGCCAATTATCCAACCAAAACTTAGTCTGATTACCCCGATGGATATTCCAGGCGCAACCTTGCTTAAGTAAATCTGCAGCTTTGGTAAAGCTAGCCCAGGTAAAGGAACTTCCCTGAACGCGTTTAAGAATATCCAGGTGCTGACGATTTCCTCCATAGTTAGCGCGAACCATCTGGACCAGAGGTTATCTTTCTCCTGAACTATGCGGCAACAACCTTTAGCCATCATGGACATGTTCACCTCCCTACTCGATCTGATGCCCAGGCCTCCATTGTTCTTTGGCAAGATCAGCTGAGGCCATCCCACCAAATGGAGATTCCTCTTGGCTTCAGTGTCCCCCCAGATGAAGCCTCTATTAATCCTATCAAGCGACCTGCAAACATTCATAGGAAGAAGCTCTGTCTGCATAGGGTAAATAGGAATAGACGCAGAGATAGATTTCACCACCGTGATCCGGGCCGCCAGAGAGAGATGCCTGGCTTTCCAGGGGGCGAGCTTCTTCTGTATTCTCAGTATCAGCTCTCGATATCTATTCTTCGTAACTCGACCGTGGATTGCCATCACTCCAAGATACCGGCCCAAGTCTATTGTGAGAGGAATCCCATCTCTTGAAGCAAGCCGATGCGCCCTCCTCCTATCGATGTTAGCCGAGACAAACATGGCAGATTTGTTGTAGTTTACTCTTTGCCCTGAGCTCTGGCAAAACTCATCAAGACATTGCTTGATGACCCTAACCTGCGAGCTCTCTGCTTCTGCAAAAAGAACAAGATCGTCTGCAAAGAAGAGGTGAGATAGCGAGGGGCCTTCTTTGGATAACTTTAGGGGCTTCCAAAGTTTATCTTGAATGGCCTGATCAATCCTGTGGGATAATCTTTCCATACATAAGACAAACAGATAAGGCGAAAGAGGGTCACCCTGCCGAACTCCTCTAGTGGGCGTGATCGAAGTTGAAAGCTCTCCATTCCAAAGAAGTCTCATCCTGTTATGCTCCACACAAAACATGATACAATTGATCCATGAGCTAGGCAGACCTACCTCCTTGAGAGTATCTCTAAGGAACTCCCATCGCAGGCGATCGTAGGCCTTCTCAAGATCAATCTTCAGAACGATCCCTCCTCTCTTACCCTTCTTCTTCCTCAGAGAATGAAGCACCTCCTGCAAAACAATAATATTGTCTGTGGTCTGTCGCCCAGGAATGAAGCTGCTTTGCCTTGGGGATACCAGCTTCCTCATGATGGGTTTAAGCCGATTAGTGATGGCTTTGGTGATAGCTTTCAGGCAGACATTGTTGAGGGATATCGGGCGAAACTGCGATGCCATCTCCGGGTGATCCACCTTAGGAATGAGCACCACTGTCGATTCCACCACTTCCTCTGGCAGTATCCCTGTGGAGAAAAAACTCATAGCCATGTCAATAAGAGCTTTACCAACCACCTGCCACGAGTTCTGATAAAACACCGCTTGAAAACCATCCGGCCCCAGCGCTTGATACGGCTTCATATCTTGCACAGCTTGGTAAATGTCTGCTGCAGTAAAAGGCCGCAGGAGAGCCAGCAGGTCTTCCTGCCGAATCCTCGGGAACGCCTGCTTTGGCATATCATCTGTGTACTCTTGAACATCCTGCAAGTAAAGGGAAGCAAAAAAATCGAAAACCATAGCCGCCAGCTCCCGTGGGTCTGACACCCACTCCCCATTGTTTGCTTTTAGGCTTGCAATTTTGTTCCTTCTTCTCCGGATAAGAGCTTGCTGGTGAAAATACGCAGTGTTGCGCTCCCCGAATTGCACCCATTTCTCTCTTGCTCTTTGGTACCATAAGATCTCCTCCCTCTCTAGGACTTCATCAAGCTCTCTCTCTCTAGCTTTGCTTGGAGTTTGAAAAGACCAGGAGAGAACCCATTTGCTATTCTGGTCTGGATCCCATTAATCCGGCTAAGGAGCCTCCTCTTCTTTTGTAAGACATTGCCAAACGTGTTTTTGTTCCACTCAGCAAGGTCCTCCACCATCTTCCTCAAGGTGTCCTGAAGCGGCACCTGCGAATCCCACTTATCCTGTAAAAAATCACCATAAGATTCATGCGTTAGCCATGCTCCTTCGAAACGGAAAGGACGAGGAGAGGAAAGATTAACTCCATGTTTCCCGATCTCTGTCAGAATGAGATGGTGGTCCGAGTGCAGACGTGGCAGGTGATGCACGGAGGTGTTGGGGAAAGTGTTCCAAGTGGGGTTACACAGACTTCTGTCAAGCCGACTAGCTTTGTAATCATTCGGCGGTTCTCCTCTAGTCCACGTGAAACGTGGGCCAGAATAGCCGAGGTTAATGAGCTCCGCTTGATCCATTCTGTCATTAAAACGTTTGCAGCGGCGGAGAATGGAAGTGGAGGTTCTGCCTGCCTGCTCCAAAGGAGAACGAATGGCGTTAAAATCTCCAGTAAGCAGCCACGGATAGTCATGCTCTTCCTCAATGCGGTGTATAGCTTGCCACAAGAAGTGTTGAGACTCCTGCCTCGGGCTCGCATAAACCGCCGTTAGAAGCCAAGGTGAGGCCGAAGCACACTTGATTTTCACCGTGACATGTTGAAAGCAGGCAGAGACGAGATCCACCATCACGATATTCGCGTCCCAGCACAGCCAGATGCCCCCACTCCTTCCCTCCGCCTCTACTCTCATAACGTTAGGAAACCCCATTCTTCCACAGACCCGATCCGCCACTTCACCACTGATCTGCGGTTCCAACAAAATCAAAATATCAGGTTTATGGGTGGCAACAAGGAGCTTCAGAGCTCTAAGGAAGGCGCTACCACCGGCGCCTCCCACATTCCACGAGCAAATTTTGAATTTAAAGTCAGAAACCATGGACATAAATAAAAGTAAAAGAAAGAGAAAAGAAAACAAAGAGGACGGGAAGAAGAAAGAAAGTCAGCAGCTGCTCGCGAGGATTCCATCCGCGGTTGCGGAAGCCGCCGCCGCAAGCGCCTTCTTTTGGAAAATCTCCTCGGCTGGGAACAAGGTTGCTCTATCCGCATGCCCCTCCTTCGCCGCTCCCGTCCACGCCTCTATCTCTTGAAGAGTCAGGTTCGCCATTCTAGCCCTTGCTTTTGATTTTCTCTCCTTGACAGGAGTCCAAATTTGGAGAGCTTTGGCCGCGACCTTCATTGGCGATTGGCGTTCCTTGGATTTCCTCTTCCTCCGGTTGCCTTTCGTACGAGTAGCCGCCGACAATGCAGTCAAAATCGGGATTTTAAGTAAAATCGAAAACTAAGGTAGAATCGGAATCGTAGATTAAAATCGTAAAATCGTAAGATTTTAAGGTTCATATTAAATAATCACTTAAAACACCAGATAATAATAAAAATGCATATCCTGAATAACAATCAACCACATATAAAATAATTACTTTCCAAGATAAGTTTGTTTGCTAAATAAATACAACTAAATCCATATATCTATTCTTGTACATAATATAAACACACAAATAAGCAACCTGAAACCCCAATGAAATTACTTAATTAATAGTTAAGAGTAGAAAATTACATAAGATCGTTAGGGATCAACATTAATATCACTTACACATCATCATCATCATCATCATCCTCACCCTCACCCTCACTCTCATTCTAACTCTCATCCTTGTCTATTTTCTTAAGGACTAATATAATTACTCTTAAGATCACTTGAAATACTTTCACCATTAACCATATTTCCTTGATCACAAAGATAACTCATTGATTGGTGCATTCCCTTCTTAATTGATAAAAGGTCGGGGATAGTGATGCTGAAGGATTGAGAGATGAACGAAAGATTGCAATGGAATGGAGATTTGGATTTTTGTGAGGGTGGTGGGAAAAAGCTACAAGCTAATTGGGAGAGTGGAAGATATCGTTGAAGGAAGGAGTTGAGCGTCGACGTGATAAAGAGGAAGATATGAGGAAGAGAATGAAAATAAATTGAGTGTTGTCTATTGGGTTAGGGTTGCGTTGTTCATTATGTTGGGTCGTGAGAAGTAAACTTGACTTGGTTTATGGACAGAACCGGACTTGACCAGCCTCATTTTGCTCCAATTGATGTGAACCTTGAAATCGTACAAAATTGTAGAAATCGTAGATTTTAAGGATTTTAGAGTTTTAAATCGGGATTTTATGGGATTTTAAGGTTCAAAGATTTTACAATAAAATCATGATCGGAACCCATAGGTAAGATCGTAAAATCGTAAGATTTTAAGATTAAAATCAGGATTTTGACTACATTGGCCGCCGACGGAGCACTGCTGGCCGCTTCGATTTCCTTCTGTTGATCGATAGTTGGGACCTCCACTATCTGAATAGAGGTAACCACTGGGCCTGCCGTCTTCTGGGCTTTGGTCGCAACAGAGGGGACCGACACTATTTTTGCCTCGTGCTTGGTCCCAGCAGGCCCACTTCCAACGAAAGACGGGCCGGCCTCATAGAGATTACCAAGTGTTACTCCTTTGCTTGGGCTTACTCTAGTAGTCGGGATGGGTCCAAGAATCCCTTTACCCCCTGTGGCCGACCCAGCCACTTCTTTTTTCTCCTTTCTCTTTCCTGTTGCGATTACTTGTTCCAGCTGTCTTTCCCTTTTCCTACGCCCCATTCTTGCCCGTCTCCTTCCTCTGGTTTATTTCCTTTTTTTGTTCTACGAGGCTTTCCTTGTTTTTCTGCAAAACCTTTCCTTTCCCGTCCTTGCCATTACTTCCTGATTCTCCAGGGATTTCACTAGCGTTTCCTTTTTCCACCGCGCGTGTCCCCCTCCGTGATCGCCGCGTGACCTGCATCCACGGCCCAAAGCCTGTTCGGTCTTCCGGCGGCGTCGCCGTCGCGTTTCTCTGAGCGCTGACCATCTCCCCGGCGACCGGCTGTGAACTTTTCTCCGCTAGCGTAGAACATGATACTGAAGTGTGCCCAATCTTACCACACTCAAAGCAGCATGTTGGTAAGTTCTCATACTCTATATATTGCCATTTTCCGTCCAGCCGGATCCGCGTAACCAGCGGCTTAGAGAGATCAAGCTCCACGGCCATCCGGGCAAATTTCGCTCGCTGTTGGTGTTGGGTGTGGAAATCTAGCTTGATTGCCCTGCCCACCATATTTCCAAGTGTGAAGAGAATCTCCTTGTGATAGAAGTGCACCGGGAAGGCTGGGAATTGTATCCACACCACCATCGATCTCGGTAAAGCATCTGTCAGACGAAACTCCGGTGTCCACTGAAAAAAAACTAAATAATGGTCAAAAATCACCCAAGGGCCTTCTGTGAGTGCTCGAAAATAGTCAGCATCATTGCTGAGCTTGATCAGAAAGCACTCCTGCCCCAGAGCCATGATCTCCATCCCCCCTGTCGGCCTCCATAGATTTCTAATCTTGTTGCTGAAGGTCAAGAAGGATATGTTCAAACTCAGCACTCGGACCACTAGTGTACGTTGCCAGGAAACACAAAGTTTCTCTTTGAAACCTTTTGAAATCTTCAATTCAGGCTCCCCGTTGAAACTCCCAGTTATCAAATCGTGTTCTCCGACGGGCGTCCAAGTATCATTCTTTTGGAGAGCTTCATTGCTAGCTCCGGCCACCACGTTCGCATATGATAACGACATGATTGTTGTCGAAAGGGTCGGGCTATCCTTCTGTGGAGCCGGATCCACAACCATCTCTGTATCGTTCACTATAGAAGAGAGATCTTGGGGGTTACTGCAGGGGGTGGCTATCATCTCCGTTTCGTTACTTCCCGTCGAGGGATGACTGGTGTCGGGCGGTCTGCCTGAGGGATTCAGGTCGGTTGCCGGCAGAGCCTCGAGAGAATTCAGAGCCATTCCCGATGAAATTAATTACTCTCAGCACCGATTTTGAACTCGCCACTATTTGATGAGAAACTTTATTTATTTCAAAGGGTTGGCTTTTTGACACCCACTTTTCAATTGATCAATTTTTGCATTAATTATTGACAAGTATTAATGAAGGTAGACATAATAAATGTTCTGTTATTAAATACAAAGTAAGCATTAAATACACCACATTAATTACTTATTTTTTTTAAATACACCACATTCTTCCTTTTCCAGCAGTCTCCGACCACCAAGTTTCCCCCGACCACCACACTTCGCCAGTAAAATCCCGCCGACAGACTCTCTCCTGTCACTTGCGAAAATATACCACTGCACTGATATGTTGTACCACTGTATTGGTATTTTTACCACTGCACAGATACTCAGATATGACATTGGTACCAATGCACTGATATCGCTACCAGTGCAGTGGTATAACTACCAGTGCAGTGGTATAACTACCAGTGCAGTGGTACAACGTATCAGTGCAGTGATATTTTTTTGCAGGTGGTCGGAGGGAGTCTGCCGATGAGATTTTTACCGGAGAAGTGTGGCGGTCGAAGGTTGCTGAAAAAGGAAAAATCAGATATAGAGAGAGATAATGTATTTATTATAGATTTTAATTTGAAAAAAATAAATAATTAATATGGTGCATTTAATTCCTAATGTGTATTTAATGTGTGTATTAAATTCTATAATTGTATTTAATATTAAAGGGGTGTCATTTTTTCAACCTCTAAGGGGTTAGCATGCTAACCGATACCGATGATCAAAGAAGTAAGTGACCATTTCTGTAAATAACCCTTTTCGGTTTCACCAATGACCAAACCGGACTAACCTGAAGAAAACTGAACCGCGAATAAGGGCGCGGAGGTCTGAAACTGCAGTCTGCCAGAGCGGCGGGACTGGACTGGGTCCGCTGCTAACTCCCAACGCTATCATTATTCTTTCTTCTTCTTCTTCTCCTTCAGTCTCCTCAGCTTAGTCAAAGTCGACCCTCCAGCCACAGAGAAGAGCTCTTCTTCACCTCTCACTTCATACCTCTAGATCTCAATAAAAGGGAACCTGTCTTGCTCCGGTCAGCTAGATTGCTTCCCTTGTTTGAGTTGTTTCGTATCACCAATTCCGCCGCCGGTTAGACTCCGATCTAATCCACCAGGCAGCGAGTGACCCTGTCTTGCTCGCTGCTTCCCGCCTGCCTTCTTCTTGTTCACTTGGTTGCTGCCAAATTCCAGCAACTATACGAAGAAGACGAATCAAAGATGTCGAATTTCTCATCTCAGCTCCGAGCTTCCTCCGCGCTCATCAAACGCCTCCGCCAAAATCGCTTTCCTTCTACCTCTCCTGCGGCGGCCGCCGCCGCTAGATCGTTCACTACTACGGAATGCAACCGCCCAACCATTGTGCATAAGCGGAGTCTTGATATTCTTCATGATCCTTGGTTTAACAAGGTAGCTCTCTCGCTCTCTAATCTTAAACCCCTCTTTCCCTCCGAATTCCCATCCGCTGGGTTTCTTTTCGTGGTTACTCAACCTCCGATTTACCTTCTCCTGTGGCAGGGAACTGCTTTCTCAATGACGGAGCGAGACCGCCTGGACCTTCGGGGCCTTCTTCCTCCCAATGTCATGACTTCCGACCAGCAGATTCAGCGCTTCAGTAACCACACGACCTTCTCTTTCTCCCTTTTGCTTCCTTCATTTTCCCTCATTCGCTCTCCCGCTATGCTATGCCAAGCCAATTCTTTCCCTTTTCTTTGCTACGCTGATTGCTGACTCAACTCTTGTTATGTACTTGCGCTTTTCTAATAATAGTGGCGGATTTGAAGCGGCTTGAAGTCCATGCAAGGGATGGACCCGCCGACCCAAATGCCCTGGCCAAATGGCGAATTCTCAATCGCTTGCACGACAGAAATGAAACCATGTACTACAAGGTTAATTTCTTTCATCTTCCCATTCTTCACTACGTGTCTCCTACGTACTGATGATTCTTTACTGTCAAAGTAAGACACCCATTTCAATTGAATAGCATTGAGGTCTGAAATGCGGTAAACTCTTCACTCTGAGCAGCTTTCTAAGTAGAGAGTTGATACTGAATTCCCACTCTTTGGAAATAGCTCAGCCTAGTTCCCTACATAGCCCGGGATTCTCTCCTAAGTGCCATCACATTATCAGACTGACTCGTGCCAGCCTTTCATGTACGTGATGCACGATCTTGGATTTTGCTCCTTTTCATTTACCTTCATCATTTGTTATCAGATAAAAACAATGTCCATATGGTAGCAGTTCCATATCATGTTCCAGTTGCATTCTTCACCTTGAGGGTTTCTTTGTGCCTTTCTCCTTGGATAAAATGCTTGAGGCATGACTAATGCTTATGAAGTGGTGCTTAGGCAGTTGAAGCCTCTCATTCTCATCATATCGGGACCGATGTGTATCGTGTGGTTAATCTGGTGCGGTTTGTTTTGTTTATCTTTGGCAGGTTCTGATTGATAATATTGAGGAATATGCTCCCATTGTATACACGCCAACTGTTGGGCTTGTTTGCCAGAATTACAGTGGGCTGTTTAGAAGGCCAAGAGGCATGTATTTCAGTGCTGAAGACCGTGGCGAGATGATGTCTATGGTGTACAACTGGCCAGCAGAGCAGGTTAATTTTGTTCTTTGTAAATCTTTGATGCTACGGTCCTATATTTAATCTCTGTATTGAATCATGCCATTCATGCAATCTTCGCTTTCTTTTCTTTGTGTTTGATGCAGCTCTGTTGTGTCTATGTTATGGTCGATTAATCTTCTTACTTTGTAATTGCAGGTTGATATGATTGTTGTTACAGACGGAAGTAGGATATTGGGTCTTGGCGACCTTGGTGTCCATGGGATTGGCATTGCCGTTGGGAAACTAGATTTATACGTTGCTGCAGCTGGCATAAATCCCCAGAGGGTATGTCCTTGTTATGCATTACGTATTCCAGTGGATGGAGTCATTCACTTATGGCAACTGCATAGATACTGCAATTGTGCCTACTGATTATACTGAAAGCTGGAAACTCTGGCTGTTGTTAAAAATGGATCGTTTGATGATTGCATGAAGTGTTCAAATAACCAGTCTTTTTGAAAAGAAAGCGTTTTGTACAAAAGGGTTTGGTTGGTCAAGCAGCTGAGTAAAAACTTGCAACACGGTTTTTTGGACTGGTCATAATCATGCGCACAATTCGTTTCTTGTCCTCAGAACATTTTTGGTTTTCATAATATGGCATCCTCCATTGTTCCACTTGCCTCAATAGCTTAGGTATTTGATCTTTCAAGTAGTGGGCAGTAAAGAGGAATCACCTGTCTTTTTGTGGCTCTTTTGTGATAGGTGCTCCCTGTCATGATTGATGTTGGAACGAACAATGAGAAGCTGTTGAAAGACCCTTTGTGTAAGTGTCTTCACCCGAACGTCATGCTCGTACAATTATGATGATTAGTGAAACATTGCTAATTCTACAAAAAGGTTCTTTAAACAATCAGCTATTTCACTTGTTACAAAGATTTATATGCTTGGGTAAACAGCTTCGTGATCTTTTAATACGTCGAGCATGTGGATAGACCACAATGCTCTTCCTCTCAGGAATAAGCAAATTATTCATTTTGTTCTGGAGGGTGAAATATGTCACAACTTGTTAGCCTCATAAGTATTTGTTTTAGAAATCTACAACATTGCCCTTTATCTGGAAACGTTGATGAATTTATATCTGACTGTTTTATTGTGGACTCTTAAATCTTCAACCGAGTTTTTGGAGATGGACAGTGTCACTACTATCTAATTGCATAATAGCTGTAGACTTTAAGTTGTTCTTTAAGGCTCCCGTCAGATCTTCCATTTCATTCCTAGAAAACAGAGATATGCAATGGTGAATGATGGATCTCAGCTTTCACGAGAATCTTAGGTGTAGATATGACGTATGAGTACATTGTAGGCTGATGGTTCATCAATGTGTTTGGTGAAGAGAACTTGTGTTTGATTGTGAAGATGGTCAGTTGGTTATCCCAATAATGATTACTATCAGTTGTTATCGACAACATTTATATTTTCTCTTTTTAAATTCTCTGTTATTAGTCTATTCTTTTCATCAGCATACTCGAAGGGGTTCAATCCTTCTGTGCAAATTAATAATTTTTCTCTCAAATTAACGGTAAACAAGATCTTATTAGTCTATTTTCAGAAGGAAAAAAAGTTTATTACCTTGAAAGACTGAACCATGTAGATTTATTATTCATTTCAGATCTGGGATTACAAGAACATCGTCTTGATGGGGATGAGTATGTTGAAGTAATTGATGAATTCATGGAGGCAGTTTATACACGGTGGCCCAATGTGATTGTGCAGGTATGCTAATTTTATGTCAGTCAAAGCTGGTCATTTGATTGATTTCTCATTTTGTATATGCCTTTTGATGTTTGTTAGAACATATCTGGTGCTTGTTTCCCTTCACTGGAGAAATTCTGACTCATGAAGTTTAATCAGTTTGAGGATTTTCAAAGCAAGTGGGCTCTGAAGTTATTGCAGAGATACAGGAACTCATACAGAATGTTCAATGATGATGTCCAGGTAATTCCGTTGTCTATTTGACATAATGACTGATGCCTTAGAAGTTTGATACCTTCATTCTGATAGACAGTTCATGGGTATTGCCATTGTTATCGATCATTTTGCTACACTAAAAGATTTTGTGCATTTTGTGCATTTCACTATGATCAGTTGACACTTTTCATGGGTCATACTAATTGTATTAAGTAAGAAGTGAACCACTACCAATTTTGGACCAAGGTAGTTCACTCATAAGTTCGTCACTGTTGGACACAAACACATTGCAAAATAATTGTGTGATTTAACTGCTCCTTGCGCCCTATTTTATCTTTTTGAGGTACTTAAAATATCATTGTCATAATTTTCAAGGGCATGACTGGTGCACTTTAAATACTGTAGAGAAATCACACTTGGATGAACAAACTTCTTTTCATACATTGAATTAGGGTATATTTTCATTTGTGCCCTGAATTGTGAGTTAAGGGATGTTACAGAGTAAAATACTCTGGTTGCTGGTGGCCTCTGCTTTGAGCAGAATTGTTGAACATGACAAGTTTTTGCCTTGGGCAAAACCCAAAACGGGGAAGCATAGATGTTATATTTAGGTTTGTTTGTTTTGTAATCATAGATTATAAAATAATAAATAATAAGATCTATCTAATATATATTCTGTCCCTTGTGAAGTTTACTGTCCATGAAACTGTCTTACTGCTGTGCTCAAGGAATTGCTTTTGCTGATTGTGTGGTTTTAGCTCCATACCTAGGTTTGGAGTCATCTATTACATTTTCCGTTGTATTTTTTGGCAGGGAACAGCAGGGGTTGCAATTGCTGGCCTTCTGGGAGCAGTGAGAGCCCAAGGAAGACCAATGATTGACTTCCCAAAGCAAAAGATTGTCGTTGCTGGTGCTGGCAGGTTGGTGTTTAAGTTGGCTTGTGAAACATAATTTGACAAAAGATTTTCTGTCAAGGGGTTCAACTGATTCCCTAGTCCAGATGATTGGTCCACAGATTTATGTTTATGCATGTATTTTCTCTTGTTGTTTGGAAGTCAAAGGATATGCATCTTAACGAATCACTATTTCCTTATTGTCAAATGTAATGCAGCAAAAACACTGAAATCTTGCTACCACAAATGAACTCAAGAGCTAGCAATAATTAGGGGCTGAGCTACCCCAGACTTTTAATGTGATAGGTTTGGAGGTCAATTGCAGTCTTGTATAATCTTATTCAGATTTGGAGTACTGATTTCATAATCCCACGCTAATAATGTTGGTAGTACTGCATTGGATATTTAGGACTTCTTGGCCCATTGAGCTGACTGATAGAAAAATTGTTAGAAATGTACATTATCATGTTATGCTGATTCCTGGAATTCTCTCTTCTACCTGTAGAGGCTATTTATGACTTTGGGATGAGGCACTGAGCTTTCGTTTTTGTTTATAGTGTAAGATTTGTTTGTCTCACTCTTGTACACCTGCAGTGCAGGAATTGGTGTCCTCAATACTGCCAGGAAAACGATGGCTAGAATGTTGGGAAATAATGAATCTGCTTTTGAAAGTGCACGTAGTCAGTTCTGGGTGGTTGATGCTAAGGTTTGAAAATACATTCTTCATCTCCTAGGAAAAATCTAGTTGTATTATTGCTTTCTGAGACTGATACACTCCCTGTTTAATTTTTTATAATATGCCTGTGTATTCTGAGGCACCAGAATCGCATTGTACAGACTTACTTAGAACTAACTAGGCAAGAGAGGGATACCTCTGTCATGTTATTGAAACCAACTTATAAATTTTTGAATAAAAATGAATTCTGACTCATAGCACACAATTTCTCTCAGCATCTCCAGCCTTGGGATGGTTCAATAACCACAAAAATTAGTTTTTCACCAATCACAACTGAAATATTGGGTTTATAAAGTAGCGGCTGGTCTTATTCTGTTGCTGAGGCTTTGAAGCTGTGGCTTCTCTTTGCCCTTCAGTTACATTTGCTATGCCTGTATGTAGCCGAGGAGCACATGTGCTGATGTGTCATTCTTGTGTATGTTTAGGGTCTAATCACAGAGGAAAGAGAAAATATTGATCCTGATGCGCAACCGTTTGCAAGGAAGGTCAATGAAGCTAATCGTCAAGGTTTAGGTGAAGGTGCATCTCTAGTCGAAGTGGTCAGTATTTCCATATTTCCCCCCTTCTTTTTGTGAAGCCAGTGCAGTGTAACGAATGATGACTAAAAGTACTTCTGCTTGAAAATCTTGATATTTTCGTAAGAGTATCTTTCATTTAAATAAGTACTCAGCTTGCGTAATATGTATTTAATCAGGTGAGGCAAGTCAAGCCAGATGTCCTTCTTGGATTGTCCGCAGTTGGAGGGTTGTTCTCAAAGGAGGTAACATCCAACCGTAGGACCTAAATGTAGAACTGTCTTTAGATTCATGATCTCAGAGAGTTGCATGAATCTATTGTTGAACGATACAAGCTGGTGGGATTAAGCCCTAACTCCCAGATCTTTTCACTTACTGTGACTAGGTGTTAGAGGCCCTAAAGGAATCCACTTCGACAAGGCCAGCCATTTTTGCTATGTCAAATCCTACAAATAATGGTAACCAGCCCTTGCACATTTCTTTATTATATAGGCTCCCACTTTAAGTCTTAGCTTTAACTAGATTCTGTTGTCAATGTCAGTTTTCAAACACTGTTTCCAATGTGTAATCCTTTTCCTATCCAATTTTTGCAATCAGCTGAATGCACTCCTGATGAAGCATTTTCCATAGTGGGCGACAATGTTATATTTGCGAGTGGAAGTCCATTTAGAGACGTGGATCTTGGTAAGTATGGTAAATGCAGTTAACTATCTGCGTTGTTCTTCAATTTGCTTGTGCTGACAGTTACACACTTAGCTGGTGTTTGATTGTAACCTCAATTTGATGTCAAATTAAAATATTATATGATGTCAATTCGCTTTCTCATATGTTAACTTGCTTGTCATTGGGTGTGAATAGGAAATGGTCGCGTTGGGCACTGCAACCAAGGAAACAACATGTATCTCTTTCCAGGGTCTGTACTTCAGCCATTTTAGCTCCTCTGCGTATTTAGTCGATGGTTATGATTATTCACTTGCATGTCACTGCTGCAGCATTGGACTGGGGACTCTTCTTTCTGGCTCTAGGATCGTATCTGATGGCATGCTACAAGCTGCATCTGAATGGTAAGGAGCTAACTTAACTTATTTGCAGAAAGAGGGTAGAACATCCCAATTATCCTGTGCACCAATGTGACAGCTATGTTTGTCATAGTGGTGGATCTACTTACTGATCTTCACTTTTATCTGCGAACAAACTGGAAAACAGCCTAGCAGCATATATGACTGAAGAGGAGGTTCTCAACGGAGTGATTTATCCTTCTACGTCAAGGTATATAGCCAAGCTGTCTCAACATCTTCATTGTGGAAGGATTTAGTGGTTGTACAGAAGTTAATTATGACTTTAACCTCATAATCTTTCTTTTTGGCTTAATTCGCAGGATAAGAGATATAACAAAGGAGGTTGCTGCAGCGGTGGTGAAGGAAGCCATAATAGAGGATCTTGCAGAAGGATATCGTGGGGTGGACTCCCGTGAGCTCCAAAGACTTAGTCAGGTGTGTTTATACTTCTGCCTCGAAGATACCGTTGCATATTTTGGGACTTTTTTTACTCGTTTCTACTGCAAAAGCCGGTATAGTTTGTCGTGGAAGGTGGTGTATTTGGTTGCCTCCATAGCTGGAGGAGCTCTTGGCTCTTGTAAGAACAGAGAGCAAGAGATTTTACTTGAAAGAGAACAAAACAATGACAATTTCTCTGAAAATTTTAACTGAATGTCATGATATTTGGTCAAACTGTTCCTGAAAGTTATGATATCGAGAAACAGATGAACTCTACGTGCGTCGAGCAGTGGGAAGGAAGAGTGTGGTGGTTGAGTCAGTGATCTAGGTGGCTATTATACCACTACTCTATGTGATCAACGATCTTTCTTACATTTGCCCTAGCTGCGTTGACAAGCAATTATTGCATGAAGTTGTGAATGGTTAGGGTTTTGTTTCGAACGAAGCATAAATGTGTTTTGTGTTCTGTTTTTTTTTTTTTTTTTGGTGTTGGCGTTTAAGCAGGAGGAAATCGTGGAGTACGTAAAGAACAATATGTGGAACCCTGATTATCCAACCTTGGTGTACAAGGAGGACTGAATTGACTACTACTAAACTCTACTCTGCTTCTACTTTGCTTGCTTGGGAAGCACACAAACGAAAGAAAGAGAAAGAAAGAAGAAAAGAGGCATCTGCAGTCTTCTAAAGGGGTTGGTTGGATTTATAACCAAAGGATCGCTTCTGCTGTATACTTACATGTAAATTTCAGTTTGCCAGAGCTTCTGATGGATTGCAGACATTCGCGAGGGTACATTCATGCCGATTAGGGCTAGGAAGGTACTGGCGGGTGAGGGATCAAATGTCTCCTACCAGAGATGAGAGCACCCTCCCTTCTCAAACTTCTCTCAGATGGTTTCTTTTCTGATGTTCCAATAAGAGACAACTGACAATCTGTAATGTAAAACACTAAATCAGCTTTATGCTTGCTTTGCAATAACAGTCACAAACGCATTATTTTTCAATTTCTAGCTTAACCAGTAGTTTAGTGCAAGGTTTCGGAAACCTTATTGGAAATACCGGATACCAGCACCAAAACGATAGGCGGTTTTAGCGGCAGAAAACGGTTCAATCACGATTAAACTACGATTTTGATACATAATACCCTATCACTCACTTTACGGTATAACCTCCTGTACGGTTTCTAGAAACTTAATTTTTAGGTTCGTACCCTAATCTTCCATTGATGACTTTCATTTTTATATTTTTATCTTTATTGATCATGACAACAAACACTTGGGCGTCGGTACATGTTCTATATCTCCCAGTCCGTTGGCGTCTGGAGGAAACAACATCATACAGTTTGAAACATTTCATGGACAATCAGTATAACTTACTAAAATGACCTAGGGTTTGTTTAGCTGAAGTTAACGAGGTGAATAAATGTTACAGTTGAGAAATGAGAGTTTCTTTCATCGCAAATAGCACTTTTAAGTTTTAAGAGAACATCTTCAGGGCCATTGCAGTGCATCTAGAGCTTGTTGATGAATTTGCCTGTCTCCAGCAGCCACAACATTGAAACCTGAGGGAACAAAGAAAGAATCAAGTTTGAATCAGTATCATTTGAGGAACTGAAGATTGCAATCCGTCGATAAGAAACTATGATATGTTGAGAAATTGGTCATACTTGGAGCTTTAGAATCTTGAGATGCCTCCCAAGAGAGATCACGGCCTTTCCAATCGGTAATGAACCCACCAGCACCTTTTATCACAGGGATCAGGGCGAGAAAATCGTAGGGCTGCATTGCAAAAGAAAACCAATTAACCGTCTCGCATCTACACTGGTTCTTCTGCAGACAAGCTCGATCGGTGCTAGTGAAGCAAACACATAAGATTACCTTGAGACCAGATTCAACAACAAGATCTACGTATCCAGATGCCAAAAGGGCATAAGCATAGCAGTCACAGCCGTACAATGGCACTTTCACCTGTAAGAAACCACATATTTTGAGGAAAGCGGAAGAAGAGAAGACAAAGATTTACGTGGTTTCCCCGAATATCGGGACTAGTCCACGGAGAGCAGAGCTCTCGAGAGAGGTTTCACTATGATCGCAGAACAGAAATCTGCCAATACAATTGTGTTGCGGCTGGGCATAGAAAGCCCTACTAATACCCATCGACTGTAACCTAGGGTAATTAGGAAGAAAGCCACATTATTACACTTAACTACCCATAGTAAACAAAAGCTACTAATGAGTACAATAAGCACACGTCAACACTCCCCCTCAAGCTGGAGCATGAAGGTCACAAATGCCAAGCTTGGATAGTAGAGTGTGGAACTGGTCAACCCCCAACGCTTTAGTGAAAATATCCGCCAACTTAGAGGAAGAGCCAATCTTCAGTGGAGAAATTGCACGGGCAACAACACGTTCACGTACGAAATGACAGTCCATCTCCACATGCTTAGTACGTTCATGAAAGACGGGGTTAGCAGCTATATGAAGAGCCGCTTGATTGTCGCAGTACAGGGGTGTAGGAGCTGACTGAGGTGCCCCTAACTCTGTGAGAAGGAAACGTAACCAGATAACCTCACTCACAGTACTAGCCATAGCCCGATATTCTGCTTCAGCTGAGGAGCGAGCAACAACGCGTTGTTTCTTGGTGCGCCAAGATACGGGAGCCGAGCCCAGCTGAATGTAGTAACCCGTAGTGGAACGGCGTGTGGTCTGACACCCACCCCAATCTGCATCATAAGCAGTAAGAACTAAAGGATCATTACTAGGGAAAAACAATCCCTGACCTGGTGATGTCTTGAGGTATCGAAGGACTCGATGGGCAGCGTCCACATGAGCAGGGCGCGGAGCATGAACAAACTGACTAAGCACATTCACGGCATAAGCAATGTCAGGCCTAGTGACAGTGAGATATAGAAGACGACCGACCAGCCGTCGGTAAGCAGGGATGTCCACCACCTCATCACTGGTATCGTCAGTAACATCAGAGCGAGTGAGGGTGTGGTTTTGTTCCATGGGAAATCGACTGGGGCGAGCTCCAGCAACACCAGCATCAGCAAGAATATCAAGGGTATACTTGCGTTGGTTAAGAACAACTCCTGCCGGGGAGCGGGCGACCTCAATTCCCAAAAAATATTTAAGCGGACCGAGATCATTGATGCTGAAGCGCGCATCAAGGAATGCCTTTACCTACTTTATGAACTGAGGATCATTACCAGTGAGAACCACGTCGTCAACATAGATGAGAGCCGCGACGAACACAGACTCACGTTGGTGAAGGAGAAGGGACGGGTCGGCGCGAGATGGAACAAAACCGAGCTCAGCGAGGGCCTGCGTGAACTTGTTATACCAATTCCGCGAAGCCTGTCGAAGACCAAAAGAGACTTCCTCAACCGGCAAACCCTATTATCTCCGGGGGCCGCGAAGCCCAAGGGTACCTTCATATAAACCTCTTCCTCAAGCTCGCCGTGAAGGAAAGCATTATTGACATCCAACTGGTGGAGAGGCCAACCTCGACTAACAGCCACTGCAATAAGCACACGGACCGTCACAAGCTTAGCTACGGGTGCAAATGTATCATGGAAATCCACTCCTTCAAGCTGAGTGAATCCTTTTGCAACGAGCGTGCTTTAAAACGCTCGAAGGAGCCATCAGGGTGATATTTGATCTTATACACCCAGTTCGAGTCAATGGCGTGCTTACCGGGGGGTAAAAGCTCTAGAGTCCACGTCCCATTTGCTTCAAGTGCCATGATCTCCTTGATCATAGCTTCGCGCCAGCAAGCGTGCTGAACAACATCTCGAAAGTGTTTTGGTTCAAGAAACTGAGTGATGGCGGCTAGAAAGGCACGATGATCAGAGGATAAGCGATGCTAACTTACGTGATTGGAAATAGGATGTGAGACGGCGTGAGACGAGGAGCCGGGTAGTTGGACATCATAAATGGCCAACTTGGAGGGCAGTCGTCGTTCCCGGTCACTCTTCCTAATTGCGGGCGGGTCGGCAGCTTCGTGAGTGGAGGAAGCAATATCACCATCACCATTATTCTCCGGCGCAGTAGTGGAGGAGGTATGCCCAGGGGAAGGTATATTAACATCACCACCCTCATGATCACTAGCACTACCTGTATCATGCGCAGAAGGAGAAGTAGGCTCAACCTGCTCCCCATGCACGTGCTGTTCATGCAAAGAAGATGTGTTTATATTCCCAATGTCAAAAGAATTAGTAACATCCTCAGCAAGTGTCACACGTTCTAGAACAAGCGGATCAAGCTCCCCCTCGAGTATAGCATCAGGTGAATTGTTCGCCCGTGAATTGACCAAAAACGGGAACTCATCTTCGACGAAGTGAACGTCGCGGGAAGTATAAATCCGTCGAGTTGTCAAGTCGTAAATCCTGTATCCCTTTTGCGAGTGAGGATACCCAACGAAAACTCCACGACGACCGCGCTCAGCGAACTTATCCAAACCAGATTGAGTGGTCTTCGCATAAGCCAGGCAACCAAAAGTACGAAGATGACAATATGTAGGAGGTTTACCCAGCAAGATCTCGAACGGAGTCCGATTAGAAAGAACGGACGACGGGAGACGATTAACTAAATAAGTAGCGGTCAGGACGCACTCTCCCCAAAAACAGACTGGAAGCCCGGATTGGAAACGAAGAGCACGGGCTGTATCCAACAGATGACGATGTTTTCTCTCAACGACACCGTTCTGCTGTGGAGTATTAACACAGGAGGTCTGTAACACCATACCATTTTCAGCATAATATGCCAGAAGTGAATTAGTCTGAAACTCCAGGCCATTATCTGCCTGTATTCGACGAACTGGACGCTGAAATTGAGTAATAGCCATTTGACAAAACAACCGAATATATTGTTCCACATCTGACTTATACCGGAGTAGGTAAACCCAAGTGGCCCTGCTGTAATCATCAACCACTGTTAAGAAGAAACGAGATCCATCAAGAGCAGGGGTTTTATAACCACCCCAAATATCCATATGTATCAAATCAAAACAGCCACTGGTCGAAATAGAACTGGAAGGGAAAACTGAGCGAGTCTGTTTGGCTCTCCAACAAGAGTCACAATGAGTTTTCTCTAAACTAATCTCTTTCGAACCCAGTTTACTTTGCAAAGAAGAAAATTTATTCAAGGATGGATGCCCCAACCGCCGATGCCAAAGAATCGCATTATCGGTGCCAGCTGCAGAGAATACTTGTGCCCCCTTTCTGCGCTTGCTTCCAGGTAACTGCTCCAAGTAGTACAAACCATCACGAAGGCGGCCCAGTCCAATCACAGTCTTGGAACGTGAGTCCTAAATCACACAAAAATTAGCCAGGAAGATGAAACTCACATCATGATCCTGCGTAAGTCGACTCACAGAGAGAAGATTACACTTGAATTCATGAACATGTAGAACCCTGTCCAAACTAATGTGATTATTCAAAGTCACTGAACCTACGCCTTTCAACCGGAATACAACGACCATTCGGAATACGGACCGGTGAATAATTGCCAGTTCGATCAATCTTATCCAACCAACCAGCATCTCTAACTATGTGCTCGTTACAACCCGAGTCAATAAGCCATTCATAGAGATCAGTAGAGTTACCGGCCATGTGAGCTGTCGGGTCTGGTGCGCCAGGGACAGGAGCACTGAGGAACTGTTTGAGTTGCGCAAATTGTGCGCTGGTCAGACCTGGAATTGGGCTGTCGTCCTTGTCGACGTGAGCAGCACGTGGAGTAGTATCCGACGACTTGCGAGGTCGATCGACTTGGCGTCCCTTGCTGCCTTCAGACGGATAACCTATGAGCTTGTAGCACATCTCCTTGGTGTGTCCACATTTGCGGCAGTGCCCATAACGGGGGCGGTCGTCAGGGTCGACATCATTCACTTCGCGCGTTTGAAACGCCGCCGACTCGACCATAGGACGACGAGATGCTGTGAGCTGCCGCTGCTGCTCCTCGGAAGCGACCTGTTGATAAGCTTCGGTCAAGGAAGGGACGGCTTTGGCGCTGAGGATTTGCGTACGAACCACAGAGAAAACATCTTCCAAGCCGAGAAGGAAGTCAAACAAGCGTTCCGACTCCAATTTTGCTCGAATCTGCCCCGCCACATCGCACGTGCAGCCGCCGCAGGTGCATCGTGGATTGATCCCTACGGTTTGGAGCTCGTCCCAAAAGGTACGAAGCTTTGTGTAAAAGGCGCTGACGGAGAGTTTGTCTTGATGTAGAGAGCCAATTAGTCTTCGCAACTCATACGCTCGCGCTGCCGAGCTCGTTCCAAACCGCTGGCGCAGATCCAGTCAGATTTCCCTCGCGGTTTTAGCCCCGCGAACACTGTTACGAACTTCTTTGTTCATTGCCGATTTGAGCCACCCCTTCACCATTGCATCGCACCTGTCCCAAGCATCCAAACGTACCTCCGACGATCCAGCCGCTGTACGAGGTAGAGTGCCGTCAACGAGAGCAAGCTTGTTCTTGGCAATGAGGGTTTCCGTCATATCATTGACCCACTCGCCATAGTTCAGATCCGTTAAGGGATCACTGCCGAACACCTGGCCGGGATTCTCAAAAGGATGAAGGAACAAAGGAGAGCTGAGCGGGATTGGTTCAACGTCGGACGACGACCTTGGTTCCACTCGGAGAGTCCTCGTCCTTCGCCATGACTGAAAACAAAACGGTCGAATGGATTGATCACTGCTCTGATACCATGTAAAGTTTGAGGAAAGCGGAAGAAGAGAAGACAAAGATTTACGTGGTTTCCCCGAATATCGGGACTAGTCCACGGAGAGCAGAGCTCTCGAGAGAGGTTTCACTATGATCGCAGAACAGAAATCTGCCAATACAATTGTGTTGCGGCTGGGCATAGAAAGCCCTACTAATACCCACGACTGTAACCTAGGGTAATTAGGAAGAAAGCCACATTATTACACTTAACTACCCATAGTAAACAAAAGCTACTAATGAGTACAATAAGCTCACGTCAACACATATCAACAAGACTTCAATGAACGAGAGATTCAACTATTTGGCTAGTCTAAGGTTTCATATTCCTCTTGCAGCAAATCATGGATTGAAAGTGTACATCAATTAGCTAAGACTAAAACGAACCTTATCTCTAACACGAGCAAATGCCTCCACAGCATCCCCGCTGAAAAGATGGGGACTAGTAGTGTACCTAAGGCAATAGGAAGGGGTCACTTAGCAAGGCTATAAGAGAGGGAGTTGCCTGGCTAAACAGAATTAGTTAGACAAACAGGATGACTAGACCTCAACAAGTTCTTCCATTTCTGACACTCGAAATATAGAACAACATACAAATATGCTTGCGACAGTTGCAGGCAACTGCGAGTTGAAATCTCGTCCCTGTTCAATGCGGTTCTTCTCCCAACCATCCCAATCCATCGTTCTCTTAGTATGGGCTGATAGATTATGCCTAGTATCTGCAGAACATTAGCAGTAACTATGGAAGTTGGTGGTCCAAATAAAACCCAGAAAAGCCATGTTCTTTCAATGTTTCTGAACATATCGATTAACCAGAATGCAAGCGTTCCAAATAATGGTTTCCCTTATCATTTGAAAGCAACAAAAGAAAACCAGTAAGAATCAAACACTTGCAAAACCTCAAACCTGCTAGCTGAATTTGCCATATAAGTGTAACAACAAACATTACCAGTGATGAAGCTTTTAGTGCCATCAATTGGATCCAAAACCCACACAAAATCTGAAGACTTCTCCTCCTTACACTGCCAACCATTCTCCTCCCCATAACTGCAATCACGACTCTTGTAGAAAATATCAAGAGGGGCTGAGGTTTTTGATCGAAAACCCGCAAAGAGCAGCAGCTCGGGGTTCTCTGGTTTTTATTCATTTCCAAATTTACTGTTTCAATGGTAAGTAAAGTTCATCACGACACGTGGCTAATAACAACAGGTGGAAATGAAACTAACTTTACTCTTCTTATTACAACGCAGATAAATGCTAAAAACGACGACGTGTTCCGGACGAAGGCTCGAAACGTTTCCCATACAACGAATCGTCTTCGAGTCCGAAACGCGCTTCTCTGCCATCTTCTTCAGTCTGCAGATCAAAGTTCATTCCAGCTCTGCATCTTCTGCTTTGCCTTCATGAACATCTGCAACATCTTCCTTAGCATCTTGACAGCCTCCCTCAAGCTGGAGTGCACTAACTCCAAGCTTGTATAGCAACTCTTTAATTATGTATCTGCTTAGAGCCTTAGTAAACAGATCAGCAACCTGATCAACAGTTCCAATGTAAAGTAATTTAATCAAACCAGATTTTACTCTCTCACGAGTTACATGGATATCAATCTCAATGTGCTTCGTCCTTTCGTGAAACACTGGATTTTCAGCGATATGTATCGCAGATCTGTTATCACAAAACACAGAAATAGGGAGCTCCACATCCACCCTTAACTCTGCAAGTAATCCCTTCATCCACTGTAATTCACAAACCAACTGAGCTAAAGCCCTGTATTCAGCTTCTGAAGAGGATCGTGAGACAGTAGTTTGCTTCTTGGCTTTCCAAGTGACAAGTGAAGTCCCAAGAAATGTGCAATAACCACTAACTGATCTCCTAGAATCTGGACAACTAGCCCAATCCGAGTCACTGTACCCTGACAGCTTTAATGGTGAATCAGTTTTGAAGTAAATACCTTGGTTTGGTGACCCTTTGATGTATCTCAAAACCCTGAATGCAGCATGCAAGTGCTCAGTATATGGTTCCCTTTGAAATTGGCTGAGCTGCTGCATAGGAAAGGTTAAATCAGGTCTAGTGGTGGTAAGGTAGTGTAATCTACCAATGAGTCTTCTGTATGCTCAGGATCCTCCAATGGAACACCTTGCTTAGCTCTCAATGAAACTTTTGGATCCAGTGGTGAAACACAAGGCTTAGCATCCTGATATCCCGTGTCCTTAAGTAGTTCCAGACAGTACTTTCTCTGACTTACTGCAATCCCATCACTATTCCTGACAATCTCAAGGCCTAAGAAGTATTTTAGCTGTCCTAGGTCCTTGATTTTAAAGTTCCTGCTCAGGTACTTCTTTACTTCTTCCACATTTGCTCTACTATCACCTCCCACTATAATATCATCCACATACACCAGTAAAACCACAAATCGACCTTGAACCCATTTGGTAAACATGGAATAGTCTGAAGCAGACTGTGAGAAACCATTCTACAACAATGATGAGGTCAACTTAGCAAACCATTGTCGACTTGCCTGCTTGAGGCCATATAGTGACTTTCTTAGCCTGGAGACAAGTTTTTCAGGCCCTTTGGCTCTAGGATCTCCTGGTGGAAGCACCATATACACTTCTTCTTCTAAGTCTCCATGCAGGAATGCATTGGAGACATCCATCTGATCTAATACCCAACCCTGATTTGCAGCAACAGCTAGTAATGCTTTCACAGTGTTAATCTTGGCAACAGGGGAGTAGGTATCAAGAAAATCTATACCATAAACTTGTGTAAAACCCTTTGCCACTAACCTTGCTTTAAATCTTTCAATACTGCCATCTGGTCTCCTTTTGATCTTGAACACCCATTTACAGCCTATGGCTCTCTTGCCTTTTGGTAAGACTACAACATCCCAAGTATGGTTGTCTTCCAATGCCTGAGTTTCTTCATTCATTGCTCTATTCCAATGTTCAGAAGCAGCAGCCTCTTGATAAGAACATGGTTCTACTTCATGCAAAACACTCAGTATATAAGCTTTATCAGCTTGTGATAACTGATCATAATCCAGATAATCTTCCATGGGATATTTGCTTACACTACCAACATGATAATCATCAAATTTAACTGGCATCTTCCCTCTATTAATGCGAATGGGTCTGCCTTCATATTCCCTTTGGAGTTCCAACTCAGGATTATCATCATTATCAACAAAATCCTCTAAATAAACAGGTTCAGTAATGGGACCATATGGAGTAGAAGGATTGGTATGGCTATTACCACTGCTACTACTGGCAGGAGTTGTATTAGAAGGGGATGGAGTGGAAGAGATTGAGGGAGAAGAATTGCTACTGGTACTGCCTCCCTCTGATCCCTCAATGGGAGAAGAATTGGGCTGGTAAATGGGAATACTAGATGGTGCCAATGGTGGAGGAATAATGGGAGAAGTAGGAGGAGAAGGTGGAACATCAGAAGGTGGAGTACGAAAAGGAAGGATGTCCTCATAAAAAATGACATTCCTGGAAAGAAACACTTTCTGATCAGAAATTTGAAGAAGGATATAACCCTTGACTCCAGTAGGGAAGCCAAGGAAAACACATTGGGAAGCAAGAGGTTGGAACTTTGTTCGACCATGAACCAGTGTGGAAGCATAACAAAGGCATCCAAAGACCTTTAACATAGTGAGGTCAGGTGGTTTTTGGTGTAACAACTGATAGGGAGAAAGATTCTTGAGTACAGGAGTAGGCAGTCTATTTATAAGATAAACTGAATGAAGAACACATGCACTCCAAAACCTTAATGGGACACCAGATTGGAAGCGCAAAGCACAAGCAACATTCAGAATGTGTTGATGCTTGCGTTCCACTCTTCCATTTTGCTCAGGAGTTTCAACGCAAGAAGTTTGGTGTTCAATCCCATGAGTTCGATAATAATCAGTCATGAAATTCCTGGCCTTGATCACTACGAATGATCTTAACATGTTTCCCAAACTGTTTCTCAACTAATTGACAGAAACCTTGCAGTAATTCACGAGTCTCCCCTTTAGTGTGCATTAAATAAACCCAAACTGCCCTACTAAAGTCATCCACAATTGTTAAGAAGTAGCTATAACCATCATAGGATTTAACTGACAAGGGGCCCTAGATATCAACATGTATAAGGGAGAAAGCTTCAGAAACGGTCACTTCATTAACAGGAAAGGGAAGTTTATGTTGTTTAGAGAGATGACAAATCTCACAATGAGAAACAGATTCATTGTGAGGTACATTGTTTTGCTTCATAAATAGTTGTAGTCTATCTCTACTGGGGTGACCTAAACGCCAGTGCCATAAGCTAATGTCTTGTGGTTGTAGGTTGTATGTGAAGGCACCCTGAGGAGAGGAAGTGGGAAGTATTGAAGGAAATGACTCGAAGGTAGAAAGGTCGAGTAGATATAAGCCTCTACTTTGTCTTGCCAAACCAATGCTCTTCTGGGTCTGTTGGTCCTGCATGTCACATACAGAAGAGTGGAAGTGTAAAGAAAGAGGTAATTCTGTGGTTAACTTGCTAACAGAAATGAGGTTAAATGTGAAGCTGGGAACTAGGAGGACATTGTAGAGGACTAGACCAGAAGGTAGTGGACTGTTCCTAGATGGCTTACTAAGACTCTTTGGTTGTTAGGCAAGTAAACAAACGTGTTGTGAATCACAGTGTAATCAACAAAATGATCTAAAGAGCATGTGATATGATCTGAGGCCCTAGTGTCAAGTATCCAAATGGTTCTCAAAACAGATTCATCCAAGGTTCTGTGTGAGGAAAGAACAAACTTACCAGCTTGATTTGGGAAAGCAGGTAAGAATTGTGCCACAGAGTAGGCCTTAGGATTGATCATGGGTGAGCTACCAGGTGATAAGGGGCCAGCATCAATACCAAACTGCAAGAGGGTCTTGAGACGAGTGATTTCTTCTGTAGAGAAGGCATTGACAACTTTAGTTGGACTAACACTGTCATCAGAAAGGCTACTAGTGCTGTCAGAAGAAAGAGCTGCACTGTCTGTAGAAACAGATCCAGAAAAACCACCAGCCTCCTGTTCTTTCTTCTTCAACTTCCAACAATCCTTGATATTATGATCAGTACGCTTGCAATACCTGCAGAACAGTTTCCCTGTGCCCGAACCAGCCTCCTGTTTCCCTTTATATTGATCCCTTCCTTGCTGAGAGGTAACAGCCAGAGCTACAGACTGACTACCCTTAGACTTGGTCTGATCCCCTTTCAATTTTTGCTCATGTTGAAGCAAATCATCCACAGCAGCGGTAACAGTAGGCAAAGGTTTCATCATAAGTAACTGGGTTTTCACCATCTCATACTCCTTGTTGAGCCCCCTCAAGAAGCAAATTAAGTAATCTGTTTCTTGCTTAGTTTGAAAGGCAACAACAGCTGGACAGGGAATAAGATTGTTGGGTGCACAGATACAGGGCACGATAGGAGAAAATTGCTGGAGATCCTCCCAAAACCCTTTGACCTCAGTGTAATACTGAGTGATAGAGCGACCACCCTGCTTGCAAGCCTGAAATTCATCTTCGAGATTAATAATGCGCAAGGCATTTGGCTGACCAAATCGTCTCTTCAATTCCTCCCACAGAATGCGAGCATTCTCATGATTCATCACACTGCGAGCAATTTCCTTTTTCAAGGAATTAACAATCCAACAGAGAACAATGATGTTACAGCCATCCCACAAATGGAAGTTGTCACTGCCAGGAGGCGGGACATGTATAGACCCATCGATGAAGCCCAGCTTGTGCTTGGTCTTCAGCGCCAAACGCATAGAACGACTCCACATAGAATAGTTGCTACCATCAAGAAGCTCAGTAACAAGAGACTGAGAGAGATTCTCATTTGGATTCAGGTAAAAGGGGTTTCCAAATTGGATCTCACCTCGGCCACCCGACATCTGATTCTCAGCGAAGCTCCCAAACTGGACACCGGCGGTGCCACCGGTAGCACGACTGCTACCAGGAGGAGTAAATGGAGATGCACCAGCCATGTCCGGCAGAAGCGAGAATCAGATCTGGAGCTTTGATACCATGTAGAAAATATCAAGAGGGGCTGAGGTTTTTGATCGGAAACCCGCAAAGAGCAGCAGCTCGGGGTTCTCTGGTTTTTATTCATTTCCAAATTTACCGTTTCAACGGTAAGTAAAGTTCACCACAGCATGTGGCTAATAACAACAGGTGGAAATGAAACTAACTTTACTCTTCTTATTACAACGTAGATAAATGCTAAAAACAACGACGCGTTCCGGACGAAGGCTCGAAACGTTTCCCATACAACGAATCATCTTCGAGTCCGAAACACGCTTCTCTGCCATCTTCTTCAGTATGCATATCGAAGTTCATTCCAGCTCTGCATCTTCTGCTTTGCCTTCATGAACATCTGCAACATCTTCCTTATCATCTTGACAACTCTTGGATAATACATAGCAACAGAAGGAATCAACAAACGAATGTTTGTTATAGTGACAAAAGAATCGACAAACAAAAGCTTCACATTGCATGAGAAGGGAAGTGCTGCAATAGGATCGAAGTCATTGCTTCCTCATCTGCTCTATCGGCAATCGTCACCGGACCTGCAATGAAATGAATAAGTTTACCCTGATTGCAAATTGGAGAGAGCAATCAATAATAGCTCTACTCAGACCTAAAACGAAAGCTCACTCAGATCGTCCTTGTCGAGAATTTCGAATTTCTTGCGGAAGTACTTTCGGATGACTTCCTCGGAAGCATCAGCCAATTTGCCGGCGATATCAGCAAAACCGTCTAGCTCAGTCGACGAGAGAAAGGAACCATCGTCGAGGAAGCTGCGAAGCAGCGGTCATTGAAGCGGAAGCGAGGCGAATTCGGCGATTGAGCGAGAGAGGAAAGCGAGGCTGCAATCTAGGAGTTGGGAAGGTGGCAGCGGCCGAAGGGAGGCTGCGAAGAGGTTGTGATGCGGCGGCGGGGGAGCAATGCAGCAGGAGCTGGGAAGTGGATTGAAAGAGGGAAAGAGAAGATAATTGGGACAGCATTTAGGGACGGTAGGAGGTAAGCTAAGCTAAGGGCTTGAAAATGGCGGGTGGAAAGCGGCGGTGGAAGAACAAGAACCAGAGACGAGAGCAGAGTGAATCGAGAGAGTGCCAAAGTAGCTCTGCTTTTTTCATTAACACTGTGTTTGGGATGAGGGGTAAATGGAAGGGGGGGGGGGGGGTTGTATATTTTGGGGGTAATGGGGAATCCAAAAAAAAATGTACATGTTTGTTTGGATGTGTAGTAACAGTAGGTGGGGGGAGCATTAGTGGGGTTTTTTCACTATTCTTTCTCACCCCCAAAATGGGGTGCAAGGGAGGAGAAGAAGGATGGAAGATGGGGTTTGACGTGGGTTATGTACTTATGTGGAAAAAGGAGGAAGGTGGGACCCAAGGGAGGAAAATATTAGGGAGAGATAGTGGGACCATTCCAATTTTATTTTTAATTTTTATTATAATAATAACAATCATATTAAAATTTAATACTTTATTATTCATTTTGCACCCTCCTACTTTTTCTCCCAAACAACAATTTACACTTCACTTTGCACCTCTCTTAAATGTACTCCCCTTACAATTTCCACCTCAATTTGCACCCTCTCGAATTTGCACCCCCTCGTTGCCAAATATAGTGTTAACACAGCTTCCCCAGTGCGGCAGTGCCGGGCCGCATCATTCTGTTTGGGCTGAGAGAATGGGCTTGGGCCCCCGGAAATAACAGCAGCCTCTTCAACGGGCCTCAAACCTAGACATAGGAAAGCATGGAGGGTTCTTTGCTTGTGACCAGGTCATCATATCAAAATGTCGCATCAGGAAGAAAGTAAAAGGGAAGGAGTGATTCCCCCGACAACACAACATGATTCTTCTGTGCCGTATAAGTAAAAGAGTGATGGAGAAGTAACACACAACAAATAAATTGCAGATCCCCTCTCACATTCCAACAACACACAAACACAAGTACACAAACATATCCTCTGTGCCCAAAAAAAAAACAAACATCATGGCATTGCCGTTGTACATGCTGCTCTTGTCAAAGTCGAACAACAAGTACATGAAGTACGTCCACGAGGACGGTGACCACCATGGCTTCCTCCAGTTCTCCGATGTAGACGTCGCCAGCCCTTACGCCAGGTTCGAGATCGAGCCCTCCAAAACGAAAAAGGCGTACGTCCACATTCGATGCTGCTACAACAACAGGTGTGTATTACATTGTTATTGGTAATTACGATCCTTACAAAAAAAAAATTTAAAGAAAAGTCGCGACGACATTATTTCGTCGCGAAATTTTCATTTGACTGCAAAATCTTAAATTTCATATAAAAAATAGTTCAATACAATGCCAACATTACTTGATGAAATATTAATTTTTCCCAACGCTATGTAATGTAAGGTACCTGGTGCGGAAGTCGGAGCAAGACAACGTCATCATGGCTCGAGCCAAAGCCCCGGAGGAGGACGACTCGAAATGGTCATGCACCCTCTTCGAGCCCATCCTATTCCCCACCGGCTCGAAATGGTCATGCACCCTCTTCGAGCCCATCCTATTCCCCACCGGCTCGAGCCACGACGACGGTCCCATCACGACCGCTGTCCGGTTCGTCCACGTGCAGCTCAACCAGCCCCTCCACCTCAACAACAACAACAACAACTTCCTCTACGCAGCAGAAGCAGCGAAAAATAAGTCGGAAGAAGACGGCGGTACGAGCGCCGAGTTCGCGGTGGTGAACTGGGAGTCGCTGGTGATCCTACCGCGCTACGTCACATTCAACAACGGGAAAGACTACCTGAACGTGGATTATAACAAGCATAGCGATCTGCAGGCGCTGCGGTTCGGGTCGGATGATGTCGGCGACCCGGCGGTGGGTTACGAGGTTTTCGCCAACGTGGACGGGACGGGAGCGTGAGGGTGAAGTCGAGCATGATGGGGAAGTTCTGGAAAGTGGATGGTGAGAGCGGGCTGGTTGAAGCTGTCGCCAATGAGAAGAAGAGTTTGGAGGAGAGGCTTTGCTGGTTCTGGCCGGTCAAGCTGGTCGAACCCAACGCGGTGGCGCTTCGCTGCGTCGGCAACGGGAAGTTCTGCGGGTTTAGTGACGTTGGTGATCTTAAGAACTGTTTGGAAATCGCAGGACTTTTCCGGTACAACCTCCGGTATGGTATTTCAATCCTTGTTATTATATGATGAGTGACGGAGGGGGTCAAACATGGTGAACCCAACTTTCGAATTAAATTTATCCATTTCTTCCAACATTTGGACAAAACGGTCTTATTTAAAATTGTCATTTAATTTATCTAAAAGTCCATATATATAATTGTTATAAACGCGCTGCTACGGATCGGGAAATCGCAGGAATCGACAAAGCAAGAATACGAAAGCGAGAATCGAAAACACGACACACGATTTACATGGTTCACTAACACGATGTGTGTTAGCTACGTCCACGGGCGAGAGAGAGCCAGTTTCACTATATCGAGGAGATTACAGATTACAGAGGAGTATGAGAAGTATTTATAGTACTTCTCCATGTGGGTCTAAACCTAATCCAATCTGGCAAAGGAAACGGTTACAGATCAGGCCCAGAACCCGAACCCAAATAACATTGAGCCCATACACCGTTGGACCCCACTCGCTGACCAGGCACCGAGACCCCCGATTACCAGTCGTAGCGGCTGATAATCCGATTCAAGTCATATCAACAAATCTCCACCTTGACTTGAATCATCTTCCTCTGAAATCTCTGATGTACTCTGCTCCTTCTATCTCTCTCTCCCGCCATCAATGCCCCGCAGGGCGGAGTCACCCACTCAAGACATTCAGCAAGTCCAAGCAGTGTTGGAACTTGCCATGTGGAACCGGCTTCGTGAACATGTCAGCAGGATTATCCGCGGTGCCAACCTTCTTCACCTTAATCCTCTTTTCTGTCCTCAAGAAATGATACCTCACATCAATGTGCTTAGTCCTCTCATGGTGGACTTGATCCTTGGCCAAGCATATTGCACTCAAACTGTCGCAATACACCACTGTCTGATCATGAAGTAGACCAAGATCACCAACCAGTCCCTTCAACCATATTCCCTCCTTAGCAGCTTCTGTCAATGCCATATACTCTGCCTCAGTAGTAGACAATGTCACCGCCGACTGCAAAGTTGCCTTCCAGCTCACTACAGAACTCCCAAGAGTGAATACATAACCGGTCATTGATCTCCTCGTGTCCACATCTCAAGCATAGTCCGAGTCAGAATACCCAGACACCAAACACTCTGCATCACTTCCGAAGCTAATCCCCACATCAGGTGTACCCTTAAGGTACCGGAAGATCCTCTTCACAGCCTGCCAATGCTCCTTCCCAGGTTGTATCATAAACCTGCTGACAACACTAACATCATGTGCAAGATCAGGTCTAGTGCATACCATAGCGTACATCAAGCTACCTACTGCACTAGCATATGGGACTCTCGACATGTACTCCTTCTCAGCCTCCGACTGTGGTGCATAAGCTGAGGATAGATGAACATTTGAAGCACTAGGAGTATTTAAGGGCTTTGCTGAAGACATGCCAAACCTCGACAGTATCTTCTGGATGTAGCTCTTCTGTGACAAGAAAAGCTTCTTCTTCGACCTGTCCCTGTAAATTTCCATACCCAAGATCTTTTGAGCAGCTCCCAAATCCTTCATCTCAAACTCAGCACTGAGAAGCCCCTTTAACTTCTGGATATCAGACTTTGTCCTCGCAACTATGAGCATATCATCCACATACAGAACTAGATATATCATCGAACCATCCTCTGCCTTGTTGTGATACACACAACAATCATATGGACTTCTGCTGTAGCCCAGCTCAAGCATGTAACTGTCAAATCTCTTGTACCACTGCCTCGGAGACTGCTTAAGTCCATACAAGGACTTCTTCAGCTTACAAACATAGTCTTCTTTTCCAGGAACCTCGAATCCTTCTGGCTAAGTCATGTAAATTTCTTCCTCCAACTCTCCATGTAGATAGCTGTCTTCACGTCTAGCTGCTCGAGCTCCAAGTCATAATGTGCCACTATTGCTAGTAGCACTCTGATCGAAGTATGTCTGACCACTGGTGAGAAAATCTCATTGTAGTCAACTCCTTCCCTCTGCGAGAAGCCTCGTGCAACCACCCGAGCTTTAAATTTCATGCCCTCTTTAGAAGTGATTCCTTCCTTCTTCTTGTAGATCCACTTGTTTGTAACAATCTTCCTTCCCTGTGGTCGTTTGACTAGCTCCCAAGTCTGATTCCTGTCATGGGATTCCATCTCATCTCCCATTGCGGCAAGCCACTGATTAGCTTCACCACCCGAAACGGCTTCTCTATAGGACTGTGGCTCTCCTGCATCCACTTCTTCAGCAACCTGAAATGAATAAGCCACCATGTCCTCGAAGCCATACCTCTGTGGAGGTACTTTCACTGGACTCTGAAGTTTCTGGCTCTACAGAGACATCCTCATCATGTTGATCTTCTCCACCTTGGTTCTCAAACTCACTCTCATTGAGAGTTTGCAGCTCCACCTGCTTATCAACATTCCTGCTACCTTCAACAACGGTAACCTTCAACATGGGGTTAAACATAGACTTCTCATCAAATATCACATTTCTACTAAGTATAACTCGATGCTCAGAAGGTGACCAGACTCGAAATCCCTTAACTCCATCTCCGTAACCCACAAAAACACCCTTCTTTGCCCTTGGGTTCAGTTTACCCTCATCCACATGATAATAAACAGGACACCCAAAAACTTTCAGTGAAGAGTAATCAGCAGGCTTACCATACCACACCTCATAAGGAGTCTTCAACTCAATACCTGTGTGAGGTCCACGGTTGATCAGGAAGCACGCCATGTTCACTGCTTCTGCCCAGAATCTTCTCTCTAGTCCAACATTAGAGAGCATGCACCGTGCTCTCTCCAACAATGTCTGGTTCATCCTTTCTGCAATGCCATTCTGCTGGGGTGTTTCTCTCACAGTCCGATGACGGGCAATCCCTTCATCCTTGCAGAATTCGTTGAACTCAGAATTACAGAACTCCAGACCATTGTCCGTTCGCAGCTTCTTGATCTTCTTACCGGTCTGATTCTCCACCAATGTCTTCCACTGCTTGAACTTCGTGAAAGCCTCACTTTTCTGCTTCATCATGAAAATCCAAGTAAATCTCGAATAATCATCAATAATAGACAGAAAATACCTGATGCCTCCAATGGATTCAACTCGTGAAGGACCCCAACAGTCGGAGTGGAGGTAATCTAGTATCCCCTTCGTCCGGTGGATACCCTTCTTGGGAAACTTGCTGCGATGTAGCTTCCCAAACACACAATGCTCGCAGAACTCCAAGTTCTGCATCTTGTGCCCGCAAAGAAGATCCCTCTTAGACAAAACTTGCATCCCCCGTTCACTCATATGCCCCAGTCTCATGTGCCAGAGAGTGGTCATATCTTCCTGATGAACCTGAGACGATGCAACTGCAGCAGAACCAGACAACACAGACCCTTGTAATGCATACAAGGTCCCACGCTTCACGCCCTTCAGCACCTTCCTTGAACCTTTGCAGACATACACAACTCCACCTTTTCCTTTGAAACTGAAACCCTTGTTGTCGAGTAGACTCAAGGAGATCAGGTTCTTTGTCATTCGTGGAACATGCCTGACAACATTCACGGTACAGAACGAACCATCATGTGTCCGAACCTTTATGGACCCGATTCCAACAACCTTGCAGACAGCTCCATTAGCCATGACCACGTTACTACCATCTATCTGCTCGTAGGTTGTGAAGCAATCCCTGTTCGGAGACATATGGTATGAGGCTGCAGTATCCAGAAACCACACATCCCACGATGTGCCTTCTCATCTACAGCCAAGGCGAGATCGTCTTCAGAACTGTTGTCCACTTCTGCCACGGCAACTGAATCTTGTTTCTTCTGTTGCCCTCTTCTCTTGGGACAATTGTACTTCCAATGCCCCACTTCCTTACAGTTATGGCAAGCATCACCTGGCTGTGGACCGGGACCCTTGGAATTCTTGTTCGAATTTCCTTTACCAGATTTCTTCTTTCCCTTTCCACCTGTAACAGCCAAACCCGATGCCTCACCACCTGTACCAGATCCGGACGCCTTATGTCTGATCTCTCTCGTATGAAGAGCAGACCTAACATCTTCCAACGACACGCTTTCTTTACCAGCAATAAAAGAATCAACGAAATTCTCATATGAACTCGGCAAAGAAACCAGCAGTATTAGGGCAACATCCTCGTCATCAACTTGAACATCTATATTACGCAGATCCAGCAAAATAGAGTTAAGCTGTTCGAGATGTTCCCTCAAAGGAGTACCTTCTTGCATCCTCAAGCTGAACAATCGTTGCTTGAGATGCAGCTTGTTGGTTAAGGACTTCGTCATATACAGACTCTCCAACTTTAACCACAAGCCCGCGGCAGTCTTCTCAGCAGCGACTTCAATGATGACGTCATCAGACAACGATAGCATGATGGTCGAGTGGGCCGTCTCCTCCAGGGTATTCCACTCATCGTCATCGACCACTGCCTTCTTCTGTTTCGCAGACAACGGCCCCCACAGCCCTTGCTGTTTTAATAAAGCCTGCATCTTGATCTGCCATATAGCGAAGCTGTTCTTCCCCGTGAACTTTTCGATCTTCATGTTCACCGACGTCATTCTTCTGAATCGAAAACCCTAACCTGATTTCCAACCGCGGCTCTGATACCACTTGTTATAAACGCGCTGCTACGGATCGGGAAATCGCAGGAATCAACAAAGCAAGAATACGAAAGCGAGAATCGAAAACACGACACACAATTTACGTGGTTCACTAACACAATGTGTGTTAGCTACGTCCACGGGCGAGAGAGAGAGCCAGTTTCACTATATCGAGGAGATTACAGATTACAGAGGAGTATGAGAAGTATTTATAGTACTTCTCCATGTGGGTCTAAACCTAATCCAATCTGGCAAAGGAAACGGTTACAGACCAGGCCCAGAACCCGAACCCAAATAACATTGAGCCCATATATAAGATTTAATTTGAATATATATATATATCTTAACGACTCAATTTAGACACTGAAAGTGATATGATGATACGATTTAACGAAAATAATTTTATGCTTCTGTCCCGGTATTAATTCCTTTAACTAATGCACAAATATATAACGTGTATGACACATTTGTGCAAATTTCAAACCCAACAAACTCTGGTTTGAAGGGCTCGCCATAAAAATAACTGTTATTCAATTAAATTATTGAGTTTATTCCATCAAGTCGCATGCAAGAAAAGTAAATTCTCAAAGCCGGTATAAATAGGGTTAACCCCATAGCGTTGGACAGGGAAATCCCATTAATTAAGCCTAGCTAGCAGCTGGTGACCATTAATTAATTATTAACAGATCGATCGAGAGAGAGAGAGAGTATGAAAATGGCGGCTGCCGCATTGCCGACAACAGTGGTTCTGAGGGCGGATTCGAGCAAGAAGTACTACTTGCGCTACGTCCACCAAGGCGGCGACAAACACCAATGCATGGAGTCCTCCGGAGAGACGGTGCTGAGCCCATTCGCCAAGTTGGAACTCGAATGCGCTAAGGACACCCCTGCCGCCCAAGGGCTGTTCCACATACGCTGCTGTTCCAACAACAGGTATCTACTTTTTTGTTAATAGCAGTACTAGCTTAGGAAATTTTACAATGCTATATAGTATTGGTGTTATAGGGTTTTGTCTTTATGGTACAACTTAAAATAGTACATTTACGTTATTTAAGTTGTACCTATACTTTTTGTACAAATTCTTTTACGATACAACTTGAACTTGTACCTTTATGTGATGGTACAAGTTCAAGTTGTAAAGTTGTACCATAACATAATGATACAAATTGCTTTATGGTACAACCTAAACTTATACATTTAATGTTATGATACAACTCTAAGTTATACATTAAAGCCCCAATACTATATAGCATAGTAGAAGTGCTCGTACTGGCATCACACGCTGAAATAGGAAAAATCGTATGATGATGAGATTTACACGTGAAATTCTTAATTATTTTGCCGACAGGTACTTGCAACTGGCTCAAGCTAATAAGGAAACTAATAAGATTGACCCGCGGATCGTGGCGGCAGCCAAGTCACCGGAGGAGGATCAATCCAAGACAACATGCACGTTGTTCAAGGTAACTGTACTTAGCGATGACCCTACTGCTCCCGGCGGCCGCCAGCTGTCCATCAATCTCCTCCACGTTAACCTCAATCAGTACGCCCACATCTCCTCCTCGCCGGACTCTAAATACGGCTCCTGCTTGTTCGTCGGCGATACGGCCCAAGATTCCGACCGCGCTTTCCACGTCACCAACTGGGAATCTTTGGTCTTCCTCCCCAAGTACATTACTTTCAAAGGTGAGTAGCTATTTCGGTATTTCCTCCTTTTATAGTGGGAATGACCTCTTGTCTAGCTAGGTACAACAATTAAACTCATAACCCAGTCAGTCAATATATAAAAAGTTGATGAAAATGTGGCGATTATGATTTTATACTCTGTCTCATACCCATATTCGCCCCACCAAAAATATTTATTCGTATATAACAGGATAAAAATAATATTTTGATTTGTGGGTGAGATCGAGGAAGCGTAATTTAAAAAAAAACTGAAATGTAATTGAGTCTGTCAATACTCAAACCAAACCAAACACTAATTCCCCTCCACTTCATTCAGTCATTTACCCTCACTATTTCACTTCTTCTCCCTATTAACAACACAATGTTAGTTATTTATTATTTGGTAGATGTGTCGGAGTCGGAGAATATTAATGATCCGGATAGTATTATATTTTTTTTAATGGATTAATTAATAGATGTTTTAGGATTGGATGCTTCAAATGCGTATTAAGAACCTTGATGAATTTATTGATTTCGTGACTTATTAGGTTTGCTTAATATTTATTGTGTTCAATAATATGATCGATCACATTCAACGTAAGCAGGCGAGAACGGAAGGTACCTGAGCGCGTACGAGGGCAAGTACGGCCACCGGCTGGGCTTCCGAGTGGACGAAATCGGCGACCCTACCGTCGGGTTCGAGATCTCGGCCAACCACGACGGCACGGTGCGCATCAAATCGATGGACACGGGCCTGTTCTGGCAGTACACCACCAGCACAATGGTGGTGCCGTGGGCCAGTGGGGAAGCTGGTACCGACGACGACGACGAAACGACGTTTTTCCAGCCGGTGAAGGTGAAGGACAACGCCATCGCGCTGCGCACCGTGAGCCCTCATCGGAACTACTGCAGCACGATGCTGTCCGGGTACAAGAACGAAGACGAGCTCCACGCCATGGACCGGAACGTGACCCGGTTCGCCCAGCTGGAGGTGGCCGAGTTCGTCATCTCTAGGAAGATCTACAACGTCGATTTCCGGCTGACGGAGGGCAGGATTTACAACCACAACGTCGTCGTCAAAGGTACGTACGTAAAAACTCGCTTTTGACTACATGGACTTTACTTGAATCGTATGTTGCTGCTACGTACAGGGAAAGGAGTGGCGGTGAACAGCACAGAGAAACCGAACACGGCCAGCGTGAGGCTGTCGTACAGAGACGTAAAGAGCAGCAGCTGGCGGGCGGGACTGTCGCTCAAGGTTGGAGTCAAAAGCACGCTCTCCGTCGGTCTCAAGATTCTGAAAATCTTCAAGATGAGAGGTCAACTGGAGCTCAGCGCCCAACTAGCCGGTTCTTACCACTGGGGGGAAACCGACGACGAGGCTTCTCGTGTGGAGACAACCTACCAGGTCGTCGTGCCGCCGATGAGTAAAGTGACCGTCGCAGCCATGGCTTGCACCGCCACCTGCGACGTCTCCTTCTCCCACACGCAGCACGACACACTGTACAACGGCCGGCAGGTCATCTCCGTCGTCGACGGCGGGATCTACACCGGGACCCAGTCTTATGACATGAAGTACGAGACCAAGGTCGAAAAGCTCGCCTCATAGATTATTCCATTCATCACCACAATCGATCTTCTCGACGTGCTCTACTTACTGATCATAATTAATGTGTGCTTGCTGATTGGGACTTTTGTGAAAATTAAAGTAGTACTATATGATCTCGTGTGTGTGTTGATCGCTTTGTATATTGTAAAAATTTATTTGCATCGATCTAAGTATGTTTACGTATGGGAATGGATTATCATTTATGATATGAAATAAATGTGAGTGTGTTTGCGTGTTCACCGCGCCAAAACGCTCGGTTTTATACGGTGCGGTTCAGCATGCACCAAATCGTTGCACATCCTTATTTTCAAATGTCGCTTAAAGATGTCAAAATATCGGTTTAGTTTTGCACCGACATTTATAAAAAATGACGGCTAATTGTATCGAAATGTCGTTTTTTATTTTTTCGCTTAAAGTTACTGCAACATCTAAAAAAATGTCGGTGCCTACATTATCCGACATGTATTTCGACATATGAAAATGTGACTATAGAACCTTGCGACATCTACAGAAAATGTTGGGACATATATCTTCCGACGTTTTATTTTGACATATGAAAATGTTACTATAAAACCTCGCGACATTTACAAAAAGTGTTGGTACATATATCTTCCAACATTTTATATCGACAGATGAAAATGTGACTGTAGAACCATGCGACATTTACAAAAAGTGTTGGTACATATATCTTCCGACATTTTATTTTGACATATGAAAATGTGACTCTGAGTTGATCTGAGTTGCACCCCACTGGCCACTGTGGCTCTGATACCAAGTTGATAGACCTCAGGATCTAGGGTGCGATTAGTGAGGGAAATTGGGGAATGGAAGTAGATCAATTAGGGATTGAACTAGGGATTTAGGGTTTCAAGGACGTAGGTATAGAGAGAGAGAGAGAGTCGGCCGAAGCCTATAGGAAGGGAGAGGGAGTGGGCTCGGCCTAGAGAGGAGAAGGGATTAGGGTTTGAATAATCTCATTAAGCTTGACCTTAATCCTTGCTTACAAGGTATTTATACTAATCGACAATTATCCCCTTTACTCCCCAGAATAATAACCTAATCATAATACTCCCCCCAATTAATGAACCAACATAATAATCCGAATAATAAACCGACACTAAACCGACAGTAAAATAAGAATCATAAAATGTTTCCATCAGCAACATCCGGACTCTCCACTCCTTGCTCCATTCAGCTTCCAAATTACATTCTCTGGTCATTGACAGTGTAAGTACCTTGTTCATTTTGTTATCTGTAGGTTAGCATATTAAGAGTTAAATGGGCTACGGTTTAATTGCGTTATAGTTGAATGGGGCCCATTTTATTTTACAACCCATACGTAAACCCATGCTAGCTCATGCACAACCCTAGGTACGTTTGTTGTATAAAGGTTGGGGGAGAAGTTTGGCCGCCTGTAACTTGTATGATCACTATCTCAACACAGTAAAATCAGTAGCTGAAGAGCGTTCAAATTCTTCCGTGGATTAGTCCTGGATCACATCCAGGGATACCACGTAAACTCCGGTGTCCGTGTTTCGGTTTGTTTCTGCATCGTATTATTCTGTATTATTCGGCGACAATGGGCCCATTCAACTATAACACAATTAAACCGTAGCCCATTTAACTCTTAATACGCTAACACTGTAATCTGCCTTCCACAACTTTCCTTAATCGGTATTGACATTACGCAGAAGAATTACCTGGCACCAATGGAGTGGAGATATTAGAACATCTACGAATGCTCGAGTGTTTGTTATCAAGTCTCGAGGAAATCAAGGTCACGGGTCTTGTAGCAAATGAAGATGCGATGAAACTGGTAGCGTATTTTCTCGAGACTGGACGTTTTTCTGAAGAAGGTGGATATGCACGTGGAAGTTTATCATCTCGACATAAAAGTTCGCGACATTCTTGCTTCGCTGCTGAAACTGCCAAGGGGATCGAGCCGTTGTGAAGCTTGTCTTTTACTTTCCATCTATCAACCGGTCGAAACCGGTAGCAACAATTAGACTGACATTGACGAAGATATGGATGATGATGATGACGACGACGACGACTTCGACGACGACATTGATGATGATATGGATTCAGAACTGATGACCTTGATGACAGGACTGACAACAGAGGTTGACAATGAAGAAGAGACTTAGAAGCAAGGTGGTCAACTGCATTTTCGTATCCTAGTGAATACTAGGGCAAAGAGTCTTCGTATCCGACTCTATTCTGGTTATACGGATTCATCTTCTAAGGTGACTATGTATGGATTTGGAACTCGTATCGCATTTGATGATGAAGTGCACAATATCATTATAGGAAATTCCTATAATACCTTGAAGTTATTGTAACTTGATGTTTTTGACCTGCTATAACAGGTTTCGCAAGTCGCATTACGTAAAATACAATAGGCATTACATAATGGTTACGTAATGGGTGTTTATTTTTGCGTAATAGTTGAAAAATGTCATTACGGAAACCTTACGTAATAGGCACTCATTTTACGTAATGAATATTAACCTTTTGTTACGTAATATGATAAATCATTACGGAAGACTTACGCAACGCTTCTAATTTAACTGTTACGTAAGAAATAACTATTGTTACGTAACCTTTACGTAATAGATGCATACTTTACGTAACAGTTGTAAAGTGGCATTACGGAAGCCTTACGTAATTGATGGTCATTTTACGTAATGAATATTAATCAAGTTACGTAATGTGGTAAGTCATTACGGAAGTCTTACGTAACACTTCTAATTTAACTGTTATGTAAGATATAACCTTCGTCACGTAACCTTTACATAATGAGCGAGTATTTTATGTAACAGTTGTAAAATATCATTACGGAAGCCTTATGTAATAGACGATGCTTTTACGTAATGAATATTAACTTAGTGTTACGTAAAATGATAAGTCGTTACTGAAACCTTCCGTAACACTTCTAGTTTAACTGTTACGTAAGACTAACAAGCATTACGTAATTGTTACGTAATAAACATTAGTTTTATGTAATGTGACCTATAAAACCTGCTATAGCAGATAAAAAAGTCAAGTTATAATAACTTCAAGCCATGGTAGGAGATCCCATCGGTTATTGAATCTACGTAATTATTTGTTACCATATCTGTAGCTTGACTTACATTATGCTCGGTGCGCTTGATAACCTTTTCAGTAAGAGGACACGTACTGAAAAGATAATTATATGAAATTAATCAACTTTTTTTCTCTGAAGAACAATAATAAGAACCAACTTAAAACCCTTTTCGTGGCCAGCTGTTTGCTTTCTGGCCCTCTTGGAGATAAGTCCACCAAATGTAAGTAATCATTATGTGCCCGAATCACTCCATTGCGTTTTATCAAAAGAAGGCCAGCTTAATGTGACGAGCAATTGAAAATGTGCACATAGTGTTCAAAAAAAGATTCAAGACATCATTAAAAACGTAAAGAGAGGATGTCTGACTTGGAGATTTTCAATATATTTGTATGATTCGGACTTTTCACAAATTAAACATTCAAACTAATTTTTTCGATCTATAACATCGCGACCTCGATTATGCATCAAATTTACGAAATTGGCCAAACTCGAGACGTGTCACGTCACTGCCAAATCAGCACTTATGTTACCCAATTCGCCTACTTTCCCTTCACGCTCTCGTTTTTATTGTAGATGATTGTCAAAATCATTCAACCTCCAAACAGTGATCACAATTTCTAACCTAGGGTAAAATACATGGGATACCATTAAAGTTTTTATAATTGGTGGAGCTATACCACTAAACTGAAAATAGTGCACCGGGTATCACTGAAGTCCTTGAATTGTGCCTCCATCCAATTTTTCGTTACTTTGACTAACGGTCAAAATAAAAAATTGTTTTTTAATTATTGACTAGTGACCAGAGAACTACTGACCAAACCATCCAAATCAAACCAACCCACACCTCAAACCACTTTCACGTCATCGGCTTCATCTACTCCGTTGTCAACCACATCCCTGAAATCCCCTCCAATCTCATAGCTCCACCACTTAATCCCATCTCCGCCTCTCTCCCTCTCCACCCTCTCTCTCTCTATCCATTTGAAGACAACTATTGAAAGAGTGATATTTTTGGGCCTAAATCTCGATTCACAGAGAAACGTTGGCAGGGGACTGCTGGATTAATTTTTTAACTTAGTCTTCAGCCTGCAATCCGAATACCATGTTCAAACCTCTAATTCTCTCATCTTATTCTTCTTTTTGTATATTCTATTCCTTTGTTTCTGTTGCTTTGATTTTGATTTCCTTATCAGTTGGTTGATTACAATGGGAACTTTATTAGCTTCTTCCCATCCATGGATCTTTGCATTTCATCTGAATATGAGTTTTCTTCTGCTTCTGTTAATCAGTGGAGTATTGATTTTGTTGGTGATGTGTTTCCCATAGAGGTCAGCTTCTTTTTATATTTCTTATCCCTTTCACAACTGGGTTTGGCGGCGGACGAGTACACCGGTCACGGCAAGGAAGCTGAAGCAATTGCCATCGGGGAGACAGGGGTGAGGGTGGGGTTGGGTGGCTTGGTTTGTAGCTCTCCGACCCATGGTCAGCATTTATGTGACCAGATAAATTAATTTTTTATTTGGACCGTTAGTTAAAATAACGCAAAATTGGATGGATGCACAATTTAATGACTTCAATGATACTCAGTGCACTCTTTTCACTTTTGTGGTATAGCTCCACCAATTGTAAAACTTTAATGGTATCCCATGTATTTCACCCTTCTGACCTAACCCGCTCGATCCGACCTTTTTAGAATGGGTATTACCAGACCCGTAGTAGAATGAGACGCGGTATGGATACTACATCTTACATTCCTCCGTTTCGTCATGTTCTTGAATCGATCTATAATGATTTTCATCCATATCTACCTATATTTCTCCTTTTTTATTTTTCTAAAACCATATTTTTATCCAAGTAAATTTTAAGACTCCAATTTCAAATATTTACCTAAAAACACAATTTGAGATATTCACATTACACATAAATACATTTATGGTAATGGATGGGAATAGCCAAAGGTAACATAGCCTAGTGGTGAAATCACTGGACCAATTGAGCTCTGGATGTGGGAGGTCCTGAATTCGATTCCCAGTGGCGCCACTTGAGCGTTCCCGGCGGCACCCTTGGTATCGGAGGCGAAGCCTCTCCGATGTTGGTAGTAGAAAGCCCCTGTTACTATGCAGGTACCCCAAGTGGTTTAGTAGGCCCCGCTATTAGGGATGGACAACGGGAAACGGGTATTTGGGATACCCAAACCAGTCCCATTTTTTGAGGGTTACGGGTACCCAAATACCCGTTATATTTGTTGCGGGATGGGACTTGGGATTAAGAATCTCAATATCGGGTACCCGCAGGTTACCCGCTAATACCCGTTTGGGTAGTTTGGGTACCCGTATTACCCATTAAGATTTATTAAATTTCATTTAGACATTTAGTCCAAAACTGAAACCCAATTCCCATCCCAAGAACTCCTATCCGAGCTCAGCTCAAGCCCAGTCGCTAGTCCAAGCCCAGGCCTTGGGCGACTACTTGGCTTCTGTTGGTTGCCCGCAAATCACAAATCAGTGACTGCTTCTTGTTCTCCTTGACGCAGTTGGTCAGGAGGTAGCTGGGAATTTTTCCATTTGTGTGCGCAAGAGACAGTAGCTTCTTTGTCTTATTATTTTGTACTTCAAATTTTATTTTCATTTTCAAGGACAAGTAGACAGTAGCTATATTTATTATGTCTTATACCATACAGACCGTAGCCCTATTTTTAATGCTTATTTTTGTTTTGTTTCAAGTGTAATATTGTTATTTTGTTCCATGTATAATTTTATAAATTTCTCATGTTAAACGGGTATTAACGGGTAGTTTGGGTACCTGTTATCCGTCCCGTACGAGTAAACGGGTACCCGTTATTCTTTTGGGTTTGGGATATGGGATGAATTTTGCCCTCCAAACGGGAAGGGTACCCAATCTCATCCCGTTTTCCACCTCTACCCGCTGTGGCTCAAGCGGCACGTGGGACTGAGGTTCCCCGGGTTATAAATAAAAAAAAGTAATGGATGGGAACAAGAGAACTAGATCACAAGACGACGGAACAGCCTATCTATTATATTTCTTCGCATCTTGACTTTTCAGCACATTTGCCAATTGCTCGCCGCCACGGCCACCCATCTTATATCCACCAATAACCCTCTCTCTCTCTCTCTCTACCCAATGGGCTCCCGCTCCTCGCTTCAATCTTCCCCAAGTGTGGACGCCGACGCTGACGCCGGAGAACAGCAACCACCACCATGGCGAGAAATAGTGGGCAGCAACGACTGGGACAACCTCCTCGACCCTCTCGACCTCACCCTCCGGCAGCTCATCCTCCGCTGCGGCGACTTCTGCCAGGCCACCTACGACGCCTTCAACAACGACGCCAACTCCAAGTTCGCCGGCTCCAGCCGCTACGGCAGGAAGAGCTTCTTCCTCAAAGTCCTCCTCCAAGACGCCCAAAACTACCAAGGTACAACTTTTTGCAACTCCATCGATTAAAAAAAAAATAAAAACTTTTAATCAAACCATTGAAAAGGATTAGATCGAACAGTTCGACATAATTGAATGGCGGATGTTGAATAACGATAGTTCGGCAGGAAATTGAAGGGATAAGCTCAAAATTTTCCCTATTCTTTTGTCGTCACTCACCAGCTACCATCATGTGATTGTCGCCGTCGTCGTCACTGTTATGAATTTCATTAGCCTCTGTTTTTTTTACTGAACTTCAAATTCTAATCCGTTCTGTCAATTTCAATGAAGTGTCCTGTTTCCTCTACGCCACGGCCAGAGTGAGCGTCCCTGAGGCGTTCCTCCTCCACTCCCTGGCCCGTGACGGCTCTTGGGACCGCGAATCCAACTGGATCGGCTACACCGCCGTCACCACCGACGAGTACTCTGCCTCCATCGGCCGCCGGGAAATCTACGTGGCGTTCCGCGGCACCAGCAGGAACTACGAGTGGGTCAACATCCTCGGCGCCCAGCTCGAACCCGCCACCGAATTGCTCGCCCCCGTCACCGTCACCGCCGCAACAACGCCGGAAAACGACGCGGCATCGGCCACTTCCTCGAGCAGCGATGAAGACGACGGAAGCAACCCGAAAGTGATGCTGGGTTGGCTGACGATGTACACCTCCGACGACCCAAATTCCCAATTCACGAAACAGAGCGCCAGATCGCAGCTCCTGGCCACCATCAAACGCCTCCGGGAGAAGTACGCCGGCGAGGAGCTGAGCGTGATTTTGACTGGGCACAGCCTGGGGGCTTGTTTGGCAATCCTCGCTGCCTTCGACCTTGTTGAAAACGGCGTCGTATCGGAAACCACCCCAGTGACGGCGATCGTGTTCGGCAGCCCGCAGGTAGGAAACAGAGCATTCGACGACAGAGTGAAATCCCTCGGCAACCTGAAAATCCTCCATGTACGGAACAAAATTGACCTCCTGACGCATTACCCCGGCCCGCTGCTGGGATACGTGTCGACATCGACGACCGATCTGGTGATCGACACCAGGGTACGCGTAATTCAATCGCGTTTTAAAACTTAAAAGTTTACGTTATACGCTTTTACGTAGAATTGTGATTTTGACAGCATAGCGGATAAACTGACCGGAAACTATTGTACTCTGAATCTTACTGCTGAAAATTTTAATCACTGCTCGATCGTATTTTGGACAGAAATCGCCTAGCTTGAAGGAGTCGATGAATACAGGGGACTGGCACAATCTGCAGGGGATGCTGCACGTGGTGGCCGGTTGGAACGGGGAAGAAGGGGAGTTCGAGCTGAAGGTGAAGAGGAGCTTGGCTCTGGTGAATAAATCGAGCGAGTTTCTGAAAGAAGAGTATTTGATTCCTGGGTCGTGGTGGGTGGAGAAGAACAAAGGGATGGTGTTGGATGAGAATGGCGAGTGGGGGTTGGCGCCTCCTGATGATGAAGATCTTCCTGTTCCTCCTGATGAAGATGAGGATTTGTGATTGGTGTGAGAATGGGTTTTTTTGAGTTTGGTGTTTGTGGGATTGTGAGGAACGAAAGAGTGAAGAGTTTCTGTGGTTTGAAGTGTTAGTTTGTGTGATTGGGATCAAGTTTGCATATGCTATGTTCCTCTAACTTTGTTCTTGATAAATGTATCATGTGTAAGTGTTGTTCATATTGGAGGCTATCAAAATTTGAATCCATGAAGTCTTTGTTGGCGAAGGTTCTGATACAATATCGAAATCAAATTTACCTCGATAACTACTTGAAATATCAGTATGATATGAAGGTGATAAATTCATGCTAATAAACTACTTGAAATATCCATTTATCCTAATACCATTGTATAATGGCTCCTAATAAAACGCTTAGAAACCAAATTATCCTAATAGCATCTTATTATTTCAGAGTCAATTTTCAATATAATGTCAGAAACTATGTCAAAATCATATTATTCCGATATAACATTGAATTGGCAATGCCAAATTTATCAAAGCTCTAATACGATGTAGGAAAACGTTTCATTCTAATAATCTCGATTTGTGGGAAGAATATTAGAAATGATCATCTCTAATCCATCAAGCCAAAGCTACAAACTTTCTTTCACATAAACAACACCACCAAATAAGAAGGTCAAGAAGTGGAGAGTGGGAACCAAGAGAATAACAGCAAGTCAAATTGAAACATATATAGTAATTAATTACACTTAGCACATACAAACACAACTCTTAAAAGAACTTAGGGTCATAGCCGTTGCTAGTGGTGGCCAAGATGTAGTAAGCCACAATATGGCCGATGGAGCCCCAAGCAAGAACATCCACGATGTTAAAACCCACCGGATCGTTCGATTTCAGGAGGCTAACGTACTCCTTGGCACGAACATCGCCGGCCTCGAAGTGGGTTTGCCCGTTCTGCACCGGCAGCCCCTGTTTGGCCACGTTCTCCCTCTGGAAGTTGAAGAACACGAACCTGCCCAAAAACAGAGACAGCCCTGTGCTCAGGCTTATCACCAGAGACGGGTTCAGCTCCGCTTTCACGGTCACGCTCCGTCGCGAGCTGGTGAGGCTTGGGAGGGAGGTTGTTCTGGCGATGGTGGAAGGTAGACGGAGAGGGCGGAGGCCCTGGAAGGAGATGGTGGAAGGGGAGAGGCTCTGGTGTGAGGTTTGGATGGTTGGGGTCAGGAACAGAGCTGCTGAACTTGCCGCCATCGTTGTTCGATTGGTTGCTGCCTGGTTGGGGAGAGGGTCTCTGTTTGGTTTCAGGGAAAATTGGAGATGGAAGGAGAGTAGTAGATTGGTGATGAGATGATGGATGTTGGGTGGAGAGGATGAATCTTAATGTGAGGATGGAAATGGTGGCGGGAAAGATGTTGGGACGGTGAGTTGGCAGTGGTTTATTGGTTGATAGTGGATCAGAGATTTTTGGCTTCCAGATATCCAGAAAATCACACCACAAAATCCTAAAACGACATCGGATAATAGCGTGAAACAAAACCATACATTATAACAATCTCTAACTCAGCCGTTTAGACCCACAACCATCCAGTGTGGTATCAAAGTCGCACATCCAGAAAAAGAGCTGTGAAGTTGCAGAGGATTTGGCTGATCTTTAGAACGTAAATGATTCAATCAACAAACAGCTGATAGTACACCAACTGCAAGAAGATTTGGCTGTCTTCTTCCCCGCAGCTTTAACACAATTGAGTACAGAGAAGAAAAAGGAAACTAGGAAACCAGCAGGCTGTTCTTTGAATTTGATTAGTCCTTTCCAAAATCAGCATTGTAGTGAGAACTTGATTCAAGTTTCTTGGCTTCATTCAACTTCCTCACAGCCTGGAACAGTCATAAGCAAAAAGGAAATGTCAATTTTGGAACCACCCAGGTTCTGAACCAAAATTCAAAATCTAGTGGAATACCAGAAGTTCCTACCTTCATGAAATCTTCATGGATGACATAATCACGTTCTGCACGGATTGCAGACATCCCAGCTTCAGTACATACGTTACGAAGATCAGCACCATTGAAACCCTGAGAACCAATGAAACAATGTCAAGTTATATTGCATGCATTAAACACCTTATATTAGATTGCAGCAGTACAAGATCGGTTTCCTCACCTCAGCTAGTTTCACGACGGCTTCATAGTCGATTTCACCATGCTTGGCAATGCCAGCAGCATGGATTTTCAGAATTTCCATCCTTGACTGCTCATTGGGCAATGGAATCTCAATCTTCCTGTCTAGACGGCCTGGGCGAAGAAGAGCAGGGTCCAAAACATCTGGCCTGTTGGTGGCCATGATCATTTTAACCTAAGAGAAAAAATCATCCAAAACAAAGATTAGGCATACTCGGTATCAACAGTCATTAAAACAGTAAGAAGTTTTACAGTGAAACAAGATTTACCTTCCCCAGTTGGTCGAACCCATCTAACTGATTAAGCAACTCCATAAGGGTTCTTTGAATTTCACGGTCAGCACTTGTTCCCTCACTGAAACGACGTCCACCAATGGCATCGATCTCATCCATAAATATGATGCATGGCTTCAGACAACAAGCAACCAACCGTCAATAACCACAATGCTTGAAATTTACTTATCTGAGAGTAAGGCAGTAAAAGTTACAGAACTCACCTGATGATCACGAGCATAGCCAAACATCTCTCGAATCAACCTTGCACTTTCCCCAATGTACTTGTCAATGATTGCACTAGATACAACCTACATCCCAACAGAATGCACTTCTCGGTTAAGATAAATGCACACTAGTTTAATCACAAGAAGATTAACACACTTCCAAAATATAACCTTCAAGAAGTTGGCATCGATGTTGCTAGCAATTGCCCTGGCCAACAATGTCTTTCCAGTTCCAGGAGGTCCATAAAGAAGAACACCCTGCAAAAACAGTAAATTGGTATCTTAACAAACATATGAATCATTCACATTAACAGATCACATTCTCGAGAATTCACGTCAGATTTACCTTTGGAGGCTTGATACCAACTCTCAAGAAGAGTTCAGGATTCATGAGGGGAAGTTCTATAGATTCCCTGAGCTCTCGTATCTGATCTCCCAACCCTCCAACAGCCGAGTAGCTAACATTACCTGGGTCTTCATGGAGCATGTTATATACGACTGGATCAACCTATGGAGAGAGAACAATTGATAAAAAATGTAACAACATGCAAAAGTGGCAGTCATACATAATTTCATTCAAATGGTTAAGGATTCTTACTTCACGAGGAAGAGCCCTCATGATTGTCAGAGTAGTCATATCGAGAACTACACGAGTCCCCGCAGTAAGTTTTTCTTTGTCAACTTTATTCCTGCAGCCAACCACGTACCTTGGTCCACTGCTTGCTTTGACTATCACTGCATGTAAGAATTCCAAAGATTTTAAGGCATAGAGGAAGATGATGATGGGGTGGGGGAGCAGAACATGGTAGTCCACAAAGATTGAAAAGCATTTCCTAAATATATAAGTGATTATCATCAGCCAATGGGAGTCCTCCAGATCCGAGTATCATGTTCATTAGGTAACAGGAAATTTCATGCTGATGGAACTATGATAAGAAAAATACATATATGCTGATCATAACCATATTGAATACAGAATGCACGGTGTCAAGATCCCTCATTTGATCATAACAAGAAACAAGCGCACAGTGTCAAAGACTACAATAACATTGCAAGATAAGAGAAACTTAGACTTACTGCGTTCATTGTCAAGTGGCCTAAGCACTTCGCCGATGATCTGGCCAACACTCTGCAGTGACTTCAGGTCATCCTCAGTTTTGGCAAATTCCTTTTTTGAACCTCGCAGACTCTCTCTCACTGAAGATGGTCATTCACATAAAGATATAGACAGCTCAGACACCAAGGCGGGGGCATTACAAAACTTCAGACTAAATATCTCCTTCCGTGCAATAAGAGAGACCAAAGCAATTCTGAACCCTACAGGAACTAGTTCAACATCGAATGAGGCCAAAGCCACTTACGAGCAGCATATACTAATCCAATATAACCTCTTACAGAACTGAGGAGAAACAACTAAAATGAGACGCATAAATCCAATACAGTAAATCCCATTCTCAAAAATTAAGCTTAAAACGCAGAGAATCTAGGGAAGACGAAAACCAGTCTCTTCAACGAGCAATTATGCCAGGCCCTTATATAACATAACCCAGAAATCCCATCTCATTCTTTCTCCAAAAACAATTCCGCAACCAATTCAAATCAAACTTGACGCCTTCTCATCTGTTTGCGCCGCACACAAAACCCTAATTTCCCCAAACTTCAAACCAGAAGATCTAGCCAATCATCAATACCTTACCAACAATAATCCCATTGCAGGACAAACCGAACACAAAAACCCTAGAATCCAGCATCCTAAATCACTACAGTAAACGCCACAAACCAAGCCATTCGAGCTCAATCAGAATGCAGCAATAGGGTCAGCCAGGCAAAGATAAATTCTAGGGTTTCTGGTAGGAGTTGGATGAATCACCTGCGCGCACTCTAGACTCGAGTTCCTTGTGCTGGAGGAGCTTCTTCCGGTACTCGGCGACCGCCGTGCGGCGCCTTCCCGCTTCATCGACTTCGGTCGACATTACCGCAAGAAACCGGAGAGATTGGGTATTAAAATTGGAGCAGATCGATGGACTTGGAAGAGTCGACTGAAGTTCTTTACACAACTTAGCGGCGAGACCACAAGGTTGAAGGAAGGTGAGCCTGAATCGAATCAGGCAGTTCTCAACTTATCTTTCAAGAAAAGAAGGCGAGCAGGTTGGGATAAATAAGTAATTTCCTTTTTCCTTGTCCTCCCCGATTTAGGAATAAGTGAATAACTAATCATTAGGATGGTAATGGGTCGGGTTGGTCGGGTTTTGCCAAACCAATTTATGGGTTCATCCATGAAAAAAAATTCAGGATAAAATCTATTGGATTTGAAAAACTCAAACCCAATCCAACCCGTTGGGTACCCACGAGTTTTTGTCGTAAAAAATTTACAATAACAAGCTCCTATCAAAATTAAAGTCAAATATCAATCTCAATACAAATTATCCATATATAAAACACCATTCTAGAAAATTCAAGCAAATAACAAATTAACTATACAAATTGTTTAACACCAATCTAAAAAACTCAAGAAAATTGAAGCAAATCACAAATTATCTATAAATAACATGATTAATTGAAAGCTTCTTCCTTTCAAATAAGTTTCTTCACTCTCCACTCGATAACATCAACTTCATTCTACACAATTTGAAAGAAAAAATTAGACATGTCTCCACAAACATAAATAAGATTAGTTGTTTAGAAAATTAAATATACCGAGAAAATTTATATGGATGTGGGCGGGTACCCATGAGTCAGATTTACCTAAACCCAAACCCAACCCGATGAATAGTGAACGGGTTTAAACCCAAACCCGGCCCAAAAACCTTCAATACGAATTTTACCATCATTAACCGAGTTGGGTCGAATGGGTACCTGTGGGTTCGGGTTTTGTTGACATCCCTACTAATCACTAATCAGAGTATCAGACGACCAACCCAATTACAAATTAAAAATTTATTAACTAAGTAAAATTTGCTAAATTTTGTGTGGTATTCTGTTAACTTTGTTTCTCCGAGTGGAACCTTCACGCAACTTATGTTGTCGTAATTGATAGATAAACGTAAGAAAGATACTTAAAAACGAAGAGAATTGAGACGAAAGAGGGATAAACTACAAACTACTATTGATATCCAATCTTCTCCTATTATTAAACGAATGGACAAGTACATATATATAGGCATAAAACATATCATTTCTCCAACCTAAGACATGAATACTTCTCCCACAGGCTAGAAGGAAACAATAACCAAATACTAAACAAGTACTAAAAAGCAATCACAATCCTACTAAGACAATTAAACAATATAATATCCCAAATAATACGAAATACGAACTAATTAATAAAACTACTAAAATAGAAAGATACGTAAGCCCATAACGAGTCTCAATTATTACGATAACTTGATTCTCATAACATTTTCTTTGTTGAGTTTGTTTAACGAATACGGGATTTTAATTTTAAGTTTGATAGATTGATTTCAAGTCTATTATTTCTTTACGGGTGCCAAATTTATAGGGTTCATGAATTTGGAACTTTTATATTAAAATTCATAGCCCGTCGACTTATAATATCACATGTTATGTTGAGATTTGGTTGAAAAGTCTTTTTTTATAAGGATAATATATATTACTTTTTCTAGGTACTATTAAAAGGATTCGAAATTGAGACCTTCATGTTAAAAGTTAGTGGTATTATCACTAGACCAATTCTTTGTTCGTAAATTCTTGACGACCTTGCTCTGTAATCAAATTATATAATTGAATCTACAATATACTTAATAAACTTTTCAAATTCATAATGTAATAAATTCATCATAATTTGTAATTTTTTTTATTATTATGTCAACGGTTTATCATAGTCCATTGGTCAGATGAAAGTTGAATGACAACAACTTTATGGGTTGTGTATTAGACTGGCCTATATTAACTCATCTCCAAAAGTCTCCTTTTTCATTAGGGAGGGTATGGGGAATATCATATTCCAAGACTACAATATTGTTTTGATACCCGGTCAGTTGGGCTCATTTGTAAGATGGTTTTGCCAAGGGCGGCTCAACCAAATACTAGAGTATGACACTTCACCAAAAATGACAAGTATTTAGTTAAATCAGGATACCATTTGGTATTGGAAGGTATTTTAGCGCCAACTAGGAAGTCATTGGCTCTGATTATTGATCTACATGTGTGGAATTTGACGTGGGCTATCCAGGTTCTTCCAAAACTTAGATTCTTCATCTGACAATGTCTTAAAGTGGTTCTTCCAACAACAGTAGCGCTCAGATCTTGTGAAGTTAATTGTCTTAGACGTTGCCCAGTTTGTTGGCGATCACGAGAAAATATAGAATTTTTGTTCTTTCATTGCCCACTTGACAATCAATTCTGGTACTTTGTGGGATTAAGTGACATATTGGTTTCGACCCCTACAAAAAAATTTAGTGTATGGTGGCGTCAAGTTATGCTAAGTAAGCAATCCCAAATCCTTATTCTCAAAATTGTATGCCTATTGTGGAGAATTTGGAAATCAAGAAATAAAGTGGTATTTGAAAATATCCACCCTCATGTCCGTTCGCTTGCTGGCCAATTCTCATCCCAGGTCCATGAAGGTCTCTCCACTTTGCCAGCTATCCTCCACTACCCTTCCTTGTTCCCCTTCGTCTTCTACTCTAATCTGTGAATGCCCTCCTCAAGACTTTATGAAGATCAACTTTGATGTTGTTGTCCAAGCTTCTGGTTCCTCGTCGGGTCTAGTGGTTCGTGGCTTCGATGGGCATGTGCTTCTCACCTTGGCAGCATCAGGGGATCTTTGACCAGTATCTCACAGAACTCCTTGCAGGTAGGGAGGCGATTTCTCTTGCAGCTTCCAGAAGGTTATCTCGTGTCATCTGTCAACTCAGCCTTGGTCTGGTGGAAGATTCTACAGGAGGTCCTCTCCTGCGAGATTGTCTTCTTAGTCTTGAATCTTTCTCTCATTGTATAGAATTTAGGACGGTTCCGCGGACTGACAACTGGGTTGCCCATAAAGTGACATGTAAATTCTTGTGTTGTCTTGGTTAGAGTTAGCTTCTTTTGACTTTGTAGGCTAGATTGTTAGTGGAATAGAGAAGAATTGTGGATAGTGATTCTTTCTAACTTTTGTCTTTATCTTTGTCTGGAAAAAAAAAAAGATTAAACAATTTTATTCCCATAAACACTCTAGTAATATAAAGAAAAATTGAAGAATGTGGTAAAATATTTGAAATGAAAAATCATCTGCCCAGTGGCGGACCTAAGGCATTGCAGGGTGTGTCGTCCGACACACCCTCGCTCGAGAATTTTACGAAGGACCTATATATTTTTGGTACAAATATTTTTACTTCGGGATAGCCGACACACCCTCAATAATTATAGCCGACACACCTTCATTATATTCAAAGAAATTTTATCCAAATGAATCAATCTTAATCATAATCCTTTTTAATTTTGTTTAAAATAACTCATAAAGCATAATCCTATCCTTCCTATTAAAAAAAATACTCTTAGCCCATACAATATACACGTGTGATGAGTGTTGGGCTTGAGCCTTTAATTAAATGAGAAAAGAACCCACAGGCCAAAAGCCCAGTCGGCCACTAGCCCACTACCTCCCCATTATTATTCCTTCCCTCCCCATCCCCAATTAATGGCCCAATCTCCCCAATTAATGGCCCAATGCCATATTCCTTGTCCATATCTCAATTCCCAGCAACCCATCCCCATTATTCCCCCTGGTTCCCTCTTCTCTCGCTCGCAAAAAACCCCAGAACCCCAGACGAACAAAAAACCCAGACAAAGGCAGAACGGGCAAGTCGGCACGGCAACCCATCTCGGCCTCGGCGGACACCCTTCATCGGCGGGCAGCGCGGCGGCGGCAACTCCTCGTAGCCGGTCAAGTGGGCACTTCTTGTAGCTGGCCAAATATAAGTAATTTTACTGTTATGAACCCTAAATTGCAAAGTTTAGGGGGTTTTCTTGTTTTCCATTTAACCCAAATTTTATTTGTCAATTTGTAATTCATGGATGAATTGAATAGATTTGTTTATAAGCTAATTTATGTTGTACTCTGTATCCAGACATGGAGAGATTTTACCCAAAGGTCCCAAAGAAAGCAAAAACTACTCTACATATTAACAATTTAGGAGGTGAATCAAGTAAAATGAATCATGATGATTCTCAATCTTCCTCGCCATCGATTAATCAAACAAGTGGCATCTCAAGTAAGTTTTCTTCATTTCCTGAAGAACATGAGATGATGTTGATGAGCATTTTCAGCTATGAAGATAATCAAGAACGATCTTCGAAATCGGTTGAGTGACCAATTTATGAATGATTGTTTAGTTGTGTATATTGAAAAGATTTGCTTTGCAGCATAAGTGATGAATGTATTTTAGAGACATTTCAGCAGATGAAAAGTCGTCGCGGTTCGTTGTAAACATGACATTGTGAACTTTATGAATTAATTTCTTTTAATTTTAACTTAATTTTTAATTTAATTTAATTATTATTTTATTTTATCAGCGACACACATCTCCGACAATCCTGGGTCCGCCACTGCATCTGCCTCGTATTGATTTCTTCGAGATCCATATTTGACAACATTAGTCGATTTCGAGCTTCCAATGCTTATTTTCCTCAATAAGATCACGTCAACTTTAAGAACCAAAAATTGCGATCATTGAAATTTTGTTCATAATTCACCTCGATTTGTTTTATTATAGATTCAAACTATTCGTAAAATGAACTTGAATTTCCTATGTGAGGGCGACGAGACAGAGGAGTGGTTGCGGTAGGGGCTCCAAATACGACCAGTAACCCCGGTTTAAGTGGGTCAGAAAATCCATATCTAATGGTAGAGAATTAAAAAGCATTTTTTTTTTCTTAATCGACTCCTCTTTTTTTTTTTTTTGCACAGATCGAACGAGTTTGGTGTGCTCTAGAAAAAGTGATTCATTTTCAGTTTTTGAGAAAAAAAATATTATTGGCTCTCGTTACCAACTGCATACTATATGGAATCTTCTTCGTTTATAAGTTGTTTTTGAAAAATTTTGCACAGAATGAACGAGTTCATCATGATCTATTAGATCTACAAATTTCTTGGTGAAAAAAATACAGGACCAAAAAATACCAAAAAATACTACCCAGTACCCCCCGGTATGGGGTGGTATATTGTGGTACACAATGTTGAAAGTCGTAAATGACAGTTAGTATACTCTTACTATCATGTATTCAATCATCCTACAGTCTTGGTATGTTCATACCATCATGGTAAATTTTTTCATACTATATAGTATGTTCTTATTTAATATCAGTCAATACCATATGGTATATACTAGGGGTGGGCAACGGGACGGGATACCCGTCCCGTTTTAAACGGGTACCCAGTCCCATTTGGAGACCAAAGTCCATCCCATATCCCAAACCCATATGGGAAACGGGTACCCATTACCCGTACGGGACGGATAACGGGTACCCATACTACCCATAAATACCCAAAGTTTAAATCACATTTTACCCATATTCTGCGAGCACCAAAATTATGGTTTTCATCATCATCGTTTAACTCGCACATGTCTATTTGTCCCTAAGCAAACTACTTACTACATAAACTAAATTCAAACTAAAATACTCAGAGGATGTGTAGAAAACAAATCACCTGTTCTAGAGAAGTCAATGGGAACATAGCAAAGAACACTATAACCTTCCCGGTAGACTGACTCAGTCTCAGCGAAAAACAATCGAATGTCAGAAGGGTTGTATTGCCCGGCGGTGGAGGACGAACCATCAATTACATTGACAGACTTGGCAGTAAAGATGGCGTGGACGATAAGGGTACCAGGAAACAGAAAACACTTGCTGAAGATGGGTTCGTCCAGCTCAAAGTTTGAATGGGTACAACGGGTACCCATATTACCCAAATGGGTATTCGCGGGTAACCCGCGGGTACCCATATTAGGACTGTACAATCCCAAGTCCCATCCGTTTAAAATATTACGGGTAATATGGGTACCCGTAACCCTTAAAAAACGGGACGGGTACGAGTATACCCAAATACCCGTTTCCCGTTGCCCACCCCTAGTATATACTGGTAAAAAATGGGTCAATTTTTTTCGTTCCAAAAATATATTAAAATGAATATCATTTTTAAGAACACAATTGATCTGATCTAACTGTACAAAAAAAATTAAATTCTGACTTAAAACGAGTGAGAAATCGTCCGTTAAAAATTAAGAGGAAAAAAATTAAAGGCTTTCGAGGAACGAGTGAGAAATCATACTTATTTTTTAATATTCATTAAAAATTCATAAAACATAATCAAGCCATGGTTTGGGGCACAAATATCTAAAATACCCTTTTTAATTTCACTTAAATATTTTTTGGTTTTTATAGTTCGCTCATAATAATTTCACTTTAATGATACTTGTAGAAATAGTTTTAAAAAAAGAGTTAATATAGAAGACTATTAATAACAACCTTTCTTTGCGTGATCCTTTTTTTTCCCCTTCTGTGGTTTGCTAAACTGTGTGGGTTCTTTGATATCTAAATAGAAGTTGAGTTTCATGCGATCATTCTTTCTACAAAACTCTCATCAAAACACGAATGCGTGCAAATAGATTGTTACCTTCTTGAGACTAAGAGATCTTTTGAAGAATGAGATTCGGAGTATGGTTTCATAGAATTGACATATGTAACAAATTATGTTTTTTCTTTATTTTTTGCATCCTTAAGTTTAGGTTGAGAGAGTTCAAATCGTTAAGACTATAGATATCAATTCTCTCATAAATGTGGAAATTCTATGATTTCACTTGAGATATTTTCCCACTAAATGTCAATAATCACACCAAACATTAAAAAAAAATCAATGAATAGTTAGAATATTTAGATTGTTTTAAAATTAAAAATTTAGACTCTATTCTTCAAACTACCCATAAACTCACAAAACCTCATGAAAGTAATGTAGCCCCTTGATTTTTGATTTAGTGATGACTGATTAGTGTGCTATATGTGGTTTCAAATGTTAATGGGGATGTTAATGTTCTTTCCCTAGGCAGCTGGTGGCTGTTTCCTAAACTTGGATTCCTCGGTCTAGCTGGTGGCTGTTTCCTAAATTTAAACTCTATTTAGATTGTTTAAAAATTAAAACCCGTTCTTCAAACTACCCATAAACTCACAAAACCTCATGAAAGTAATGTAGCCTCTTGAACGAAGAACATACAAGAATTACATCACAATAGCACGACTATCTAGGGGATTTTTCCAGAAATAGCACCTTTAAAAAAAAATTACAAAAATAGCACCCATCCGTAAAAATTTAGTCTAATAGCACCCTTTTTAATAGAACGCATCTTGTAGATGCGTTTTATATTTAAATCGCACCCTAAGGGTGCGTTTTACAAATAGATCGAACTGGTAAGGTGCGTTCCAATTTTCTAAACTCAAATCGCACTTTAGCCAAGCGATTTTAGGTCTGACCTACTGAAATCGCATGGCCGAGGTGCGGTTTTAGGTCTGACCTATTAAAACCGCATCATAAAGGTGCGATTTGTTTCTCCCAAACAAAATCGCACCATGAGGATGCGATTTTGCCATACAAACCGCACCTTGAAGGTGCGGTTTTGGTCAATCAATTTCCGACATGCCATGCAGACGTAACAGATGTGGGTCTGCATGGGCCTGCATGGCAGACGAAAATCGCACCTCTAAGGTGCGGTTTTCATCAGTGATTTTGCCTATAAAAGGCCTCCCGGACAACCACTTCTCTTCACACCTCTCCTTCTCCCTTTTCAATTTTCTGTTGTAGCTCTATATTTCTTTAGTAGTTTTGCGATTAACGTTAACTCGTAAATTGATTTAGTATTACTTTTTATTGTTATTTTTTATTTTTATGATATTAACTGAACTACGGTTTTATCGCAGATGGCATTCCAAAAGTTCACGCTTGGCTTACGGTGGAATGGTTACACGAAAGAGACCGGAAAGGGGGTCACCTACGTAGGTGGCAATTTTCAGAAGATAAAGGTCGCTACCAGACCGCTGCTTGAAGACCTCCATCAAATGTGCACTAACGTTACTTGCATGGATGGCACGAGAAGAGTTGATCGTATGGTGTACCGATATCCAAACAGAGAAAGTGGGTCATTGTGGCATGAGGAATATCTCATAACCACTCAGGATGAGGTAGACGCCATGCTCGAATTCATGAGGTCCAACAATCTTTCCAAAGCCGAGATGTTCGTTTACACCGAGCCGGCCGTAGGCGTTGGAGGTCATTCTGGACACGGTCAAACATCTGGTATCCATGGTGGAGGTGAATTATATGGCGATCATCCCTACCAAAGTTACCATGATCCTCATTCATATTTTCAGTACCAAGAGCAAGGTGAAGGTCATCATCAATCATATGAAGAAGAAGTTCAACCGGACCGGCCCAACCAACCTCAGTACAACTTCCACTCAGGCAGCGTTAGTTTTCACAACTACCATTATGGAGCTGATGAAGGTGCCTTTCATGAGCTGGATCAGATGGAGGATGTCTTGCCAGCACCAGTCAGTGACCCCTCCGATGAAGAAGGAGAGAACAACGTCAGTGCAGACAGCTCCGACCCTCTTGAAGGTGCCGATGATTCAGGACCAGAGTCAGACTCAGCTAATGATGATGAGGGGGCTCGTGACCGTGTACCAGTCCCCTACTACAATCACATTCCAGACAACAATTGGATGGTCGACAGCGACATGGAGCCTCCAGAGGTCCCAATATGGGGTCCACTCACTGGGTTTATGAAGGGCCAACAATTTGGCTCGAAGAAGGAGGTGCGTCGCGCCATTGAGACAGAAGCAATGACTCAGCATTTTGAATGGCACACAACTCATTCCAACACTAAAAGGCTCATAGTCAGATGCCGTAATCATCACGAAGGGTGCAATGTTAGGATTCGGGCCATCAACAGCAAGAGACACGGCCACTGGGTCATATCTCGTGCGGTGAACACACACACATGTGTGTCATCCATAACTTCCCAAGGCCATCGACAGTTGAAATCCAGGGTGGTTGCTGCGGCTATCAAGCATCTAATTGAGCAAGAGCCAGACCTAAAGGTGAAAGTCATAATCGCTGACATTGCAAGTCGTTATGGTTATATGATTAACTATAAGAAGGCGTGGCATGGAAAGCAGAAAGCTTTGGCCGCCGTCTTTGGTGATTGGGAAGAATCATATGCATTCCTTCCCAGGTTAATTTTGGCATTGGAGGCGTCTAACCCTGGCACGGTTTTCTCCCCTCGATACCAAGATGAAGAGATACAACCCCCAGAGCCAGGAAACAAGCGCCATTTCAGACGACTTTTTTGGGCATTCAAGCCATGTATTGATGGTTTTGGCTTCTGTGTCCCTGTCATCCAAGTGGATGGAACATTCCTTACCGGCAAGTACAAGGGCACTCTCCTGATTGCCAGTGGGGCGGATGCAAACAGACAAGTCTTTCCTTTAGCCTTCGCCATCGTTGAGGGAGAGAATGCTGATAGCTATGGATGGTTTTTCCGGCAAATTGAGCTCCATTGTACTAGGAGGACGAACCTGACAATAATCTCTGATCGGCACGCCGGCATTAGATCTGCCATCTTAGGTTTAGATCCAGCCTGTAAGTGGTCCCAAAGGTGGTGCATACGACACTTCAAGAGCAACTGGAACCATCATTTCAAGCGGAAGAAGCTTGCTGATAATTTGTGGTGGATTGGTAAGTTTGTAATTAGCCGTATAATTTAGTTCCAATTACAATATCTTTGTACATTTGGCGAGTGGTGCGCTGGTTAGACTCTTTCTAAAGTGATGCATGCCTAAGGAAATGGGGTTTTAAGCGATTATCATGATCCTCCCATTTCCTGGGAAAATCGGGTTTTAAGCGATCTTCGGATCCCCCCTTTTTCTGTCAAACAGGCTGTGTTTCTAAGGAGGTGTATACCTCTCCTAAGAGTCTAACGAGAGTAACTCCGGGCTGTTCGAATTTGTACTAAATTGCCGAAAATTGACTAACATACTACTTTTCTGTGTCTTCCTCAGCGGATGCCTACCAAGAGAAAAAATTTCTGGAGAAGATGCAGAAGTTGCGCGAGTTATGCCCTGAAGGGGCACAGTGGCTGGATGGACATGACCTATCCATGTGGACATTTCATAAAGATGGAGGGACAAGATGGGGTATTGCCACAACGAACTCAGGTGAGAGTATCAACTCTGTCTACAAGGCCGTTCGTGCACTGCCAATCTCTGCCATTGTGGAGATGACTTTTTGGAAAACGAATGCATGGTTCGTCAACCGACTCCACTGGGCAAGGACGAACGAGGCACGGAGTAAGGTCCATGACTATAAAGTCATGGAAGTAATGGAGAATGACAGTCGCAAGAGCAGTCGACATAGTGTAACCGTTATGAATCGGGCAAATGGCGAGTATAGCGTGACGACCGGGCATCGGGAGGACGGTAGACGGGGGGCCACCGCCATGAAGTTTTGGTCAATTTCCGGACAAAAGTTGGTGAGGGCTCATGCCAGAAGTATCAAGGGAGAGGGTGGCCTTGTTCTCATGCAATGGCCGTAATTAAAAATAGGAGCAAAGACCCCCGTCACTTCGTTAGTCCGTTCTTCAATATCGACTCACTCAAAAACACCTATGGACGGAGTTTCCGTGCATTGCCTGATGAAGTTTATTGGCCGATGTACGAAGGAAAATTGATCATCCCACCGTTCGGACAGAGGCGTGAACCGGGTCGCCCGAGGAAAAAGAGAATTCAGAACGAAATGGATCAAAGTGGAAGACCACCACGAGGCCCAAGACGATGTTCAATATGCAAAGTTCCAGGACATGATAAACGAAGATGTCCAGGCCCGATTGGTCCGCAAAATCCGGGTCCTGATGTGCCGGACTCAGCTAATGCGACATAGTTTGCTTTTATCATTTTTTTTCAAGCTAGTTGAGACTCTTACTTTGCAAGTAATTGTGTATTGTTGATTGAACGAAATGTGTATTGTGTATTGTTTCTTTTATCGTTCATTGGCTCGAATTTGGGTTAGAACCCAGAATTTTCAATCCAATCTCTTCTCTCCACTGTATTGTTGATTGAACTAATTGGGATTACATAAAGATAAAAGGCATAGTTCCAAGGGGATAGAAATAAAACCAAATTGAAACAACAATCAATTCGAACAACTAAGATAATAGGAATAGTTCAAATTACATAGAAATTAAATTCAACTCTCAAATATAACTCAAGGAAGTCCACGAGCTTCACCGGAACCCACGGTTTTCTTGCTCCTTGTACGACGACCGACAGGAGTAACAACAGGTGGTTGCGGTGGCAAGTTTCGAACTCGGGCCGAGGTAGTTTGGCGCTCGTCGGTGCTGTGTCGGCGGGGAATCGACACTTTCGGGGTCGAGCGGGGGACATCCACGGAAGTACGGTGAGGAGTAGGAGGCCACTGCTGATGAGGGCGAGTCCATGGCGTAAAATCGTGGTGGGCCTTCGTGGAGGAACCATCATGGCAAGTACCCGATGATGTATGGCGGGGAGATGGGGGGTAGACCGGGCGGTAATCGTAGTAACCTCCTTGGCGGGGAGATGGGGGGTAGATCGGGCGGTAATCGTAGTAACCTCCTTGGCGGGGATCGTTGTATGAGATCGGGGTGGGACTCGGAGGGGTTTGATGGTAGGTCGAGCGGGGATCGTAGTACGAGCCTTGGTGGGGAGTTTGGGTGGAACTCGGGCCGGCACCTTGGGGAGAACTCGGGCCGGCACCTTGGGGAGAACTCGGGCCGGCACCTTGGGAAGAACTCGGGCTGCCAACTTGGGGGGAACTCGGGCCGCCAACTTGGGGGGATCTCGGGCCGACACCTTGAGGAGCAACCAATGGGGGCGGCAGTTTCCACCCGGGATATGGCGTGACTTCGGGCACGTTTGGCCTTTCCCGGACCCTCTTGCTTGTCTTCCTCTCGTATGGTGGTGGGGGATCGGGGACATCAACTTGTACCGGAGGTGGCGGGGGTGCGGGCATGGGCGGATATCTACGATGATCCCGACCCTGAGCTCTGATACAGCCAAGAAGACTGTTTGCCATCCTCCTGATGAAGCTCACATCTTCATTTCCCAGCTCCATTCTCCCGGTGGTCATGTCTTTAATCCGCTCAATCCCGTCAGCCTAAATCACAAAACAATAAGTTAGGAAACAATTTAGGAACCAAAACAATACATTTAATTATGTAGAGTGGAATATACTTACTAATGCACCATCGGCAGCACCCTCCGGAGTCATGTAACAGACCGATGTTTGCCGATATCGATCCAAGTATGGGTCATGATACCCCATTCGACCCACTGCTGATGGAGTGACAATATCTTGCATTTGTCGGTTCGCCCACATGGTGATGAATTTCTCCAGCTTCAAGGGCCAATCTCGAGTACCTTGCCGCCCATCTCGACCATGGAAGGCCTTTTGACTATCGGGGACCTCCAACGGAATGCACTGCTCCCGAACAAACTGACGGAGGCATCGATCCGGCAAGTGCCACTCCACGGTCCCAAAACAAATTAGGGGACCCTCGTGCACCATTGGCCGATATGCTCGGGGAATTGCTGGAGATGCCAATGAACGATGTTCTCCGGGTATGGATCGAAGATTATCTACACGCGCAAAATGAGTAAATTAAGATAGTAAGAATTGGAAAAATACATGTCTTCCATGGTAAAAAGGTATAAATGGATCGAAGTATAGAAGTTACCTCTCCTTCCCAAAGTCGCTCAAACCTCCTCCGATACTCATCCAACTTGTGTTGGGCAAGGTTGTCACAAGTTGTGTGTCCGAGCCACCTTATTAATAAAACAATAATCGAAATTACAATAAGCTAAAACACAAGGGAAAATCAACCAAGAAAAAACATGATGGGTATGAGAAGTTTACCTTGTACCATAAGCTTCCCCTCTTAGGGGGTGATCGATGGGCCAATCCCTGTCGGGACGTTGTACCGGTGCAATCCATGGCATATGCTCCCAATCCCAAAATTGGACCATGAACATTGCGCCGCCTACCTCCCTCACAACTTTTAGAGATGCATTGCACAAGTTGTGGAAGATATTAGCTAGGCAAGCGGATGCCCAACTATACTCCCCCATCTCCTCCCAACTACCGAGGATGATCCTAAGCCATCCACAACTAAGAAGATTGCTTGCTTTTTTGGAGAAGAACACTCCTCCGATCATGCCAATGAGATAGACCCGAGCATATCTCTCCTTCTCATCCTCCGGACTTTCCTCGGTTAGGGGAGGACTCTCGTAATGGTCTCTAAAGTACTTCGTCAACCAAGTAATTGAAACTTGGTGTTTCCTCATTGGTGGCATGCGATCGGTCGCATCAACGCACCCCTTCACTGGTACTTTTACTCCCAAAACACTATAGATGAAATGAACCGAACCGGGCATACCGTCACAATCGTCGGGGGGATGATCACTCACGCACACCGGTTTGCCGTTGATGGGGAGATGGGTTAGGATGGCGACATCCTTTAGCGTGATGGTGGCCTCTCCTTCTCTAAAGTTGAAGCAATGGGTCTCCTTTCTCCATCTCTCAACTAGGGCGGTGATGAGTTGGCGATCAACTTTGATGCCGTTAAAATGCCTAATCGAGTCCGTGCCCTTTTGAGAAAGGGCAAGATAGCTGGGTGGAATGGGAGCACATTGGTCGTACCCCTGTAGCGGATTATTGTTTGTGCCTTCTAGGGAAAATTTACACGTTAATTATTATATATTAGTAAGGGTTTATTCCTTATAACTAAATTAATTAAATTATTTAACTTCAAGCAGAATTTTATTATCATAAAAAGAAATTTCATATAATTAACATAATAGCATTCTAAATTAATAATAATTTAAAGAGATACATACATATTATCATAAAACGAACATCCTAAATTAATTAACATAATAACATTCTAAATGAATAATAATTTAAAGAGATACATACATATTATCGTAAAATAAACATACTAAATTAACTAAATTAAATGACATTGTTAATGAATCAATATTTTAAAGAGAAACATACATATTCAATTGTTTGAAATTAATAAAATTCCTTTTGTACACATCAAAATAAATCATAAGGTTTGTTTGGTAAATTATTTAATCGTGTTGGTTGTTTTAAATAATGTAATCGAATACAAAGCAACACTCGTTAGACTCTTAGAAGAGGTATACATCTTCTTAGAAACGCAGTCTTTTTGACAGAAAAAGGGGGGATCCGAGGATCTCTTAATACCCGATTTTCCCAGGGAATGGGAGGATATGATAATCGCTTAAAACCCCATTTCCTTAGACGTGCATCTCTTTATAAAGAGTCGAAGTAAGTGGCGCTATGTATTCGATTAAATTATTGAAAACAACCAACACGATTAAAAATTCAACATAAATTTATTTTATATTCCACTAAATACATTAACAAAATAAAAGAAGGACAAATGGTAAAGAATTGTATGTACCGGGTGAGCGTTCCAAACATCCCTTGACCGATGGTTGGGTTGGTCGTACAAGTCGGTTGGATCCAACGGTCCTTGCTTGAGATAATACCGTTGGTTGTAAATATCCACGTCCTCCCCAACCTACGAGAAAATAACAACGAGGTTAGTACATAGATTAATTAAAAAGCTTATAACAACAACAAAAATTAAACCAGAATAATGAGTACGTACCGCTTGAAATTCATCAACATAAACTCCTTCTCCTTGCCACCAATCGGCCATTTTTTTCGGCGCAATTCGGACAGAGCTTCGGCTCGGCTCGGCAGGTTTTGAGGAAAAAACCTAAGAAATGTTTTCTGATGGCAGATCGGACTTAGCCGCAACCAACAGACCACTATTTCCTAGGCTTATGGGAGGGGAGGGTTTAGAGAGATAAATTGTAGAGAGAGAAGGAAGAATGGGTTGTGGTGTGAAGAAATGAGAGGGGAAGGGGGGGGGGGGTATTTATACCCATCAGATCGCACCCTCCAGGGGCGATCGGGTAATTTTGCCCTCGCGCGGATTGCACTCTTCCAATGCGATTTGCGCTTCCCTAGGCGCGGATTGCTCCATTCCGATGCGATTTGTGCTTCCTTGGGCGCGGATTGCTCCGCTGGCAAGCGATCTGGAATCCTCGGCGCGGATCGCTCCGCTGGCATGCGCTGAGCCGCCCGATCGTCCCTCCATCCAACGATCTTGAAGATCGTTCCGCAGCAGCACTAAATCGCACTGACCTATTGCGATTTGTTATATGGATTGCACCCCTCTGATGCGTTTTATATGTAGATCGCATCTTTCCGGTGCGTTTTACTTGTAAAACGCATCTTAGGGGTGCGTTCCAAAAAAATTGGTGCTAGTTTTGTAATTTTTTTTATATGGGTGCTATTTTTGTAATTTTCTTTTTAAAGGTGCTATTATTGGAAAAATCCCACTATCTAGATGATCCATGTTAGGGGTGGTAATCGGTTTCCCGGTTACCGGTTTAACCGATAATCGTACCGATAACCGGGATGTATCGGTATTCGGCAGCGTCTAAAAGGATTTCGGTATACCGGCTCCTCTGCCGGTAAATAACGACGGTTTCCCGGTATACCGATACCGGCGTCGAGGGGTGGAGTGGAGAGACAGAAACCCTAACAAATCGATCGATCCAACCACCCTTCTCCCTGTCCGACAGTATCCCTTCGCTCGACTTCCTCCCCAAATCTTCTACCTGTCCAACGCCAACGCCGCCTCCACCTCTCTACGACCTCGCCTTCCCTCTCCGACCCCGGCTCCCTCTCCACCGCTCTGCCTCCATTCGACCCAGTTCGCGACCTCGCCTTCCAAGGAAGCGTCGCCGTCGATTTGTTGTCGAAGAGCTGAAACAGAGGTTCAATCTTTCCAGATCTGGTGGGAGCGGCAGGAGCGAAGGGAGGGCTACGACGAGATGACGACGAGATGGTTGTCGCCTCACTCATCTCCTCTTTCTCCTTGCCGCCGCTGATTCGGGACTCGGAAAAGGCCACCAATCAAGTTGGGGATGCTCGAGACGGCGGAGGAACTGTCGTGTCGGCTGGAGATCTGGATCTGGATCGAGAGAGGAAGGCGACGTCAGCGGTGGGCGGCGATTGGAGTAGGGTTGGGGAGATGAGAGGAAATCGAGAAGGAGAGGAGGTCTGAGAAGGGTTGGGGAGAGGTGAACAAGAGAGAGAGGAGGGTTGGGGAGAGAGAGAGTCTGGTTGCGGGAATGAGAAAGAGAGGAGAGGGTGGGTCTCCCGGTTAGTCGGTATAACCGGTTTGTAACCGGTAACCGGGTATTTGGTAACTGGTTAACCGGTTACAAATCGATATCGGTATTTGGTTGCTTCCACGTCGTGAACGGTAAATCGATAACCGATTTGGTCGGTAACCGGGTCGGTAACCGGTTAATCGGTTACCGACCGATTACCACCCATAATCCATGTTCCTCCCGTTACACCCTTTTCACTAGGGAAGGTAACAGATATTGCATATCATTTATTCTTTTCTAACTAGTTTGTCGATACTCATATGCATATAAGATTCGAGTAGTAAATCAAAACCATAATTATATTCTTTGGGTTTCACTTATTTATGGATATCCATGGCTAATGTCTTTTTTATCATTTCATCTTACGGTTACTGTTTATGACTATATTCTCACTATACAACTAAAAATTACAATTATAAGTCACTAATCTTAAGCAGATCAATAAAAAAATAACAAAAATTCATTGGAATATTATATATGCATTGTGCATGTCGAATAATTTGAGAGAGATAATAACAATTTATAGAAAAATATACATATACATCTATGATCGAGCATAGTAGGAAACTCATGCTCGCCCATTACCTATAATATTCGTGCTTGAATTTTATCCATACAACCGAACAATTAATTTAGCTCGAATTTTACCCTATCTTATTAGTTGATATTTCACTACAAGAAAAATGATCTTTAGCGACAAAAATTTGCGGCACATAAAATAATTGCCTCCTATAATATGATATATGCGACTAATATATTTTCTGCCTCTAAAAGTAAACTTATTTGCCCCTAAAATTATTATTGGTTTAAATTTGAATTTAATTTAACAGGAATATTACATATAGCAGCACATTTGTTGTAATTGTCATTTAAACTTTTGTCCCCTTATCTATGAGAATGCGGATATTATTTTTATTTTTATGTTTATTTCTTTTGGAGGCAAAAATTATTTTGCCACTACATCAACGTTTTTAGAGGCTAAAATAATGGTTGCGATTGATTCTTCATTAAAATATAAAATTATACTTCATTTAGGAAACATATAAAATTTGCCTCCGATTGTATTTCAAATACCTCCGATTAGGTTTGCCCCCGTATAATTATATCTGCCTCCAATTATTAAATATTTTATTATAATTTTGAATTAATTAATGCTTAATTATCCTCATACTTTTAATTGTACTCTTAGTCTCTAACTCCCTCTACTATTAAAATAATAGATTCACCATGATGAGAGGAAAGACTTGATCGTTTAGTGGGAAAATGGGTACGGATTGTAAGGGATCGGATTTAATGTATCTGTTGGTTATTTATTTAATTATTTAAGAGTTGATTAGTTGCCCAAGTTAGTTTTTAGTTTCCCTAAAACGAAAACCCTAGTTCTTAATTCTTATATTCTTCTTCTTGTATTAAGGGCTTATCATTCCCAGCATGGCTCCAAAAGCAAACTAGGAGCAGAGTCGTCGGTGACCTGAGCCGCAGCATTAAGTGTTTATCTTTCGTTCTCTTCAGAGTTCAGACGTTCACAACAGTGCAGTGATGGAGATCTGATCTTATCGCTCGTTATAAAAAGTGGGGAGAAAGCATATCATCAGTGCACAACGATGACTGAAGCGGTGGGGATTTAGATTATTTCAGATCTGCACAACTAGTTCAAGTTACATTCCAGGAATGATGATGCAAGGCGGCATGGAAAAGTTCTCGTTCTTTCTCGGGAGCTTCAGATCAAGCTTGATCAATTTGGGTGTTGTGCAATTGCAACTTTCTGTTGTGTATCAACATATTCATAATTAATATAAAGAAAAGTTTGTTGATTTATTCTCTGCTTGTTCTTGGTGAATAGTGTGCCGATTTGTTCATCTAATCGTATTCAATAAATTTCTTTTACTAGTGCTAGGTTTACTACTGCCTTAGTTCGACCAAAAAAGTTGACTGTATTAGCAATATTATAATATTATATGAGCAATTATTTTTTAATGAATATTATGAGCAATTATACATTGTGCCTCTAAAACTAGAATACAAGCAAAGAAGTTATGTAAAGTGAAATTAGCGACAAAAAGTAATCTAATAGAGGCATATAGTTTGTTCCTGTAGGTTAATTTAAAGGCAGATACAATTGTCCCCAAAACAAACAACAGGGGCAAAATATATATGTCGCTAAATGTAACATTAGTGGCAAAATTTTCAGCTACTAGAGTGAGAAAAAGACGGTTAAATCGTCATTCACATATCAAATTAGCAACAAACCTATTTGTTGCAAATTCGTGCATTAGCAGCATAAAATATTTGCCGCTAACATTTGTCGCTAAAATGATTTAGCGGCAGCAGTATTGATAGCACACATTTATGTGCCATTATAGGATTATCGCAGCACATAAATGACTTATCGTGACAAATAGACTAAGCCGTTAATTGTCATTTTTCTTGTAGTGTTTTAACCAACCCTACTTTTCACTATTCACCTTAACCCGTGGATCACACATTGGAAGATCCAAATTCACGTCATAGCTTGTGACACATAAAACTACTGTTGCCTGATCCTTGGCCTAAGTTTGGAGGAAACAAAGATGCTCCACCCCTTATACATCCATTCAAAGATGATTTGTGATCTATATAATTCACCAATTTCTTAACACTCTTCCCCACCAATTATATAGTGCCAAAGATGTATTAGATAACGTAAACTTTCCTAGATTCACTTGCCACTTAATTATGAGCACTTCTACTATGCTATATAGTATTGGTGCTTTAATGTACAACTTAAAGTTGTACCATAACATTAAATGTATAAGTTTAGGTTGTACCATAAAGCAATTTGTATCATTATGTTATGGTACAACTTTACGACTTGAAATTGTACCATCACATAAAGGTACAAGTTCAAGTTGTACCATAAAAGAATTTGTACAAAAAGTATAGGTACAATCTAAAGTTGTACCATAACGTAAATGTACAATTTTATGTTGTACCATAAAGGCAAAATCCTATAGCACCAATACTATATAGCATTGTAAAATTTCTCATTAATTATACCATGCTTTACATGGAATTATACTCTTACCCAAATATCTGCCAAGAAATTCCAAGTAAATTTAAAATAACAAATAATAAAAACCCTTTAATTGGTAGGAGAGTTGCCCCAAAAATTGACAACACCTAGTCAGCAATTGGTGGATTAGAACCTTTAAAAGCGATTTTAGCATATATTCTTATATTCTTAAAAGTGATTTGCAATTATGTTGATAAAATATATGCCCTATGTCCCCTCTTTCCCTTCTTGATATGCAAAAATTCTGATTCACTCTCTTACGTAGCATATAATTCCTTACTTAGCTTCAACCACAAGCAATTAACAACAAGTTTGTTTCTTTATCATCACCCATATATCCATTCCTCCCACTCTAAATTGGGTCATTAACCAATTCATCAAATGATCTCTCCATAACACTATAAATCATACCTTGTCACATACCCTCCAAAAGGGCCAAAAACCCTATACTCCAAAAGAAAGGAGCAATGAAATACAGCGAGATATCCCACTTCAGCCACCCTCAACACAAGCTGAGGTACGAGTTCACCGAGTTCCCCTTCAAGTGCGACGGGTGCAAGGAGGCTGGGATCGGTTCGAGGTTCCGGTGCTCGACCTGCGACTTCGACCTCCACCAGCACTGCGCCGTACCGTCCCCTTACTCCCTCCACCACCCTTTCTACACCAAGTGCTCCTTCCAGTTCTTCTCCCGCCCTCCGGGGGACATCCCCCGCTACTGCAACGCCTGCGGGCGCGACGTGGCGGGGTTCCTGTACCACTGCAGGGACTGCGGGTTCGACTTGCACCCCTGCTGTGCCAAGCTCCCCGTCGTCATAGACGATGGGGAGGTCAAGTTGTACCTTTACAGAAAGGTCGGCTCCCCCTGCCACAGGTGTGGCAGAAAAGGGAGGAGCTGGAGTTATCGGTCCACGTGCAAGAAGTACAACTTGCACGTGGCGTGTGTTAAGGACATGTTGGTTGAGAACTGGGCCGATTTGTGTTCAAATGTTAATGAACATCGATATGTTGGATCGAGGAGCGTGAACATTATGGGTAGTGACAGAGAATGTTTTGGTTTCAGTGGAGGTGGTGGCGACGACAGAGGAGCAGGAGGAGGAGGAGGGAGTAGTCGGAGGTTCTGGACGAGGATTCCGACGTTGAAGAACACGGTGAATGTTCAGAGGAAGAGTAAGGGGAAGGTGAAGAAGTGTTGTGAGGTGGCTGGGTTGGGCGTGCAGTTCATTGTGGCGGCTGTGCTTGGTGATCCAACGGCTCTTATTGCTGGCCTTGTTGGAATATTGATTTCCAAGGGTTGATGTTGTTGTTGGTATGGAGAATATTAGGAAGGGTGTGTTGTTAAGCAAGGCCTGTTGATCAATAGTTTAGTACTGTTGATTGCTTTAATGAATAAATGAAGTTCTTCCAGGAGGAAAGTGCAAATGGCAACTTAAGGATGATGTGGGAAAAGCATATGCAATGTACATATTCGTGCTAATGAATGTTTAATGGTTCTTGAAAGTTATGACTTGGATGTTTGTGATAATGAATTTTTTAGTTGATTCTTGTAGATTTTTTTTTTTTTTAGGATTGTAGAATTTTGTTTTGATGAAGGATCATTGTCGAGTTTCGATGAGACAAAATCTTGTATTTGAAAGGAAGAGATAAAGAAATTATGGTGAGGATGAGGATTATAGATCCATCATCGTATCTTAAATATAAGGGAATTTCAATCTTTGGAATGGATGAATCATTCTTCATTTGAATAGAGTACAAGTGTAATCATGTAGATTAAGTATTTTAAGTCGAAAGACTAAGTTGATCATTATAAAAATTGCAAAAGAAATGGAACGAATCATCCCGATTGACAACTTATAATTTCTCTTTATTTTTTTTGTCTTTAACAATCTAGCGACTCAATCTTATATTTGAACTTTTGAATTTTCTTGACAATTTTAAATTGTAGCTCTTTTTTTATTGTATTTATAAACATATAAATTTTCATTCAATTTTCGCTTTTTCCTTATAACATTATAAACGATCTTAAATACTGAGGTTGCACACTATATCTAACTCGAATGTTAACCTTTTTGTAACCATTTATTCTATTGTCAATTTTCTAAATTAATATTCCAGAGCTAGTCAGCCAACAAAAGCAAAAAAAAAAAAAAAAAACAACAAGGTTATCAAAATTAAAAATCTAAAAAATCATCTTCCTCCCTTGTGTTATTGTTGTAAGTTACAACATCCTAAACTATTGCCTAAAATGAGAATAAACAAAAAGAAAATCGCACAAAATAAACAAATTTTCTTTTTCTTCCTTCTCCCATCTCTATCCAATCAATCTCTCAATGAAATGATCCCTCCATTCCCTTGATTCAAAATCCAGTAAAAAAAAAAAAAAAACAAAATACAGTGATCTGCCATTTCCATCCAGGAAAACAACAGCAAAGAATTCCCTCTCTTCCGCCATTTCCTTGTCCTTGAAGAACCATTTTCCCTCTCACAGAGGGAAGATGGCGACAGAAAGAATAAGAAAAAAACCAGGAAGAAGAATGAAAACTCCTTCATCACTACCGCCAAATTCAAAACCAAGCTCGACCCATTACGGCTCGTCGACGGAACCCCAATACCCATATCATGGAATGGCCGCCGCCGCCGCATTTGCCACGTTCCTCTTGCTGAGCTCCATCCCGTCCTTTGCCGCCGGCGCGCCATTTGTGCCGGACGACCGATTCCTAATCGCCTGCGGATCCAAGAGCCAGCTCCAACTCCCCGACGGCCGCACGTTCATGAGCGACGAAGAAGCCAAAGGGTTCCTCAAGAGCGAAGAGAACAATCTCGCCTCCGTTCCTTCCGCCGACGTCCCTTCCTCTGTTTACCTAAACGCCAGGATTTTCACCGCCGAGGCAACCTATAGTTTCACCCTAAAATCCCCCGGATGGCATTGGGTTCGCCTCTATTTCTACCCACTGAAGAACAATAACAAGGATTTGAAAACGGCTAGGTTTACGGTGACGACGGATAAATACGTTCTGCTCCACGATTTCAATCAGGGGAACGAGACCGCCGTCTTCAAAGAGTACCTTCTACACCTAACAGACCAGATCTTCTCGATCCACTTCAAGCCGACGAAAGATTCCGCAGCTTTTATCAACGGGATTGAAATTGTTTCCGCTCCCGACGAATTGATCGCCGATGAAGGAACTGGGCTTTTCCCGGTGAGCGGATTCCCTGGCTTGAACAATTACGGGTACCAGGTTGTTTACAGGTTGAATATGGGTGGGAGTTTGATTACTCCGAAGAATGATACTTTGGGGAGGACATGGGATAATGATAGGCGTTACCTTAAGGCGGAGGTTTTGGCTCAGAATGTAACAGTCCCAACCTCGGCTATTAACTATGGGAAGACGATTACGCCATTGATAGCGCCGCCTTATGTGTACGCAACTGCAGATAAGATGGCTGATGCGCAAACGAACGAGGCCAATTTCAATATTACCTGGAATTTGGATGCTGACCCTTCGTTTAATTATCTGATCCGGCTTCATTTCTGTGACATTGTGAGCAGGTCTTTGAATTCTCTCTACTTCAATGTGTATATCAATGAGAGAACAGCCATCGCTTCGCTGGATTTGTCTGGGCTTACAGGTCAATTAGCATCTCCATACTTCAAAGATATTGTGGTGAGTTCTGCGTTGATAACTAAAGGGCTTGTAGTTGAGATTGGTCCTACGCATGTGGATACAGGAAGTAAAGATGCTGTTTTGAATGGTTTGGAAGTGCTGAAGATGAGCAATTCTGTTGATAGCTTGGATGGAGAGTTTGGTATTGATGGGCGGCAAGCTATAACGAATCGCAACACGGTTGCAGCTGTTGGGTTTGCGATGATGTTTGGAGCTTTTGTGGGTCTGGGTGCAATGGTGATGAAGTGGCATAAAAGGCCACAGGATTGGCAGAGAAGGAGCAGTTTCTCCTCGTGGTTACTTCCCCTCCACGCTGGTGATAGTAGTTTCCTCTCCAAGGGTTCATTGGGTTCCCACAAGTCGAACTTCCACTCGTCGACATTTGGGTTGGGGCGATTCTTCTCCCTCGCGGAGTTGCAGGAAGCTACCAAGAACTTCGATTCGAGCTTCATAATCGGGGTGGGAGGGTTTGGAAATGTGTATCTTTGTGAGATTGATGAGGGCACCAAAGTTGCTGTCAAAAGAGGGAACCCACAATCCGAACAAGGGATCAACGAGTTTCAGACGGAGATTCAGATGTTGTCGAAGCTGAGGCATAGGCATTTGGTTTCGTTGATAGGATACTGTGACGAGAACGATGAGATGATCTTGGTTTACGAGTTCATGTCTCAGGGACCCTTTAGGGACCATCTCTATGGCAAGAACTTGCCCCCGTTGTCGTGGAAGCAGAGGCTGGAGATCTGCATTGGCTCAGCTCGTGGGCTGCATTACCTGCACACAGGGACAGCACAAGGGATCATTCACAGGGATGTCAAGACAACGAACATCTTGCTCGACGATGCATTCGTGGCTAAAGTTGCTGACTTTGGATTGTCGAAAGATGGGCAGATGGGGCAGAACCATGTGAGCACTGCTGTGAAGGGAAGCTTTGGGTACTTGGATCCAGAGTATTTCAGGAGGCAGCAGCTGACTGATAAATCCGATGTGTATTCCTTTGGGGTGGTGTTACTAGAGGCATTGTGTGCTAGGCCGGCGATTAATCCAGCACTGCCGAGGGAGCAAGTGAATTTGGCTGAGTGGGCTATGCAGTGGAAGAGGAAAGGGTTGTTGGAGAAGATCATCGATCCTCATCTTGCCGGGGCTATCTGCCCCGAATCGATGACCAAATTCGCTGAGGCTGCGGAGAAATGCTTGGCTGAACATGGCGTGGATAGGCCTAGCATGGGAGATGTGTTGTGGAACTTGGAGTATGCATTGCAGCTTCAAGAGCAGTTCTTACAAGGGAAGAATGGAGATGATAATGGGGATAAAGAATCTCCAACAGGAGCACCTGGTGCAGCTCCTGCTGCTGCTACTACTGTTCCTATTGCTGCCTCACCAGCTTCATTGCCACCTGCTGCTCCCCAGACCTCTGATTCTTCTTCTTCGCGGGATAAGGAGAATCAGAATCAAGGAGGGCCAAGTGAAGTTCCTGCCATTAGTGAACACTCTGGCACTGCCATGTTTGCACAATTCTCTGACCTAAGTGGAAGGTAACCCATATGCCATGAAGATCACCATCACTTGATACATTTGTTGGAGTTGGCATAAGATCTACAAAGAAGATGTAGGATATGTAGAAAGGTTTGGAGGGATCATCCTCAACATATATATGGGAATGGAATAGTACATTGCTTGAGCAGAAAGTTTGCTTTTTTCCCCTTGTACACTGGTGTTTGTATAGTATGTTTTATCAAGTCCTTAACACCTTCTTCCTCCTCATTTCTTTGGGTGAAATCTTCCTCCTCATCTTTACTGTTTGAATATTCGTATGAAATTTGTAACTGGTGACCTACCCTCATCCTAATTATTGTTGTAAAACCTGGTATGGAAATGGATGTGATCATAATTACATATGCATTCATTCTTCTACTCTTCTTCTCCTAATTCAGAAGAACCTAGGATATGACAGATTTCTAGTCATTTGAATGTAGAACTGGGTCAAATAGAGACAAGCAAATGAAAATGGCAGATGTGGCTTACATGTCTTATTGAACTCTTTTTTTCTTCTTCTTTTATAATGAAGTCTTATTGAACTCTTACATGTTCTTAAAAATAACCTTAATTTATGATTGAATTTTAGGTCTTCTTGTTGTTCATTATAGATCTAAACTATCATGAAAAATTAAATTCCGTTATTCCACATGATTTTGACGAGTATGTTGGCCAAGCAAAAATAAACAAAGTTGAAGCGTTATGTCCCTCTGTTTATCAAGAAGCAAATTAGGCTATCATAGAATCCAATCTTTGCCCTCTTGATTATCAATATTTTTTTTAATGAATTCGATAATCCTGAGAAAAATTATCATAACCAAATACATCGTTTGAAGACGTGACCAGGATCGTAGTATCTATTTCATAATCAATAGGTCAAATTACTTATACAATTATACTAAAATATGACCACAATAACATAGTTTAGATGGATCCTTAAATCTATTTCTTCTCATCAAAATTAGATAATAAATACTGCCTAATTGCTTAAGGGGTCCAGTAGGCTGTGCACGGGTGTAGCATAAGACTCCTGTGACCCACCGAATGTTTCGGCCCCGTTGTTCTCTTCAGTCTCTGTTGGTCTCCGACGTAAATTCTCTGTTGGTCTCCGACAAGTTGTTCTCGTTGTCGGGTATATCAGTGGAATCATCGACGGTGGTGGGTAGGCAAAGAAGAGGTCGGAGTTGGATTTCTCCGTGTGGGTGGCGGCAGGTTGCTAATCGCCAATGAGTTTGATAGGATATGTTGGAAATGTATATGAATAGCTTTGAAAGCTATAGAGTCTCAAGTGGAAAAACTACCACATTTGTAGTTTTACTTGGTGAAATGGGTATAAAGATAGGAGCCTCTCTCCTAAGGGCATGACCCTTGAGGTGACCCACTTTTGTGGGGGAGGGAGGACCTAATGGACCACCAAACACGCGCGCGCGCCGTCCGTCCGGTCGGTCGCTTCACTTAAGACTACATATATATTTTTGGAGAAATTTCGAACGAAATTAACTATCTAATAATTAATTATTAATCGGTTATTCTGAGGAATATTCTAAGGATAATCGACTAAAAAAGGAATATTCGAAGGATAATCCCTCCGGGTTTATCTTAACCGACGGTTTTAATTAAGGAAGTAATTATCTTTCTTAATTAATCCGACTTATTCCCCAAGCAAGAGGGTATATTCCTAGGGGTTCGGCTCCTATAAATAGCCGCCTCCCCAGCCCCTCTAAATACATCACAACGAGCATAAACACAATAGAGAGAATGTTCAGAGAGCTCCGGTTTTCGCACAAAACCGCGAGTATTGAGAGGAGCTGTTTTATCCTGGAGACGACCAGTTGATAGTCTGCCGTGCGCATCGAAGGCAGTGCCGCGAACGTCTTAAAGAAAGCGAACTAGTCCGCGACTCAGCTCCAGATTCGGTAACCTCGTTCTTCTTGTTGTTCCGTTCCTAACAATTTTAAGACGTTCGGCTGCTGCTATGTCGACTGAACAGAACAAAATGGCCGGATCTGGTGCTGTCGATATCAATCGACCCTTTCGCTTCGTTGGGGTCAACTTCCGTCGTTGGAGACAAAAGATGGAGTTCTACCTGACGACCAAAAAGTTGGCACACTGCCTCACCAGCATGCCCGTCGAGCTGCCAGAAGAAGTGACCGATGAGGAGAGGGCTGCTTCTGCCAAAGAAAGGGAGCATGACTTCCTGTGCAAGAACTACATCCTCAACGGCCTAGCAGACGATCTCTACGACTACTATGCGGACAGTAAGAACACCGCGATGATGATCTGGGATGCGCTCCAAAAGAAGTACGACACGGAGGAGGCTGGAGCTAAGAAGTATGTTGTCAGCCGTTACCTGCGCTACCAGATGGTGGATGACAAGTCCGTCGAATTCAGTCCCACGAACTTCAGAAAATAGCTCATGAGATCGTCTCTGAAGGTATGCCTGTGGATGATCAATTTCAAGTTGCTTGCATTATTGATAAGCTGCCCCCTTCGTGGAAAGATTTTAAGAATATGCTTAGGCATAAAACCAAAGAATTTTCACTGGAAAGCTTGATTACTCGCCTAAGGATTGAGGAAGAGTCCCGCAAGCAGGATATGAAAGAAGAGGTGATGGTCGTCACTACTAAACGACCCACCCCTAGAGCTCTTAAACCTAACCAGAAAGGGTTTAAGAGTAAGAACTAGCAGGTCCGCCCCCACCAGAATGGTGCCTCTCGAGGTAACCAAAGGGTCATGGCCCAAACCTCTAAGAATGACCCACTGTTTATCTGCTATAACTGTGAAAAACCGGGTCATATGGCAAAAAAGTGCCGGAACAAGCAAAACCCTGCCGCTGCGGCCAGGGTTAACTTGACAAAAGAGGATTTGATAGCCATGATCACAGATATGATCGCTGAAGTTAACCTCACCGGTGACTCAGAAGGATGGTGGCTGGATACAGGTGCATCGAAGCATGTATGCAACAATCGTGCTATGTTTAAAACATACACAGAAGCACCTGCTGACAAGAAAGTGTTGTTGGGGACTACTCACACCACTATGGTTGCTGGTTCTGGTGAAGTGGAGCTGAACTTCACCTCTGGGAAGAAGATGGTGCTCAAGGATGTGTTGCACACTCCAGAGATAAGGAAGAATCTTGTTTCGGGATATCTTCTTAATAAGGCTGGGTTTAATCAAACTATTGGGGCAGACTTGTATACCCTTATTAAGAATGGGAGTTTTGTGGGAAAGGGATATGCATGTAATGGGATGTTCAAGTTGAATGTCGAAATTAATAAGACGAATTCTTCAGTTTACATGGTGTGTGATTTGAATGTTTGGCATGCTCGTCTTTGTCATGTGAACACACGAATCGTGAAGAATTTAAGCAAGCTAGGACATATCCCTAAACTCTCAATGAATGAATTTGATAAATGTAATTTCTGTAGCCAAGCTAAAATAACGAAAATGCCCCATAAATCTGTGAGTAGAGAATCAGAACCCTTAGATCTGATTCATTCTGATATTTGTGAACTAGATGGGACGTTAACTAGGTCTGGCAAGAGATACTTTATCACTTTCATAGATGATTGCTTTGTTTATTTGATGAAAAACAAAAGTGAAGCCCTTGATATGTTCAAGGTATTTGTGGTTGAATTTGAAAATCAGTGCAATCGAAAGATAAAAAGACTTAGGAGTGATAGAGGATCAGAGTATGACTCTAATCCCTTCAAGGAATTCTATAGCTCACATGGTATCATTCATGAAACCACGGCACCATATTCACCAGAAATGAATGGTAAAGCTGAGGGGAAAAATAGGACGTTTACAGAATTAGTTGTGGCTATTATGCTCAATCCTGGAGTTGCTTCTTCTTGGTGGGGTGATATTTTGTTGACGGTTTGCTATGTGCTAAACCGTCTTCCAAAAACAAATAGAAAAGAATCACCCTATGAGATCTTGAAGAATAGCCACCTAATCTGTCCTATTTAAGAACGTGGGGCTGTTTGGCCTACGTAAGAATTCCGGATCCTAAGAGGATTAAATTGGTTAGTCGAGCATATGAATGTGTCTTCGTTGGCTATGCAGCCAATAGTAAGGCATATAGATTCTATGATTTGAATGCTCGTACTATAATAGAATCCATTGATGCTGATTTCTTTGAGACACGATTTCCATTTAAAACGAGAAATAGTGGGGGTAATGTACTACCCGCTATTAGAGATAACGGAACTAGTGGGAGTGTTGGTTCTGAGGATGAACTTAGAAGAAGTAAAAGAGCTAGAATCTCTAAAGATTTTGGTGATGACTTTACTACAATATTCACCCTCGAAGATCCAAAAAGTTTGCAGGAAGCATTAACTTCCATAGATGCAGATTTTTGGAATGAGGCCGTTATAGATGAAACGGAATCGTTAGAAGCTAATAAGACTTGGCATCTAACAGACTTACCTCCTGACTGCAAAGTCTTAGGTAATAAATGGGTTCTAAAAACGAAACGGAAACCTGATGGTGCAATCGAAAGGTTCCGAGCTCGCCTAGTAGTTAAGGGCTACAGGCAGAGAGAGAATATAGATTTCTTCGATACCTATTCACCAGTATCAAGAATAACATCCATTCGTGTAATGATTGCTCTTGTTGCCTTGAACAATCTCGTGGTACACCAAATGGATGTTAAGACCGCTTTTTTGAACGGTGATCTGGATGAAGAAATCTATATGGAACAACCAGAAGGGTTTGTTATCCCCGAACATGCCTCAAAAGTCTGTAAGTTAGACAAATCATTATATGGTTTGAAACAGGCTCCAAAACAGTGGCATGAGAAGTTTGACACTCTCGTTCTCTCACATGGCTTTAAGGTGAATGAAAGTGACAAGTGTATTTACTGCAAGTCAGAAAATAACACTTGCACTATCATATGTTTGTATGTAGATGACATGTTGATATTTGGTACAAATATTCACGTGGTCAATGAAGCAAAAGCCATGTTGAAAGAGAGCTTTGAGGTGAAAGATCTGGGAGAAGCAAAGTTTATGCTTGGAATCCAGATAACTAGAACAACAAATGGTTATTCTCTAGATCAATCTAGCTACATAGAGAAGATCTTGAAGAAATATAACTATTTCGACTGTAAACCTGCGTGTACTCCGTATGATGCTAGTGTAAAGCTATTTAAGAACACTGGAGACAGTGTAAGACAATCAGAATATGCTAGCATCATTGGCAGTCTTCGTTATGCTGCGGATTACACTCGACCAGACATTGCATATGTCGTGGGATTGCTTGGCAGGTTTAACAGCTGTCCTAGTAGAGTGCATTGAAATGCTATAGAGAGGGTCATGAGATACCTCAAGAGAACAGCAAACCTTGGTATACACTATCAAAGGTTTCCTGCTGTACTAGAAGGGTATAGTGATGCGGATTGGAATACCCTATCAGATGACTCCAAGGCAACCAGCGGGTATGTTTTTAACACCGCTGGTGGAGCTGTGTCTTGGAAGTCAAAGAAACAAACAATCCTAGCTCAATCAACTATGGAATCAGAGATGATAGCACTAGCAACGGCTAGTGAAGAAGCAAGTTGGTTGAGAGGATTGTTGTCAGAGATTCCCCTATGGGATAGGCCGGTCCCTCCGGTATTGGTCCATTGTGATAGTACCTCAACTATCGCTAAAGTTGAGAACTAGTTCTATAACGGAAAGAAACGACAGATTCGTTGTAAGCACAGTATTGTAAGAGAACTCCTAAGATAGGAGCAGTGAGGGTGGATCATATAAGATCCGAACAGAATCTAGCTGATCCTTTGAGGAAAGGATTACCTAGAGAGAAAGTCCAAAATACCGCCAAGGGAATGGGACTTATGCCTACCGAACCACGGACTACAAGTGATGGTAACCCGACCCAATAGACTGGAGATCCCAAGAATTGGGTTCAATGGGTAATAACAAGTCATGAGTAGCATGCGAAAAGTTCATGCATTGTGAAGCATGAATCCCAAAGCAATGGAGGTTGAGTTAATAAATGACATCTATACCCTATGTGGGGTGGAGTACTTTACTTTGGGGGTACTCCTGATAGACTCACCTATGTGAATGTGGGAGTGAGGCCGCTCCCTATGAAACTTTGGAGGCACAAAGTTGCTAGAGCGTTCACTAAACCAGGATAACATGCATGGCCATAAACGCATGGGCTAAGAAGAGAACACAACTCAATGAAAAGATCCGGTGTGCTACACTGTCTGAGATAGGGTTCAAGACTACGAGTCACCCTTATGAAATCGGATGTGTAACCACTACGCTAAGGTTCAAATCTTCGCGATACCTTAGCTTATGCCCGATCTTATGGAACTGTTGATGCTCAGAGATAGTTTCAACACTATTCAAGTGGGGGATTGTTGGAAATGTATATGAATAGCTTTGAAAGCTATAGAGTCTCAAGTGGAAAAACTACCACATTGGTAGTTTTACTTGGTGAAATGGGTATAAAGATAGGAGCCTCTCTCCTAAGGGCATGCCCCTTGGGGTGACCCACTTTTGTGGGAGAGGGAGGACCTAACGGACCACCACACACACACGCGCGCGGCCGGTCGGTTGGTTCACTTGAGACTACATATATATTTTTGGAGAAATTCCGAACGAAATTAATTATCTAATAATTAATTATTAATCGGTTATTCTGAGGAATATTCTAAGGATAATCGACTAAAATAGGAATATTCGAAGGATAATCCCTCCGGGTTTATCTTAACCGACGGTTTTACTTAAGGAAGTAATTATCTTCCTTAATTAATCCGACTTATTCCCCAAGCAAGAGGGTATATTCCTAGGGGTTCGGCTCCTATAAATAGCTGCCTCCCCAGCCCCTCTAAATACATCACAACGAGCATAAACACAATAGAGAGAGTGTTCAGAGAGCTCCGGTTTTCGCACAAAACCGCGAGTATTGAGAGGAGCTGTTTTATCCTGGAGACGACCGGTTGATAGTCTGCCGTGCGCATCGAAGGCAGTGTCGCGAACGTCTTAAACAAAGCGACCTAGTCCGCGACTCAGCTCCAGATTCGGTAACCTCGTTCTTCTTGTTGTTCCGTTCCTAACAGGATACACCATAGAATTTCAGAATTTCGTGCACCTTTTCCCAAGCTTCTCTGATCTCCCTAAGTTGGCGGCTCGCCGACTTTGCGCTTTCTCTTTCCATTTTACTAGTCAGCCACCAGTCCACCATGGATGACATATCCAACTTCTCTCCATCGGTTTTCCTCTCCTATCATTGCCTGAAAGATCATGAAGAAATAATTAGTTGTTAATATTGTAATTAATCCGCTACTTAATATAAGGCGGCTGGCCAAACCTCTGCTCACACCTTTAGGCGATGCAAACGTTTCAATGACAGGATCAACCAGGCGGAGCTTATTGATCTGGGTTTCTCGGGCCCGCAATATACTTGGACTAGAGGAGAACCGCCTAATTCTTACAAAGCTAGCCGTATCGACAGAAGTTTGTGTAACTCGAGGTGGAACGACTCCTTTCCAGGCATTGTTGTCCTTCATCTCCCTCGACTTCACTCTGACCATCACCCCATCTTAACCACGACTGGAAATCAGGGAGTCTCTCCACCCTCACGCTCTTTTCGGTTTGAAGGCGCGTGGTTCTCTCATGAAGCTTATGATGATATATTGACAGGTGGTTGGGATGAACAGGCTCCGCTCCATGTGGCTCTCCAGAAGATGGCCGAGAAGCTAATGTGTTGGAATCACACTACCTTCGGCAACATACTCCGCAAGAAAAGAAGGTTGATGAACCGCATTCACGGGATCCAAATCCGAGTAGCGAATGGCTTCTCCCCAGGGCTCTTTAAGCTGCAAAAGAAACTGGAAGCTGAACTTGACAGAGTTCTTGAGCAGGAAGAAATGCTCTGGTTCCACCGTGCTAGGGAGAAATGGGTTCAGTTTGGCGAAAGGAACACCTCTTATTTTCATCAGCAAGCTAATATTCGTCGCAGGAGGAACAGGATCGAGAGCTTCAAGGATAATAATGGTGAATGGGTGACAGACCCTCAAACTTTGGCGTCGCTTGTTTTTGACTATTTTGCAGCTCTGTACTTGCAGGATAGCCAGGAGTATGCTGACCACATGCCAAAGGAAGCATTCCCACGTCTTTCTCATGAAGACCTGCTCCATCTTCTTCGCCCCTTCAATGCTGCTGACATTTATAGGGCTATTCAGGAGATGAAACCTTTTCAAGCACCTGGGCCTGACGGTTTTCATGCAGCTTTCTTTCAACGGTCATGGCAGGTCGTGGGAAAAGCTCTTATTGATATGGCCATGAGTTTCTTTGCTGCAGGTTCACTCCCAGAGCAAGTTGTGGAATCGACAGTGGTGCTAATTCCAAAGGTTGATCACCCGGAGATGGTCTCTCAACTCCGACCCATCTCTCTCAATAACGTCTGCCTGAAGGCCATCACGAAAGCCATCACCAATCGACTTAAGCCTATCATGAGAAAGCTGGTTTCCCCCCGTCATAGCAGCTTTATTCCCGGGAGGCAGACAACAGATAACATTATTGTGTTGCAGGAAGTTCTCCACTCTCTTAAGAAGAAGAAAGGAAAGAAGGGAGGGATGGTCCTCAAGATCGACCTCGAGAAGGCTTATGATCGGCTCCGATGGGATTTCCTCCGGGACACCCTCATGGAGATAGGCCTCCCTAGCTCCTGGATCAACTGTGTCATGTTTTGTGTTGAGAACAATCAAATGCGGTTGCTGTGGAATGGGGAGTTGTCTGGTCCTATCATTCCCACCAGAGGTGTTCGCCAGGGAGACCCTCTATCCCCTTACCTTTTTGTTTTGTGCATGGAACGGTTATCTCACAGAATTGAGCAGGCCATCCAAGACAAGCTTTGGAAACCCCTAAGGCTGTCTAGGGATGGACCGCCGCTGTCTCACCTTTTCTTTGCGGATGATCTTATTTTGTTTGCAGAAGCTGAAGGGGCGCAAATCAAGGTTATTAAACAGTGCCTGGACGAGTTCTGTCTTAGCTCGGGTCAGAGGGTCAACTACAGCAAGTCGGCTATCTTTGTTTCAGCCAACATTGACAGACGGATTGCTAGAAGACTCGCTAACAGAGTGGGGATCCCTCTTACTGTCGATCTTGGGCGATACCTGGGGGTGATGGCGATCCACGACAGAGTGACCAAGACCATATATCAGGACCTATTTCTTAGGATACAGAGGAAGCTGGCTCCGTGGAAGGCTAAGCATTTGTCCCTTGCTTCTCGTATTACTATTGTGAAATCAATTTCTGCCTCCATCCCTATTTATCCTATGCAGACTGAGCTTCTTCCTATGAGCACCTGCAAGACCCTTGATCGGATGAATCGCAGTTTCATATGGGAGGACACGGATGACAGGAGAAGGCTACATCTAGTTGGTTGGCCACAATTGCTCCTTCACAAAAATGATGGGGGGTTGGGCATCAGACCAACTAGGAACGTGAACCTGGCGATGCTAGCTAAGGGAGGATGGAGACTCTTGCAGGAGAAGGATACTCTCTGGGTTCAGTTGGCTCGAAGCAAGTATGGAAAGGGACGTGACAACCTCGACATCCTGAGAAACAGTCAGGGAAGTTCCTTTACCTGGAAAAGCTTTGCTAAGGCAGCTAGCCTAGTGAAACAGGGCTGTGCCTGGAATATTCATAAAGGAAATAAGACTAAATTTTGGGCTGATATTTGGATTGCGCAGGTACCACTACAAGAACTGGCTACCGGAACAATACCGGAGGAGGACCGAGACGCTAAAGTTGCTGATTTTGTCGATGAAGAAGGAAGGTGGAAAGTGGAGAAGTTCACAAACATTCTCCCGCCGGAAATTCAGCACCAAATTACAGCGGTAGCAGTGGATCATATGGCAGCGGAGGACGATACTATCTTCTGGCAAAACACATCTGATGGGAAGTTCTCAACCAAGAGCGCCTTTTGCATGCTCCAACACGCCCCTAATCACCAGGATCAGCGCTTGTGGAAGAACATCTGGCAACTCCCGGTCCCGGAACGGGTGAGGTGCTTTATTTGGTTGGTGGCTCATGAAAGAATTAGCTGCAATGCGCAGCGGATGGCGAGACATATTACCCAGGACCCGTTCTGCTTTAGATGTGCAACGCAGATCGAGACAGCCCTCCATATTTTCCGAGACTGTCCCCCGGCGGCCTTTCTTTGGGCGCGGTCTGTTCCGTCGGAGCTCCAGAACGAGTTCTTTAGCCTTCCCTTCGGTCAGTGGCTGAGATGGAATCTGGGTAAAAGCGACACTGCAGCTATGGGAATGCCTTGGAGTGCCTTTTTCAGCATTGCTCTTTGGAGCCTGTGGAAGAACAGGAATGAAGGTACCTTCAATGGTTTACATAAGACGTTGTCTCCACCTTCTCTTATGCAAGCAACCAAGATCAAAGCAGAGTTATGGTACAAAGCTTGGAAGGCCCCAACAGACATGTTGGGGCGACCTCAAGGACCCACTGCACGCACTCGAGTGGAAATTGGGTGGTTGCCACCTCCACCTGGTTGGATCAAAATGAATGTAGATGGAGCCTCTAACGGGGAGCAGGGGCGAGCAGGGGCTGGAGGAGTTTTACGGGATGCTAACAAGCTTTGGATAGGGGGCTTTGTCTCCAGCCTTGGATCATGCGCAGCAGGTATGGCGGAAGTTTGGGCGATTTATCATGGACTTAAAATGGCTTGGGCTGGCGGCCATAGAGTGATCATTTTGGAATCAGATTCGCAGACGGCGATTCATCTCATGAATAACAGATCGGACCCCCTCCACCCTTATGCGACGCTACTCTCAGCTATTAGGCGCATGATGTCTCAAGACTGGGTGGTGAAGCTGGTTCATACCTACCGGGAAGGGAATAGAGTCGCGGACTGGCTCTCGAAGTACAGTCTCGTCTATCCCTACGGGTTGTATGAATTAGAAGCACCACCTCAGGGAGTTATACCCCTACTCGATGAAGATACTAAAGGGACTACGACTGCCAGAGATATAATTCCAACCTCTTCCCCCTCGGTCATGTAACTTCCCCCTCCTGTGTTGCTGTCTTTCTTCTTTGGCCTTGTGCCTCCACTAATGCAAAAAAAAAAAAAAAAAAAAATTAGTTACACACTATCGAGAAGCGGCGAGGCAAGTTGGGGTTCCAGTCAGCAGGTGCACTCTCCCGACTGACAGCTTAGTAACTTCGGTTTTTTGCATGCTCAATCTGCAATACGTGCAAGCCTTCTTTATCCGAGATTCATATTCACATTAGTCTGTCATGCAGATAGCTCTTACTTGAGACCTTCCCCTTGCTGGCTGTCAAATGAAAGAAAGCCTGCAGTACTGATGAGAGGAAGAAGAGCGGTCGATCTTTTGCGGGGATTGCATTTTCCCTTTCACTTATTCAATTCATCCGTCTCCTTTTTTCACTGCATGCGCAATATGTTTGCATGAGTGACACCTATTAACCTTTGGAAGAAAAGAAGTGCCACCTGTCGTCCCTGATGGTTTCTTCCCGATGTTTTATCATTTATTTTATTTAATCTATTCAATTGCACACCGTATATTGCTACAACTTCTAGGCGTTTATAAGTAATTGCTTCCCTACATATAAAATACTTACAATTATAATTAGAATAATTTGGTAAGTATTCACCGGTGTAAGAAATCATTAATCAAGTAATCTGATGGGAACTTAATCATAGCGCTAAATCTCTTTACCATCATCATGGTAAAGTGGCCATGCCCATATTTTTATTTTTATTTTTATTTTTACATATATATAACCTACATACTTCATTTCAATAAATGTCAAAAGCTAATAAGAAGCAATCAACATGGATAATCAAAGAATTGTGCATGATTCTAACACTTGAAACATAATTATCTAATCCTCATACCACAAAATTGTCACGGTCATACCTCATCCGAATCTTAGTTTCTAACGACTCAAATTATTTATGAACATTAGGTTTTCAAAGGAATTATTTCAATTGATTATTTTGACATTTTTCCTATCACCATCACAAAAAAAAATTGCATATTTAATTATGCTAATTTATCAAACATCCGTCAACACATTTAGATTTAAAATCATGGCAAAACCTTTATTCCGAAATAAAAAGTACATATAAGGATAATTCTCAAGGAACCAAACTATTTACTTTAAACCAAAATATTGAAATGTGCAATATTTCATAAACTAATACAATTCATTTGTGTGAAAAATTTAGAAACTGGAGCTCACTTCAAATATTTTCCTTTCGTAAGAAAGATCAATGGAGAGACATAGTGATTGTTGACCAATCTCTTAGTTAATTAGGAAAGTCAAAATTTAGAACACAAATGGCATTTCAAAAATTGAGGATACAATGGAAACAAAATGTAAACTATGCACTCTTTTTAGTATTAGATGATCTTATTTGAATTATTGAAATACATCAAATAAAGTAACAGATTATGAATCCTTTAAAAAAATCTCAAAGAACTCTGACAGGATAAAGTGATATTTGTTTTCTAAGAACATTTACAAAATCATAGTAAAAAAGTACTGATTTTAACATTCGAAATTATTCTACAATAAAATAAATCAATATAACTTAATTAAATTTAATATAATTCAATTAGATTCAACACTCCCGCCGCAAAGCGCGGGCCAATTATCTAGTAATATTTAAACATCATCTAATTCTCTTTTTCTTTTTTTACAAATAAACACCATCTAATTCGATCCCTATGAGTAAGAGAAAAACTAAAATATCAATTGTTGAAACAACAAAAGAAAATAGAAGGAACAATATATTAATCCTATCCCATCCCTCCATCGTTCCAGCTCCATACCACCTCCCAAACTCCCCCTTCCTTCCTGGCCGCCAATTCCCTCCTTTTTATCCTTCCCCAGTTATGCTCTCTTTGGCTTTGCTTCCAAATTTAGCTCATATAAACACAACAAATCCTCTACAAAAGCAAGTTCCTCTCTCTATCTCTCTACTTCCTCCGCCTTCTCTTCTCATGACATAGAAAGTCCAACCCCAAGAATGACTTTCAACATGGAGTCTTTGAGGAGTAATCTCACCCATAAGTAAAGCTTCATGGCAATTTCAGAACCCACCTCCTGGAATTCTCCTTCCGTTGTTCTTTTCATCTTAAACAATGCTGCAACATGTTCTTTTTGAGTTTGGACTTTGGACAGGAGAGGGTTGTCAATATATTATTCAGGAAGATCAAGGTCATTTGCATGCATCGACCTGGAAAAACCAGAACATCCTGATCTTCAGAAGAAGAAACACTGGGTCTAAAAAAAAAAGAGAAGAAGAAACACAAAGACAGGAAGGAATTCAACTTCCCTTATAACCAATACAGGAGAGTCCCACTTCCCAACATAACCCACATAATTTTTGTATAGAAAGTTGCAGATTTTTGTAGATTTATAATATTCTTTAGCAAAGAAATTTGTTTACATGGCACCATTTTCCAACCAAATAAGGTACCTGGATTAAGAGATCTCTTGAACCTAATTAGGGAAAACAGAGGTAACCTAGTTTTTACAGTTTGTGAACCAGATAAGGGGGGCAAAAGAGACGAGGAAAAGTTAGAAATGTCCTCTCTAAAAGGACCAAAACCATGCCCTGCTAAACAAAAGAATCATCATTTCCCCTAACTGGCACCAAAATTAGCTGTGTGAGAAAAACTAAAGACCCCTTCGCCTATCGCAACTTTTGCTTCTTATTTGTGTCTATATCCCAATGATCAAGCATGACGAGTTCTTCATCATCATCGCCATCGTCAATTTTGTGAACTTTCTTGTGATTTGCAGCAGTAGCTTCATTGACATCATTTGAAGGAGGATCCGTGCTGATGTCCCTAGAATCTGGAGCTTTTCTTTTATTTCCTGAAGCGCCGATCTCCTCAATATTGATTTTGACCACCACCTCTGCTTCAGCCTCGACAGTCTCTGTTTGTGATGTTTTCGAACTATCTCCATTCCCAGTAGGAGGCTTGTCATCATCATCCTTGGGCTTTGTAGGAACTTGCGTCCATCCATGGAGAACCATTCCGTCTGGCTCGTTCTCCTCATCGAACTCCTCCCTGTGAGAGATCATGAATGCATATTTAGAAAGTGGATGAATAGTGAAACACATGGAGTGTGTATTTTACTAAACAATTATAAGTCACAAAAAAAGTTACTCAGAGATGAAACAAACACCCTTCTTCGATCTAACTTTGCGAAGACATTTATAGCCCACCACTGATCCATCTCACGTGAATCGTAACGGAATTGTTTAAGAAATTGCTTCTATTACCCAATAAAATTTTCCATGTTTCTCGGGGAAAAGAAATCACTGGAGTTATTTTTATTTTATTGAAGTGATAGCTAAAACAAACCTATGTTTGATATTGATATTGCAAGTGAACTCCTGCTGCAGATCCTCGACGGTTAGCATTGTGCCACTGGTAACTGGAGAAGGCAGACTAGACAGCACCTGACCATGAAATGCACAGAAAGACAATATGTGGAAAGATCAGAAAAGGAAAAGAAATATCGCTAACTGCATTTCAATCCACAGTTTGATAAGTAACAAGATGTACCTTCTCAAGGTTAGCAGAATAGTTAGCGATCATAGCATCGTCCAGATCATCCCCAACTTCATAAAGAAGGGAAGACCCATGCATGATCAATGGAGAGGTCATGCTAAGCTTGGCTTTAACAATCTTTTCCACAAAATCCCTTAGCTTTGAATGATTGGTGTCGATCTCCAATGTTAATGGTGTCTGGTAGCATTTCACATCAAATTCAAATGTTAGCAAATGTCCAACAATGAGTAGATCGAAATCCATTAATTTATTACTAGAAATACAGAGAGATACTTCGGAGCAAACACAGCAGGACTTGTTTGGCTCGAAAGGCTGCACTGGCATAATAAGCATCTTTTGGGTAACATGTTCGAGACAGTATGACATCCTGCAGCGACATAGCTACATACTTTAGAAATGTTTTAATGACTGTCAAATTGGTAAAAATTCCCAACACCAGAGCCACTACTTAATAGCTGCAGAAGAAGAAACTAACAGGTAAAATAGGTAATACCTGTAACTGTCGAAGTCCTTTTGCAACACCTTGATTGCTTCAATGACAATTAGGCCAGCTACAATTGCATTTGTTGTTGCAACTGCATGCACAATGTTACCAGCAATACCTTTTGCTTCAAAAAGGCTATGCAAAGGGATCCCAAATGAAGCAGCCCGAATATTTGCAGCAGCAGTAACAAATTCAACAGCTAACGGATCATCTTTGTCAAAACAAAGGCTTCCAATCTCCTGCAGAAAATTTTGAGGGAACAAATGAGTACCAAGCAATACAAGGGCATCATCCATCTCTTTCATTGAAGAAAACAAATCAGCCAACCTTTTCTCTTTTTCCAAAGAACAACTTCAAAGCCTCGAAAAAAACTCTCGAATTATCCTTAAGGCTCCAGAGATCCTGTGGATTCTTGAGGCCCAAAGATGCCATAGCAGACACCGACAAAGGATCACCAGCTGAGCCAGCTTTATCTGAATTTCCATTTTGCTGCATCAGTTCAGCACATATAACATCTCTACTGTATATGGGTCTGGGCTTGTTTCGACTTTTCCATGTCTCTTCATTAGATAAAGCTTGTTCAATATTATAACCGAACACGTGGTCATATATTCTCCTCCCATACTGTTCAATGCTTTCATTAGCTTTGCGTTCAAACACATCTTCAGCTTGCTCCGATGAGCCGGTGGAATCACTCGAGCGGACATTTAAATCATTGTCCTGATTTTTGTCACCAAACAACTTTGCAAACAGAAGTTCTTTTGCCCAAACAATACAGTGAACAAACTGCATTTTGAAACGAGGAGCGAGTTAAACACTTGACCAAAACTTCAATTCAGATGCAATTTACAGAAAATCTATTAAGTTATGCCAGCAGCAAAGAAACAGACTCCGCAAGTGTTCATTCAGAAAGAAAGATTTGACTGGCACCAGATGGAACCCAAAATGCACAATTCACTTAACAAATACCTTTGATGGAGTGCTAGTAATTGTGCAAACAGGATATGTCTTGGGAGAAGGTTTGGGATTACATTCGTAGCAATCAGTTCTTCCTTTAACGTGTACTGACACCTGCAACGACAACCAATGACAAGACCTGCGTCATTCGACAGTTATCGAAAACAATACAGATTCTAATCCGTAACAGAACTCTTCTTCAGGGAGGTGAGAAAATCAGACAAAAATGAGAGTCGTAATGATTGGAAACATCAAAGATACAGGCAAGCACAATGAGCACGTTTAAGTGCTTCGCACAATTATCAAATTGCTCTTCGCATAGAGTTTTCAAACAGAAAAACCATCAATTGATGAGAAAACAAGAAGGTAAATACGCAAGAGTGTAGAAAAAAGAGGACGCTCAACAATAACAAATTTATATAATTGTGGATTCTGTGAAATGAACAAGATAACAAAGCTCACCTGCCCTAGGAAGCCAGTAGTTCCACTCTCCACCAAAGGAACTTCAGCGGCCAGACACAAGCGATTTACATGTCGCCTTGCATCTAAGTTGTCAAGCCCATTCAGTACAACATTGAATTGCTTGAAGAAGTCCACATTGAAGTTAGAATCTTTCACGTTTGCATGGTATGAACTGATACTAATATGAGGCCTGAATCTCAGTACAGCATCTCTAGCAACCTCCAAGCATTATCGAAAATTATTAGTCAAACCCACAACTGACGATAAAAATATAACAGACAAGGGCGATGGGCACAAAAGCTTACCTTGGCCTTAGACTGCCCAACATGCTTCTGACGAAACAAAAACTGCCTATTAAGGTTGCTAACTTCAATAGTATCCATGTCGATCTGCAAAGAAAAACGTAAAGTTACATCAGACCAAGTTTGAAAACTAGTTATGCAGCTTAGGCGGATCACCGGAATTAAAAAAACAAATCGTGAGAACACTTGCATCTTAAATCTGGAAAACAAACTTAGTACATCTTTTGGCCAAAGCAGAAGCTGGAAAATAGAAAACTTTGCAAACTCCACAATCTTCTATGAATTAACTGGCACTAAATGAACAGGCTCGTCCATGATCCCAACGCTTCCTATGAATAACAACTGGGAGAAGTTGTTGTCGGGTTGCATGCACCTTCCCCATCTCATGAGAATTGTGATAATCATAAATTGCAAAGTTACTACTCTAAAGGACAAGCAATGAACTGCCAATTATAGCAAACAAATTTCTCCCAAATCCGCCGTCAAAGGTTGCAATTTCTCTCATAAATAATTAACGTAGCAGCGCTAAACCCTTCAACCCAGAAACAAAAATCCCCCAGACGAGAGAAACTCCTCGTCAAGAAGACCGTTGGTAATCTAAGAACCAGAATTATAGAAAAGGATGGAAAACTGAAAATCATAACTTGGAATAATCAAGACCCGAGTAGGGGGAAAACTGAAACGTTCGGAGCAATTACATACAATATGAATATCCTCGAAGCCAGAGAGGGCAAGGGTCTTGAGAAGCTCGCATCCAATCCCACCTGCTCCAACCATAAGCACTTTGGCGCCCTAAAAAACAAAACCCAGAAGCAAGAACATGAATCAGACGAAACCCTTAACACTGGCCCAGCTCCTAAACTGGGTTTTTGTGGAGTTTGTGTGATTGAGAACTTGGAACAATACCTTGATAGCGGGAGACTGCTGCAGGGACGCCATTGGGAACGGAGTGGAGACCCGGAAGAGAGTGACAGATGGAGTAGACGAAGTAGAGAACGAGAGGGAAAGAGGGGGGAAGAAGTTGCAAGTCTGCTCTAATTGATTCACAGAAGTCGTCTGCAGGCAAAAAGAAGGACGAAGAAAGGGAAGGTTTCAACCAAAAAAAAAAAGGAAGGTGAAACGTGAAAGAGTGAGAGTGGTATTGAAGAATCGAACTCGGGACTTAGAGATGAGCAGAACAGCCTATGAGAGTCTTTTTGGAACCGTTTTATATAAATAAAATATTTTTTGTGTTTGGTATTAAAAAGAATTTATTTTCAATTCTAAATTTTGAATTTTACGAAATTGGAACTAGTTGTAGCAATTCCGAATTGAGATAGAATTTCCAATGAATTCCACAAGTATTTACTAATTATAATAGAATGACATTATTATCCTCTTTTATTAACTAAATTACTTATACATATGACATACTAAACACATAAATTCATTTGACAATGAATTCTACACGACACTTCAATGATTTAAATATAACATACCAAACATAGGATTTCATTTGACAATGAATTCTACACGGTAATTCATTTTACAATAAAATGAATTCTCGGTTCATTTGGTACCAAACGGTCTGTTAGTGAACTAATAACAATTTTCCCGAATTTTCTAGTTTTACCTCACCAGTTGGTCGGACGAATCTTTCGAATTATTCAAAGATAAATGATTTGAGTTTGGTTGTCTTATACCTAACTCGTTGGTCGGACGACCTTTTCAAATCATTCTGAGACAAATTATTCGAGTTTGATTGTCAGAAATTCCATTATTTATGCTAGAAAGCATAGAGGAAATCTAATGAATAGGAGAAGTGCGAAAACAATTACATGTGTTCTTGAAATGTGGATGTTATGAAGATTAACAACACTATGTATTGCAATCATTCAAACCTCCAAGTTTTATTTTGACGAACTTTGTAATTAATGTGACAGAAAGCATCTTCAATATTCACTAATTCACCATCGATAATGTCATCGGTTACTTATGGTGAGGAGGAAATCTATGTTGTCATGGATTGGGAAGAAGAATGAGCATTGGCGACATATAGTAACAAACATGTTAGCAAGAGTGAAAACATTATGGGTGTGTGTGATTCTAAAGTTTGAGTGAAAATATATAATGAACTCACTATATTATCTAGACAGTTGTCATTGTTGTTGTCGATGTCTTCTCTTTTTCTTCAATGGTCCTCAATAAACAAAGTTTCCTTGCAGTGTTGGAGTAATCATTGTCAGTAAACTTGATATGCACATTTGATTCTTTACCTTCAAGCTCCAAAATTCTAGTAGATGATGAGTTGTTTTCGTTTTGATTTTTGTCATAAAACTACTGGGCCAATATGTTTAACAGTTTGGAGGCCACATGATGAGCAATACCAAATCCGTTGCAGCGAAGTCAGTGGTGTAGCCAAGTTCGAGTTTAGTGGGGTCTTATTTACGAAAAAAATTATAACATTGTATTCAATTATTAAGTACATTTTCTTAAAAATATTCAGTCAAATAGTCATTCATCAAATCATTAGTTATTAGATTTGTAGCTTACATTTTGTGTAACTCATAATTGAAAAGTGACATTTCAATAACTAGCTAAAATAAATAGTTCCCAAGCACAATCTAATACACACAAACGTTTTATAAAACACATTTGATGACAAAGAAATTGTATATTGATAGAAAAAATTTGTTGAACTAAGAGCTTTTTAGATATAGCTAGAGGTTTTTGTACACATATTTAGTAGAATTAGAAATTTTTATAATAAGGACTATAAATTTGGGGATTTTCAATGATATATGACCAATATAGTCTAATTTATTTGTGTGTTTCATAATACTAGGACAATTAAATTCCATATGAATGAGGTCCTGAATTCTAAATCTACTCAAATTAAACAAGTATGTACATACATTTAACGATTTTAATTTATCCACTGAGCGAAGTTATCGGTCATAGTAATGACAATGCAAAACATTTGTTAACAAACGGGCATATGGATTACTTTGATGGATTCACATTAGAATGATAGAGTTGAACAATGGGATCAACCTCAATTTAGCGACATGTAATTTGGTTCGTTTGGTGTGGAGGACACTATATTTGACTCATAGAAACTATAGAAAGTCAAACCATCGCAAATAATATCAACTACACATCCATATTTGTCTTATATATAAGACATATGCATAGTCCTGACAACCAACCGTCAATCTCAAAACTAAAACTAACATAATTGAATAAACGCAAGTTATAGTTCAAATGCGAGGTTGAACATCTAAGCTAATGAGCTGCAACCTCCAACGATGTTGAAAAAGAAAGCATTTTATATGGGACTTCCATGTCCTGACTTGACACGAACTTAACATAGGCGCTTTATATTTGGTGAGGCCGAAGAACTTAGTTGTTGCTGTGTACCTCTATGTAATGTAACATCTTAATCATATTGACATATTGAGAAAATTAAAATGAAAGTTGGAGTGAAGGAGGTGAAAAAGAAGACCTACATATTCATAAGTGTGACAGCCAATTAATAGCTCTATGCTCAACTAAGAGGAGAACCACATTAAAGCAGTAACTTTCAATCTCAATGTATATGAGGAGCACATATATTTTCTGTTTTTCACACATTGTGGTGAAGTGCTTTTACAAATTCTACAACATGTGCAAAACTTGGACCCGCTAGAGTATGATGCGAACACAATTGTTCAAATTGACTACCAATCACACACATGTTCATATACCAACCCGCAATACCTAAGGGGAAAGTAACTCGATGCCACAACCCGACCGACCTGTGACCCAATTGACCCACAACCCGTCCGACCCATGAACCAATTGACCCAAAACCCAATGAACCGCAACCCTACTAACCAGAACCCGATGAACTCACAACCCGACTAACCCACAACCCGATTGAAATCAGGTCGAACCCGTCCGTCAATTTATAAGATAGATAAAAAATTTAATTAAGTATTAAACTGCAATTAAAATTAAACAACTTTCAAAATTGAACCATCAAAACACCAAATTAGTACTTACGAATATCTATTGGGCTAGCTAACTGTTCGAAAGTTCTGTGATTTTCATATTTTAGCTCATGTATATTTTTAATTTAAAAAAATACAACAAATCTACAGGGGCACTTTGACTTTGTTTGAAGTAGGGGTGGGCATCCGGTTTGGTTTTACTGAACCAAACCGATTTCAAATCGAACCGAAACCGAATTAGTATTATTCGGTTCGAAATTCGGAAAAGAAATATATTTAATTTGGAAACCAGAATTATAATGACCGAACCGAATTTCTGAATTCCGAACCGACCAACCGAAATATACCCAGCCTACCCATATTAGACCTCCACCAATCAATGGGCCTCAGCCCAAACCTCTCCCCTCACTTAATTATCAGCCCACCCGTCCCTCCTCTAGGCTTGAGCCCATACCAAACCCCCTTTACAGCCCACTGCCCACCATCCTAACTCTCATAACCCTAGCAAATAGGGACCGGTTATTGTAACAACACTCATTGTGTTGTTATTGTAACAACACTAGTCCCCAACCAATAGGAAGCTAGGGATGTGATGACTTTTTATTAGTTGAGTTGACCTAGTGTAAAATCAAAACAGGGGTATAATTGTCATTATGAAAAATATGTTTAAATAATAAAAAATAAAAAAATAAAAAAAATAAAATTTTTTTTATTTTCTGCCCAAAAATTTGGTCGCCGGAATTCTGCCACCGGTCGCCGGAAAATGGTCACCGGTCACCGGAATAAGCTTTTGTGTCGCCGGAATATGCTTACCGGAGTCGGAATATGCTTACCGGCGTCGGAATCTAGTCACCGGGGCCGGAATATGCCTATCGGCGTCGGAATCTGCTCACTGACGGTCACCGGAGTTCGGTCAACGAACTTCGTTGACCGGTCAACGGTCTTCATTGACCGGTCAACGGTCAACGACCACCGGATGTATGGTCTACATTGTGAGATTTATGGTTTGGTTTCTCATATTTTCGTATGCCTTTTGTGGTTTGCTTGATCGTGTTTGTGGTTTGCATTAAGAAGTTTCTGGTTTGCTTTATCGTGTTTGTGGTTTGCATTGAGAAGTTTCTGGTTTGCTTTCAAAAATTTTGTGGTTTGCTTTGCGGGGTTTCGGGGTTTCTGGTTTGTTTTAATAGACTTTTGGTCTGCATTAGGACGTTTCTGGTTTGTTTTTGTGATTTGCTTTATCGTGTTTGTGGTTTGCATTAGGAGGTTTCTGGTGTGTTTTTTAAAATTCTGTGGTTTGCTTTGCGGGATTTCTGGTTTGTTTTAGTAGATTTTTGGTCTGCATTAGGACGTTTCTGGTTTGTTTTTTTTGGTTTGCTTTAACGTGTTTGTGGTTTGCGTTATCAAGTTTCTGGTGTGTTTTTGAAAATTCTGTGGTTTGCTTTGTGAGGTATCTGGTTTGTTTTAATAGATTTTTGGTCTGCATTAGGACGTTTCTGGTTTGTTTTTGTGGTTTGCTTTATCGTGTTTGTGGTTTGCATTATGAGGTTTCTGGTATCCATTAAAAATATTTGTGGTATGCTTTGTGGGATTTTTGGTATGTTTTAGGAGACTTGTGTTTTGCATTAGTAGGTTCATGGTATGCTTTTGTGGTTTGTTTTACTGTATTTATAGTTGCATTATGAGATTTCTGGTATTGAAATGCTCATGTTCTGCATACCAATAACTCCTAAATGCATACCATAATAAATTTGAAGCACTCGACATCCCAATTATATTTCATCTTACACCAACATTGTAGCTTTTATCCGAATGTGTACTCCACGCCGCTGTCTATGGAGAAACAAGGCAACTAAATTTCTTCTACTGCCGCATAAGGTGTGTCAATTCCAGGCACTAGATATGTTTCATCAGCAAAATTTTATCACAAGATGGATTTTCAACAAACATCGATTAGAAGTTAAATGAGCTCTGCAGTTCATCAGACAACAGAAAAGAAGTGTACATGACATGAGACTAATGATTTGCTTCTGCTCATCATCCCAAAAGGATCTATCAATTGCTTTTGACTCCAAATCAGCAAGCTCTTTTTCCAACTGCTGCAGCCTAGCAGAGTCCAATATACACAGGCAGACCGGGTCTCGCAGGCGATTGAATTTGTTCATCATCTTGCATCTTCTTCCTCGACCCAACCCCCAATTACAGTTTTGCTATCTAATTCGTTCCTTCCCACCCCCACATTAAAAAAGAAGAAGGTTAAAACAGAAGCTAATCAAATTCACGAGGATTCTAAGATGAGATTAGCCGTCTCAGCAATGGACAGCGTGTTGTGATTGTGATCTCCTTCGTAGGTTACCACCAGCATCGACGGGTCATCCAACGTTCTCTCCACGTGCTTCCGGGCCGGGCATCCCCGCACGCTGCTGCACTTGTAATAACTAATAACCCCTGTAGTTTTTGCCACAATTGATTCAACAAACCTCGCCCAATCCCGGTCAACGATGGAGCAGATGAGGAAATCGAACTTACCGTGGATGCGGGGAGCCTTTGATTGGCTTCTGCCCGTTCTTCCGCCACGAGTAGTCGTCGAGAGGAATGTCCGCCATCTTCAGGCTTATCGCCGGAACCCTAACCACCCTCTTCAATCTCAATTTCCTGCTGCACAATTTCGGACGAATTCAATACACTCAGGCCGCGATTTGAGTGACGACGGAGTTGAAACACCGATGAGGGTTTCGATTTTTTAGGGAAAGCTAGCAGGGGAGAAGAAGAACTGAGATCCAACGAGAGTGTGAAGGGGACGTGATGGGTAGGCTAAATATAATTTAATTTTTATTTTATTAAATTTTAGATAAATTTACCCTTATACCCTTAATGAATCATGTTGTTAGTATAACAACACTAAGGGTGTTGTTATACTATCCGCACCCTAGAAAATATACTCCAATTCACATTCCAATAGCCGCCTCTCTCCCTCGTTCCTTCCATTTTTTAGATTATGGCCATCTGGCCGATCTCCTTCCTCCTGCTGCAATCTCTGATCTCTCCATCCCTTGTCACAAACACGAGTTCGAGATCAATAGCACCCATGATATGATCCCAAATAGCCAACTGTACACGTCACAATTACTTGACAAAGAAGCTATCAAAGTTGGGAAGAAGAAAGGCAGAATTTGGCTAAGTCAAAATCCGTGTTCAGGGTACATACTTTGGAGGTATGGTTCTCTCTATTGGCTTGGTGTAAATGTATGTTTAAGGGCTTGTTTTACAGAGAAAGTTTCCATGTTTCCAATGGTATGCTTTCTGGATCTATATGATGTCATTAAGGTTGTTTTCCAAGGCCTCAAAGTTGCTACCTCAAAACTGGAAAACAACCTTAATGACATCATATAGATCCAGAAAGCATACCATTGGAAACATGGAAACTTTCTCTGTAAAACAAGCCCTTAAACATGCATTTCCACCAAGCCAATAGAGAGAACCATACCTCCAAAGTATGTACCCTGAACACGGATTTTGACTTAGCCAAATTCTGCCTTTCTTCTTCCCAACTTTGATAGCTTCTTTGTCAAGTAATTGTGACGTGTACAGTTGGCTATTTGGGATCATATCAACCCAGCCACTCACGCCTCCTCTAAGCTTTCCAAAACCCCCATCTGGATCTTCGTCATGATCCCAGCGATCCACTCAGGCAGCGGCTGGAAGTTGGATGCTAGCGTCTTTTTGCTATTTTGGAGTTATTTTCTCAGAAATTTATTCATATCTTTTCATCTTGAATGTTGAAATTGACACAGAGAAGTGAGAGTTTGAGAAGCTCGGTTGTGTCGGGTTTTCCGATTCCGAACCGAATATATTTCGGCTCGGCCAGACCGTACCGAAATATTGTTCGGTTCGAAATCGGTTTCATGGTTACCAGAGTTCGGGGGACCGGTATGCTCTTGTTCGGTTCGGTTTGAACCGAATCGATGCCCACCCTTAGTTTGAAGTGACCATGGTTCAAATCTCAATATGCATCTTTATTTTTCTATACATAAATAATAAGATAGGTAATTCTGAAGACAGAAATGTCATTCCAACTTTTGCTCTCGTTGCATAAAATCTGAAATGGGAGGTCAAGTTTTCCCTTGTTGCTTTAAATATATGTGCTTATTACCCAACCTCTCAGTCGAACGTAGTTTCGGAAATTGGTAGTATGATTCTGACTTATATTACCTATTAGCATGTCTGTGCTGATGGCCGGAGGTAGGTCAACAACACTATAATAATATGATGGAAAATCATTATCCCATTACATTAAAAAAAACAGTAAAACATAAACATTATAATGGACAATCAAAACCAAGTGATTAGAAATCTAGTCATTATTGCCAAGCACCTTGATGGCCCTAAAGTGAATATGAAAAATCAAAGGAATGCTTACTTGGCTCCAATTCCCGATAGTGAAAATGGAAGCCACCAAGAGATTTCATAAAGAAAATTCAATTTGGATTGCCCTTAGACCAAAAACCACAGTGACACAAAAGGCGATTAATCCCTGGCTGAAAGTACCAAAACCAGCAATGTCCAAATTAAGTTGGTGGAATGCACCAACTAGTTTTTCCTTATAAATAGTTTGGTTTTTCAAATGACAGAAAAAGAAAATAAATACAAAGCATTGAATCTGTTGTAGAAATCTCAGGTACAAACAAAAGAAACAGGCAAGCAACATATGCCTGGAAACACCAACATATAACAACTTTTGTCGATACCCCTACCACTGTGAAATCCTGCCAAATCACTCCTAATCACTCTGCTACACTAAACACACAAATGACTTACATCTCTGTATTTTCTATCTCTTCAATCTGTATAAGTCAATCTTTATGTAACCTCTCCATTATCACGATTTGTATCTTTCTCGATAGCAAATACATTGATTGTTCCTCTCTTACTCCTTCTTCGTGGCAACTACATGGCATTTTGCATCATTGCACATTAATCCAAACAACCATTCATTGTTGCAACTTATGACTTGAGGTAATATCACTTAAGTCATGATACGAATTTACATGAATTGAAATAAATGATCAGTATAATAGCCTTGTAAAATGAAACAAATGTCGATTCTCTTTTCTCCTCGATGGTTTCGTCATTAAAATGAGATTGGCGGTTATCTCTACCAACGCGTTCTATATGATTATAGTATGGTATTTTGTATAAAACATTTCTTTCTTACCAATTTTTGCATTGGAACTCCAAGAGCTAACTTGTTGGGGCTCTCCTTTAAGTAAACATCTTGTATCAACATCAGTAAGGCAACAAAAATTGATTTGGTCGAGATACTATCAAAATCTTGTGATGCACTGAAGAAGCCTAGACTATTTCTCAGGCCTCGCTAACCCCCAATCAATTTGACGTGGGTCATTGCTCTCTTACCATCTAAACTAAGGAATCTCAGGTTAGTTTCATTTATAGCTTAACTTGACAATTTTTTAGAGAGGAGATACGATGACGATTCACAATTCCAGAACAACCACCTCATATAACAAAATCTTATAGAACCAACAAAATGAAGCACCCAAATTACAATTCCATACATTTTTCCTACGAGGGTATGCATGTGCATATTAAGAAAGTTGAAGGATTAAGGAGGGAGCTTACTTGGCATGCGGTTTTGATGAGCAATTGAGCAAAAATCCCGTAAATAAATTCCAGGTAGAGATGTCCAATCTGTCGGGTCTAGGCGTGTGTATATTTCAACAGGCTATACTAAAAACACAAAGAGTTCAATCAGTTTGTCCTTCCCATATCAACATATGATCACCTTGTAAAAACTTATCTGCAATCATGAGGTTATTTCAATCAAAAGAAACCATTTTCTATATGTTAAAGATCCGAATTATAGCCTGAATAGGTCAACTCGACAACTATCTCATCAACTCTTACATATAAAATCTGTATAAAAGTGGTATTTGATTGAAGTTATTCCCTATTTTAACACTAAGCATAATAAAAAATTGTTTACTGAAAACTAACAATACAAACATTCAAATTAGGAAAATAATGATATTGAAAAGGAGTATCAAACAAAAGCAACAAAAAGTATAGCTATCTTTAATCAACTCAAAAGTCAACCTAAAAGATCAACCAAATGAACTGATGGTTAAGAGATCACACATTACTGTCAAAGAAACTAAATAACCCACCAATCAGCTCTCCAAGTAGAACACTCAACCTTCCATATTTACCCCTCCCTAATTGCTTTGGCGTAACAATATAGGTGGAGGAGGTTAGGCGGTTGTCGAGTTTGATGGGAAGATTTGGAGAGACGGTGATGGTTGAGTGTTTAGTGGGTCGGGACACTATTTAGATATGTTTGCATTAGTTGTGTCTTTTACATCCGAGTTTGACAAACCAACGTCACTAAACCTTTCCATATTTACCCATCTCTTAAAGAATGTGCCTCAAATTCACTCAAAACTTCGATGTTAAAAAATATTGTTGTTTTATGATAGTTATAAAATTTGAGTCCATGTTAAGAATTCTGCATCGCTTCTACACATTCAATACTGTAATTGGATATGCAATATTTGCACCAATGACATCAAGGTTGCAATTTTAAAATTATTCTCCTTTTATAAGGTAAACAAAAATAGAATTAATTATTAAACTTAAATTAAAATAATCAAAATATGAAAATAGAAGTATTAAATACCAAGAAAAATATTTACAGGAGAATAAGTGAGTTAGCTAACCATAGTAGAAAATTCCTATGATTTTTCAAATTTAAACTTCTTATATTATTTTAATTTAAATAGATTAATTTTTTTAGTGTAACTAGTTATGTTTCTTGTCTTTTTTCAAAGAGACCGCAGTTTAAATCTCATCAATGTTGTATTATTTTTCTTGTAACAAAATAATAAATGATTTTGAAGACGAATCTTCTCTTCCTACTTTCGTTATGGGTGCAAGGATTTTGTAATGGGGAAGACACATTTTCCATTTTACTATTATATTAGGTGTAGCGAAAGTAAGCGCGGTGGTTGAGCGTCTAGTGGGATTGAGCTTGTTTACATTAGTAGCGCCTTAACCATCCGCATTCGTCAAACCAACAACACTCAATCTTTCCATATTTACCCCTCCAAAAATTGTTATGGCGTAACAATACAGGTGTTGAGGTTAGCCGGTTGCTGAGTCTAATGGAAAGTTTGGTGAGACGACGATGGTTGAGCGATTAGGGATCGGGCCACTATTCGAGCCCATTTTCATAATTACATGAGTAGTGTTTTTTCCATCCGCGTTCGGCAAACCAACATCACTCAACTTTTTCATATTTATTTCTCTCTTAAAGACACATGTGCCACATATTAACTCAAGACTTCTGTGTTCAAAAAACAAAATATCATTGATTTATGGTAGTTATAAAAATTAAGTCCATGTTAATCATTTTACATCGCTTCTGCACAGTCAAGAGTGCAATTCGATTCAACGAAGAAAAAAAGAGAGTGCAATTCTATATGCAATATTTAAACCGATGACATTTGGGTTGCGATTTAAAATTATCTTCCTTTTACAAGATAAATAGAAATTAAAGTAATTATTAAACTCAAATTAGAATAAACAAAAT